ATTGCCCAATTTTTTCAATTTGTTTATGAAGAACCAATTATGTGTAAATCTATTGTTTGATTTAATTGCCGGACCCCCAGACTCAAACAATTAGAAATTAGAAGAGGAAGAATAAAATGCTGTTAAGTTCATCTACACTACATTGGTTAGCGTATTCAGTGCTAGTAGTGGACCAGAAGTAAGAATAAAGGCTTTGGAATAGAATTTAATCAAATAAATCTTAGACCGAATAGCTTTGGTTAGTAAGGAGACTAAGAGAGTATTTAGAAATGTGCTTGAAAAACAAGTGGTATAAGAATCACCTCAGAAAAATAACACATTGCAGAAATCAACAAAATAGAAGAGAGGAGTGGGATATGCAAGTGATAATACTGGATAAAATTAGAAATGGAACACCATAGAATATGTGGAGAAGAAAACATAAAAGTCATAACAATTAATTGGTTTATTGGGTATAGTAGAGTCATTCTTTGATTTCCAACATTGGCATCCAAGTGAAGACCTATTACATAAATTAAAGAACACCTTATTTGAAAGTGCATTATTGCCTTTGCTAGAAAGTGCATTCAGAAGTGGCTCACTTTTGGAAATATCAAAAGAATTCGATTTGTATTGCAAGTATTTGAAGATAGTTTAATCCATGTCTCATCATAAAGTATTGGCCGGTGTTTTCTTAAAGATACCTGAGTAGTATTATCCTCCTCAAACTTAATCATTATTTGAATTGTTAAGTGCTTTGGCAGATACATCCAAAATCTTTATGAATTGCATCTAAAATAATAGAAAGAAGAATGAAGAAGAAGAGCACTCATTTGAGATTGCCAAAATGATTATAGATACTCATAAACGAATGGAAAATTGCATCAATAAAATGAATGATAGTGGTAGTAGTAGCAATGAAGAGGACGAGACTGAATAACTCAAGAAATAGAAAGAACTAGCAAATGAATTAATCTAATAGATTCTATCCAAATAATTACCTGAAGCATACAGAACCTTGTTGTCAGACTTGAGATTCAATTACATTGATATGAAGGTTGGTGGCAGATATAAACATCATTACTCAGGCAACATATCAACCTAAATAAATCAAGATAAGATCGTAAGATTAGCCTAAGAATTTGCAGATATGTCAACATCCTTACCAATTGAACACACGAATGCCATATTTGTAAGAGCTGACAAAGAACGTGTAGATGTAATGAAAGCATTAGTTATGGGTGCAAAAGGTACTCCTTATGGACATGGTGCATTTCTATTTGATATTTATGCTGATGATTCATATCCGAATGCTCCCCCTAAAATGAATTTATCTACTACAGGAAATGGAAAAGTCAGATTCAATCCTAATTTGTATAGTTGTGGAAAAGTATGTTTGTCACTCTTAGGTACATGGAGAGGAAATGCTTCTGAAAATTGGGATCCAAAAATCTCTACTCTCCTTTAAGTTTTAGTATCCACCCAAGCCATTATTATGAGTGAAGAGGTGTATTTCAATGAACCAGGCTCTGAATAGGAAGCAAACACAGATGAAGGTGAAAAGAGAAATGAAGGATATTCTAATATTGTCAGATATTGCAACATCAAATATGCTATGATAGACTAAATTAGAGATCCACCAAAAGGATTTGAAACTATTATTAAAAGACACTTCTATCTCAAAAAATAGGAAATCTTGGAGGAATGCAATAAGTGGGTTGAACTTGCAGATACAAAAGAAGCTTTATATACTGGGTTACTAAATGATCATAATTCCAGCTGGTGTAGTGAATTCAAAAAGAGCAAGAAAGCATATCATAAGAAGTTGTCTGAAGCTGTTAAAGAATTGGAGGAAGAATTGAATAAAATTTAACCACCTTCTGCTGCTGATTTAGAAGGATCCAGAGTACTAAGGACTCATGTCAAGAAACAACCTAAAGTTAAAAATCTAAAAGAGGGAATGGCCAATTTGGATGAAGTAGATGTTACATACACAAAGATCTAATAGAAGGAATTCGAAGCAAATGATGAAAATGTCTTAGATAGATGGAGTAGATACATAGGTGCTATGGGAATGGATGCAGTGAAGAAATAGGCAAATAGTTGTGTTTTGGTATCTGGCATTGGAGCTTTGGGTATTGAAGTAGCCAAAAATATAGTATTATCAGGAGTCAAAATGCTAACAATTCATGATTAACAAAAAAGCACTTAATTTGATCTTAATGGGTAGTTCTTCATTGAAGAAAAAGATATTGGCAAGAACAGAGCTGAAGTTAGTTGGGAAAAATTGCAATAGCTCAATTCATATGTCAGAGTAAATTATGAAACATCAGAACTCCTTAATATCGACTTCACTAAATACAACATTGTAGTAGTCTGTGCTACATATCCAAATGATGTATTATTCAAATTATCAACATTATGTCGTTAACACAAGGTCAAATTAATTATTAGTTCAGTTGATGGAGTCTTCGGAAGAGTGTTCAATGATTTTGGATAGTCTTTCATTGTTGAAGACAAGAATGGGGAACAAACTGTTGATTATATTGTTAAATCTGTTACTGATAAAGGGGAAAATAAGTTGCACTTTGAAATCACAGGTAAACATGAATTTTAAGATAATGATGTTGTTATGATTGATAATATTGAAGGAATGATAGACTCAAATGGAAATTCAATTAACAAAACCATTTAAAAGGTCAAAGTAATTAGTAAATCAATCTTGGAGATTCAATTAAATGGATATTCAAAATACATTCGAAATGGAACTATTAAATTGGTTAAAGTACCTGTTGAATTATCATTCCACCCCTACAATCAAGAATTCATCGATAAACCAATTTATGATCCAAATATGTCAGAATACGATTTCATCAAATTGTAAAATACTGAACAACTACACAGTCTTTATAATAATAAATAGATCAAGGATGAAAATTTCGAATTGTTATTCAAACATTACTCAATTTTAGGAGAGTTCTCACCTTTGTCTGCTTATCTTGGAGGCTTCGTCTCACAAGAGGCCATCAAGGGAATAACTAATAAATTTACTCCAGTTTAACAACTATTCTATGTGGATTGCACAGAAGTATTATAAAAAGAGATATCCAAAGATGTCAAAGTCAGTGAAAGATCTTTAAGTAGATTCTTGGGTACAGAAATTGCTGAAAAATTAGAGAAATCTAAAATATTCATGGTTGGATGTGGTGCAATAGGTTGTGAATTACTCAAGAATTTTGCCATGCTTAATTTAGGAATAAAAGGTTCAATCACAATAACTGATCCAGACCATATTGAAGTTAGTAATCTAAATAGGTAATTCTTATTCAGGGAAAAACACTTAAGAAAACCTAAGTCTTAGACAGCAGCTGCTGCAGTCATTTAAATGAATCCGTATTTGAGAGATCACATCATAGCAAGACTAGATAAGGTTCATGACTCAACAGAACATATATACACAGATCAGTTCTTTGAAGATCAAGATATCATTGCTAATGCTCTAGATAATGTAGCTGCTAGAAGATATGTAGACAAACGATGTGTTAATTCTCGTAAGCCACTATTGGAATCTGGTACTCTTGGACCAAAAGGTCATGTACAATGCATCGTTCCATTTTAAACTGAATCTTATGGCAGTTCTAATGATCCTGTAGAAGAAGGAGAAATTCCATATTGCACACTCAAGATGTTCCCTGAAGAGACTTTCCATTGTGTCGAATTTGCAAGGGATAAATTTGGCAAACATTTTTCAGCAAGACCAAAATAATTAATAAAAATGATGGCTGAAGATTATATCCCCCAGTTTAGAAGATAATAAACCTTTTAAGAGAGGCTATCAAATTGTTTAAGAACAAACCAAACTCCTTTGAAGATTGCATTAAGTGGGCAAGAGGAAAGTTCTAGAAATACTTCATTAATGACATCAAATAACTAATGTATACATATCCAGAAGATGTTAAGACCAAGGATGGAAATCTGTTTTGGACTATGCCTAAACGTCCTCCCAAGCCTATTTAATTTGATCCTGAAAATGAAATTCATCAATAATTTGTATCTACCTTTGCTTTTCTCAGAGCCAAAATGTTCAGTCTTTAAACTGACAAAGATTGGAGAACTAAAACTTATAGATAATCAGTAGCTAAACAAGCTAATCTAATCACCTTCCCTGAATGGCAACCAAGTGAAGAAAAGAAGAAAGTATTTATATATTTAATAATAATTTTAGTCTATTTCCGATAAGGTTAAAGAGCAAGGATAAAAAGAAGAACCTGAAGAGAATGAGACTACTCAAACCCAAAGCACTTAAGAGGAAACACAATTGTTATTTAAATAATTTAAATCTTTATTGCCAATCACTTTAGCATCTGATGAATTTGAAAAGGATAATGATTAAAATGGACACATCGATTTCATACATTCCTTTGGTAATTTAAGGGCTGCAAATTATAAACTGGAACCCATGGATTGGCTAACTGTGAAAATTAAAGCTGGTCGTATTGTGCCTGCTTTGGCTACTACCACTGCTGTTGTTGCTGGACTATAGACAATAGAATTAATTAAAACTTTGAAGAATGTATAGATTTCAGACATGAAAAACGCTTTTGTCAACTTAGCCATTCCCTTTGTGAAATTAACTGAACCAGGTTTGGTACCCAAGAAGAAAATCAATGAAAAAGTCACTGTTACGTTATGGGATATATGGACACAAGAAATTACAAAGCAAACTACTTTCAGATAGTTGTTTGAGATTCTGAATTAATAATATGATTTACATCCAAGAGATGTGTTTTTGAAGGCTTAACCTGTGTATATGGAAATAATGTATGCGAAAAAGGCAGAAGAGAAAAAACACTTTTTGGGACCAAGCAATCATTAAAGTATTAGAAATACAGGTATAATATAATGTTATTTTTTATTAGAAATATGTTGGATTTGACTATCAATTTTACATTAAATTAGGAGAGTTAAGAAATTATCAAGGGAATTCCGTAAGTCAGATTGGTTTTGAAGTGATATCAATATTTTATCAAAATATAAATCATAAAATATTATTTTCTTATATTTATGATTCAATATCTCTGTTGTTGGAAATAGTTATCTTCCAATTCATCAATAAATGTGAAATAGGCAATCACAGCAGTAATATCATCGCAACCAAATTTCAAGTATGGCAAATCACCAATCTTTGAGTTTGTCTTCTTTTATTTGTTCATTTCATCCCATCTGGATCTGCATTCAGTAACCTATATAAATATCAATATCTACAATAGCTTCAGCCACACTCTCTTTTGGCTCATGTTTCAAGACAAATCCACAGACTTCAGCACTACTCATCACATCCCAAACACCATCTGATCCTATAACCATAAACTTGTCCTATTTTGTTAATTCAATATGTTGGACTTCTGGTTCTGAAATCAAGCCTATCTTCTTAGCTTGCAAATCTCCCAATCTATAACTAATTTGAATTTCAATACGTTCTAGTCATGGCAATTCCTGGCCCCTCATCATCTGCCCAAATACGATATGGACCAACTGGCTAACCATCATGTATTAGCCTTTCGATTTTGCCTCCACATTCTTATGATTCTCTCCTTCTCATCTGGTCTTGTTGGCTTATGAATCATATGATAATTCAATGGCCCAGTTTCTCTTTTGCAGTTTATCTAAATAGTACTGCTCTGGAATCACCCAGATTAGCAATGTAACACATATTCTTAACTACAAATATTGATATTGCACATGTTCCAGAATTACTGTAATCTATACCAGAAGATCTGAGTTTTGCTTCAGCATTTTTAAAAGCACTCTTCAAAAAACTCTCTCTTTGTTTATCATTCTATAATGCCTTGATTCTCTTTGGGTTTTTCTCCAAGAATGTCTAAATATAATCATTGGCTGCTTAGGATGCTTCTTTGCCTGAGGAACCATGACCATCATACACTTATAATAAAAATGAAGTTAAACCTGCAAAGAAATAACAATCTTCAGTAAATCTTTCCATAGTACAATAGGAATCTTGACATTCAGTCTTTTTGGGACCATATCCCATCTTTGAATGTCCAAATAATTTGATTTCCTTCATGGGATTTATCAAAGTCTTGTTGAGATTCTACACCACATTTTACTTCTTCTTCTTTTTCTTGTTCTTGCCACTCTAATTGCTATTACCTCCAAACCAATTAAGAAGAAACATTTATATTTATATATATTTAAATTATTTATTAAAAATGCTACGATTTATTTATCAAGGATTCTCAACCTTAGTAAAATAAAATCCACTTAAGAATGGGTTCAGATTTGAGAATTAAAATCTCACCTGGACTTTCGGCGAATTCGATGTATTCAATAGTTGTTATTGAGAGACACATTCAAGTGCATTCGCATATGGATTGATTGAACAAGGTTGGAAACAAGGAGACAAGCTTTTGCTCTTGCTTGGTAGATCCAACACCAGTGAGGCAGCCACTACATTTGCTGGAGCAGCCAAAGCTGGAGTAATTACAGTACCATTCAGATCCAATGATCCAAATGAAATTGAAAAGACTATTAGTATTGTCAATCCAAAGGGAATTGTGTTTTCGCCCAATCAACTCGTTGGAGAAACCAAGTTCATCGAAGTCCTCAAAACCCTTGTTCCTGAAACAACTTAGAGTATCTATTAAAATTAATTTGCCCTCTAGCTCACTCAGGAGAAAGTCTGAAGAGTAGTAAATTTACTAATTTGAAATGGTTGATTCATACTGGATTCTATTCATACCCAGGAACTTACAAATTCAGAGTATTAAACTATTGAAGCCACTAGGAATCATTGGTTTACGCCTCCAGGAACTTCAATCGTCTTTCTCTCCCAACTGTTACAGGACCAGTCACAGCTCAATTGAGAAATGGATAACTCTAAACCTACACTTATTAGGACTTAGCGAAATTGAGTGACAAAGTGCAGGGATCTAAACATGTCATTGTCTCTGGAGATCCATAAACTGTAACCAACTTCAGCATTGGTAAGTTCAAGGATTTCTAATATCGTAGTTGTCGGAGGATTGGAAAGAGGTTACAATACAGTTTTGACAGGCGCAGACAAATTAACCAAGGTCTAAAAGATTCTACAATATTATGACAATTATAGTTTGGTAGTAGATGATTCAGTTCTCAGTGAATAATAATAAGTATGATGAACTTTTAATATCCTTGTAGTCTGTTGATGTTGGCAACCTTTAAAATTTATTCACAGTTGGCGATGTCACAAAGGCTCAAAATGTATTCCAAAAATAAGCCATCTAAATTTGATATAATAATACCAAAAAAACACAATTATATAAATAATGGATTAATCTTCATCAATTCTGAGTATTAAGAGAGAGAAATTTAGAACCGTGATCAGAAAAGAGTTCATTGAATAACAACTCAAAAAAAAGAGAATCATTATACCTGAATAGGAAGATCACGATTTGAATGATAAACTCAAAATTATTAAAAAATAGATGATAGCCATTCATGAAAATATTGAAAACGATTTTAAAAAAGCCATGATTAAATATTATGATTATTTAGTAGACTAAGATCTCATGAATGAATTGCTTCTCTAATTTGAATTGAATTGGCAATAAAATTATAGGATAAATATCTATTGGATACTTTGCAATCTAACTCTAGGAGATAATATTGGAGCTAAATTTCTATTCGATACAAATTTCGACTTTTTAAAAATACTCTACACTGATATTAAGAATCCTGCTTATAATGAATTTGTTCTTGAAATCATACAAAATTTGTTAGCAGATGATGACATTGATGTTTTCGAATATCTGATGAGAGATGATGAATTACTTCAAATGCTTAATAAAAATGTCAATATCATATCAGAAGAAAACTATAAAAAATTATTAGTGCATATTTGTGTTAAAATTGTTGAATTTAAATCATTGTTGAGTAATTATTTAGTTGAAACATTGTGTTAATTGATGCCTTAGTATATAGCATTTTAATGCACTTACATTCTGACTTCAAGAATGGAATTTAGTAATCATCATCTGGTCCTTCATGCCATTCGATATTTACTAAACAATGATGACAATCTCACGTCTATAATCTTAAGGATTTTACAAGAAATAACAGATTCTTATTTACTCTATTAAATATTGCAATAAAAAGAAATACATAGCTTTATCTGTAATTTGTTTTTAACAACAAACAATTCAAATTGTATTAAATCTCTACTAACTATATTTTATAATGTAGTCGAATCAGAAGAGATATAATTTTATATCTGTCAGAAGGAAGTCTTAAACTTAATAATAAAATATTCATTAAACTTAGAATACACTGAAAAATCATTAAATGTATTAGAATATCTAATGCAAGATGATAATTTTTTATTTGAATATCCTGAACTTGTAGATGAAAAGTATTATTGTTCATAACTTCATAATTTAAATGATGAAGATCCAAATACTTCAATTGCTATTTTAAATTACATTAAAAGAGTACTAGAATTTTGGGATACAAGGAATGATGACAAGTATTTAAATATATTTTCTAAATACAAAAATAAGGTAAAATATAGATTTTATTATCAGATAGAAAATTTGCATATGTCTTAAAATAAAAGTCTATCAAATTTAGCAAATTAGTTACTTTTATGCTATGATTGAATTATTATTATTTTTATTAATATATAAATATTTTGGAATGTTTAGAACTTTAGATGATTTAAAGAAAGGTGAAAAAGATGAAAAACAAAAGAAAACAAGCAATTCTTATGCTGGAGGAGAAAAGAGGTAAGAATTTTGATTAAATATCGTAGTGGTCTTTCTGTTGAAAATCCTGATGATATGGATTAAATAATTAATAATGCGTAAAAATCTATTAAAATCCATATAGAAAATAAGGAGGCACCAGGCCTGATTAAGATGAGGATCCAAAAGAATGGTGCAAAATTACTTTATGGAGTAATGGATTTTAAATTAATGATGGTGAATTCAAAGATATCAACGATCCAGAAAACAAGAAATTTCTAGCTGAATTAAGATAAAAGTAATATAAGTCTTTATTCTAAAGTTAAGTGCCTACATCCCTGCGATCTAAATATCCAAAAGGATTGAGCGTCAAATTGGAAGATAAAAAAACAGAGAAATATGTACCACCACCTCCTCCAAAATATGTGGAATTTAGTGGATCAGGAGTCAGTTTGGGATAATAATAATTTGTTTAATAATAACAACAAGTTAAAGTAGATTTGAGCAAATAAGGATAAATACAAATTGATCCTAATCAACCCACAACTAACATTATGGTGAGACTCTCCACTGGTAACACAATTACATTGACAGTTAATACTACAACAAGAGTGTCAGCCATTCAATAACATCTTTTAAGGTATTTAAAATATTTAAAGTGTTAAGAATGATGAACTTGCCTCCTCAAAAATAAATCTAGTTAATTTCTGGCTTCCCTCCAAGACCAATTTAGAATCTCAACTAAACTGTTGAAGAAGCTGATTTATGCGATTCCTAAATCACTTAAACTGTTGTTTGAGTTATTAGAACAAAAATATCTATAGTATAATTTATTTCGTATTGTTTATGAGTTTTTATCCCCTAAAATTGATTATTATTAGTTCTAAAAATGGGGAATAGAAGTTCAAATAATTCGAATTAAAAAATCGGATCAGAAGCAAAATGCCCTAATTGCGATCGTAAGTTTGGACCTTCTACTACTTACAACTCGCTTAATACACATATAGATCTATGTCTATAAAATTAATTACAGATAAATAATGTAGGGTTTCAAATGCCTCAGCCATAAGTTTAATTGGGAGATAATTATATTTGGGTGAAATAAAACAATCAATGGAAAAGAATTTAATCATAAGTTAATGGTGGATAGATCTAGGTAACATTTGTAATAAATTTTAAAGAATTTAAGTGTTCAAGATATTAAGAACAGATCCTTTCCTGAAAAATAAATGTGGTTCAATCTTTAACTTGAAAAATTTCGTATTCCTTGGTAACTGGGATCTGATAAATTGAATGTCAATTATAATGATTTATTATAATCGTCATTGACTTCAGCTAGAAATGTTAATGTGTACAAAGAAGTCAAGGTGGTATTTTAGAACGACAAAGTGTAAGATGCAGGTGGTTTATTGAGAGAATGGTTAACTTTGATTTTTAAAGAGATGTGCAAAGATATCTTTACATTGACAGAAACAAATGATGTCACATATAAAATCGCTAAACAGAGCCAATATTTTGATTTAGTTGGTTTAGCAATTGCAAAAGCACTCTTTGAAAGAATGACAATCTGTGTTGAATTCGATAGACCCTTAGTAAAAAAATTATTAGGTTAAGAAAATTGAATTTTAAGACATGCAGTTTTATGATAAAAGCCTTTTTATGAGTTGGAAATATTTACTTGAAAATCAATTTGACGAAAACGAATTATAATAATATTTTATCATTTGTAAGGATGATGAAATAATTGAATTAAAATAAAATGGAGCTGATATTTTAGTAAACAACTAAAACAAATAAGAATTTGTTGATTTATGGTAATCTATTAATTATAATATTAGTATCTAATACTATAGTGAAAAAATGATATCAAAATAGCTTGGATAAATCTAAACAGCTTTATATAAATATATTCCAAAGGATTATTTAAATATTTTTACAGCTGAAGAATTTGAAATGATTCTTTATGGTGTATCTGTTGTAGATTTAGCTGAGTGGAAATAGCATACAACGTACAAAACTCCATATGCTGATACTTCTCAACAAATACAATGGTTTTGGAAGATATTGTCTGAGTTCGATCAGGATTAACTAAAGAAGTTTCTACATTACTGCACAGGCTCTTATAGAATCCCAGTTAAGTATTTATAACATAATTAAATTTCATAGTGGTTTTAGTAAACTTGAGTCCAATAGAGGAATGTATTCAAAATTTTAGATAGTTCCCATTGATTATAAAAATACAAATTCTTTCCCAATAGCTCATACATGTTTCAACAGACTTGAGCTTCCAAAATATACAAGTGAGGAAATGATGAGAAAATATTTGAGATCTATTGTTCTTAATGATCTTGAAGGAGTTTTTGGAATGGAATGAATAATTAAAATCATAATTGATGTTAATTTATATTATTGCTCAACAAAAATAAATCTCGTCCAATAATTTAATCTCGATAAGTATATAACTTATCCTTCAAATGTTTTCCAAAAGTGAAAATATTTAGAATCTGATGCTAAAGGGAAGACATTCATTTTCATAAAAGATGGAACCACTTATTGAGTAGATTATAAAAATCAGAATTTCCGAATTCTAAAATTAGCTAACTCTAAGTCTGGTTTTATTAATTAAAATAATAAATCAGTTGTTACTTTAACACTATTCTAAACAATATTTGATGTTAAACTGAGCTTGAACATCAAATTTCAGCAAAATTTTTATTAAAATTATCCTAATGCTTTCAGAAGAATAGATAGAAATAATTAATATTTAAATTCTATATGTTATGATTTAAATCCTCTATGAACTGCATTATATTTGGTATTTTACAACTTTTTAATTTAATTCATCTGAAGATTAAGATATGTAGAATCTAATTCTGTTGAATTTGAAGAACCAAATTGGATTATTAATAAGCCAATACCATAATATCTATTAAGATAGAGAATTGTATGAGATTTTAATATACGTTGTCTAAAAAATAAAAACAAGGAGAATCATTAAAAATTTTATTACTTTTTTATTTGATGTTTTCTTAACTGAATTTGAAATTTATATTAATATTAAGCTTTGAAAGAAAAATTTTAAGTAAAAAGATTTATTTATAGAAAATAATGGTTATTACATCCTATTTAATGATTTGATGGTATTTGATTTAATTGGAAAACTGGGAGCAAGTAAGAAAGAAAGAATATCCTTTATTTATGTAATAATTTGGCGAATAAACATTATTTATTTCAGTTTATTGAATTAACTTAGAAGAAATCTATCATCAAATTAATATAATTGCTTTAATTTAATTAAATTTATATATAGAATGATATTATATTTTTGATGAAAACACAATAAATCTTTCGTAAAACTAAACATTTTGAATTTATTCATATCAACAATATTCTTTAGTTTTTTATGCTTATTGAACTTTCATTGAAATCAATATTTTTGAGGTCACATTTTTTGATTTTATTTTATGAAGAAAATTAAAAAGTAGAAAAACTATAGATCAAAATACAACAGCATAAATTCTAATGAAAGAGCTCTTATTATTTAATATATTGAGTAATACAAATATTCAACCTCTCATGTATAATTAAATAATTTTCAGGTCTCTTTAATAACAGGACACAACATTTCTACTATTAAAGCCATTTATTCAGTGTATAAAAAGGAAGGCAGGGTTCAAAAAAAGGAAAAAAGAGATAAAATTTTAAATATAACCACTTAAGTATTATTGCTAGTGGTTGATGATACGTAAATAATTGATTGTATTTTCAGAAATGGAAAATGTGTTAAATTAGGTGAGGAAATTCAAAAGTTTGAAGCTATTAAAGAGGAAGACAAAAATATCAGAGATTCCAAAGAGAAAATGATTTAAGAATTACTTTAAAACAAGAAATGTTAAATTTTAAGCTTGCTGACAAACTAATAGGCTGTTAACAATTTTACTTAAGATGTGAATAATATTGGCTAAGAGAAAGCCTTATCTAATGAGTTTCTTACCACTGAAAACAATTTAAACATAAAATGCGGACACAAACAATCTTTAAAATATTTAAGAAATCGATAACAAGAAAATTTTCCTAGTATAAATTAAAATTTGCAAATGTTAGATAAAGGTTTTTACTCTGAACTATAAAGCAGGCTTTATGAATAACATAAATTAATGAGAATGTGAGAATGTATTTTCAAATCTATGACTATCCTAACAGCTTATTTTATTAAACTTTTTATATCTATTCAATTTATGTCCTCAGATTATAATGTTATCTTATTCTTACAATTAATTATAAATAACAGTATTAATAATAAATGTATTATTATTTCTTAATTTTGAAAATATATTAATGCTTTTAAAAAATATAATTAAAATCTTAATATTAATTAATATATAATTTAAAAATAAAAAAAACAAGATATTAGTAATAAATGTTAATTGCAAAAATTCCTTTTAACCTTATTTACTAGATAATATCTTGAGTCGCAATCTAATCTAAAAAACTGCAAATGAAAATTAATATGAGTTAAAATCGAGTAAGGAATAATAACCTTTATTGATATAAATCGTTAATATTAACTATAAAATTTTACATCAGTTATAAAGTTTATCAAAAAGCAAAAGCGGAGTTTATTAAGATTAATCCCCTCGAAAATTATTGAATTTTAAATTATAAATCTCATGAGATAAAGATTCAACTTAAAATTTATATAAATAAGCACACAATATATATAAATATCAATCTTATTTTACCTTATTTTCTAGTGGTTTAATAGAGTCATTCTTTTTTATATTTGATTTATTTTGTTCAGATAGATATTCTTCTTTTTTCAAGACTAATTCAACCCACTCTGGTTCATCTGGAATTACTCCTTCTATTACGAACTTGATTCCTATAACTATATGTTCAGCAACAATTAATAATAAAAAGTTTCTCAGTCCAAGCTATTATAAGTAAAATAATACATTGGTTTAATCTTGATCAGAATTTTCATTGGCTCCAACTAATTTATTTAACTCTTATTAATTTGCCTGATATATGGTTAAACAGTTTGAAACAATACCAATATAGCCAATTAATTATAAGATATCATTCCAAACTCCTATATTCTTTTTTGGTTCTGCTAAGGGTCTCTTGACGAATTTTCTAAAACCATATAATAATCCTTCTATATTGAGTAGATTAAAAAACAAGGCTATAATTGGTATAATTTGAGACCCTGCACTAAACATAGTAACCATACAAAATTATGTCATCTAACTATTGATATAATATTTACAAAATAAGTGAATTATTCGACATGATCAGGTGGGTCTATCATTCTTTTATTTAATTCAATTTACTGAAGAAAATATTAAGTAGATATTCCCTTATCAAATGATTTATTCATCCCACTAGTTTCAGTGTCTCCAATTTTTTATTGAGTATTGATTTATTTATTATTGTTTAATTGTTTTTATTTGTTGAAGTCCCAATTGAATTTTAATTTAATGAAACTAAAGGATATCCATGGATATATGGTATACCGAATAAGATGAATAAGAGACCAAGTGATGGTAAATGAGATACTGAAGAGTTTCAACTCAACTTCATCAGGTTTTATTATACTTCGATAAAAAAGTCGACCAAAAGAGTTAAGAAAGGTGAAAGCAAACACCTTTAAGATATAAACATTCTCTCTTTCATCCTGGAATTGATGATTCTCATAAATTAGGGTATGTTTAGAGAAGAAATTGAAAATTTCATTAGTAATTAAAACAGTTAAGGCCAAAAGACAAGCCCATAGAGTTTAATAAAAATCATCATCCTCATAGACTTGCTTAAGATAATAATACCCGGTCTATTAGCCAGCAATAAAAACTAAGGCTAAAAGTACCAAGGGAGTATTAGATTTAAAGTATTTCCATTGTACATTCCTTGTGTCCATGATTTCTATTGTATGTGTTACATCCTCAATAATGAAGGACCCTTTATATTAGGGGATGGTTCTTCTTTGTTCCTTTGCCACATGCATATCGAAATTATACATGGTTTCACTTTATTTTCTCTTCCAGAATTCAAAAAAGATGGTTGCCCAAACTGCCATACATAAAGTATAAATTGGAGCAATGGCTTAGATAGCTTCTTCATCAAAATATGAAATGATCCCTAAGATTAGTCCTGGAATAGCTGGTAAAAATAGCCAGGTTGAGAAAAAACATAAAAAAACAAAAAACATTCCAACTTCTGGTCCAAAATAGGTTGATAAGGCACTGAAGGTACGACTGGTTGATTTTCTTAATTGAAATGGTTCGAATAAGATATTAATCCTTTCATTTTTCCAGAATTTAATGATTAACTCTTTTTCTTCTTCGTCATGCAAGGGGAATTATTCTAAAAGTAATCCATCGCTTATAAATTATTCAATGTCAAATTCATCATATAATAAAGTCAAAAGGATCTATTAATTATGAATATGATGAAAGTTTTCAAATTATTCTTAGATGTTTAAATTAAATGGAGACAAATACCCTTCCCTTGAATTATAAATCATCATCTTATTCTAATCAGCAACCACATTCTTAAGTCTTTCATCAACTTTTAAACAATAATAAGTATATTGTTTATCAATAGATTCGTAAGAGATGTATTTGAACTATCCTTTTTCAATATTCTTTTTGATTTAAATATTATTAAATTGTTATTCCAATAACTAATTTTTGCTCTTTTGCCAACCAACCAATATGTGATTGTAACCTGATCTTAGATAGTTTTTTTCGTCATTATGTAAGAGTTCTCTCTTAAGTTATTTTATTTCATTCAATCGAGATTAATCAAAGGCTCTGTGATTTCGAAAGTTATAATAATTTGGATCAGCTCCTTTCTTGATTAATATCTTAGCAATTTCAATGTGACCTCTCTCAACTGCAATGTGTAAGGCAGTCTGAGGTTTATCTTTAGTCATAAGATTGATTACATTTTCTTTTCGAAATATTCTGGATTCATCAGATTCCAAGTAAAATTAAACTAATTCTAATCTATTGTGATAGACTGCAGCGTGAAGAGCATTCCTTCCCCTATAAGATGGTTCGAATGGTGAATACTTACATTTCAATAGAGGTCTTACGAGATCTAATCTACCTTAGGTGCTTGCCCAAAACAAATATCTAAGACCCACCTAAGTTAATTATTAAGTGGACTTAAGATTTAGGTTATGTTTGTGTAAATTTTTAAATGCTTCATATTCTTCATCAAAAACATCCAATTTTTTCCTGTGCTCTTCATTATCTAGATATTGAGCCAAGAACTTCATTATCATATATTCCAGGACTCTTTCATCCTCTTCCCTGTCATCCAACTCTTTACCTGTCATTAGCGATAAATCAATCGGGAACTAATCCCTGTCATTAGTAAACAACACTAGAAACTCATTAATACGATTACTTAAACTCGGCTCTATGTACATTAATAATTTAGCGGTCTTTAAGTCTCCAAAGAAGCAAGCCCAATGCAATGGATTATTTATTCCTAATTTCTTATATTGTTCAACCGATGCTCCTCTCTCAATCAATAAAGAACAGATAGCGAATTTCTAGCCCTCTTTCAGAGTGTTGATATCTGTGTTGTACCCACGAACACAGGTAAGCATCAAAGCTGTATTGCCTCAATAATAGTTTATGAAAATTTACCCTTATTATCTTAGGAATTAATGTTTATACATTATAAATCAAGAAAATATTCTACAACTTTGTAATGTCCACGATAGGCAGCCTATTATAGTAGTTCATGTACATAATGCAATGCATTTCTGCCATAATAGTCTGTTTTCTTACAAGCTTATTATAAATGTCGAGATGTCAATGATGTTAACTGATTGTTAATGAACTCTAACTTTCCATCTTATGCGGCCTAGCAATCCTCTATTTGGATACCTCCAATAAATTAATTTCATCATGGCTGAACAAATTCATGTAAAAATCAATTCTGATATATTAAAATAAATAACCTGTTTTTTATAAATTAATTGCATTTAATGCCAACTCCATTTTAGTAATTATCTCTATTTTTTCAAATCTTTGATTTAATTAAAAACATTTTAAAATTTCAAATCTCTAAGTTAAAATTCATTTTATTGATTAATTTGTCTTTAAAGATTTTCCTTCAAAATGAATATAATTTAGTCTGAATAATTGAATTAATTTATATACAATATTCGATTAATTAATAAGTCTTAGTAGAGTGAGTAATTAAATTTTCATATATTTATTATTTACAAAAATTGAGTATTTTTTAAAGAACCATGATTTTTACATTAATTTAAAAAAGAATGATAACAATATAATGCATCATAATATAATATCAATTGCTGTTTTGACTGTCATTTTCACTTTGACTGCCTGCATTTTATCTGTTCATTCTTTGATTGATCTTATAAATCTGTTCTGCATCCATTAATTAATAGTCGTTACTAGACTATTCTTCCTCCTCTTCTAGTTATTAATTAAATATAATTGTATCTTGACCTGGAAATCTTTCCTTGTTGAGTCTAATTCTTCCCTTTTTAGTCTTTATTCTTTATTTTCCCTCCCCTTCAATTTGAATCTTCTTTTTCTTTCTCTTGAATTTTTCAATCTGTTTCTACACTTTAGTTTCAGGCTTTTATTTTCTAACATACTTTCTCTTAGGCTAAGCAGGATCATAATTGAGTAATTTCTTACCACCTTCCAATTCCATAATATCCACAGTCAAGTCCTGAGGGAATGGCATTCTTCTAAGTCTTTGCTTCATTGTACCAATTATAAAAGGCCTTGTTCTAGTCTGTATTACAATATTTATAAATGAAGCTCTCTTTGATTTCTTCAATATCCTTTTTTGTGAATTGAGTTTATGGTCCCATTCTACTCAATCTGACTGATGTTGTTAAAATCTCATCTTCTTCTGTATGTTCTGGACTGGATTCCTCTTCAAGAGCATCATTCCAAAACCGTATTTTAGTTGGTTTGATATATTTCCCCTTTCTGAAATCATCGGCATCAATTAGATCGGATGTATCATCAATCGCCTTCAATTCATTACATGAAATGAGCACAATGGTATCCATGATGAAAATATTGAATAAAACTTTCTAAAATTTGGCAGGGGAGATCATTTTCTTGACTTCAGCCCACATTAATTCAGTCTACAGATGCGAGTTATCAACCAAATAGGTCATTACTTTGACTAATGACTTACAACTAACTATGATTTCTCTTGCAGATTGATCTTGAACACTCAATGGATCTCTGCTATTAAATTCTATCACTCTCTTTTTTGTGGTCTCTCTCATAGTATCTATTTTCTATTAATTATATGATGCTATCTTTCCTATCTCTCTATTTAAATCTGAAATTATCTAAGTAAAGTGGATAGAAAATCTTTAGGATAAATAAGTCTTATCTCTCTGTTGACCAATCAATTCGTATTAATCTCTGATTGCATCCCAATGACATTTGAATCTCACACAATGATGCCAATGTTGAACCATTTCCTCCGGTGTAAAGGGTTCCCTGTTTATTTTAGGATCAATTGCTCTCCATCTGGCTTAAACCATTGGTTTCTGAGGTACATTTATACCATACAAATTCTTCATTTATCTTGTGATTTCTGCCCACTTTGCTTCTCCTACTTTGGAGACCAACATTTCCAAGACTTGATCAAACTAAAAAAATCAGTAGCAATTCTTACTCTTTCAGTGTAGACTTAAACATGTTTAGGCATTATTTTAAAATCAAATTAAATTTATAAGCACTGTAGGATTTGAATATCCAAACTAAATTATAAAATGATTTTAAAAAAGACTTTAAAATTTTTACTTATAAATATAACATAATATTAATATATATAAATATACATATACATATAGAATCATTCCTAATTTATATTCTTAAATTTAATTTCGGTCGATGAAAACTTAACAATGTAAGCATTCCATTGTTGATTCTTTAAACTAAATTACTGATTTAGAACCGATCGCATCTCAACGTTTTCCCTTTATAATACTTATATATTATCCTTCAAGATATGTAAAATTTCATTCATATGCTAGGCCTCCAACTATTTTGTGTAGATAGTTATTCCTTAGAACAACTTAGTGTTTTCAGGGATCATAATGATAATTGCATTCAGCACTATCACAACCATTTGCATTTTGGCTGAGTATGCTTTCTGACCTTTAATGTGGATATTAAAAGGAATTAAGTTTTTATTATAAACTATCGGTCCAGAAGCCAGAAATTAATCAGTCAAACATGAAATAGTCTGAGCTATAGTCTCGCTCTGCCTAAATTTCTATCCCACAAGTTCCAGGGAATCAAGTACATAATCCTCTATTTCCTTCCAACTATCATCAGTGATAATGTACTAAAGTGGTTTCTATTTTTATTCGATCGGCTTATATTATTGAGTTGTGATAATTATGTATGATTTTGACATCTTTGGGTTTTGTAGAAAAATCTTCAATTAGGATTCAATGTCAGCAATTAAATCATAAGACAATATTTAGAAATAATGATCTGTCAAATGAAGTTGGTGTTATCTCAATGTAAAGAAAATGCTTCTCATTTATTCTACATTAAGATCTTTGTTAAAGATTATTTCCTATATATCCTATTCTTAACACAGTTTGCTATTCCTTTTTGATTATTGATCATCTGGTTAAAGAGGAATACATAATAATTCATGCACTGGCAATTATCTTAGATCCTGGTTTCGGTAGGATAATAAAATTTCAATATTCTCCTGAAAATCTTAGTAATTATTTGATGATTCTATTAAACTTTATGAAATGTACTCATAGGAGAATGGGAAACACACTTCAGAATTCAATTTATATTATTAATGATTATTTTAATGCATAAGTCCTACAGTCACTACATTTTTTTTTTTTTTAAGTTGATCAATCAATTTTATAGAGTTATCCCAACTAAGTGATCTATTAAAATAACAAATTTAATATTTATTGGTTATTTATCCTGGTGATGTAATTTTATTCACAAAAAAGAATATCTATTATAATTATTGAAATAATCTCTCAAATCCAGATTGATTAAAGCCCAAAGGGATAAGAACAATAATAGTAGGATTGATACAAAACGATAATGGGTATCTATTGTTTTGTTTGTAAGTCGTTTTTTCTGAACCACTTAAAATACTGTTGAATATAATTGATGTCAGAGTTGAAAAGGTCAATTGAGGTTGATTCTATTCATGTAATATTCTATTGATATAATTCTTATAAAAATCTAAGTCTTGATTATTAAGATTATATTCGTTCAAGAATGTAAATGGATTTGATTTATTTTTCCAATCCATTAACATTCTCTTCACATTTTCTAAGATTTCATAATGCTTATGCGGAATGAAATAGGAACCTAAATATTGTTTAGAATTCCAAAAGTATATGGTTGAGCCTTAATTCATATCATTAAAATCGAAGATGTATTAATTTCTGATTTCATCATAAATGAAAGGCAGAGAATTAAGACTAACATTTTGATAACATCGTATGAATACAAATTCCAGATCATATTTCTATAAAAAATTCTTGACTATATGTGGAGATAACAATTTATCTTGACCATAATGCTCGACTAAACCAAGCCATTAAATGGACTTATAGCAGCACATTCCAATTAAACTTCTATTAGATAAATCTTTCTTGAAATTCTTGAGAGCATCATTACTAAACTTTTTCAAGATCCCAAAGAAGGAGAAAACAACCAAAAAGTATCTTTCACTTTTAGGAGGGTTCCATCTATTGACATGTTCTTCATTTTCTAAAATTACTGTATATCCATGATATGTAATAGCAAATTATTCCATAAATTCGAGATAACTAACTGAAACAGTAGAAGATGAATGCATGAATGAGTACATAGTAATGTCTTGATTCTAGGAGAAGATTTGACTTATTTCTTAATTTTATAAGTCTTTTGGATAAATTACTTTTGCATTAGGCACATTAATAGTGGCTGAATATTGATTAATTTGATACCTATTTCTGTTTCAATTACCTCTGACGAAATTTATATAAAAGTCTTTTCTTGATCCTGATAAGAGCAATTGAAAAACATAATCTAATTAGAAATAGCAGACGGGTATTCATTAATTTTAATGTCTGTTCTTAAGTATAATTACTCTAATCTATCATTTAGATTAATAAATACTATTCATAAGCACTCAATTATTAATGCATCTATTTAATTTTTAATAAATTTATTTTAAATAATATTTCTTGAATAAAATAAATAATTTTTCAATGAATAGTTCTCATTGGAAATTATTTGAACTTTAAAAAATGAATGAGATGAAAGTTAAAGAACATTAACTATTTATTTTTTAATACTACTCAAGCATCTTCTTCTTTAGCAGCAAAAACAGGATATTTGGCTAAAACATCAGTCCAAAGAATAAGTCCAGCACTCAATTCAAGAATAAGTCTAGGTACTTCAACACTAGGAACTCTGACTTATTTAGTAGTTTCAATTTCTCTTAATGTTACAGATTAGGCAGCGAGGGTTTCTTTGTCTACCGTAATAGCAAATGGTATTCCGATCTCGTCTGTTCTTGCATATTTCTTTCCTAATGCAACTCCAGCATTATCAGTTTTACAAGAGATTCCCAATTTCTTAAGAGATGAAGCTAAAAGATATAAATAATAAGTAATTACTTAATTCTTAAATGACAACATCGAATTCTTCACTTTGGACAACAGAAAGGATTGAACATTTGACTGGAGCAACTCTTGGTGAGAATTTGAAAAAGGTCTTTTGAGGATCATCTCTCTAATTGAATGAATGCTCAATGATAGCTTATAATATTCTTCCAATTCCAAATGCTGGTTCAATTACATGAGGAATAAACTTCTCTTCCATAACATTCATGGTCTTCTATTCAAATTTAACCAACTATCTGTTGAGAGTTAAGTCTTTTCCATCAATATTGAAGACTTTGTCTTCATGATTTTAGAAATAATCAGATAATTCCTATTTTTCATCATCAGGCAATGCTTCAACATATTTAATCAAAGCCATTCCATCCTTCTTCAATTCTTTTCCAATTTTCTATTTATCCAATATGACTTATAAGACTTGTCTTGGTTATGGAACTTTGAATTTACGAGCTGCTTATAACTTTTATCCTGTGGCTGCTGAATGTGCATTGAGATCATAAGCAGATCTATCAGCTAATCCAACACATTCAACCCATCCACTAGACATTTCAATTTCTGCATCCCAACAATCAGATGAATAATGAGCCATTTCATCAGCTTGATGTTATCTAAATCTTATGTTAACTGGATTGATTCCAATTTCAACTAAATAAAGATAAGTTCTGCAAATGAAATAAGCAAGTGTTTCATTATTGATAATTCCTTCTTTGACAGCATCTCCCATCTTAAAAGGTTGATGTTATTTTGCTTCAGCTTATAATTATCTGGATAACAAAGGTATTTCTAAATTGATGTATTTATTAAATTTCTTAAATGTGGATTTCTCAGTAGGATCAACAAAGTATTCAATCTCAGCCATCTAAAATTCTCTACATCTCAAGAGTCCTCCTCTTGGTGCTATCTCATTTCTGAATCCCAATCCAATTTGAGCTGCTCCAAATGGCACTCTTCCTCCATTCTATTCCAACAATCTAGCAAAATTAAGAAACATTCCTTAAGCAGTTTCAGGTCTCAAATAGGCAGGAAGCTTTGTTGATGGTCCAACTATAGTAGGCAACATTAAATTGAATGGAGTTGGATCTGTTAACTAAAATCATCTCACATCTTATTTACATCATTTCCGGTTTCAAGTGCCTTTATCTATAATTCAGCAATGACCTCTTTCATCTTATCTTCCTTAAATGTATCCACATCCTTTATTACAGCCAAATATCTGGCTTTGACATCAGCAGCCAACTTATCTCCTTCTTTGGCAATTCTATTTTCCAAGGTCTAATCGATTTATTCAAGTATGAATACCTCAGTTACTATTTTATCAGCTCTGTATCCTGTTCCTGTCTTACTATCACAAACCAAAAGATCTGTAAATCTATCCACGTGTCCAGATGCCTTCAATACTGGTTCTGGAGTTAGGATGGTTGCAGCTATTTCAAATAAGTCTTCCTCTATAATAAAGTGCTCTCTCCAATATTGCTCAATATTTGTTTTAATTGCACATCCTACAGGTCCATAATCATATAATCCTGCCACTCCTCCATAAAGTGAAAATGCAGGTTAATAAATAAATCTTCTTTTTATTACTTATTCTAAGGCTTCTCTTCTTTTTAATAACACCTATTGATAGCTTCTTATATTACTTCTTTATTGAGTTGTTGCAGCATAAAAGAAAAATAAAATTCTTTTTTAAATTATTTTAAAATCATAATTTTTATTTGAGACCATTTAATGCATAGTTTGGTCAGAAATCGATAAAAAAGAATTACTATAAGTTTGCAAATTTTAAAATTCTTACATCAAATAATCATAAAAAGTAATTAGAGTGGAATCAATTTCATTAAAAATGGTATTGTGGCTTTGGTTGATTGTAAATCTCTTCTCAAAATATTATAAAATTGTAAGAGTATTTTTAATTATTACAGGCGAATTTAAATTAAGTTTATTACTATTATATATCATTAACATATTCTTCATTAGATCCTATATTTTTCAATTGAATTGATATATAGAGTATAAAATTTAGAGATATATTTTATTTTATATTAAAGGATATTAAAACTCACTTTACAGATGAAAATATCTCTTAAGGGTATGGTTATTATTTTGTTCTAATTGAAAAATAATTTGATCCTATAATAAAACATAAATTCTTTATTGGTGGTTAGATAAAATCATTAATTTATTAAAAATATAGGATAAATGTCTCATTTATCTAATAATTTCGAATTATTTAGGATATGCTCGTATAGTTAATTTTTATAGCAAAATATATTTTGGACATATATAATTTAGCTTTTGTAATAAATAAAAATCATAATCAACAATTTTGAATGATGGAGAGGTTATATCTTGATTGATTAGCATTTATTCAAGGAGATGAGGAATTTCAATATGAATTGTAAGATTTATTCTTTGAGTATGGGTGATGAAAACTAAAAAGTCTGATTTTTTATTTTATTTATTATTATAATGAATTCAGAGGCTATTAATTTGAGAACAGCAGCCAAGAAAACCAATGATGAGATTATTTAGGAAATAATTGATTCTGGAAATAAGAATGAGTTTGATTTTATACGGTAAGTATGGGAACCAAATGAAACATCTACTTCTGCATCAATAGAAACATCATTGAGTGTTGGGTATGGTAAAAAGATAAGAATTGGAACCTACATCAATAAATTCCTTGATAGTTAATTGCAACCATAAGTCTATTACAAACTGAAAGAATTGCATTGATGGCAAGTCAACAGATATCCTCATCCAGGATTCATAATTTAATTAATTATATTTATTATTAAAATATCATAATATGAACAAATATTTAATACTTGCAGTGGCCTCCTTATTTATACTACTGATAGCATATTAAACGACTTCAGAAACTAACCTAAAATAAAAGCAAATCCACAATTTCAAAAATAATCATCAAAGAGAAATTGGATATTAAAGTGATAATGAGGAATGTAGAAATAAATGTCAATAAGCAAATGGAATGAATTGTGGAAAGAATTGGTAGAATTGTTGTGTTCCTGATTAATGTGATATCGGTTGGATAACTGAAATATGCGATAAGAGAATTAGAGTTATTGGATGCACAGATGAATGATGCTTATATACATTGAGTAAACATATATTCATATTAAATTTAATTACTCAATGCTTGGTAATTTAAATGCTTATGTTTTGTCATATTAAAATATTATGCTAATCACTAAATTTATTTGATTATTAAATTAAATCATAGTTTGGTCTTCATATTTATCTACAATTAAAGATATCAAATGTTGGTTTAAGTTAATATGTGTTGTTAGTTAACAAATATAATTAAGACGATCATTAATCGTACTTTTCTGTTTACAATTGTCATATGGATATACAATTAATTCCTTAAAGCTAATTTTACATATTTAACAACTATTAAATATGTAAAAATTCTCAGAAAATAATCATTAATACTGTGTTTCTAGAACCATTAAGATAAGCGGATTTAATTAATTATAATCTACTGTATTAGATGAATAGATCAACTTTTAAATGTTAAATGTATATCATTTTGGAGTTGTGCATCCTTGAACTGTAACTCTTTGATCACAAATCAAAGATGTGGAGAAGAAATTCTCTTCTTTTCTGCACTTACTTCCAACACAGCAGTTTTGTTAGTAATTTCCACAACTCATTCCTCCTGCATTTTTACATTTAGTTTAGCAATCTGTATCTGATGACCAATATCCATCCATTCATGATTCTTTGATGATGAAAAAGAATGACTTTTCTTCATTTTCAATTCTCCATCTACATCTATTTATTATCAATACCTTGGGTTGAGAAGGAAAACATCAATGTGGCCATACAAACTACACAAGCCATCAATAAGAGAAGGGTAATCTTTTTGTTCATTATATTAATAAAGATTTTTAAATTGTATTCAATCAATTTTTATTCTTCTAATTAGTTAGTATCATATATCAAATATTTCCATCACACTTTTCTACGACCACCCTTTGATATCCATAGATTGGTTTAAAGGAATTGTTGTTCTATTTTCTAATGTCAAATTATTGATTTTGTGTAAGGAAATAGTGCGCATTTGTACCTTCCTCTATCTACATTTAGGTTACAGTCGTCTGACAATCAGGGTTGACTGAAAAGTTATTTGTTGTAATTTTGGCATTTTAGGCTCTGGTGATTACGTCGTCTTTAATCTACCACAATGGAAACTGTGAAGTGTCATTGTCTTCATTTTTGGTAATTCAAAATCATAGTTTTTAAGAAGGGCAAACTTTGAATGTTGAGGATTCATCGAATAAAGAAACTCCAAATTCTAGTATTAATAATAATAAAAAAATCATTCACAATCTCAACAAATATTTCGTTGATATTTTCATAGAATCATTATTCTGTAGATTAAATATTTATGGCTTTTCGCCGTTAATTCATTATAAATATCAAACAATTAAAAGGAACTCTCCCTAATTAAAATAATACTATAATTATAATCATTTGTTGAAACTCTCCCCTCCCCTTATTTCTCTTTATCTTTTTATAAAATGTATGCTATTGTGCGTTTTTAGAATTATTCAATCCTTTTTCTCAAATTATACTCTTTAATATGTGACTTAGAAGATTGACTTTCTTAATTATTCTGTTAATAGTTCAATTGCTATTCTACTTTTAAACAATATGTAAATAAAGTGTTTCTGTCATACTTCGAAGGTTTTAAAGTTTGTATGAACCCTATTATATAAGAAATTCTGCAATTTTTTTGATAAGCAAATTGTCTTGCAAAACCTAATAATCATTAATTTATATTAATCATATATAATGTTAAGATATTAATCTGAGGAAAGCGAAGCTAAATTTAAGTCTCTTTAATTACCATCAATTAAGTCAAGTCATACAGTGATTGGAGCATCTGAACTGGAATAAATTAAATCTCATATTGGTATTGGTGAACAAAAATCGAAGAAAGTATAACTTAATTATGTTAAGTTAGACTCTTGACAACAATCAAAGAGTTTGGGCCTAGAGGATTGAGAAATAGAGGTCATAGAAGGAGAAGGAGAAGTTCGATAAATTTTAGATTGAGGAGGAAGAGAGAAGGAAGATGGATAAGGTTGAAACTGAGTATCAGGAGAAATTAAAGTAGGATTAAGTTGTTGATGCAAATAACAAGATATTTAGTCAAAGGGGAGAGTAATTCAAAAAACGATTTTTAGTGTACGCAATATGAAGTCAAAAATGCTAATGAGTGAGAATGAGAAAATTAATGATGCTCTTGTTCGGTTTAATAAGGAAAGGCAAGAAATGCAAATGACCCTTGAAGTTGAAAGGTTAAGGGATCTTGAAGGGAAAAGACAAATGGACGAGCAAGCAGAGTTGGAGAAGAATCAATAAAAAGATCAATTAAAGAGAGAGACCTATGCTGTCTTAGCAAAATAACACAATGAGATGAAAGAGAAGTATTACAAAGAATATACAAAATTACAATAGGAAGGATAATTGATAAAAAGATAAGCAGAGGAGGAAGAATAAGAAAAAGAGTATCTATGAATATATTGTTAGAAAGAAGAAGGAGGAGGAGAAGGTGAAGAAGTAAAAGCTATTATCAGAAAGATAAAAATTTATGGATGTCAAATAATCTATACAGGATGAGGAATAGAAATAATTGGACAAGGAGGCAAAGGATAGAGATCATTTTGATAATAAAAAGGAAAGAGTTTTAGAGATGAGAAAACAAAGAGTAAATCTAATCTAATTTATTAGGAAGCTTAAAAATTGGATCGTTAAATGCAACTTAAATAAAGGATTTATGATATGAGAGTAGTGCAATTGAAAGAACAAGAAGATAATTATATGCAAAGAGTGTAGAAGCATGCAGAAGAGTTACAAAGACATGAGGAAGAAGTAGCTAGACAAAAGGAGTTGGAGAAGATTCAAATGATAAAAGAAGGAGAAACTTTTAGATAAAGATAGTTGAAATTGAGGGAAACTGTCAGAGAGAAGGAAGAGGTGGATGTGAAAAAAGAGTAGGTGATAAAAATAAATGCTTTGTAATAATTGGCTGAAATTGAAGAATAATAAAAAGAAATTTTGAGAAAACGCAATAAAGAATTATTGGATTATTAAAAAATATAAATAGTATTGTTGTTATTAAATTAAGGAACAAAAAAAATAAGTTAGGAGGGAATAATATATGAATGAACTTAAATAATCTAAATAAATAGAATTGAGGGCTTAATAAGATAGAGATACGTTTATGAATTGGGCAAAATAGCAGGTGGAAGAAACTAGAGAACAAGGTTTAAATTTATATCCTTTAATGAAGACATTAAAATTATGATTTAATTAAAGTTAACAAAATAAAAATGGGTTCAGCTTTATTCACTTTCTTTTCTGCTTGTATTGTTTGACATCAATAACTATTCGAACCTGTCTGATTATTTACAAATTGATACGAAGATCTACAATCGACTAAATGTTAATGAGATTCATACTTTCTACAACTATTAATGATTAGTTCATCCCTTCTGAAGTTCAATTTCCTCCCAAAAATTTTATAAAGATGGTGAAATCTTTGTAAATCAAATCTCTAAGTTTGATCCAATTTAACTATCAATTAACATCAATTCATACTTGGATTCAAAGGAACCATCAACTTCAATTCTTTGTATTACTTCTCTATAAACTCTCTTTGCTCTACTACATCAATACATTAAGAATGTAAAAATTGACATTTTTGACCAAAGTAACAAGAACCACTAAAGTATCTTCTGCAAGGTTTAGTCTTCTTCAAGACTTAGTCTTAGAAAGTTGATTAATAATAAGAAGGACAGTGAGCAAAAAAACACTAAATATAAATTTTAAACAATATTACTTGTTCTCCATATTTACAAATACCCATAATTTGATAATTTCGACATAGCTCCTTCTTTTTTTTCCTTGGTTCTTCTTCCAAAAATTGTTTTTTATTCTTAATTTTCTTTTCTACCACTTCAAAAGACTCTTCCGATTTTGCATCGCTTTAATTGTCAATTGAATGTTCAGTACTGTGTGACTAATGATCAATCATTGGTATTTGATACATGTCCTTTAAATATTAATAATTTATAATTTCTTTAGAAAAAAGGAGCAAAATTTATTAATTATCGTTAAAATTGAATGCTAACAGATAGTCCATCTTATAAACGTTCCAACAAGGAGAACTCTCCAAAATACTGCTCTGTTATCAGACAAAGCAATATATCTCATAAGCTTATCAATGAAGTGTTAAACAGCGGATCTGATTATCTCCAGGATCAATTGGAGTCGATAGATCGTAAAATAATCCAATACCAATGTAACATCAAGTAGAAGATAACAACTCTACTTGGTGAATCGACATGTTCCATTGACTAATAGGTATATCAAACCAAACTACAAGATTTACGAATGGAAGAACAAAAGTACTATAAACAAATAATTTAGTTATCAGTAAATGCAAAGTGATATTGATAAATAATAATCTGTACTTTACGACTATTACGAAACTGAATTCAACAAACTCAAATTACAATATGAACTGGTTACATAAGAACATCAGCAATTCAATAAAGAGAGAAGTGAAGTTAGCTAAACCTATAATTAAACCTTGGAAACCAAAGCCATGTTATAAGAAGATTTGAATGGAAAGCTATTGTAACGAGCAGAGTTGGTGGGCTAGAAAGAAGAATTAGAAGAGTTTGTTGAACAACTCAAAAATGAGCATCCTTAACTTACTGAAATTGTTGAATCAATTTATTAATGTGATCAAAAAGCCAAAAATATTGTTAAAAATATTAATAATATTACTAATCAGATTTAATCATTATATTCTTAACAGGATGAAAAAAAGAAATAGCTAGCTTAATTTCATTAAACTACTTTACTTGAAGTTTAAGTACATCAATAAACCCAAAAAGTTAAATCTTTAAGAAATAAGATTGTACCAATTTAAAAAAGCTTGAATTTATAGCATCCAGATTCTATTCTTAATGAATTTGTTTTGTATTATGGAAATTCCCCCCTACAACTAGAGTCGATTGAATTTTAAACCAAACTCTCTACTTTTATACAACAATTTCGAAATCACTTATTTAAATAAGGCAATTAAGGAAATAATTGGGGAAGTATGAAGGAGTTTGTGTTTTAATTGGAACAATTCATTTTAGCTTCTTTATCACAAAGATTAATTTAATTTTAGCTATCTGTAATCATTAATAACTTAAATAGGATTTGAAACATAACTTAAAATAATTTGGAGATGAGTTATTATTATCTAATGAAGTTTGCACTATTGATTATTAAGTAGAAGTGAAAAGACAATAAATTAGAGAATTAGAAGATGAAAAGTCTTCAATCTTATACAGAAGAGAGATGTATATCCTTCTTTCAATAATAGATTATATGATTAATTTTAGGACAGAATTAATTAATAAAGCGAGGCTGCTTTTCAATAGTATTAGGATTAGAATAAAGAAGAGCTTAATAATATTTTAACTCAATTTGGTAATTCAGAATATAAATCGATACTTGATTAGACTCTGAAGGAAATGAAGTAATTAATGCAGGATTAAGAAGAAGTAAAATTCAATTAAATATTATAGGAATAATTTAATAATACTTATAAGTTACTCTAATAATATTATCTCTAAGATTTGGCAATTAAAACTAATATCCAAATTGTAGACTAAGAAATAATTCCACAATTAAAGAATATTTCATAATCAATAACTAATGCAAAGAAAGAATTCGAAAAAGTCAATGGAAGCGAAAGACCTTACATTGAACGTTAAAATAAAATAGAATAAGACATTGAATAATTAGAATAAGAATTCAAGAAGAAAATTGATCATTTTAATAGTTAGGAGGCAGAATTATAAAAATACTTAAGTTCAATAAAATTAGCAATTGAGAACACTTAAGAATAATTATTGTCTAAGAATAAACCTAATAAGGCATTGTTGGAGTAAGAAATACTACAACTCAACAATATGTTGACTCAATTATAGGAGCAAAAGAAATAAATCGAAGCATCGTAGTTTAGCAAATCTCCTCAAAAGACTGATGCAAGTAGAAGAAGTTCTAATGGAGGTATTTTGGCAATTTCAAAATCTTTAAACCAATTTTAAAAATTGCGCAAAGAGCCAAACCCAAATAGTTTTAACAATAGTGTTGTAAAAGGTATAACACCTTCAAAAGAGTCATCAAATTTGTATCATGTTGCTAAATATCCAAAGCCAAATTGCAAATCTTCATAGGAATTACGTCTAAAATCCAATATTTCCTTAAAATCAATAAAATGATTTGATTTATTACTTATTAATGATTTTTGAATATATTCATCTTAAAAAAATGACATTTGATAAAGATTAGTTAAATTGTCTCTACAAATCCTCTAATAATTCTATAATTCAATTGTTTTTAAAAAGGTTTGAACTTTTATTTAGATACCGTGTAAAAGTTGAAATTTGAAACATTGTTCTATATTATAACAATAGCTATTTTTTGTAATTTGTCTTAACAGTTGTGAAACTTGTGTTCATATGACCATAAATTTTTCTTATTTCTCTTCTTTTAATAATAATTATTTTTGAAATAGCTTCATCTTATTTTATGATCATTACTAAAATCATTCTAGGTCATCTTTAATTTAATGTTAAATAGTCCCATAGCTTGATTTTTGTTTAGGTATAAATTTCATTCTCCTTAAACCAACCCATGTATTATTTTCTTCAATAGAAGAACCTTAAGGATCTCATATTTGGGAAATTACAATTGTTTGGTATTCCTATTCTACACTTATTGAAATATTTAAAAAATAATTTTTATATTCTCATGTAGGTTTCAATCGAGATTGCAACATGGACTCACAACAATCATGGATTATTCGATTATGAATCAAAAGAATTGAAGACTTCTAAAATAAATGTGAGAAACACAACTAACTTAATATTGAATGGTAAGCTATTGCATTGATATTAAACAGAGGAAAATACTGACACCATTGTATAATCTGATAATGTTGGTGGCGATTGCATTGGCTCAATAAGTTTTGAAGGCAATTCAATATGTAAATTGATAATGCATTCGTAGATTTTAAAAGTAATCCAGACTTTTAAGATGCATATGTGAAATTAGACCCAAAATAAAAATAATAGTTATAAGCTGGAGACCTCTTTAAATTTGGAAGAATGTAAAATTTACTCTAAAGATAAGGGAATATTTTGTTTCAGAGTTAAACAACGGAGACAAAGTATGGATGGCCGAAGACCATTACAATTTAGAAAGACATATTAAAATACAAAAGAAGAAAGATCCAAGACAGTGTAGGTTTTGTCTAATGGATGATTAAGAGTAAACAGAGGACCCAAAAAATCCATTTCTCTAAGATTTGTGTAGTTGCAAAGGATTAATGGCATATGTTCATTTTGAATGTCTGAAGTCATGGGTTAATTTTCAAAATAGAATTTCATGCAAATAAACCTAGAAACACAGTTCAATATCATTGGAATAAAGTCTTGGAATGTGATGTATGATATTTAAATTCAGGTAGGTATGTAAAGACCCCCTTCCAGCTCGAGTCTATATTGAGAATCAACCTGAACCCTCCTTTAGATGATTTAAATGGAGAAATTAGATGGTCCCTACATCATACTTGAGTAGATCACTCGACAGGAGAGTCTATCAAAAAGTCTGACATTTATGCATGCTTTTGGAACATGTTCTGTATCGATAGGCAGAGGACACAACAGTGAGATTAGATGTCAAGATATATCAGTCTCAAGAAATCATGCAAATATCTCATATGAAAAATTCTGGTACATCTAAGATCAAGGCAGCAAGTTTGGTACTTTGAGGATCATTCAAAACAAACTACAATTACTAAAGGAAGTTTAAGAAATATAAATTGGAAGAGTCTTGCTCAAGATAAAAATAATTTGAAAATCATTTATATATATTAATATATTATAGTTAAAAATGAACAAAATTCTAAGATATATTTACAATTGTAGATATAATAGAGAAGTAAACTCTGAATATCATTTCAGTTTGTAGGCCTTCATTATTAGATAGTCATGAGATGGTTTCCGAATGACACATTATTTTTGTTGTTTGCCAGCAATGTAAATTTATTTTAAAATGGTTAAAGGGACAATATTTTTGATTGAGGGGAGTGATTAAATGAAATGTTGAGTACTTTTCAGGAGAGATCTCTGAGTGTCAAGCTAATCAACTTAAAAGCTTTCTCTTTGAGTCGATGGTAAATTAATCATCAATTAAGTATTCATAGAGGAGTATTGGGCTTTAATTTTTTTTTCATTTATTTATTTTATTTTAAATTCCTTAATTATTGTTTATTTCTTCTTTTATCCTTATCTTGTGAATGAGAGTAACTTTATATCAGAAGATATTGCTTGTTGAGTACGAACTTCAAAATCATCATGTTTCCTTTCGAATTTAGTTTTTATACCACATCCTCCACAATTACAACTCTTCCTTCTGCACATCTCTTTAACTCTTTTAATGATTTTATGATGATATAATTCCATGCTATCTGTAAATAATATTGTTTTTTCTCTCTCCCTTCTACTTGGTCTAATCCTTACATTCTTATCATTCGACAATAAACACATATGATAAAGTATGCTTTTGGATCTGTACCCTTAAAAATACAACTTCAAATTTAAATGTTACCTTCCTCAATCAGTGATTTAGGGATGCTTTTAGTGTGTAAGTAAGGACGATTATATAGGCTTAAACTAGTAGATGCTAGTGTTGTCGAAGGTCTATAAGACCTTGCATCACAGGTTTCTTGATTGTCTGATTCTTCATTTAGTGTAGTAAATCTTGATGAATGATGGGAGTGCTTATAGAACATTTATTAATTAGCTCTATGACAAAATTATTGAATATAAATTTATTAAGATTTCCAGTATACTTTACTCTGCTTTTAAGAAGACATTTATTCATTCGATTGATCACAGGAATATTCTTATACATAGCAATGAGTACAAAATAGATAATTAGATTTTCACATAATTATTTTAAATATGAAATTAAAATTAGTAAGACACCGAAGGGCCAATCTCAAAATTAAATCAATTAATGTTAACAGATGAACCCATAGGTGAAATTTAAGATTTTCTCAATTATTCATTATCCGATGGATGCTTCTCAATCCAAGGTTCAAAAGTCAACACCAATAACAACATTCCTAGTTAAAGTTCTAAACACAAAGGGCATGAATCAAAAAGAGTTACGTTTGACTCCTCTATTAACAGTCCAACAACTTAATTTTTGATGATTCGAAAAAGCTAAAAATCTTCAGATCCTCAATAATTATAACATCAACAACAACAAATATTCAGCGTAATCTAATTTTGTTTTATCAAACGATTCATTAACAGAATCAGCTGGAAAAAGAAAATCAACTCATAATTCAACCTTTATTAATATAACATCATTCGAGATTTAGGGTCTTCTTTTAATTTAAAACTCTTTCGTGATAGTGCATTAAATTTGAAGCCCATGATCAGCTAATTTAGTCAGTCTTCTGATGGGTTGCAGTAGATTATCAAAAAAAAGTATGAATTGTCTTACTATATTTTATAGGGAATTGTCCAAAAAAATAAAAAAGTAAATTACACATTTAAGGACATGCAAAGATAATTTAATTAAAAAAATTGAATAGGAAATAGAAAAGATTCCACTGATTACACCTGAATCTCGTTTGAAAATAGTGTGGGATTGTGTAGTAATGTTAAGTAGACTCTATTTTCTATTTACAATACCAATCGATTTGGCATGGAATAAATATAAAATTATATACGGAGAGCTCTATCTTCCAACAATTTTAATGATTCTCCTATTGGTTTTTGATTTCATTTTGAGTTTTAATAGTTCATTTTATTAATTTGGATAAATAGTAAGTAATAGAGCAACAATTGCTAAGAATGTAATAAGTAAAAGTTATGGATTGGAAGCGATATCAATATTAATTTTAATTATTTACGCCATCATTTCTAATTCCTCTTAAGAAGAAGAATTCAATCTGTTGACAGAATGGTGGGATTTATTAATGCTATTGTTTTATGTACAATGTAGGAATATTCCTAAACTGATTAGTCAAGTCGAGGAAACCCTAAATTTGTCAAAGCCAAGTAGTTCTCTATTGGAATTATTTAAATTATTGTTAGTGTTGTTCTTTGTTTTACATTGCTACTCATGTCTTTGGTATTTTGTAATTTATTCCATTTAATTTTTGATTAGGTTGGTTATTACAGTTACTTGTATTCAGAAAAAGGGAGCTGGTTAGAATTCTACCACGTAGAACATGAAACTTGGCAAGTGCAATATTTGTATTCATTTTACTTCTCGACTGTTACAATGTTTACAATTGGTTACGGAGATGTTGTACCTATCAGTTATTTAGAAAGAGTAATTGCCATTCTGTATATGATGATCTGCAGTATTCAACTAAGTTACAGTGTCAGTACTGTTGGTGCAATAATTGATACCATATCCGCTTATGGACAGGAGAAGATGCGAAAAATGAGAAAGATAAATTCTTATATGCAAAATAGAAAGATTGAGTATTAATTGCAGTATCAGATTAGAGAATACTTGAATTATTACTGGGAATCATAAAATCAAGTTGAGAATGATGAACTCAATGAAATCATTAATTAATTATCAGAGAATCTCAAAGAGAAATTGATGAATTAATCAAATTCTTTGATTTTAAATGAATGTCCTTTATTTCAACATAATTTTAGTGATGCGTTGAAATCAAAATTAGTAAACAAAATAAAATAAGCAGTAATTTAACCTGAAAATATTATAAACTTTGATTCACTCTTTCCTCAATCACCACCAGGTTAATTGTTTGTTTGTTTTGTTGAATTTGGAGACATTCAAATCTTTATTCAAAATGATTCAATTGATCAAGTACTCGATAACCCATAGATTGCTGAAGTTTTTAAGGTAGGCAAAGGTTCTAGCTTGGGTATCATCAGTTTCATAAGTGGTAAGCAATCTTAGGAAAGATTCAGGAGTGTCGGGTTTTCAAAATTGCTATTGCTATCAAGAGATGACTTTTTAAAAGTTATACAGGATTTTCCAGAAGATTACGAGAGATTTAGGAATCTTTATGATAGTCTATAATTTGATGACATAAGTGTGTTACAAATGAAATGTTTTAGTTGCAATTCAAAAAATCATAGAGTTATTTAATGTCCATTATTACATTACATACCTGACAGAGAGCTGATTCTAAAAAGATATTGTTACAGTAAGCCTTAAAATAGAAATTCTAAATATGAACGAAATCCTTTTAGATAGAGAGGTTACTTTGCAGCTCGCTTTGACTAAGAAGTCATAGAATAAGAAGCAAATTCATTTAATAATAATAATTGGAAGTGGGCAGAATTTTATGAAGAACCAGAAGAGGATCCTTTAAAGAAAAGTGAAATTCAATAATAATAAATTGCACCAATCTTAGAATAAAGTAATTCAAACTTATAGGCTTAATAATAATAATTATAATAATCGCAAAGTCTGGTTCTTCCCATCTAACAAGTAACAGATTAAACCTCTAAAGTCAATTTAGAACCACCATCAATTAAGAAAAAGGCCACTTTATTCAAATAGAGAACAAAAACAATTGAATTATTAGACATTGATGATAAATAATTGAAAGCATCGCTTATGAGTAAAGCTAGAAACTAGAATATTTTCAATAATAATCTTATGATAATAACGGAAGAGGAGAATCAAGAGAATTCTCCAAAGGGAAAACACACTTAAAGCAGGGCATCATTTAGTTTAGATATGTATAGGAAGAAACCTAAGGAGGGTATTCAGAAAATGAAGAAAGTAGTTTAAATGATTACTAATATGAATAGAATGAAGAAAAGACCAAAATAAAAAAAGGAAACTAAATCTATTTTCAATCAATTCCTTGGAGTACTTCAATCTTAGCAATTTCTCAAGGGAATCTAATAGAAAGTGAGAATTAGAATAAAACAAATATAAGATGGGAAGAAATAAATATTATAAGAGAAAGATATTTAAGATACGATGTTGTTAGAGATTAAGATAAAGATGTAAATAGAGCAATTAAATGAATATTAAAAGAAGGATTAAGAAATAGTAATGGAGTCGTATAAAAAATATAAATAATATTAGATTTAAAATAATTTAGATTAAATTTTAGAAAAGATATACTTTTATAAACAATAACATACGTTGAATAATGAATTAAAGAGTTACTAATCTAAACTATTAAAATATATGATTTATCCAGAAATATTTTTTGAAAAATACAGATATTAATAGGTGATAATTCCAAAATTTGAAATTGAAGAATCAAGAAGAGGATCAGATTAAGATATTGAACAGACTTTGAAGAGGAGTCGCATGCTTAAAAAGAGTTTTAGAAACTTAAAATTGTCTCAAATCAGGCCAATGTCTGATGGTACTGGAAAGTTTTAGATGTGATTCATCATAATAATAGTATTCATTTATATCGATAAAAATATATTAATACTCTGCGTTTATTTTTGATGTAAAGATAGAAAGCTAAATAATTAAATTATGAATAATTAATAGAGTAGGAACTTCGTTGGAAAGAAGATTGATGATTATATACTTGTAGATGTATTAGGCACAGGAGCCTTCGGATAAGTAATACATTAATGTAAATTAATTAAGGTTTTCTCGGCTTAGAATATCATTACTAAGGATTCTGTGGCCATCAAGTCAGTGTCTAAAGCTAAATTGTAATCGATTTGATATGATAGTTATTTAGAAAAGAACATAATGGCTTAGTTGGATAATTACTAAAGACAGAAGTTTAAGTACTTGCTTAATGCAGCAATATTAATGTGGTTAAGATGAATAAGTATCTGGAAAGCGAGAATAATTGCTATTTAGTAATGGAATATTGCAATTGTAATCTAATTTATTAATGCCAATTTAGAAGGAGATCTTGAATAATTGTGGAAGAAAAAGAATAGAATAATCCCAGAGGTAGAGGCTATCTAATACATCAAATAGATATTAAATGGCATGAGAGGGTAAAACAAATAAAAGATTATAGATTGCACGAAATGAATGTTATTCATAGAGATTTAAAATTGCCAAATATACTAATCTCTAATAATGTTCTAAAAATAGGAGATTTGGGTTTTGCTAAAAGAATGGAGAGTTTAGACGGAGTAGTCAAAGAAGCATTAGGTACATTAGGCACCATGGCACCTGAAATCATTGAGTTCAAACCATATGGAATTCTTGCTGATATGTTTTCCATTGGAGCCATTTACTATCAAATGCTCTTTGGAGTTCTCCCATTCAGTATCAAAAGCTACAATGATTTCTTGAAAGATGTCAAATCAAGTATCTTCTATAGTATTATTCTTTAAGATTAGCCTAACTTTTCAAGAAATAACATAAAAATATCTAAGGAATCATAGGAATTATTAATTCGAATGCTAAATCCAGAACCTAAATTAAGATTGTAATGGAATTAACTATATGAGTCTCCATTATTTTCCAATTAAGTTGTAAATCCAGGTACTAATATAAATTAATTTTATCTAGCCTTATGTTAGTTAACAGTAGAATAGGTAGTAGCTAAATAAGTAGATTTGAAAATGAATAAGCAAGTCTATTAGCAAAACTAATAAAAATTTGACAACATCAATAATTAGGATATGATAAAGAAGCTATAATTTGATGTTCCAAATTTAGAGCACAAATAAGTTTAGGATAATTCTAATGATGAGAAACTATTATAGGAGGCTCTTAAATAAAAGCAAATGTAGCAGTAGAAGACGAATGATCTAAACAATGTGTTTGAGAAATATCTTAATGAAAGAAATACTCTTGTATTTTTAGGCACTGTTCTTCATGAAATTCATTAGAGGAAACATACCCAAAACACTAATGTAATTACTTTGAATATTTTAGGTGTTTCTTCCTGCCTTCATTATTTCAAAGAAATTAATTATTGAAATGAATCGCTTCTTGGAAGTACTAAGATAATAGAGAAATATCTATCAATGTGCATATTTCTTTGAACTTTACACTTTCCCTTAATTTAATGCCTTTATTAAGTTATGTGAAGAGGATTTCTAAATTCAGATGGCTCATTATAATGTGATACAATAACAATTACAGTATCCTCTATTTTATATTTAGAACTATCCTATTTCAAATGTAAAACTAAGCTAATGAAAAATATATATCAGAATTATCACCTGCACCTTCAGGATAATTTGAAGAGAATTATCGAGATATCTTGATTAATTATTATATGTAATTATAGGATGAAAAGGGTTTAAATGACGATTAAGACAATGCTATAAATAATTTGTCTATTTATATTTTAGATACAATATTATTTGATAAGGAAGTTAAAAGATAAGTAATGCATTCCTTTTATTATTTTAGTTATTAAACCAGAAAGTTGAGGACTATCTCGATAAGTTCAATTTCTTGACTTGCAAGGAGAAGGATGAAATGATCGCTTAAAAATTTTAGCAAATATATTCATTTTGAAATTTATATCAAATTAGTTCAAATCCCAATCTTAAGGAGATCTTGATAATATCTAGGATCTCTCTGAATATGGAGGATTTTTATATTCGTCATTATAAAATTAAATTTAATTATTTGAATATTAAATTGGTTTCTTTTCCCACAGATTTCTTAAATCCCATAACCACAATGGGGGACCTAATTAATGTAAGGAGAGGCACTTTTAGTTGTATTAAATTTTCTTAGTTAATACAAAATCATTTATGATTATATTATAGGATTTTAATAACCTTTAGGATTGAATTATATTTAATTAATTACCCACTTATAATTATGAATAAAATTGTTCTTTAGACAAAGGCATTTTACATTCAAGATTTCCTGAATGTTAAGGAAACATGGAGAAAAAGTTATTTAATTGCTATTGTCTTGCTATTGATTGAAAATATACAACTGGTCTCAATATACACAAGCGATATAATTCAATTTGAATATGACTAATTTTTGATACATATCAGAGGTGTTATTGACTTCTGTAGGTGAACTTATATTAAATATTCCTTAGATTCTATACTATTTTTGGAAATTCGAACCTCATCAAATCAATTTTTGTAATTTTTGGTTTTGTTTTGCAAAGCATATTTCTTATATTGATATTGTATCCTCTGTTGAACATCAGAATATTTATACAAAAGAAACAATAACTCAAATTTTTAACTTTAGAATAGGTATTATAATAATTGAGTTATTAGTCAGGTGAATCTAACAATTCCAGCAGACATTTGTTGAATTGGATCGTTTCAATTTACTTTTAAGTTAACCTAAAAGTGCTGCACACCCCATTTCTGTTTTGTGGTATTAGTTTACTAACAGATATTTTTGAATCTTGTATTAATTTGTAATTATTCAGAAAGTTTAAATTCTTTAGAATCTGTAGGTTTAATATTCAGTATATTATTGATAACATAATAAATATTAATTGGATTATTCATTCACTTACATTAATTTGAGTACAGAATGAAGTCCTATGACTTTTTGGGGAAATTTTAAGATCAGAAAATGAATTTCCTGCAGGGATTTTAATTATTGTACATATTTTAGATAGATAGAATATTAGAATAATACTATTATCTGGAATACAGCTACAATCATTAGTAGTTTAAATATTTGGAGTCATTTGTTAAATAATAAGGATAATATATAGTTACGATCAATAAATTTTTGTAGATTATAGAATATCTAGATTCAATTTCTAAATTACTATCTTCTGTTTGATCTACTAATTGATTTTGATTTTGTGCCAATATGGATAGCCATAATTAAAAATAAGTGTCGTTTTGTTATTGTTAATCTTCTATCCTTTAATATTTTTTATTGCAAATGAACTAATAATGAAGCAGGATCTTAAGAATGCCAACTTTAAACACACTCATCTTGAGAAACAAATAAGAAGATTGTATATAATATTCAAAGAGCAGGTGGACTTAAAAAAGCAATAAAGATTGTTGGATCCAAAACAATCCTTATAAATATATACATTTATTTCAAGTCATCTAAGAGAATGTAAATTGTAGAGGGATAGAAAAGCTTAAAAAAATATTAAGTTAAAATATAAATGTTTTTGTACAGATTTTTTTAAAGATGATGATACATTTTAAAGTTTAGAGTAGATGAAGCAATTTGCTAAGGAATTAATTGGGTAGACATTAGAAGATGAAATAATTGAAAACTAAGACATCGATTTAATCTTAATATATATTTATTTCTTGGTTTAAATTAAGAAGGTTCCAACATAAGCAATATATGAAGTGATTAGATTGTCTATGATGTAAAAAGTAAAGAATTATTATGATTAAATTAGGAATAAACATTAAAGTAATAAGCAATAATAAGAAAATTGAAACATGATGCACTTGATAAATTTTCTGAATTAGTTAGAAAGAATGATCTAGTAAATTAGAAATTTGTATTTAAAAAAGTATATCTATATGAAGAATCTTTGAATGTGTTAAAAAGCAATCTTTAGACTATTGTTAAATAAGAAAAAGTATGTATTCAATATAATTTAGGACTTTTATGCTTGTATTCTCACATAAGTGATTGATATAGATTTAATAGTAAATATTGGTTTTAAACTTCTTGAGAATATTAAGGTACTCGAAAAGTAATTGCAATTATTATACAAAACGAACCCATAAAATAATGAGTGTGATACAATCTACAATATATTTCACAAATACATTCATTACAATAAGTTGAGACCCAAATTATATAGGAGAGATGGCTAAATGATGTTGCAATTCTTATAATCGAGTGAAAGAATAATCTATGATCCAGGTAGCTGTGTAATATAAATTACATTGCTCCAACCTAGGGGAAATGTTATCAGATACACCAGGACTTTTCAAAAGGCTATAGGTTACAAAGATGAAGAAATTTAAGATCAAAATATCAATAGATTTATGCCCTAAATTATTGCCAACGATCATGATTTATATTTAGATAATTTTGTAGAGAGAGGCAGAATCAACGTTGTTCGAAATGCAGTTAGAGTGATTTTAGGGAAAACCAAATCGCAGTTTGTTGTTCCAATCAATACAAGATTAAGACTAGAAGCCAGCACTACTGAATTTGGTGCAACTGCTCTAATAACACCAGTCAATTTCACATACGGATATATGATGTTAAATGAACAGGGCTAAATTGAAGAATTGACAAAGAACTTATTTGATGATGTATTCGAGAAATATTTAGGAGTTGAACTTGAATCTGTTAGAGGATTAGACTGTTTAATTTTTATTCCAGAATTAGCCAAAATTTGGGAGAGTCTTTTTAATGAACACTTTGAAAAACTAGACAAACGATTAGAATGCCATTTAATACTTCCTTAGTTATTTAGATAGAACTCTAAAAGTTTACAAAGTTCAAGGACTACTGTAGTAAGCAAATCATTATTACAATAAAATATCATTAGATCATTAGAAAATTATCCATAAGATAATGTCATATACTAAATATCATTACATCTCACGAGTCTGACCACAATTAATCTAAGGTTATATTGTTATTTATCATAGATTAGTCATTTTAGAAATGCCAGAATACAAGCAGATATAAAACTAAAAAGTAACTAGTCGATAACTAATTTAATTAAGACACAGATCATCATAATTATTAAACTATTCAACTTAAAATGATGTATATACATAGAAGGCTGACCTGTTGACTTCAGCAAAAGATATATTATTTAATAGAGATATAGATGAGTGTGACTTAGAATATGAGAATGCTATTGAAGAAATAAAAATGGTTGAGGATTTAAGAAATCAATTGGCATAAATTAATATGATTAATACTGCTCATAATCAAAACTCGAGTAAAAGACTGCTTTAGAGTAGTGATAATTTTTTTGAAGAAAGGGTTATTGAACTTAGACAGAATATAAATATATCAGAGAAAAGCAATGATTTGAGTGATAGTGAGTCTGAATTCAAATAGAGGATTTAAGAATAGAATCTATAATATAATTCTGGGTCAGTTGGGAGTAGATCGTCCTAAAATAATACTACAGCTTTGAAAAGATAAATGAAGGATTGTTTATCAGATAATAGAGGTTTGAATGTTCAAACCAAATTATTTTTATTATCTACATACATTTTAGTTATTGTAGGATATTTTGTGAATTATTTGATATTATATTTCTAGTTTGAAAGTATCAATTAAGACTAGAATTATGAATAACTTCCATTTTAATTTTCTTATTTTTATAATGAATTCGTTATAGCTTAGTCATATATAAATGCTGACGATTTCCAATTTGGAAAACTAAGTGAGGTAACCTTAGAGTTTTTTGTGGATAACATCAAAGATATTGATTAAACAATAGCAAGATTGCCACATATTAATACGATTAACAATTTAACAATGAAAAGCAGGATGATAATTATTTTATCACAACTATCGAAAGTGTAAAGAATGAAGGAAGAGATACTTTATTCAGATTTTGTGAATAACACAGATTAGTTTAATACTCAATTCGAGATCATATAGAGTGTCCAGTCTATCAATTATTCAAATGATCTAGGAATATAGTAAATCTTAATGATTATATATTTAGTGTTCTGATTGAAGAGCTAGTGTTAATAATATTTCTAACTAGATATATTTATCTATGTGTTAAAATAATTTAGATGAAAACTAAGATATTTAAATTGTTTTGCACTTTCTCTAAGGAAGTCATATAGGAATAGTTTCTACAATTTAGTTCCTTATACAATTAGTTAAACAATACAAAGTTTAAGAATCACGAAACTGATGAAGAGCAATTTGAAACAACAATGATGCGTTAATACCAAAAAACAGTCACTTCCAACATGTTAGATAAGCATAATAAAGTTGGAAAGCAGATTTCATATAAATGTACGTAATATTTTAATATACTTAAATAGAAACAAATTCTGCTTAGATTTTCTTCTTTTTATTTATCTTTATTTATGCGTTTATGTGTTCCTTTTACTTCATTGGCAGTTATATATTATAAAAAGAGACTTTATCGACAGTCTCTGCAAGATACAACGAAAAAACCCAATTTGAGATAACCAACAATTACCTAGCGTTGTCTTATGCTGAATAGGCTATTATATTGAATTAGACCATTTAATAGGATGGTATAGATAGATAAAATAAGACTGTTGAAGTCTTGAAATCACTTACAACGAATCTAGCTCAATATTAGGAAAGTTCGAATACTGAAATTTATGATATTCTGTCTAATAGCATTTGTCAATTACTCTTCAAATCCTAGTACGATATCATATTCTAATTTATTAGCCAGTACAGTTATGAGGAGTATTCCAATCTATTTAGTTTTGAATAGTGTCAATCTTATTCCAATCTCGAGAAAGGCTTAACTTTTGTTGTTTAAGAATTATATTCCTATCAATTCGAGTTTTTGCAATTACTTTAAATTAATAATTAATCAATCTATTCTTATTAAGAGTTCCTAAAGAATTCTTAAACATAAGTCTAGAGAGTATATGCTTAGTATGCATTTCTAGTGATAATTGAAATGTTGAAAAATAAAATTAAGACATTGGTCACTTCAACCCTTGTAATAAATTCGATAATGCTTGGATTTGCAAGTATTATCATGAGTGGTGCGTTATTGATAACAATGAAGACGATTGAAAAAGTAAAGGAACAATACAAACAAAGTAAGTAATTGCTCACCCTATTTCCATTTGACAGACTGATGGAAAATGCATATGTTGTAAGTTTCATTAGTTAAGACTTACATTTTTCGGTTTGATATTATTTTATAATAATTTTAATTCTTTTATCAAATGATTTCTTTATAAAAGATGTGTGATTATGTGATGAAATGAACTTAGATAAAAACAATCAATTTTTCATTGCATTATTAATCCTGCGTTCTATGAAATTTTCCTTTTTCTTCTCAACTTTTTATGCCAATTTCTTTCTAAATATTTTCTGAAATTGTTTAGCAGGACAATAATCATCCTATTATTGAGTAAAGTCCTTCATTCCTGTAGATGTGAATTATCCATCAAAAGATGGAGTGGTTTCATATTTCTAATTATAGGTATTATGTATATAGTACATGATGTGTTGGCTTTTGAGGACTTCTTGCTACTTTGAAAGGCTAAAAGTTTTATTGACTTGTAGTCATTCCCACAAAAGGACCAGTTGGCATAGGAGAACTTTGATAATGAGGTATTGTTTACAGTTCACTTTTAAAGTAATTTTGACTTTCCACCTTCCAGCTATTTGGGGGAACAAAGGAATCCTAATATTAAGTTTTACCAATGAATTTGATGTCGGTGCTTGTACTTATATGAGGATATCTACTAAATCTCTAATAGTTGTTGCCCCAATTACTATAATTAGACTAAATATAGAGTAAGATCATACTCTGTAGCTAGTCAAGTTGGACATGGATCCCAATTACGGTCTGTAGGGAGGTTTGAAACTCTCAGTGGATTGAATTGGCATTTCCTTATAGTCTTGTTGATGAGATGTAGTAAAATCAATTGTCTTTTAATCGAGAAACTTTGTAGCATATGTCTTAGAATTCAAGGGTGTTAGATTATTATAGCTTGATTTATGGGGAATGAAATCCTTATCATAAACAGTTAGAAAAGATCCATTTATCTTTAATTTAACTTAATTCGAGACATCACATCTGCATCTACCACATTTGCATCGATAGCATGCACAAAATCCAAGATGATGATAAAAATAATCTGGGTTATCCTCCAATAATCTCTCTAAAGTTTACTCATCTAATGGCATATTATCTGGCAATATCTATCTCCAAATGGGATCTTCGGGACTTATCTGATCTAAAACAAATGGATCGAATTCATAGCAAAGATCATTTGTTGTCTTAGCTGGTGCTATGCTTGACAATTATTCTATTTTCTTCCCATTCCTACCAATATGAACTATTCGTTTTGCACCATTGCTTCCCACTTAAGACTACTAAGAAGGAGGGCGTTATTATTATTGGGATATTATATTTTTGTTGCTGCGATTTGATTGTATACTTTTTGGACGATATGATCCTACAGAGTCGCTTGATTTAATTAGATTTGATTGTTTTGGCCGTAATAATTCTGCCACAGGATCAGTGTACATAAAAAAATAATTGAATAATGAATGTATTTATTATGTCGATTTATAAGTCATAATAAAATTTATATTATAAACATTTGTGCATATCTTCAACCAAATAAAGAACTAAACATGATGTTAGAATTGTGTTTCGTCATATCTTCTGGAATGTCTTTCATCTTCTTTCTTTTAATAAGATTTTTATTTTAATATACAAGAATTCATAATTAATTTACATTATTGATTAAATCAACCCCAGACTAATTTATATGATCACATTAAAGTGTCTGGTATGAATTTTACATAACATTTATTGAATCTCACCACTTTTTACACTTTTATTTTACTTGGGATCTTTCCTGAAAATACTTAATCATCTTTTAAACGTTTTCTTTTCAAAATGCTATTTGGGATTTTCTCTGGAAGTTTGTTATTACTTTTATAGAGATTTCTCCTTTTGTACACACATATTGATGTTTAAGAGAAGTATTTTGATTACTAAAGTTGGTATAGTTCTTTGACTTCATTTTCATCATTCCTAAGAATTCTCGTATTTGCAATTACTAATTCCTCTTCCAATTTACAACATTCTTCAAAAAGATTCTCTAAATTGTCATCTTCATCACACCACTTCAGAGAATTACACAAAAAAGTTGATTCTATTGTTTTAGGTTGATATAAGTTTCGTATTGGATTATTAAGTAACAGCATCTAAGAATCTGTGTGAGAAATAGACAAATCCAAGTCTTATTAAAGTGAATATCCTGCTGCACATCCCATTTATGCTATTTTAAATTAATATAGATTATTATGATTTCAATGAAGATATATTACATTGTAGCAAAAAAAATAATATAATTTAAATTAATTGATTAGAACATTAGAATTAAAGGCTGTTTAATTATGAATAACAAATTGAATTTAATAGTTGTAATCTTAAATTCTAATTTAAACTTTCTTCTTATATTCTTAATAAATTCACCTCTTAGTATCTATTACTTATTTAAATATATAAAATCAAGAATTTTTATATGAATCTATCTATTCATTTTATAAATGGATTATTTGATACAAACAAGTAATTTCAGTACTTAATATACAAACAAAACAATTATCAATTTAAATCAGAAATAGTAATTATCCTATGAGTACCTTATTAGTATAATACATTGAACTATATATAAAATATTAATTATCCTTCAATATGTAGTCTAGATTCAATAGAATATCTTGTTAGATTTGACATCAAAAGTACTTTCAAATTCATCTAATAAACAGTATTAGCATTTCAAGGTACAGTTCTTATAAGTCTTTATTTTTATCCCCCTAAATTTACTATTCTTAAGATATCACTTAAAACCCTTTCCAAAAGTCGTTTGTTTTAAACAGAAGCATTTTAAAAATTAGTCATTAATATACAGTCTTAGATGTAGTCTTTTTTTTGGAAACCTTCTCAATTTTTGCATACCATAATATACTATTCATTTTACCCACCCATATACATCAGATATATCACAAAATATATCTAAGAAGATTGTTTTCTCAATCTAATCTAATTATGAGATGAGAAATAACTTATTAATTTAAAATTAACAACAAATACAAATTTTAGAATTTAAACTTAATTAAGTTGAATTTGAGGTTTAAATGTTGATTATATATATTTAATTATCACCTCCCCATTCTCATTTTTTAGTCATAGGAGTATAATTTGCAAGGCGAGGTTTCAAGTTGTTACTTGAATTTAATTTCTTTGAACTATCAAATTTTTATATAGATGATTCTTATCTTTTAAGATAATTGTTATCAGAGAATTATGAATTAATTTTTTATAATTCTTTAACTCTTTAAGCCAATTCCTTACTTTCACTATAATAATTTGACATATCATCATTTTAGACTTGTATTTTGAGCAACCTAATTTTCAATATCTATTTTTACCTATGTAAATCAGCAATCTCTTAGTTTTAAATAATTTTCTAATCTTCATATTCTCGATTCAATTAATCAAATTACTTTGTTTTCTTTTCTAGTTCTTCTGCTAATTATTCACATTATATCCTAAGTTATTTGTTCTCTATCTTAAACTAACTAATCTCTGATTCAGCTGAAGCAATTTGTAGTTAAATCTTTTCAATATCTCTTTGACCTTTCTATCGAGTGGCTTTTATCTCATCCTCTTCCTTTCTCAATCTAAGAGTAGTTAAATAATGTATATACTTATTCTAAAGATCAGTTATTTTTTATTAATCAGAAGCTCTTTCTTGTTCAATGTCTTCAATTAAATTTTACAATTATTTATCTTTTTAATTCACAATTTAATTGACATCATCAAGCGATTGATATAATTTATGAATAACCTCTTCATTTTAAGCTACCTAATCCTTAAGATCTGATTATTCCTATCTAAGTTTTATTTGCTCTCTTTAGAATTGATTGACCAACAATTGAACTTCTGATTATTGTTACTTTACTAATTTGGCAATTCTACTTTCTGTCTCCTACGTATTGGACCTATTAAGAGTTCTTAATTTTTCTAATTCATTTTATAAATTATCAATTTAGCCTTTCAGATCTTATTAATGTTACTGCTTTCTCTCATACTTCTTTAATTGTTTTGTTAATTCTTAAATTTGATCCTCAAATGAATCTTTCATCTATAATTGAAAATCATAATAAATTACATCATTCATATTTTTCAAAGTACTTGATAATTCATTTTCAATGAGCATTCCATTGCTTTTCAATGTTTTATTTTCATTCTTCAAATTTGTAATCAAAGCTGATTAATCTTCTAAGATGACTTGTACCTTCTATAATTCATGCAATAACTCTTTATTTTCATCCTCCATCTTTTCTTTTGCATCTCTTAAATTCTCTATTTACTATTCAAATTATTTTTAAGTCTCATCTAGAGTTTACTCATATGCAGTTCTTAAATGTGATGCACTTCCACTATATTAATCAAATATTTCATTCCTTATTTTTAACTTATAATAGAATTGATATTGATACTATTTCATTTTCATGTTATATTTCCTTTCTGTTCCATAAATCTTTCACTTTAGTGACAATTGATGCGATCAACAAATTGTCTTCATTGTTTTTCATCCTAATGATTTATCTTAAGTATTGTTCTAAACTGGCATGTTCTTATTTTATTTTTTAGAGTTCACTAACAATTCGTCTTTTAATGTATTTTCTTTATTCCTAATTTATTATTAATAGTTTACTTTGATAGTTTTCACATACTTTTAATGTCTTTACATGAGTGATTCATTGTTCAAAATCAATTGATTCTTTTATTTTTACTCAGTATCTAATTACTTTTTAATTTCTTCCTATTTTTATTCTTATAACTCCTATATATTAATTAGTTTGTCTATTTAGATTCTTAATTAATCATTTTCTTCTGATAATTGTTAGGCATTGCGCTTATAATTTTGATATTGCATAAGTTCCTCTTCTAATTGTTGGAGTTCCTTACTTTTGTAATTAAGTAATTTTTCGTTTTCTGATGATTCATTCAATAATTTTTCTAATTATGAGTTTAATAATTGAACTTTATCATTTTTGGTTTTGTTTTCTCCCTCCAACTATCTGTATTATTCCATAAGTTCATCCTTTTATTGCTTTAATTATTTTTAGATTTTAAGAACTTCACTTTAACGATTACTTACGTCATTCTTTAATTCTTCAATATATTCTAATTATTATTTGGATCTCTCTTACAATCTTTAATAATCAGATTCCAACATCTTAACTTATTAAGTTAATTAAGATATCTATTTATTTTGATTATTAATGGTTTCTTCTCTTGCTAAAAGTTATTCTTAAATTTCATTTCTATCTTTAACATCCAAATGTAATTTATTTTGTTGTCTGTTCCATAGTTCCTTATAGTTTTCAAATTCATCCTGTTAGTTTTTCATAAGAGCATCCTACTCCCTAAGTTTTTAATTCAACTCTGTTATTTTCTTTTATAGTTCTTTGACTTACTATTCATATTGGATTTTAGGAATATAATTGCTTTCAATTTATTATTGTTATTATAAAACTACTGATTCAAGTTCACTTTAAACTCTATCCAATTCATTCAATAAATTGATTTTTTACTTATCTGAATCATCACATTATTGTTTGTTTATTTATTCGAATTAGTTTCTTAAACTATAAATATTTTTATCATGAGATTCTTTCAAATCATCAATTGACTTTTGAGCTTATTGTAATTGTAGTTGATTCTATTATTACAATTCATTAATCTTTCTTTAAAACTATTGAGTTTCATTTTACAACTATTCAGCATGGTCCCTGATGAGCTAATCTAATCTAATTTATAATTATTTGGCATTTTATTTGTGGAATGTCGATTTCTCCTTTTTCCTTTGTAATTTTTAACTTAATTTATTGATTTCATTCTAAAAGGTCTAAGCCTCCTTTTCCAACCTTTTTTCATAATCTCCTTTTTATTAATTGAATTGTAAAGTTACTGCTTCTAATTGATTTTACAAATTTGAAATAGTAAATTATGTCTTAGCTTCTGAATCAGTTGACTTTTTTTTATATGAAATCACCTCACCCTCTAATTCTTAATAAATTTTATTCAATTACTATACTTTTAACTACAAATTTTCACTTATCTTATGTAATTATTCTATCTCTTAAACTTGCTATTTATTAATTTATTATAATTTTTCATTTGTTTAAACTAATTATTCATATTCTTCCTTTAGAATGTTATACTCTTTAGCAGTTGTCTAGAGTTGTTAAATCTCCTTGGCAGTTTAACTAGCAGATGACAGTTTTTATTCTAATTGTGAAACCTTGTTATTCCTAAACTTAAAATTAAATCATTACAGTTAATCATTATTCTGTTATAAATAAGAAATTTGTTCTTAAGCCTATTGAACCTAATTTTATGCCTAGGCTTCCTTGTCAGCTTACTCATCCTATAGAACTTATAATTCTATTGCTAACTACATATTTGACCATAATGATACTTTTCTTTTATCTTATTCAATTTTTCCAAATTCCATTTTGAGATACGCATATTAAGAGGAGAGCTTTTCTATCAGGACTTCTCTTTCACTCAGTATTATCTCCTCGAACATCTCTTTAACTCTTTGATAAACAAACTCTTGTGAGGTGATGTCTTGTCTCATAGTGTCAATTAATTCATCATTCATGATCTAAATTTGTACATTGAAATATCTACCTTATCGAGTGCTTCCTTGACAGTTTCGAAGAGTGTTTGATATTTCATATCATAAAAGCTTCGCATTGTTAAAATTCTTTCATTATATTAAGTTTCAAATTCCTATTTCAATTAAACCTCAAGAGATGATGCATGATGTGGCGATCCAAAGGATGAACTTTGCAGATTCTTTCGAGAAGCCTCGATATTAATATTTGATTTTGCTGGAGAAAATCCTGTAAACGATAGAGTCTGTCTATTTTTTAGACTTTTATCGAAATTCATTTATTTCAAATTTAAATTAATATAACAATAAATTTATATATATTACTACCAAGCCTAGAACTCTTCCTTTAAGACAAATAATTTTATTAATTTAAACTTGATATTTCAACATGACAACAATAATTCAAAATCATTTTTATTCATAAAGTCATCATTACCCATTCTTTTAGCTGGAAATAAAGGATCAATGATGAATCTCATAAGATTTTCTAAAAGTCCTGTAATTATCTTAGTCAGAACTGGACATCCAGTCTCTATACAAGGATTAGTATTGAATTCTATGAGTATTGGTTTAAAACTGCTAGAAATCATAAAATCTAAACCATATAATTCGAATCCTAAAATTTGTTCTTCATTTGTGATTTTATCAATTGCTGATTGCGTGGCCAATTTAGTAAGAGCCTTACTTAATTACTAATTAAATACCTTCATATCAGCATATAATTCATCGAAACTTAATGAGGTATTGTTTTACTTGTTATGCTCTATTAAATAAGCTTAGAATTGATCATAAGAAACCTTATTTCCTTTTTCAAATTTCCCATAGCCATTTAATTTATTCTATATTGCATCATTGGTTAAGTGTATTTTCTGATTGTCTAAAGACTCCAAAGTAAAGAAACTACTTGATGTTCTCAAATAGCCTTTTTTGTACCAATAAACTAATAAACTATTTCTATCAGATTAGGATACCTCTTTTAACTCCATTCATAATAGTGATTAAACAATATCCTCTTATGTCGAATTTTCTCTTTTGATATAAAAAAGGATTTTCGATGTATTTTTACAGAATAAATGTATGGCCCTATTGAGAGATGTGTTGGACAATTTCTGACATTTAATTTGAGACTTTAGATTATAAGTTTAATTTAAATACCTTTAATTCCATTGCCCCTGTTACTATCCTCTCCTGGTTTTATGATCCATATATTCTTAATATCTTTGTCTAAAGCCAGATGTTAGAATGTTTATTAGAAACTAATGAATTCTCGATCGGTTGGACCATGAATATGATAAGTCAATGGAATGTAATTCCATACATCAATACTCTATTCTGAACAATATTCAGAGAGATTATGGAATAGCCATTTCTTGTCACCTAATTGATGGCCACCCTTGAGATGGTTATGAATACGAATGTTCGTTGTCTAATGATTTAATTGGGTTAACTCCTTGTAATTGTGTAACTTTAATTCATATATAAAATATATACATTATTTAAGATTGGTGGACTATCTATATTATATTCATTTAATTTCTTTTTTGACTTCCCTTCAATCTTATCCCAAGCCTATTTTATCACACTCATTTACTAAGAGTCAATCCAACTATTAATTTCCTCAGATATGATAGTTTGAGCAATGGGTTTAATTTCTGAAGGTTGTAGATCAATGAATTTTTGAGTCCATACAAAATTGATTTCAGCATCATCATCTATTGAATTTGCAATACTCCATTATGGTCTTAAGTTAAATATTCCTTTTATCATCATATGGTTATTGCCTCTGCCTACAAATAACTTATAATATTTTTAATGCAACGCTGGAATTACTTGAATTCCATTACAAAAATTAATTAATTGATTGATTTCCTAATAACTTGGATTCTGTATAAATTTAGTAAACCCAATGTCCCAAAATCTAGTGTCATCAATCACTATCTTTTTTGCTTTACAAAGAGGAACTTACACTTTCTTTCTCTCATTATCTTTAGAAGGTGGACTTTTAGTTTTTTCTTTTCTAACTAAAAGTGGCATTAATTTTTCTTGTTACTTAGGTGTTTGATCCTTTTATATTTGTAGAACTTAGACTTATTTCACTTAAATCAATTGACCTTTTAGTTATTCCAACTCGTATTCTTTTTGAGCCACTGATTAACATCTCTATGATCTTTTATAGTACTTTTTTCTTTGGAGTATTCTTTGAAACGTTAGATTATCATTTGCTTATTTAGTTTTTCTCATTAATTCCTCCAATAAAGATTGATTTCTGCTCTTCCTATTTTGTAATTCATAGATCTGAGACAAAATATCATAAGTTGTCTAGTTCTTTGAAGTATGTTTTTGTAATGGAGTCAATAATTAGGTGTCTGTGACCTTCAGTTATGACTTATTTGGTGATTCAGTTTCATTTTCTGTGATATTAGGTCTATATTAACTTTCTATTTATTGGAAACTGCCATTTTTTCTCATTGAAGACAAAAACTATTTTATTCCAGACTCAGCACTTCCCTGAGTATTAGAAATATACCCTTGGCACACTTAATTTGATCCCATCTACTTTTCCCATAATTCTTATCTTCTTTTATGAACTGAGTTGTTGTCCACAGATTTTCCTATTGATTCTTGTTCTTTTGAAGGACCCCTAGCTCTCATTAATAATTTTAATAATATAAAATGATTATATAAAATTTTGTTGAAGAAATAGTTATGACAACAAAAAATAAGAAAAGACTTTTGAAGACCATTACAATGGCAATCATGCAGAAAAGGAAGCGATATTAGAACGAATTTTTAAAAAATAATAATAATTCTTATTAAAATACTCTAATTTAATTAATATAAATATTTTAATGGAGTATTTTAATAAAAATGAATTTCATCGGGTTGGTTAAATTATATTAAGTTATCATGTATCTTAATACAAAATAGGAAAAAATGATCTATAGACAAATCTCTCCTGTTATTATGCATCAATATTATTATTTATTAATACTAATATCCATTCTTGTGGATAAATTATGTTGTAATAACTTTAATGAGACAATATTTATGGGTTTAGAAAAGTAATAGACAAAATATTAGTTGTAATTATTGTGATTCAATTAAAATTTAACGATGATACTTTAAAATTTAAAGTTAATTATTATGGATTGATTTTGACAAAATATTTAAGGGAATCTATTGAAAATCAGATTATTAATTTGTAGACACAAGGGAAAAAATTGATTTCTATAATTTAATACTTTTTAATATATTTATGAATTTACAGTAATTATGCAATCACCAAAATAAGAATGTTAATTAATTAAAGTATTGAAAGCTTTGTAATTTTGAAGTATGCATAAGATTGGTCATTGTAATATCTAAAGATAATTCTAGGGATCTCAAGAATGGATATATTTGGGTAATCAATCACATTAAGAATGAATAAGCAAAGCTCATATAAAACTGTTTTTGGAGGCTGCTCCTCTTTAATTTTGCTAGTAATTTTAATTCTGATATTCTCATCAAACATAACATCCTTTTTCAACAAAGAAAGTTTGAGTGCAACTGTTTTAACTGAATTTGAAGAAATTCCATCCTTATCAATTATAGATGATTCATTTTTTTTATTCGCTGTTCAAATAGATTAAGATGACTTTTTAAAGAAACCTTTTTACGAAATCAAAATAGATTAGTTCCGTATCCAAAAGTTTTTGAACGGATCTTCAATTTAAACTTAAAAGGAAGTTTAGTTGATACCTTGCACTTTAGATCGTTTTAACAAAATATTCTCTTAATTTGGAAGAGATATGACAGACTAATTCAACCAGTTTAAATTACATGATTTTTTGTGCTTTGAGTAAGTGGTTCTAGATATATTTGTAGCTACAACCAATCTTTTTCAATCTAAGGAACGTATTCAAGTATAATAAATAAATAACTCATCTAGATTTGGAATTTGAATTTTTGAAAATATAAGTGTAAGAATGTAGTAATAAAACTAATTGTGCTTCAAAAGAGGAATTACAATAAGAGGTTGATAAAAATGGAGCATTTAAAATTAAATTGTTCCCTATTAATAAAGTAAAAGATTAAATGATATAGACTATAGATATTGAACCCTTACAAACCAGAAGATAATTATTTACAAACATTTTTAGATGACTCCTTTTTCTTTAGATTTCTTCCCTCAAACATTTATAAGTCTGTAGATTTATTTATCAAAGAATACGAAGTTACTAATGATCAAAGTCTCTTGCCATTCAGTTAATTGGAATAATCATAGTTTTACACACTAGATTAATCAGAAATTAAAGAGAGAACTGAATTATAAAACAGTCAATCATCTTTTGTACAAATCTAGATAAGGAAAAGTCCTTATAAAATAAAAATATTTAGAAAATATTTGAAAATAGATGAATTATTATCTAATTTAGGAGGCATATAATAAATATTTATTTTTTTTGTTGGAACAATTCTAACTATTTACAATAGATTTCAACGTAATTTAATAATAATATTTTATAGTTCTGGTTGAATTAGCAAATAAATTATATGAATTTACTTTGGTATCTTTTCAAAAGGAAAAATATTACTAAGAGAATTTAGATTTGGTGAACCAAATGATTTATAATAAGTAAGAGAAAATGCCTTTTTAAGAGAAGCCTCGAAATTCAGATGTAGATTTAGAAATATAGCCCTTGCATCAGAGTACCATAAATTAAAAATCAAAAAATGAGCTACTAAAATTCAGTGAACAAATGAGTCCCTCTTCCTAATAATAGCGTAATCCACTAAAGAAATAAACTGAATTTGCCTTAAAGAAAAATAAGTTCATCTATGAATAAGAAGCTATGGCATCAAAATTAAATTGTTAGAATGGATTAGAATATTTCTAATTACAAATTTAACAATTAATTTAAAGGTCTAAACCAATCTTGATGACTTTTCAAATGTTAATTAATTTTTTAACTTGTTAAAAAGTATTTAATAATAAGAAACATATCTAATTGATGAATCAAGCAATGTAATTTATTTTATATTTGTTGATTAGCGATAAAATCACATAATAAATAGATCTATTCAATATCCTTACAAAATTGAATGACCTTGAGAAACTTAAAGAAGTGATATTCTCTCCACAGTAATTATTGATGTTCAATTTCACTCCAAAACCATTGATATCCTTGGATAATAAAACCGAAGTATTCAACAGGACAATAGTGGAGGAGAGGACAAGAAGCAATAATACAAAATAGTAAAGTATATTATCATTTATAGGGATGAAACCTCTTCAAACTCCGAATTCTAAAATAAAACACATTACAATCTATAAGCTGATGCGAGGATGTATTCCAAAATATATTCGGTATTCATAGTAACTATTAATAGGCTTATGATGATGTCTTGCAAGAGGCTGAAAATGAACAAGACCCTTCTATTTGCAACAATTTGAGTAAATAAATAATTCTCAAATTGGGTGCTGAAGTATAAACTATCTTTAAATTATCGAAACTTATAGACTTTCACCAGAATTAAAATAATACTAGGAGGAGGGGGATGACAGCAGAGACTCTTAGAAGAGTATTATGTTCCAAAACAAATTTATAAGAATGATTATATACTTATTCTTAATATGTTCTAAAATAAGAATGATGGTAATGTTTAAAGAAAAGCTTAATGTTTTATTTGGTGTATTTATTATATTGTACTAAAATATTAATGCTCATCATTTTTTTGTTGCTTTCTTGGCTCCACCTCTTTTTGAGTAGAAGACATCGTCTCTTCTGAATTCAAATTCTAATTCTCTTGTTGTTAATAATTTATAGACAGCTTTGATTGCATCGAGTCTTGGTTCGACTTCATTTTTATCTTATTCATCCAAAAAGCTAATTGTGAATATTGAATAGTACATTCTATAGAATTTAGTGCCATCGACTCTAACTCTTGTTCTTCTTCCCAAGATGGTAGATGGTGCAACAAGATCATCAAGAAGTCCATCATAGACAGATGTGAGTGTTCTTGAATTTGGTCTTGTTTGAGATCTGTGACTTTTAACCCACTTGCTTTCAATTGTTCTCTTTGCAACAACCAATATTGTTGCCTTCAATCTCTTCTCTAATTCTGGTAATAATTTTGAGCTAAGCAATTTACACATATGGATACCTCACTTTATTGTAGATTGATAAGCATGGATGGGGGATGAATACTAAATAAACTTGGCTTCTTAGCATTGATTTTTGCTGTATAATCAACAACTGATGAAACCTTAAGATTCTTGGCTTCTGTGACTGATTGCTCGATTTAGGTCAATGCAACACCAACTTATTATTCCAAATTTGTTAACTCATTATTGAACATATACTCTTACTTCACTTTTTTTCCAGAACTTATTTGCTGCCATTCCTGATAAAAATTTGATTTTTTATTTAAATCTTTTTATTAATTATTTAGGCACATTTTTATTAGCAATTCATTATCATCTACAATTCATCAATCCCGCATCAGATCTATGACTTGTTCAATTATTCCTAGTCACTCTACATCAAGTCAACAAATTATCATTTCAATTTCAATATTATCCCCCTTTGTATTATGGCATACTTATTAAAACTAATTTAACTTGACTTTATTCTCTTAATTAATCAAATTCAAAATAACATATCATTTTTAATATCCATCATCACTTTTATATATCTCATTTTCAGTCTAACCTAAATAGAGTAGCTAAGTTTAATCATTTTAGAATGTTTTTCAGAAAAGATACCATCAAAAAAACTCCAAAAATTTTACATCTTTTATTAGCTAGAAATAAGTTTTAGTGTTATGATGAAACAAATTTTCTCTGTTTTATATGTTTAACAAGGGATGGCTTTAATAATATTTCAATAATTGTTTATATTTTATAAAGTTTAGTACTATTTGCTAATTTATCTAAAATTCTCAATGGATTTACTGTTTTATCGCTTTATCTATGATTGGGGATTATAATTCAAAATATATTTTCTACTTATTTTTAATATCAACCTCTTAGGTTTATTTTGTCTTTAAAACTCAGGGTAGGAACAACAATAAAGGATTTAATTTAAAATTCTAAACTGAGTAATAAATATTTAATTATTTAATTTCGAAAAACAAACTATAATTTAAGATATGATATTTATTAAACCCAAAAAGTTGTTTTGTTTTAATTTCAATATTAAAAATGTTTAAAAATTAAATCCAAAGTCCAAAATACTGTTTTTTTCAAACTAAATTTATAAAGATATTTGGTTTTAATTTAAAAATCGTATAATCAATATATTTTGATCGAAAAGCAATTATAATTTTTTATAGAATTCTTTTTAATATAAATTTGAACAGAATTTTCTAGAATTAGAATTGGAGTATAAAATCGAGTTCCATCGATGCATATTTTTAAGTTTAAAATTTAGTAATGTCAACAGAGTAAAAGAAAGAAGAGTAATTCCACTTCAATGCCGATATCCAATAATTGATGGGTTTAATTATCAACACATTCTATTCAAACAAAGAAATTTTCTTGAGAGAATTGATTTCCAATGCCTCAGATGCTTTAGATAAGATTAGATACAAGTCTATTACAGATCCAGACAGTGCTGGTTTGACCATTGAGCCAAACTTCAAGATTAAGATTATTCCAGATAAGAATAATAATACTTTGACAATCCAGGATACAGGTATTGGTATGACTAGAGATGAAATGATCAATAACTTGGGTACCATTGCAAAATCAGGAACCAAGGCCTTCATGGAAGCTTTGAGCTCAGGAGCCGATATTTCTATGATTGGACAATTTGGTGTTGGTTTCTACTCTGCTTACTTGGTAGCTGATAAGGTTGTTGTGATCTCCAAGGCTGTTGGTTCCCAATAATACAGATGGGAATCATAAGCTGGTGGAACATTCTTTGTCTATGATGATTCTGAGAATCCAGTCTAATTGACAAGAGGTTCATGCATCGTTTTACACATGAAGTAAGATAACTTGGAGTTCTTGGAAGAAAAGAGAATAAAGGATTTGGTTAAGAAGCACTCAGAATTCATTGGATTTCCAATAGAATTATAAATTGAGAAGACTACTGAAAAGGAAGTCAGTGATGATGAAGATGAGAATAAGGAAAAGAAGGCTGAAGAAGGTGAAGTCTAAGAAGAAAAGGACAAGGCTGAAAAGAAGAAGAAGAAGATCAAGGAAGTCAGTACCGAATTTGAATAAGTTAATAAGAATAAGCCTTTATGGATGAAGAAACCAGAAGAAATCACCAAGGAAGAATATGCTAATTTCTACAAATAATTGACCAATGATTGGGAAGAACATTTGTCAGTCAAATAATTCTCAGTTGAAGGAGGTTTGGAATTCAAGGCTGTCCTCTTCATTCCAAAGAGAGCACCTTTCGATTTGTTTGAAACAAAGAAGAAGAAGAACAATATCAAATTGTATGTCAGAAGAGTCTTCATTATGGATGACTGTGAAGAATTGATCCCAGAATATTTGGGATTCGTTAAGGGAGTTGTTGATTCTGAAGACTTACCTTTGAACATTTCAAGAGAATTCTTGTAACACAACAAGATCCTGAAAGTCATCAAGAAGAACATCACCAAGAAATGCATTGAAATGTTCTAAGAAATTAGTGAAAACGCTGAAGATTACAAGAAATTCTATGAGCAATTCTCAAAGAATCTTAAATTAGGTATCCATGAAGATTCAGCCAACAGAACCAAATTGAGCGAATTCCTAAGATTCCACACATCAAAGAGTGGTGAAGAATAAATCTCACTCAAGGACTATGTTGGAAAAATGAAGGAAGGATAAAAGGATATCTTCTTCATTACAGGAGAATCCAAAGCCTCAGTTGCTGCATCACCATTTGTTGAAGCTTTGAAGAAGAAGGATTATGAAGTCATCTATATGATTGACCCAATTGATGAATATGTCATCCAATAATTGAAGGAATTCGATGGAAAGAAGTTGAAGAATTGCACAAAGGAAGGCTTAGACTTAGATTAAACTGAAGATGAAAAGAAGAAATTCGAAGAATAAAAGTCTGCATTTGAAGGATTATGCAAATTAGTCAAGGAAATCTTGGGAGACAAGGTTGAAAAGGTCTAATTAGGATAAAGACTCGACTAATCACCATGTGTTTTGGTCACTGGTGAATACGGATGGTCTGCCAATATGGAAAGAATCATGAAAGCTTAAGCCTTGAGAGATCCATCAATGAGCAGCTATATGATGTCAAAGAAGACCTTAGAAATCAATGCCAATCATCCAATCCTTACTGAATTAAAGAAGAAGTCAGACAAGGATAAGAGTGACAAGACAGTTCAAAGATCTAATCTGGTTGCTCTATGAAACTGCTCTTTCTCACTTCAGGATTCAGTCTTGATGACCCAACTCACTTTGCTAATAGAATCCACAAGATGATTAAACTCGGTTTATCAATTGATGATGCTGGTATTGAAGAAGAAGATGAGAAGCTTCCATAATTAGAGGTATTATTAATTATTTAAATTTTTCTTAGAAAAAGGAAGATGCCAATACTGAAGCCACCAAATCAAAGATGGAAGAAGTTGATTGATTTATATTAATTGTTTGTTTAAAATTAATAATTAAATAAAAAAGAATAAATTTTAATACTTCATCATATTATAAAACAGTGTAAATAATGATATATTATGGTAATATTATAATGTATTGTAAATCGAAATTACATAAAATTTATTTAAATATCTGAAAATCAATGGGTTGTGGCGTATCTAATGCTCACTAATTTATGAGATATTCATAAGAGAAAGTTACCGAAAATGAACTAGGTTCCTTGGAGAATAACAAAGGATAAACTACAGTTAGGAGAAATGTCAAATATACAAATCAGTTGCTCATGATCCCACAGCAAGGAATTACAACATTATAAGAGATGCTTAATAACAGTGTTGCAAAATTCGGCAATCAACCATGCCTTGGCAAATATGAAGGAGATAATTTCTAATTCCTTTCATACAATTAAGTAAACGAGGAAGCAATCCATTTAGGAAGTGGGTAATATTTTAAATGAGGTTTAGAATTTCTAACTTGAATTTAGTGAAGGAGGTCCAAGAATATCAACACTACAAATTAAAATTGATAGGAATCTTTGCAAAAAATAGAAGAGAGTGGATGATCTTAGATTGGGCCAATATCATTTATGGTTATACAATGGTGCCCTTTTACGACACCCTTGGTCCTGAGTCAATCCCCTTCATTCTTGATTAGACCAACATTGAAACCATGCTCATTAGTGCAGATGCAACAAAATCATTGCTCTAATGCAAAGAGAAACATAAATTGAAAAATTTAGTTTTGCTAGATCCTCTCTCAGAATAACAAGCTAATGACTTAAAAAATAAAGGCTATCACTTGTTTAAATTCGAAGAAGTAGTAGAAAATGGCAAGAAATCGACAGTTCAACATGCTCAAGTTTAGCCATCCTCCGTCTACACTTTATGTTATACTTCTGGAACAACAGGCAATCCTAAAGGAGCCATACTATCTCATGGTAATTTCATTTCTGCAATCGGCAGTACATAAGCAACCGATGCTAATATCACTTCAACAGATGTTCATTTGTCATATTTGCCTCTACCTCATGTGATGGAGAGATTGATTGTACTCACTATGCTCTTCACTGGTTCTTCTATTGGGTATTATCCTCAATAACATATAGATTCTACCGAGGCGATCCTAATTTATTAAAGGAAGACATTTAAAAACTTAGACCCACAATCTTTGCCTCTGTTCCTAGACTATACAACAAGTTCTATGATGGCATCAAAGCTAAGATTAATGAAGTCACAGGTGTTAAAAAGTCCTTTGCAGAACGAGCAGTCAGAGTGAAACTAGAAAATCTAAGATCAGAAGCCAAATATACAAGTGGTTTATATGACAAAGCCTTTCAAGGAGTCAGAGATTTATTTGGAGGCAGATGTAGACTTATGATCACAGGCTCTGCTCCTATTCAATAGGAAGTTATTGATTTCCTCAAAATTGCTGCATGTTGTCCAATCCTAGAGGGATATGGCTAAACAGAATCAACAGCATTATCCTTCTCTACAGGTGCATGGGATCCAAAGTCTGCTCATCTTGGTGGACCTGCTGCAAATACAGAGTTTAAATTAGTGGATGTTCCCGACATGAATTACACATCTCTAGATGTTGTGAATGGTGTTAAAACACCAAGAGGGGAAATTTGTTTAAAAGGACATGGAGTTTTCTTAGGCTATTATAAAGATCCTGAAAAAACTGCTGAAGCCATAGATGAAGCTGGATGGTTGCACACAGGAGATATAGGTTTAATTACTGAAAATGGAGGAGTTAAAATTATTGATAGGAAGAAAAATATATTTAAGTTATAATAAGGGGAATATATTGCTCCAGAGAAAATAGAAGCCATTTACAATAGAGTTTAAGGTGTTTCTGAGTCATTCATTTATGGTGATTCTCTTTAGAGTCAAATTGTGGCTATTATAGTTCCCATGAAGGACTTTGTTGAAAAATATGCAGCAGAAAAATCTATCTAAGGGGATTTTGAACAGCTATGCAAAAATCCAGAAATCATCAGCTATTATTAAAAAAATATCAATGACTATGGAAGAGCCAACAAACTTAATTCATTAGAAATTGTAAATTTTAATCATAAATTTTATTAGGCTAAGTTAGTACATTTAGAACCTCAACCATTATAAACATTTGGATGCTTGACATCAACCTTTAAGTTATAAAGACATATTGCCAAATAGGTGTTTGCTAAACAAATTGAACAGCTCTATAAGAGTTAGGCTTGATAATCATATTTTGAAGTAATTATTGAATGTAATAATTTATAAAAAATTTATGGAAAATATAAGACATTCAATAATTATTAGACAATAAGTTAATATTTTTATTAATGGTTGTTGTGGTTATTTCAATAAAATTATAGTTTTTCTAAATTTACTCTATATTAGAAGGGAAATAACTTCAAAATATTTAAATAAGCCTTATGAAATCTAAAATTATTAATTATTGAATAATAAATAATGAGTGCTTCTATCATTTTATAATCAAGATAAAGATAATAGAGTTTTTCAAAAAAGAATTTTCACATCTGACAGTTATTTGACTTAGCCATAAATGTAACAAAAATAATAATAAAAGTAACAATTAAATTATAAAAGGTTTAGCATTATTATTATTATTATTCATTTATATTAATGATATTTAAGTAGAAAGTTGAATTTTCTTACATTTAATTAATGAAAACCTTTTTTAATAAGGATTGAACAGTAATTAAAATTGCATTGTGTAGATCTTTAGGACTTACTCATTTTTAATTCTTTTAGTTATTTATTTATTAGAATGCCAACCATATTTAACAATCAGCAATTTATTTAAGATTTTGATTGACTGAATTTAATTGAATTTCATATAAATTGGTTGAGCAATCTATAAGAATTTGATAATTGATCTTCTTATGTTTAAAAATTAATCAATCAATCAATAGTCGTTGAATTGAACAATAATTAATAAATTAGTATTTTTTTCTTTAAATTATATTATAAAAAATTGATTTTTAAGAAACATTAAGAAAACACTTTAATTTAAGAGAAATCAAATCATTCTTGAACTTTTAGATAAGGATGTTACTCTCCTTTGTATTTTTTCAAGATTGTGTAATAAAATCGATTTTTTACTTGATTTTCCTAAAATTAGTATTATATAATACTGATCTGTTATTGAGCTTTTTGGAAATGATTGCCCATCTAGCTCCTCCTTATTTGAATTCTTCGAGAATAATCTCATCCTCTTCATCGGTCCAATGATCATGATTGATGGTGGGATTGATTTAATTGACATATCTATCTCTCACTTGTTTCGAAGTACGACCTGGCAATTCTAAAATTTAATGTGAGATAATACTTTAACTAATCTTGATCCATTGCCTTCCAAATTCAGCATAGGACTCAAGAAGTATTTTATCTTCATCAACTGTCCATTTCTTTTTCGTTCTCTTTTCTTAATCCATTAGTTTTCTGTACTTTTAAGAACATTGGGAAATATTCCTTCCTTTTAGATGTTTGATAACGAATTTCCAATTCCCATGATACTTTTTGTAATATTAGACTAAATTATTGACTTCCTCCTCAGTCCACAATTGGCCTTTGCCTCTAACAATGCCACTAGCATTGGTGTGGACTTCTTCCTCAATTATTTTGGTTTGTTCTTTTTCACTGTCTGAATGTTATTCTTCTTTTGTTGAATCAAATTTAGGAACAGGAGGGATTTAGTAAGGAATATAGCAAGGAACAAAGACGTAAACTGGATTAGGTTGATTATAGTACATAAAATAGATATTAATTCCTAATTTATTTATGTTATAAGAAGAGAATATAGAATAGTTGACAAAAAAATATAGACCATAAATTACTATAAAATATCATTACATCATATTAAATAATTCTTACGGTATAACTTAATTAGATTGTTGAAGAACTTACACCAATTCGCTTTTAACTCTATTATTTATTGACCCTGGTTCAAAAAAACTAATGGCCAATCCTTTCTTGCCAGCCCTGCCAGTTCTACCAATCCTGTGAATGTAATCTTCAATATTATCTGGGAAATCATAATTAATCTAAAATCAAATGAAAAAACTTACTACAACATCAACATCAGAAATATCCAACCCTCTAGATGCTAAATTGGTAGTGATCAAACAATTGATTGCTCCTGTCTTAAAATCTTCCATGATGTAGTCTCTCTCAGCTTGTTTTAGATCTCCATGCAAATATCTAGCCTTCAATCCATGTAAGGATAAACGATATTCCAATTTCTAAGTGTCAATCTTCTTCTAACAAAAAATAAGCAATTTTTATCCCTTCAACCTCTCTGCCAATTCAACAAATTGCTCAAATTTATTTTCGTAAACAATAATTATTTCTTACTAAATATTTTTATTGACTGACAATCCTTACTCACCAATCTGCAATAGATTTGGATTTTCATTACATAGGAAATTAGCCAATTTTTATACTTCCTTTGGCCAAGTAGCACTGAAAAACAAAGTTTGTCTTTCCTTTCTCACTTTCTAAAAAATTTATGTAATTTATTCTTCAAATCCCATATCCAACATTCTATCAGCTTCATCCAATACAACTTAAGTGATAGATTTCAAAGGATAACCATCTTTCATAAAATCTAACAATCTTCCTGGAGTACCAATTATTACAGAAGGCAGACTAATATTATTTCTGGATTATTTTATCCCTAATAATTCAGAATATTGTAAATTCTTATAGACTCCACCATAAACACAACATGTTCTTGTAAAAAGCTCATATTGGGTTTAAATCTACTAAACCAATTCTCTTGTTGGTGCAAGCACTAAAATTCTGGGTCCTAGTGCTTATGGTTGTGCTTGGATATGAATTACTCCTGGCAATGCATATGCCAATGTTTTTCCAGATCCTGTCTCAGCTACTGCAATCACATCATTTCCCTCTAATATTAAAGGGATGATTGCTTTTTGGATAGGAGTAGGAGATGTTATGCTTTTGGATGATAGAATTGAGGAATATTCTTTTGGAAGAAAATCAAAATCTTTTGCAATATTGGTAATATTTCCTTCTATTTGATTTGAGTTAACAAAATCGTTTATTTCATCAGGAGAAGCTGTTGGGATCAATTTGATTGATTTTATGATTTTTGTTTCTTAATCTGATTTGAGCTTCTCACAATGCTTTACAAATTCTCGAAAAGAAATATTAAATTTTTGTTTTGAAGGTCTCATGATCCTTACCTTTTATTCAGAATTTGAATTAGAATTAGGCGAAGTATTTATCCCATAATGTGTGGAAAGCCATCCAAACGGATGGAGATGTCCAAGAAGTGTTTTACGAAATGAATTATTTATCATTAATATAATTTAATTTTATTCTTTATCCAGATAATTATTTCTGCTTCTATACTAAAATCCCAAAATCTCAATTATTTAATTCAATTACGCATTTACTCTATAACTTATTTTTCAACCCCTTCTTTTAAAGATGCCATTGATACTGATTATTGCCCTATATAATTATTCCAAAAATAGAACCATTTCATTATATAGTTAAAAACCCCTCATTTTTAATTTTATACTACAAATTTACAATGATTTTCTATTTTCTTATTCTTCCCTTACATAAGGATTCCTAAATAATTCACCTCTGTTAATTTTTAAGTCTCTCATCATCAGTCAATGATTTCACTATCACTTATTATACTTTTCGATAAAGTTCCATATGGAGTTATTATAATTTCTAATAATTAACAAAATTTTTACTTAGAATAAAAATATAATATTCAAATATGTAAATAATATGAGAAATATGCTAATATAATTCCTTTATTTATCAAAGAATGATTAATTGTATTTGAAATATATTTTAATTCCATTTCTATCTATGAAATTACTCAACATCATAATCCTTTTGCTCTTTTTAGAGTCTATTAGCAAAATTCAATACAATTTGGGGAAGAATATTTCCTTAAATTTTTAGCTTATTATCAACCTTATTAATATTGATGAATTTTATTTTAATTCTAAACATCTCTCATTATTTTTTGCATACAGCAATGAATAAAACTTAATGAACAAATCCATAGTTAAATAGGTATATATTATAATCATTATTATCAGTTAAATGATTACTTTCTCTGGTACTTGAAAATTAATAAAATGCATTTCAATTTGCTCCTTGATAATTATAATTCACAAATATCTTATTATATATTTTACTCATCCTCCCTTTAACAAAACAAGTTGATTGATCAATTAATACAATTTATATTATTAGCATAAAGAAATCACTTAAATATTAGAGTGAACTCATCATTCAAGGTTAATAAATGCAATGAAAAATTCATTTACGATGCTATTTGAGTTGAAAGGTTAGGATTCATAAAATTCAGATTTTTTGGAGGAAGAAAATCAAATTCATAGAGATTAAACAGAAATATTGAATAAGGTAATCATCCCTAATGATAAGGGGAATCCAAGAAATATAGCTTTTTAACATTAAAGGATTATATTTTATTCCTTAAAAATGATTATTTAACATTATATTACAATTTTTACTTGAAATCTATAATTACTTTAGAGTTTTAATATTTGAATATTGAATTATCAACGAGATTATGTGAATTAAATGATTATTTTTATTTTATCATATTTTAAAAGCAGTCTAATAGGTTTCAGAAATTCAATAAAAATGTTCCATTGTTTTTCAGGCGAGTAGAAATTATGGTTATTCATATTCCTATGGTGTTTGATTATTTAGATATGATATAAAAACATGTATTTTTGATTATGTTTACAAAAATAAATAAATTATATAACGAATTTTAAAAAAATAATTAATTTTTCTATTTTTGATATAAATTATTATATTTTCAAATAGTTTTGTATCACATACTGGTAATTTCGTAATGAAAAGTGCCTTAAAATGACTTGAGTATTTTATAATTTAGCAGAGATTCAAAAATTAGTAAATAATCAATTTAAGAAACATTTAAATATATAATAAATTTCATTTCTCTTCATTATTAATCTATAATAATTATAATTTGTAACCATCAACTTTTTTTAATTCAAGACTCTAAGGTCTATGGTATTATGCCCCTTTTTCAAAATTGGAAGAATTGAAGGGCATAAAGAGATTTTAATATTGATTTAAAATTTAAATTTAGAAAGTGTTATTTTAATTCACAATAATAATGATAGAACTTCAGAGGGAGGTTGAAATCATGAAAAGTTGGATATGCTTTGTTATTATGCTAACCAAAGCGACTGCTTTTTATTAAAAAATAAATAAATTAGAATAAATTATAAGTAATAATTAATTTTAATACAAAAAAAATAAACAACATATATATAAATTCAATCATTATTTCACTATTTGTGAAAATTTATTATATCTCTTAATTATATTTGAATATCATCTCTAATTAGATGTAGATGAAAAAAAATTCCCTTGATCGCCAAGCAATTTAAAACTTATTCACAAACATAGACAATCAATTTAAAATATAGCTCTTATCCACAAACTGTTTTCCGTTACAATATATTCCAACATATGATGAATTAAGTTCTATTTTGAATACTTTCGAAAAGAGCAATTTTAACAAAAAAGGAGCTTGGACACCTTGCTAAGAAAAATTATTAAATGTTGTTGTGTTCGGGGTATGTTTATAGAATCGTATCCTTCCTCATGATTTGGTATAAAATATTCACTTATTATAGATGATTTAAGATTGGGAAAGAATATCTAGATTGATAATTCATCATAATTGGAAGGCATGCAGAAATAGATGGCTTTAAGAAAAATAAGCTAAAGCTAGTTGGACTTTGGAGGAGGACCAAGCCCTTATCTAGTTATACAATTAGCATCCAAACAAATGGTGTGACATTGCCATTGAATTGATGAAGAAATGTCAAACACCATACGCAAGACAAGGAAAATAATGTCGGGATAGATGGGTTAATAAACTAGACCCAAATATTAAGAAGTAAAGAGTAATTAATATCAGTTTAGGGATCCTTGGACTAAAGAAGAAGAGCTGATGCTATTTTAAGAAGTAAAGAAAAAAGGAAAGAGATGGGCAGAAATCTCATTATAAATATTTTAATTAAGAAGAACTGAAAACACTATTAAAAACCGATATTACAACTTGATCAAGTAGGAACAGAATAAACTCAAGTTGAGCAAAATGAGCAATGATGAGAAGGAATATTTTGTGATGAATAAAATTATTAAGGAACTTTAAGAGAAAGTTTATTAAAATTAACATAATTGTCTTGATGATACTAACTGGAAATAAATAATGAGTTCAAATTTTAAAATTTCTTAGTTTTCGTAACAACTTTGTAATATTGAATGTCTGATTATGATAAAAGGCAGGAAATTAGTTAAGCTAAATGGAACTTTATGAATATATTCAAATTTCATAATATTATTAATCATCATCAAAGAACTTTAAATGTTAAATTTGAATAAATTAACTATTGCTTCTACCTAAATCCAAAACTAATGAAGTCTAACAGAAGCTAAAATATTGTTTAAATTTAATTTATATTCTTAAAACCACAATCTAAATCAAAAATACATGAAAAACAGATCCTTCTAGAAAAATTAATGATATTTTTATTCTTGCCATCTAAATATTTATAAATGAATTAACATATATATTACATGATTCATATATTAAGATAATCAGTTATTAATTTACATCTGAACTAACGAGAAGATACTTGTATCTGATAAGATACATATTTTTGTATACTTACTTTTAATTTAATTCAAGTTCGAAGAAATCTTAAATTTAAACTATTCGTAGATGAACAAAAGATTATGATGAATTTTTGATAATACATACAAATATTATGATGATTTAGTTTTCGATTCAGAAAGCGGTAAATTGATCAATGATTATTATGATTGCGTACATATTAATGATTAAGGTCTAAGATAATTTTTACCTTAGATTATTTTTTTCATCATTAAATGAATTTATTATTTATTAGTTAATAAATGTTATATACCTTAACATATTCTTTTTATGGATTAGATAAAGCCTTTGGATTCTATTCAATATTGATTTTTATGATATAGGCTATATATTTTTACATAGTTTTAGAAATAAATTCTCTCTTTTTTTAAAATGATTTATTGTGATCTTATATTATATCAAATTTTGTTTAGTATGGTTAAAATGTTTATATTAAATTATTATTGAGGTCTTCTAATAAAAACGATACCTATTTTATAATCGTTTTTTATTTAAAAAATGTTGCAAGTGAAGAAACTAATATAGATATCAGTTTAAGGAGATACATTTTTATTGATTCAATCATTTAAATATAAATTATAAAGACCATTACAACACTTAAATCCTGCGTTGGAATTAATATATTTATATATTTGATTTATCAAATAATTAATGAATTCAATTATATATTATACAATTTCTTTGATTATATCTTTCTATTTATATACTTGATTTATTAATCAAATATTTAATCTTATTGTTTTGGAATAATAAAAGATGATCATTTCCTTCAGCAAAATGTAATTACATCATTATAAAAACTGATTTTTTTTATATTCTAAACGCCTCTAAACATACAAAGAATTTATTAGATTTAGATCTTGAGATAATTACAAATTTTGTAAACAAGCATAAAAAACTGAAATTTACCACTAATAATAAAAAATATATATGAATTTTTGATTTGTTTAGTGTGTATGGGGATAAATTTCTATAAAAAAGATCATGCTGAAAATTAATGACTATTTATATGAATTATAAAAATATCTAGTTTCAAGTGGAATTTTTAGAATATTTATCTCAATATCAAGAAAAACATCTTTTTTTAATAATAATTATTAGTCCAAACTTTGCATATGGTATATTCAAATGAATTATTTGAGATGTAAAATATATATTTATTAAGAATAGTGATGTGAAAAGGGAAGATTTTATAAAATATAGAAATGATTGGTATAACAGAAGATTTAAATTCTTAAAGTATTTATTAAATTTATGATAAAAATAAATCGTTATTGTAATAAAGAAAAATAGAATAAGAAAATATGTATCAAATACTTTTTTTTAATGAAATTTATTAATTAACGAAGAAAGTAATATAATTTAAAACACGATTTATTTAAGAAGTTTATCTAAGTATTATAATAATGTACTATTATGATTGTTAATGAATCACTCTTTTAAAGCAAACTTTCTTAATGAGAAATTGTTTAATCTTTTCCATTATCTGAGAGTTTTTTATGCTAATTAATATTGAAATATCGAACCTTTTTCGCTTCTGGTTAATCTTTATCTGATTGCTCTAGTTTATTTGCCTCTGAGATCAACAGGGAGTTTGCCACTTGATTTTGTGCTTGATTTAACTTAGTCGTGTCTTTATTGATTAATGACTGTTAAATATTTTGCAATTCGTTTTCTCACAAGCTGAAAATATATGGACTAAGAATTACTCCAATTCTGCCGAGCTTTTGAGCATTACCAGCTGAAACTTTGACTGTTCTTAATTGAATGAGTTCTGACTTAAGCTTTTCTAAATCCTTAAGAAGATCCTCTGGCTTTTAATCTCTGAGTTTTCTAACCTTGAACTTTTGTGACATATTTTAAAAATAGATTTAATTTTTATTAAAAATGGGGAATTGCTTCAATTAAGATGAGTCTCAAAATTCTTCATTAAAAACAATGAAAAAAGTTGAAAGTGTTTTAAGTTAACCTATACATGAAAATGAGAGTGGGAAAGTATGTTTGAAGGATTTCCTGAGCCAAGGTGAAATAGGCAGGGTTTTAGATATTTAATAGTATAAATAGGGTCAGTTTGGTAAGGTTCTGAAGGTGAAGATGAAATGTAACACGAAGGAATACGCAATGAAAGTTATCAAAAAGGCAGACATAATAAAATACGGTTTAGTAAATCATACTATGCTCGAGAAGAATGTTTTAGAATATAGCAATAATCCATTTGTAATTAAACTACAATATTCATTTTAAACAGAACAAAAGCTTTATTTGGTGATGGAGTATATAATAGTAAATACAAATAGATTAGTGAATGGAGGGTAATTACTGAGAGTGATGACAAGATAACCCTAAAAACATTTTACATTCGTTTAAGCATAATTTTGTGCAGCAGAAGTAGTTTTAGGTTTAGAATACATGCATGAGAAACTCAAAGTAATCTATAGAGATTTAAAACCAGAAAATATCTTAGTGACTGAACAAGGACATTTGAGATTAACAGATTTTGGATTATCAAAAAAGTATGAATCCCTCGACATGAAGTTCTTTACTGTATATCTCTGTATTTTTCACTAGATTAGATAGCCGGTACTCCAGAGTATCTGGCACCAGAGATCTTGAATAATTCTGGCCACAATTACACTGTAGATTGGTGGTGTTTGGGAATATTGATATATGAAATGCTAGTTGGCAAAACCCCCTTCAGAGACAAGGCTAACAATTTCAGGAATATAGAATAACAAATTAAAGAATGTCATATAGTGTATCCAGATCATTTGAATGAATAATCCAAAGATATAATAGTATAGTTCTTGAATAAAGATCCATCAAAGAGATTAGGTATTAAATTGAATAATGAATTAGGACATAAATCAATATAAGAAATTAAGGATCATAGTTTCTTTAAAGAGATTAATTGGGATGATGTAGCTAATTTAAGGATCAAATCACCTATTCTAGAGGGAGTTCAAAAGTTACAATAACAAATTGCAAAAGAGGCTCCAGTCGCAAAGAAAATCTTTGAGACTCCTTAATCATAAGTTGGTCAAACAGCAGGTAATTTTGAAGGATTTTCTGCAAATCATGATGAATTTTGATGATAAATATAAATGTTTAATAATAATCCTTAAAAATACATAAACAGAAATGATATCAAGGAAATTAAAAAGAAATTTGATTGGATTGTCATTCATTCCGTTAATAGCAAAATTCCTGGAGTTACTTTAGAGGTATTATATTTTAATATTATAGCAAGCTATGCAAATCGTGGCTTAATAAATAGATTCATCGCCTCATATATTTTCAAGATGGGTTACTAGATAAAGTCGAAGAAATGTGGCAACATGGCCTTAGATTCTAGAATTGATTGAGACATACAACTAGTAATAGGAAACAGCATTCGATAATTAAATTTATGAACAATCAAGTTTCTAATTCATCGAAGATAAGTTTATGTAATTTATTTTATTTTTCCTAAGGGTAATGAAACCATCATACTTCTAAATAACAAACTAATAAGAAAAATAAATCTTTGTCTATTACATTGAAAATATGTCATATGTCAAATTGAAATAAGAATTCGCTATTCTAATTTTTAACAATAAAACGTTAGCTCTTATGAACATTCATAATTTCAAACCAATCCTTGTGGTTTCTGCTTAATCAATTGAAAAAACAAAGAAAAAACAGGCAGACGAGTTTATGGGTATCTTATAAAGACTTGATTAATAATAATCTAAAGACAGTTGGAAAAAATAAATTAATTTTTACAAAAAATCAATAGAAAACTCTTTTCATTTCGAAAGATTGGACACAAATTCTTCAATGAAAGAAAGACTGGATCCCATTTTGCAATGCAAAAGAGATATAGAACACCTATAAAAGGTAGTTAATTTGAATCCCTGGGATCCACAATTAAGACCTTTAAATCCAGATCCTAAAATGCAATTAATTAGAAAAAGAGGATAATCTGAACATTCTAAACGTTACCAAGTTCTTGAATAAGAGAATTATAAATTGAATTCTTCCTTATAAGTTTAGCTAATCTGTTCAAAAGATAATAATATTATATTAGTCTTAGAAAATCTAGTGCTATAATATTATTAATTGGAGTATGATTATAAAAATGGTGATTACTCCTTAAAAAAATGTCATGAATTCACATTAAACGATAAAATTGATTAAATTGCCATAACTTAGAATAAATGGATTAAGTAAGATCATTGTTTAATTTTGAAATCAAAATAAATGTTAGTGTATTCTATGCCTGATTTTAAATTAGTGGATAAGATTTAGGTGGGTTAATAAGCAGATACAATGTTATCAAATAAGATTATTATAATTTGTTAATATGATGGATTATTCAGTATAATAAAAGAGAATTTAAGGAAAAATCAATAAGAATAATTTTATTCAGTGGGTCTTTAAAAATAGGTTAAATTTAATGATCTCAAATAATCAGTTTCAAGTCTTGATTATTCAAGCAAATACTAATTTGTAATTTTTGGCAGCATGTGTACGTTGGTCAGCATTTATGACATTCGCAAAGGATAGTTTATCCATTAATTTAGTGTTCTTAACACATCTTAATAATTTAATCAGATGAATGATAAGATTCTAAGGGTTTTTGTATTTGACTCTTAAAATCAATATCTAATTATTTTTACATCTGGATATGTTACAATTTGGGACATTTAGAGACATAAAAAAATATAAGAATGTATGAAATAATCGCCATAAAATAAAACACAACAATAGTATTTTTAAGGTATGTTTTTGGAACAAAGAGGAATGCTGTTATTAGGAGGATTCAATCTCTAAAGTTGGGTATCTAGAATCAACCCAATACAGATTTCGGATACTATTTTAGATTCCAATTCATCTCCTATATACTCCTGAATAATATTATGATATATTTATTGTATTCCATTAAATTTCAATCTTTAATTAGGTAGTAATTCTTATTTTATATAAACAGTTATTTTGGTAATTAACATAAAGATAAACTCAACCTAAGTTCTACATTTGTTCTATGTTCAATCTCTTTTGAACCCAGTCTTACCACTCGAAATAAGCCTTACCTTCCTTTTAACACTCTTTATACAGGGTTTCTGTGTTCACACTATAAATCTCATCAAAATTATCTGAGTTCATTTTCACGCATTATACTAGCTAAAATGGAATAGTTTAAATATATTTACAAGTTCAAAGAAGATGTAATATGGATCTGGGTAAGACTTCTAAATTTCAATTATTTTTGAATTAGATCTCTTTCCAAGCTATTGCAAATACTATTACACACCAACTTATTCAATAGTTTTTGATTTTCTTTATTTGGCAACCGTGATCCTATTATTAATGTCTGAGAATTGAAATTTTGGAATCTAAGTTTTATTTAGATCTAATCTTGCTGTTTATGAAACAAATTATGAATTAGGAGCACTTTCAATTTGATTATCTTCTTAAACACTTTTGATTTTATCTCTTAAATTCTCCTTCTCAACCTAATTGACTTCAAAGGTTGAAACAACAGTATAAAGATCGCTTTCATTTTAGTTGCCTTTTTGGGTTTAATCTGATTGCTCTTACCTTTCAGAAACTTCTGGAATTTGAAATTTATATAATTATTATCTGTATGACAGTAAAGGGAGTTATAATTTAAGATTAGGTTGTGTTTATTAATAATTCGATTATTAGACTTCGCTGAATTAAGTTGCTTCTAAGTTAGTGGTGTAGGCGCTATTTTATAAATTGTAATCTTAATCATCTCCTTTTTTTTCAATTGCTTTTTCGTTTTATTTCATCTTAGTAATGTTTATTGATCTAATTTACTCCTTCAATTGATCTATTTAAATTTCATAATCAATTACAATTTCATTTTAGATTTTGAGATCTTATTCTAATGATTATATCAGAATATCCTACTATTACTTTTGTAATTTTAATTATGAAAACTCAAACTTCATTTATTTCAATAGTAAATTTAGTTCTTCTATTTAATCTTTATAATCATTGATCTCAATTTAATTAGCTTACAAATCTGATTTCAATTTTTGATTCACAGCCTATAATTCTTATTAAAAATTTTGATTTTTCACTAATTATTATTCTTAAAGTTAAATAATTTCTGTTATGCTACCATTATCTATTTGGCTCCTTTGAATTCTTAAGTTTTGATTTTCTAGATTAGTGTTTTGATTCTTTAAAATTGATACTTATTGCTCCAAATCTGAAATAACATTTAATTATTCATCTATGATCTAACATTTTTCATGGTACAAGTTCTACAATAATAGACATACATTCTACCTTATACTGAAGTATTTAATCTCTTTCTTATTGCAATTCGTTTAAGAGTTGCTTTCTTTGTTTTTCTTGAAAATCATTATTTTCTTATTCATCATCCTGTTTAGCTTATAAAGTTCCTATTAAAAATAGAGAGATGTAAATTAGATTTTCGATAACACCCTGGTCTTGATTGATTTATTCCATCATAAATTTGATCTCATCTTTGAATAATGATTAATCTTACTATTTTTTTCTTCCGATGAAGTGTCATTCATTCTCTTTTCAAAGAAAGATTCGCTGTACATTTCTTCAATCTTCTTGATATATTCATTAATTTGCGCTAATTCGTTCATTCCCTAGATTGAATTTTGGTTTTAAAAATTATAGAAAATATGCAGATATATATTATGTATAATTTCAACAATCATTCTGGATAAGAATTTTATTCCGTAATAAACTTGTATAAACACTTCAGATCTAAGATCGCATCTTCATATTCATCATCTATGACCTGTAATTTGATCATCTCACAAATGGGCTAGTATTTAAACAACTCCCTTATATCTAAAATCAAATCTTCCTTATGATGGCATAAAATTGAAATCTGCTTAGCGAATATTTCAGGTGCTTCAAGCAAGAATTCATCCCTTATTATCAATTTCAACAATGGCACTGAATTGATAATAATTTTATTGTCATCTGTGATTTGCTTCTCAAATTCATTCTCCATTTCCATACATGAAATGAAATATTATCTTATAGCCTTACATAGCAACATAATTCCTATCAACTTTTAATTGAAATCAAAGAATAACTTACCATCAACAAATTTAAAATATCTCAAAATTTCAGGAAATGCTATATCTTTACTGGATATTTCCGACAAAAACAAAATGAATAGCTGTTTACAAAATTCTAATTATTCTATTGTTAAATCCTCATTATTTGATTTTACTATTATTTCTGAATCAAAGAACTTTGTTTTTATACAACACAACTTAGCCTTACTCCTTTCTGATGACTTTGACTACTTAATATAGGATTCCACCTTATTCATAACACTCCCAACATATTAAGGAATGTCCTACTACTGGTTTGGTTCTCCAAAGACCTCGTCTTTATATAATTCATTCAGTTTCGATTACAAAGCCTTGAATTTTCTATCGTTTATAACAAAACTTAATTAATCCAATTCATCTATTCTATCTAATACCAATTGAAGCACTGAATACAATACTGTCTCATCTCTATCCTCAATATTCTTATTTGAATGCTCAAAATTTAATTAGTCAAGACCCTTAAAATCTAAATAGTCAAAATCATTCATCTTCAACTATTAAGCAATAGTTTCCATGCCCTATTTGTCAACAATCAATTTCACTAGTTCCACACTCGGCAATATGTATATCCCCTATTCTTCTGGCCTATCTTAAACATTGTATCTGCTCTTTCTAAGTGACAAGTACTGAAGCACTTCTGGTACTGGAACATCTAGCTAGACAGCAGAGAACAACAGAGTTTTAGCTGCTTTCTTAATGATTTTCTGGTGTAAAAGTTAGGCCTCACTACAACCACCATGTTGATATTTATTCATTATTGGTCCTGTCAAAACATAATTATTTATTCTTTCTAAAAAGGCAATAATTAATTCACATTTCTTATCTGCACATTTGGCTTTGGCAGTCAGCTTATCCTTTAATTATCTTAATTTCTTTTAAAAGATGATTCCTGAACATGTTGCTATTATTTGTTCTCGATGTTATTCTCTCTTCTCATAAACAAGTTTAACCATTTCATAAATCAATTCTAATTAATCTGTATTGTAATTAGTTCTATAGTATTTGATTTAATCATCAGCACTAACATTCTCACCAACCTTTTGCCATAATTGATTAGCCAAGTCATCGCAATCTTTTAAGTACAAAGAGTAGATGTAAGTCTTCTAAAGTATTTTAAAATCTTGGAGAATCTTTGGCACTGGTACTTTTTTTTCAATGAGTATTGTCAAAGCTTGCAATATTCTTATTCTACATTATGGCCATTTATATTGGTAATCATCTCGCATCATAGTATCCTTACCAATCTATGAGTTCTTGCTTTATTTTGATTATTTTTTGTCTTCCTATTGAAAATCATTAACCATTTATCTAATATCTTCATCATCAAAGTCTTAAATCAAAGGTATAGATTTCAGTTTCTCCAAGATCTCATTATTTTTTGTATTTTCTTTAGATCTTTTTACATTTTATTCTTTTTTATGGTGATCACTCTTTTTGATTTCAAAAGATTAGTTTTGTAAATTAATCTCTTCATTTTATATTTGAGGATATTATTTCTCAAGAATATCTTATTATTTGGCTTGCATTTTTTAGGATTTGTTTCTTATTTTATTCCGAGACAAATCCTCTGTTTATTATCCTGATCCTTAATTTTCATAACTTGAGTCTCCATCTGAATCGGATTAAGAATTATAGTTTTAAATTTAACACTAATTTGATAAATAGTGATATAATTATTCTTTACTTTTTAACATGAATTTTTAAATGTGAAATTTCTATATTAATTTTAAGAAATCTTAATAATCCTTCAATTCTGAGTAGTTTTGACTTTTAAAAACAGGCAATTGATTCGCAAGTTGTGTTGTGGAATTAAACATTAATATTTATCAATCAAACTCACAATGTAATATTTGGCAAAATTTTACAAGGATTTGAAACATTAATCAAGATTAAAAATCAACTATATAAATGAACACAATTATATTAATTACTAACAACATATGATCATTGATTCATAGTCTAATAATCTACATTCAGAAATTCTATTTATGACTAATTATACTGCTTTGTTGAAAACTGAGAATCTTTGGGATTACAGAGATTAAAAATAAATTCAATAGAAACAATATATAATGGTATTATAGTTCATTTTAATATTGCTATCAGTTTTCTTAAAGGTATCTCCTCTTTTACAAACTCCTACTTTGGTTACCTATAAATTTGTGGCTATTAGTAGTTAAGAGGATCTATTCGTTCATTTTAATCTAGTAGGTTGGTTTCGAATGAAATCGTATCGTATAATTAAAATATAGGAATACCTATGAAATCATTTTCTTTTGTTTGCTGAAACTTATTCGTTTGATTAATTTCTTAAACATTTGACTTGATTATTTTGTGAAATTGAATATTGGAACCACAGTGAGTTAGATTTGAGTAATTATTCAAAGAGATTTTTTAGAGTTTTGAAATCTCTCGCTCTTATTTTAAATTTAATAGAACATCCTCAGAAAACAGCTAAGTAAATTGATCATTCCTCTCCTTTTATAGCCACCTAATAAAGTCTGTTTTAGCATCGTTCATTTATCCTTGTAATATTTATGAATAAAATTATAATTATTAACATCATTTTTTAATTCTTAAATATTCTAATAGAATATTATAAAAATATTATGAAGTCTAGTCAAAAGTTTAAGGATTAATAAAAATATTCACAATAATCTTTAAATTAAATTTAAAGATCCTTATAACCTGGCTATTCATAGAGTGGTCGCATTTCCTCATTCGAACCCAAGCCAAGAATGCAACAATGTTTGGTTGGTTGATATTTCGGATGCTTGTCATCAATACTTACGGCTACATCGATATAATTTTACTAAGTGAAATCACAATAGATTATTTGTTTTTGCTATAAGATAATGATCAAAGATATACATTAAAGATTGAATCTGGATTTTCGTATATAGGAAGACTAATAAAATGATCAATGAATAATTAATGCAATAGGGTAACAAAGATTTTCATTGCCTCCTTATAATTGGGGATTTTAGAATATTAGGAATACCATTCATGAATGAGGATAACTCGCTAGACAAGTATTTAGATATAAACATAATCCATTTGAATCATCTTTGTTACTTCCACATTAATTTATCTAAGTAATTTAAACCATTTACCCCATTGTAACATTTGGTCTTAATTCCACCCTATCAGTTACAAACTATGGGTGACCAGGCAATAAATAACCCCCTGGAGTTGATATTTTCTTAATAAACTGTTTATGTTCGTCTGTCATAGAACTCTTAGTCATAAATGGTATTTTCTTAAAAAGAACAGTTATTATGGAAAATATTAATTTAGATTTGATATCAACTTCTTATTTATCGAAAATATTCCAATTTTTAGTTAAATACTTGTTTTTATTGCATTCAACAACAAACAAAACAAAAACTTCTTTGTAGTTCTATTTAATTTGATAAATCAATTACAAATTCATGATCGAATTTATCAATTAATTACTATGCTTCAGTATTGTAATACTCTTGTCTTCGTTGTAGCCAAACTCTTTTCAAATATTTTCTAAGCACTAAACCAATTCTAAAATACCAAAATACTCCAGATAGCTTTCTCCTCAATTTGAGTTTCTCTTCTTCTGTAAAGATCTTTTTTTAATTATTCTTTCCTTTTCCTTTCCCCTACTATCTTATATTGTAACTTATCTAACTATCATTAATAGAGACTCTACTATTTGTTCTCTGGTGATCTGAATAATCTTAGTCTCTAATCCTGTGATGATCTCTATCTTTTATTTATTTCTTATCTTTATTCCTCTTGTAACGTTATCTATCATCATAATGTCTTCTTCCATCCAAATTTGAATGATGTCTATGTTACCTGCTTCTGTCATCTTGATCATCAGTATATTAACTTGGGTAAGAATCTTTTCTCTATCTATTTGGATCCCTTAAGTGGTTATTACCTTTCTAAAGCATCTCCAGAACTATTTTTTTGTAAGGGTCATCCTGATTGGATTATTATTATTATGGATATGGATACATAAATGGCGGAGGCATAGGAAAGTATGGATTCATGAACATATATGGAGGCATCATTGGCTGCACTTATTATTGTTATTGTGGCGGACCAGGTAAATATTGTGGAATTATAATTGGATGTTGAACAGGTTGTTTTGGACCTTATTCAATATTATTTATTTGTCTCCTCAGAGTTTTTACTTCCTCTAGCAACTGCAAAGTGACTTCATCCTTCTCTGGGTTAGGTTATATAACAGATTGATTGAATTGAGGCCTGTAGGATTGCTCTGTTTTAGACTCCTTTACTAGATTAACAAGTTCTTTTATAGTGTCTTTCTATTGTTCCAGTTTTCTTCTTAAATCTTGAATCTATTTGGAATCTCTAAAACTCTTGTTTTCCAGCTCGGGTAATACAAGACGATTTGGTGTTTTGGACATTAATTGAAAAATTATTACAAATAGTTTTAAATATTTCTTCATAAAATTGTTATAAGTGAAATATGAAATATACTAATTCTGATGTACATCTGTGTGGATTTGCTTTAACCATGATTGCCTCTTGATTTAGTTTAGACATTGCAATTTGAAATACAAATTTCCAACTAGTTTTTAGACAATTTAATAAAGGAAGTTACCAACAAATACACTTAAATTATAAGGGCTTAAAATAAAGGAAACCCAAGGAGTAAGAACGATAAGAATTATGTTTTTAGATTGAAAGGAGATTTTTTCTCTTTAATAATATTCTTATGCTGAAAACTTTAAAAGTGTTATAAAAAAACTTGAATCATAAAAGAAAAGCTATGTTATATGTTAGATAATTTGATATTTTTGGGTGAAGATTTTATGAGTTGGGTTAAAATTCTTTGTAAATGGAGAGAGTTTTAGATTGAAGGAATTAGATAGAGGGTAGTATGGGTAGAGGAAACTTTGTTAAGTAGATAGTAAGAATAACTAAAACTTAGAAATCTATACATATAAAAACGGATTTCATATTAAAATACAGCGAGATAGGAATTGTTATATCAAGTATATGAAAGCAACAGGTTAAAACTAGAGTTACTTTATAAAATGCTTTCTAAACTGATGTAAAATTACGATATGGATAAAATTTGTTGCGTGATTATCTATTTATATAAGGACTAAAAACAACAGAAAGGTCTTGCTTAAGATATTCAACTACTTAGAACAATGAATAAATTTTATTATTATTAGTCTATTAAAAATCATTACTGATATTCTACTTAGGGATCTAATACTGTGGTATGAGGTTAAGTTAGCTTTTTAACTCTATCATATCTCAGTACTTTGCTTTAAACCAGAAGTCCAGTTAATTGAGAACTCAATGTTAATTATCAATCTGATAAGTGATTAATCGTTCAAAAAGCACAACTGTTGAACATTATTATTAATTATATTATTAACAGATGAACTTCAATTAATTGGTATTCCCAACATAAAACAAATCTCAAAAATCATTAAATTCTCATCAATAAAACTCCAACAATTCAAACAAAAAAACAATATCAAATACTCCTCTCCTATCTAAGCATCCTACAACAAATAAGATCAACAATAGGGACGATATCAAAAATAAGGAAAAATTCTTAGATCTTAAAAATTTAAAGACTCCAATAACAAAATAAATCTCCCTTGACACAGAACCCTAGTACTTTAAGGGAAAGAGACCTTCAGCATAAACTATCTCGAATGATGTAGAAAAGGCTAAATTTCTTTAAATTTAAACAACAAGAACTGTGCGCACTAGTTAGATTGATCGAAATAATACAATGAAAATACAAGAAACACACTAAATATCAACAGAATAGAGGAATAAAAATTACTTCAAAAGCGATTGCATTAATAATGACAAGATCTTAGATTTGCTATTATTGAATACGTAAGAATTGAAAGGCATTTTCCAGAAGGAGAAAGAACCACCACAAAGAGCAAAGCCAAGAATAAACAATGTTAAAGGTTTTCCATCCGATTTCTTTTCTTTATTGTGAATTTTACAAATCATCAAATTTTGATTAAATATTCAAAAATACTAATTATTGAATATGTTTCTCTTTAATTTATCTAGATACAATATTAATAAGTTTCATCTTCTAATATAATTAGTATATTATTTGATAAATATTCTAATTTTATATTATATAGAGAATAATCAACAAATATTGTAATACTCTTTTCTTAATCTAACAGCTCGCATTCAGATGGAATAGAAACCTAGTTTCACTATGAAAGGATTTGCAAGGTTAGAATTCGATAGTCAAATATTATGTCAATGCAAAATTTCATCAAATCAATATTAATTGTGAAATTTCCATTTTTAGTTATTACATTTGCTAATTTTTTGAGATGCAGATTTTGACTTACAAACTCAGAATTTATAAACTTTAATTGTATTAAAGCTCAATCTTTATAAATATAATTTTTGAATAATCTCATTTCTTATTCTTAATTTTCAACTACAACCTTAACTATTCTTAAAAGCTATAAGTCGTTTTATCATTTGATTAGATATATTCATTTAATAATTTAATATTTTTATCAAATAAATTAATTTAATTAGTCTAAGTCTACAAACAAATGTCAAGTTAGAATAAAATTTATTTAATGTGTACTGTTTGAATCAACATGTTGTATTAAGTAATAGTCTAATTATAAAAAAAGAATTAATTAATTCTCTAGAAGTCCTTAATTACTGTTCATCATAGAACAAACTCTTATGATTTTCTTTTTTATCATACCAAGTTAAATATTCCACTAGAATGTTAGATTTCCTTTGAATAGTTAATACAGATTTCTATAATTGTAATTTTAATGAACCTTTTATATCATCGTTATTTAAACTAATACTAAGTTTAGATGCATATTTCACAGTAAACTAAAGAGAATACAATTTGTTCCAGTCTTTTCCTTCGATTGCTGTATTCAAATTTAATTATATCAATCGAAAAGATTACATTAGTAAAAGTGAAGTAAATTTCTTTTGATATAAATTGAAAAATATTCAGGAAGACAACAATTATTAAAATTGGTATCTTATGAATTATTCACCATTTAATATATACACCTATTTTTTATTACTATTGTAATGACTTTTCTACTATGTGAATAAGTAAATTATTACAATGGGTTTTTTTGATCTTGGTTATAAAGGGAGTCTCAAGGGCTTTTAATTAAATATGGCATGGAGTGGGCAGTGATGTTATGTTTGAGCATGAATTTAGGTCAGATGGTTGATTTTGAATAGTATTCCTATTATCATTTAATTAAATAATGAATAATAGCTTCAATAATTTCAGAGAATGTTACAACCTCCCTGGCCTTCGTAGTTTCAACTCTTAAAGTGACACTTCTCTGTTTCGAAATAAGTAATCGAGCTTCAAGAACGATCGACATAATCTGCATAGCTCTAATGAAGAATTATTTGCTGATATTGAAAGATCCTGCAATATGAATGTGAGTGGAGAGTCACTTCCAACAAGTGAGGAAGAACATAGTCTAATCGATTAAGCAATCGACATGTTTTCAGGTATTGTACTTGTAAAACTTTCCCAGATACAAAAGTAATATTGCCGAAGCAACAAGCAGACATCAGAGATGTGCAAGACCAAATGATAAAAGACATCAATCATGTTTTTGTAGATTCGTGTTATAAATCATATCTTTCGACAGAAATATTCGAACCCGAATTTCTTGAGAATAATCAATCCTTAAAAGACTAATTCTACGAGAACAACCACAGACGTAAACGTAAAACTATATCGGATGAGGATTCCCATAATTTTATTGTACGAATTGATGGTATTGAAGGAGATACAAGAACAACTGTCATGGTTAAAAATATCCCAAATAAATACACTATTCAAATGCTCAAAGAATTAATTGATTATCATCATTCAGCCTCCTATGACTTCCTCTACCTTCCCATAGATTTCAAGGTATCATATAGTACACAATCCTTATAGAACAAATGCAATATGGGTTATGCATTCATCAATTTTGTTGAGAGTCGAATGATAACTTCTTTTCACAATGAGTTTCACGGTTAGAAGTGGCCTCATTTTAACAGTGAAAAAGTAATTGCCCCCTTATTATTGTAGATTTGCTAGTTGAGATATGCAAGAATCCAGGGCAGATCTGCATTGTTACAACATTTCCAATTTTCAAGTGTAATGAACCAAAAAGATAAGAAACTCAAGCCAGTGATTGTACCTCAAAATGAACTATAACGTATACAGTAGATGATTTAAGTACACCTATCAATTATATTCTTAGATGTAAAAATAATGAAATGTAAAAACAATTTTGTTTAGGGAATATTGATAGCACAATAGATCTCAATTTTGAGTATGCTCATTAATCATATTCCCATAATTTAATTAATTATTTGTTCACTTTTTTTCATTCTTTAAGATAATTTCTTCTCTACATGTATATTCTTAATGCTATGATCACTGCTGTTAGGAGAATGGAAGGCTGGACTTTAAGTAAATCTTGAGACCTTAGACATCAAATTTGTGTAGGTTTCAAGGAGATTTCGAGGTCGTTCTCTTAGTCTTGGCAATTAAGTATATTGTTATTTCATCATTTTCTCTACAATTTCCTTTTCCTTATCGAAGTCTCTCATTTGCAAACATAATTTCACATTCTTTAATTTCTCCTTCAAAGAACATTGATGATTATTGTATTCAACAATTTAATTGATTCTATCCTTACTAATTGTATTAGAAGTGGTTTTTAACTCTCTCTAGGTGATACACTTTTACAATATCTCCTTGGTGTTGATATCTCTTAAAATCTACTTATTGCTTTCTTATTGTTATTTTGCAATCATCCTATGACATTTCTTAACCCAATCCTATCTAAACCCATCACTACTGATCCTATAATCATTGATCCTTTCTCTCATAAATCTATCCAGTCCAGAACATTATTTTTTTGGGAGAAAGTAAATGATAGTTTCATAGGACACAGATGTGGCAGTGTATAGTCTCAATCCAGGATTCTTTAGATCAAACAATCCAACAAATTGGCATTCACTAAATTAATTGACTCTCACATTATCAGAACTAATTTCAACTATGCCTTGAAAAATCAAATATAGGCCATCAACAACATCTCCTTATTTAAAGATCGTTTGGTTTATAGAGAATAATTTTCTTTGAAAATCAAAACTTAATTAAATCACAACCTCTTTGGATGATTATGGAAACATCTTACTAAGCATTCCCAAAGTGAAATTCAATTTCTCTAATTTCGATTCGAAAATCCGTAAGTAATTGGATTTATTCAAAGCTCCCAAATGCAAAGTATCTAGGGCAATTAGAGTGGCTGCTCTAGGTTCGTTTCTGAACAAAGATACCTCTCCAAAACAATCGCCATCTCTCATTGTATTGACCTTTTTATACAGACAAATCATTTAACCATTGGGTAATTTCTGATAATAACGACTTTTAAAAGGAAATAGGAGAATATCTTCCATGTTTTAGAATTCCTTTAATTCATTCTATAGATCTTACAATTGTTTTTACATTTACTTAACATCGTCTTTCTTCTTGGAGTTATTTGTCATATCCTCCTTTATTTGATTCATTTGTGTCATTATTTGCTTTTATTTCTAAACTTCATCTTCTCTTTAAAATATATAATTCACAAATCTTACTTTTTTGGAACATATACTAAAACTGTTCCTTTCAAAATCATATAGAAATAATCTCCTCTTTCTCCACAATGAAATACAATGTTCCCCTTCTTCACTTATTTATATTCCAAGCTATTAATGGTTTCTTCAATGTATTCAAAATACTCTGCTTGCTGCTCCAGTGCTTTGAAATAGCTATATTAATAATGATTGTGCTTACCCAAATTCTCGGAGAATATCTTGCATGTAGATTCGACTAGCCAGTTCATTCAGTTATAGATTCTTAGACATAATCTCGATTGCCTTTTCAAATGATTCAGACGACAAGTCATATTCCCTTACTACACTGAGATTTAGGGTACTACGACGGACAGGCAAAGGGCCAATAGAAGAATGAACTATTTCGGAATCATTATTATAATTATTCATTTTATTACTGCAATCTCGATTAACAATATTCGTTCAGTACTTGTTGATAAGACTTTCTTATGTTCTGATGCTTCGTTCTGTATGTCAAACTGTTCTGTACATTTTCTATGCTTCTTTTGAGTCTTTTATTTTCCTTTGCGATTTCATCCGAGATCTCAGTCTTTTCCTTACGTTTTATATATAATTTTGGTAAACTGTGCTTTGCATTGCTTATTTTCATTATTGCTTATTAGATTTTTTAATTGTTATAAGCAATGCTCTTGTTCTCCTCGATGGCTTCAAAGGCCTACACTTGATCCTTAATTTTCTTAATTGTCGATACTACATATAACCAATAAGTTACATTAACGAATCACACCCAAAGAATCCTCTTCGACCTTGTTCTTTCTACCCTTGATCTATTTAAGTGAGTTCACATGATTTGCAAAATATTAGCGATGGATGGGATCAGGCAATATTGCTAATTTCATTATAAATATTAATTAATCAATCATATTGTTTTTCAAACTCTAGATGCTTTTCAAAAACCTCAATTAATCCAATCTCATCTTCTTAATAATCTTCAGTCACAGGATCCGCACTTAAAATCACATCTTATGTACTTGTATCTATCTTGCTTCTTCCCCTTCATCCGATTGTCTATATGAGTCAAAATAATCGAATTGCTCAGAGAATTAAGAAAACTAAAAGAGCATAAATCAAACTCTACTTCTAATCCCTCCTAAAATACTTCTCTACCTTTTCATCTGCCCTATTCACCCTCGGAAACTCCTCCTTTCTGCCACTCTTAAATTTTGGAGTCGTAATCATGGAATTGAAGGTGTACTTATGCTGTAGCTTCACTTCTTGAGGAGTCAAACTAAAGTTCTTAACATCTCTTAAATGTCCTTTTGGTCTTTGCCTATCATTTAAATGTCCATAAACATTTTGGTTATCATTTTTTTCCATAAAATCAGTAAACAATTCTATCATTTTATCAATATTAATGTCTCACCATGTTTACGTCTGAAATGACTCGTCTTCTACAATGTTCTATATGCTTACTAGAAAGTATAATCTTGATTCTTCACTTTTGGTGTCTTAACAAAATTTATCTGGTTTGTAACTGTACTTTAATATTAATAACATTTCTACTTCACTAATCTCACATTATTAAATCCTTCCGCAGGCTAATTACTAAACTTCTATTCTGAAATATTGTAGAAATCGTAATTATTCAATGTATTGCTACGTAGCGAATCCCATTTGCTCTTTGGTTTCTGCTGTCCCTTGATGAATGGATTGTCGTAGCTCTCTTTGCAAATCAATGTATTTGGAGTTCTGAAAAAAGATGGCGATTCCAAAGAGTTTCCAAATGCATACTAAGGCAACATCTTTTTGCCTCTTTTCTCTTTGACTGGTTCCTACAATTAATAGGTGTCAGTGAAGGTGCTCCTTAAATACTTTGGTAATTCCTTGCTTTCTTGATTTCCTCGATTGGACTAGACTTTTTTTTAAGCGCATTACTCTCAAAAGCAATAAAGCCGATTCTTCTTTGCCTGTAAGCATATTAGATTGGACTTATTTATTTTAATATTATATTTTTATATTTTTATTCCCATACTTATATAACTGGTTGAATTATTTCTAACTCTATCCAGCTATATCCTCTAAAAAATTATACATCAACTGTCTCGCTTTCCTAGTAATCACATTATTTCTCAGATTGACCAACATAGATCTTATATTTAAATTAGAAATAGTCGCTACATCAATTTGTTATAAAAGTACCATAATCTTAACCTAGCAACTTAAAATTTAAAAAGATTTGTGAAGTAAATTTTAATTTTCTTATTAAAAACTGTCTTAAGTTCCAGATAGGTGAAATCCTTTGTTTTCAATGAGTTGATATATGATTTTTAATATAATCCAATAGAGAATTCTTTCTCTCCTTAGACTATATAGAGAAGGGTTTTCATACTTCATTTTTATGAATGAGATTCTATAATAACACCAAATGAATATCAATCAAATATACAAATTTAAGAATCAAACTGTATTGTATCAAGAAGATTAAAATTATTAAATAAATCCATAAAAAAGATGATTAATAATTAATAAATAGTATTTATATATTTTGACAACATACATCATCTTAAACAATTATTATTTACTAGAAATTTTTATTATCATATTATAGTTATTTACAATCAATTTGTTCTTAAATTGTTAACATATTTTCTACTGTTTCCCAAACAGATTAGTAAGAGTGTCATAAAGATAAAACAAATGATATCAGCTAAAAGTACTAATAAACTAATGTTATAGACATCGTCACCAGATAAACGATCCCATTCCATCGTCAATGGTTTTTCTATCAATAAAAAATACATCAATTAAGGTGTAAAGAACAGTATTTCTAATGATTTCATTATAAAATTTTGCACCTACAAAAAAACCATTGCTTTTTTATTTCAAAAATATGAATTGACACTCAGGGGGAATTAAAACAATATATGTTTTAAGTATCAAAAGCCATCGATTTAAAGAATTCACTTACTATTAAAGTTACCTCAATTCCAATTCGTCTTATCCATTCCTAATGACCATCTAATTGCATCTAATCAATAACTGGTCCCTTTCATTAATGGTCTTATTAAACCAAGCTTCATAAGTATCATAAACAATTTTAATCCTTGTGTCTCTCGTCTAAACACCTACAGAAAGTAATTTGTAGATTATCAATATAAATATTAGTCTAATTCCAATAAAGGAACCTGGAATCCACCAATAAAATTACGTCATTATCTCTTAACTGTTTTCATCCTAAGCTTAGTTATTATAATCATTTTTTATCACAAAAAATATAACAATAGCCACATATCCAATTCTCAACCCGATATTCAACCAAATGTATAGATTCATTAAATATCTAATCCATCGATTCTTGTTAATCAACTTAATCAATGCAGCAGAAGTATCCAAAGAACATTCTAACTAAGACTTTTGTCTTTAAGGCCTTGATCTCAACAACAAGGTTTCTACTCGATTCCTCTTGACTTGTCCAATTGGAACCACCTATCTTTTTCGAGGTACCAATTTGGACAATTAGGTTTCACTATTCAGCAAAGGCTCCATACTGGATTCTTGAATACTCCCCAATTATAATGTGTTCCTATGTATTTATTTTGGTCGTATGTATAGAGTTGGTCGACTTTGAATATTTTCTATAATATATAAAAGTAAAATACGTTATAAATCAAGCACAGAGTGGAATTCGTCTTAATCAACATTATCCTTGTAAGTCATATAGGAGATTCTTTCTGATTTCATATATTAAAATTATGAGGAAATTATAGTAAATTTATATTTAGATATGAGCACCTTAAAACCGAGAGTGATATATATTTAATATATAAATCAGAGTACGATATAATGATAATTATAAATAAATATCTGCTATTTTGCTCAACGCTAACAATAAAAGTATTTGAATTAACAAACGATCATTAAAATATTTTATTCAATTTATTGATTATCAAATATTTAATTAAGTATTTCATTTACAAAATCTTGAAACTTATTATATCTTTAATAAATTAGGGAAAAGAATCAAAGACAATTAATTAATGAATAACTCCTAAAAAGAGTAGAGATGAACTTAAAATGTATCAAATTTGATTAATTAGAATCAATAAATTTAACTTTATCATTGAATAATAATTAAGAATTAATTATCTCAACTTGACTGATACATTAAGAAGCAATTATAATTTTTAAGAAAAATCATTAAATTCTGACGAAAGAAGGTCGGTTTTATAAGGCTCCTTTATTTTTAATCTGATTTATTAATAATTACATTTAAATCTAGTCATTATGAAAAATTTAAATATGTGGACTGAATGTTGAAAATTGTTATGCTTAATCTATTCAATTCGATAAACATATTTAATAGTGATGAATCTGATAGAAGAATGATTTAATCTATAAAAAGTAATTTTTTGAAGAAGATAGTGATATTAGTAAGATTAGTGTAATTAATTTAAAGGAAGCAATAAATTATTTATTCAAGACTATTCTAATAATGAACGAAGCAAATCAATCTCATTTTACAAAGCCTCTTTTTTTTTGTTCCATTTGATTTCTTTATTACGATATCGTGTTATCAATTTGGTTGTTCTTACATATATTTCCTTCAATTCTTATTCCTTAACTTCACCAATATATTCATACTTATTGTGCCACGTCTTAGGTGTTCATCATTTCAAACAACCATCTTTCTCTTTCGAATTTAGTCATTTCAACAGGTAATTTATGTGATCGTTATGACAATTTTCTTTGCAATGAGTAATAATCCAAACTTGAACATGGCTTTTGTTAAGATGTGACCTTACTGTTTTTCTCTGATAAAATATTTAATAGTTTCTATTTCATATCAGTTTAGCTTTATATTTTAGTATTCGAATTTGACATTAATTAAAATAACAAGTGATATTTTAATAATTAAAATCAAAATTCTCATAAAAAATTAGATGAATCGAATTCTAAATTTCGCTAATTGATGACTAGAAAATGGAATAGATTTTTTATTTGTTTGAATAATGTAATGTAAATTTACTTTTCATAATCTTCTTCCTCTTCTACCTCCTGGTCTTCTAGTTGAATCTGTTGGGATTGGTGTGACATCTTCAATTCTACCGATTTTTAATCCCAAACGAGCTAGAGCTCTGAGGGCAGCTTAAGCTCCTGGTCCTGGTTGTCTAGTATCGACACCTGATTGAATTGATTTATGTAAATACCTCCTCTGGCTCTCAATTTAATATGTAAAGCATTAATTTTAAGTGTTTTCAACTTCTCATAAACATCTTTGGCTGCTTGCATAGCTGCATATGGTGAAGATTCTTCTCTGTCTGATTTGACTTTCATTCCTCCTGTGACTCTTGCAAGTGTTTCTCTGCCAGTCAAATCTGTAATGTGGATAAAGGTATCATTCCAAGTAGAGAGAATGTGAGCAACTCCGAAAACTAATTCATTTCCAGCAACATTTGGTCCCAATGTGGCTACAACTTATTAAGGTTGATCTTCTCCTTAATTCTTTTTTCCTTTCTTTGCCTTAGTTTATTATACAGCAGGTTAAACTTTAGTGTCAGCCTAAATTAAATTGCTTAACATACCATTCACCTAAAAAAATTTTAAATCTTTTTTTAATATAAAAAAATAGAAATCAAACACAATATGTAGGTAATTATATAGATATATATATTGTACTATGTAAATGCTTAAAACATCATTCAGCTGCAAATTTGTTTTAGGTTTTCTTGACTCTTGTGGCTTTATTCTTTTCTCTTCTATCATTTTATTCCTTCTCAATTTTATCAACTCTAACTTTTTCTTATTTAGTCTCATGAATTGCTTCAATGAGGACTTTCTTGTTTTTATATTGATTACCTTTTGAGGCCAAATAGAATTCATGATATCTAAGCAAAATATTGTATAAATCCATTACTATTATCTATCAATCTTTTTGGCAGCTCTGTATTTTCTTAACAATCTTCTTAAGACTCTTTGTCTACGGATCCAAAGTACTTTAGTTGGCATTCTAGCCTCTCTTGTACCTCTTCTCTTACCAGTACCAGTGTGTCTGCCTAAAAAATGAATGATAATTGAAATACCTCTTCTTTTGGCTTCAAGGAATCTTCGTGCTCTGGCTCTTGAATGGATTGTTCTCAATCTTCTCATGATGAGTCCATCCTTAATTAATTTTCTGATTGACATTCTTGAATTTGCTAGACTGATTTCACTTGCTTCATTTGGGTCCAACCACACTCTGTTAATACCAACTTTCAACTATGTGGATGCCAATCTTTTCTATAGACGGAGGTTTACCATTAATAAATTAATATCTAAATATTTAAATTTTTATATTTTTATGGGAACTTGTGGAGCAAAGAATAAATCTAAAAATAAAGTAAGAAATCTTGTAATAGAAAGATGAAAGAACAAGTTATAAGTACCAATTAGAATAACGGAATACAAAACCAGGAATAGAATATAAAAACGAACAGAGAGGGAGATATTGCATAATAAGTTTAGCAAACTTCGGATAAATAAGACCCCAATAAAGAACAAATTGAGGATAAAGTTTCCTAAATTAATCAAGAGAAAAATAACATTTAAGAAGATTATTCAAAGTTAAGCGAAGTTTTACCGATGTCGACCGTTGGAATACACCCTACTACTACTCCTATTATTTAAATATCAAAAAAGAAAGTTTAAGATGATGATTTTGCCAAGCATCATTTGGAAGTATGAGATTTTTTTTGAAATAGTGCATAAAAAATCAAAATGAAGGAGGGCACCAAACATTAAAAATAGGAGTGCCTGTCAAACAAGAAAATAAATTTAAAGTTGAAATTGAGGGTTCATATTATTATTAATAAAATAAATGATAAAATCGAGATTTTTTTTTTCATACTAAACTAAAGGTATCTTTAGAAGAAAAAATTAAAACATTAGAAGGGAGGATTTCGTTGTCAAGGTGGCAGACGAAGATGTTCATTCAAAAAGATTGGCTTCAGCATTAAACATTGATGAAAATCAAAGTGAATCAAGTCATTCCTCAGCATAATCCAATTTCTTCTTCAGAGAATCCAACTTACAAAAATTAGATCTATCCGATTTATATCGTATCGATTTTGACAATAACGATAAAATTTCTATTGTCCCCACGTTGATTGAGCCTTTAGAAAATATTGTTAAAAACCCAGGAATTTATCCCATCTCTGAATTCAAAAATCACCACAATTATAATTACTTAAAACAAATATAGAGAAATGGCCAAATGAATAAGTTCGATGTTTATGTTCCCCCCTCAAAAGATATAACACTTTAATAATTTGCCAAAGCCTTAAACCTTAGATATTGGTACCATATATTTTATATAATTTAGTGTTTCAACAAGTACTTTTTCCAATGTCCTCAGCTAGATCTTCTACTTACTTAGTGGCTTCCATGGTCCTGATTTCAGCAGTATTTTCGAATAGTTCCCTGATGAACCAAGAAAGTTTATGATCTCCCAAAGAAAACCAACTTCTGCATTATTACATAAAGTTGATGAAAACATGTATGCCTTGGATGGTGATCCAGGTATCTTTGAAGAAGAACTCATAGAACTCTTAATGTCTGGTAAAATTGTGGAAAGACAATTAACTCAAGATTAAGAGGAATTCGAAAATAGATATATTAAATTGGATCCCAGTATGCCACTTGTAGAAGACTTCCATAGATTTATGGAGTTGAATAATGAGATGTGTTTGAGATCCTAAATTGATTGCAGGAATCGATCTGAAAATCCTATTGTTTTTGAAATCAAGGCCAGAGGAGCATGTCCTATAAGATACGATTATCCTAATTACAGAGATTACTTGGATTATGAAATCAATTAATATAAAGGATTGTTTTAATCCTTCGAAAGGGAATATTATGATTTGATAAGAGGAGCATTCTTAAAATGGGCAATCCAATTAAAAATAGGTAGAATGGATGGAGCCTTTGTAGCATATCATAACCTATTAGAAATACAAGGATTTGAATATATAAAATCCTCAGAAATATACAAAAGAGTATTTGGAACTGAAGAGTTCAGTGATTTAAGTTTATTAGTTGGATCAAGAATTGCTACTAAACTGTTTGATGAGATCATCGCAGACATCAACGAAGACTTTGAAACTCTAAAAATAGGACTCTATTCCCAAAGCTTCACAAAAAAATTAATTTTGTTTGTAGAAATTATTAAAGATAAATCAGATTTCTAAAAAGTATTTAAGTAAGAAAATTTGAAAGACGAATATGACTATTATACTAAGCATCCTTTAAAAAACAAAGTACTAAAATATGAATTCTTACTTAAACCAGAAATTAATGGAGTTGAATATTGTTATCCAACTATTTTTAGAAAAAATGATTTGATTTCCATTAAATACAAATTAAGAAGTTTGGGATAAGCTGATTTCGGAGACTATATGAACTTTCTTCACGATTGTTATAAACATGAAGAAATTAATATAGAAATCAATTATTCTGGAGCTTGGCAGAAATCGATGTGAATAATTATAATAATCTCAAAAGCAATCATTTAATTTATAATTATTTTTAATAATTTTCTGTTTCTTTCTTGTAGTAAATATATTAATATCTAATCTCTAAAATAGCATCAAACATTTTTATTAATGATAAGATATATTTCTCTTATTATTCTTTAAATTCTGGATATAGATTAGAGGGTTTTAGCATAATAAATAAGAATGAAAAAAGAATTTGTTTGTTTCAATTCTAGACTACAAAATTTTACGAAACAAATATTTTAAGGATTCAGGATATAGTTTGAGTTTAAATTACTGTATGTATTTCAAATTTTATCAAAATCTTAAATAATTATATCAAAGAAAGTTGAAAAAATAGAAATAGAAGATGTTGTTTATTTAGATATCGATTTTGAATCATATGATTAGTGATGCTATACAAAATTAAGCTTAATTAACCAATCTATTGAAGTAAAAATAAGAAAGAAATGCATTTTTTTAAACTATTTTATTCTATGTGAGAATAACTATAAAATCATTCATTTTTTTAGATATTTTCAATTTTTTAAAAGCTAAATGTCTTTATTTGTAACATTTTGAATACTGGCTTAGGGGGTTATTCTATAGGAGGAGGGTATATTAATTTCTATTAATTTGATGACTAATTAAGATTTTAATGTTAATTTCCATATAGAGGTTTCCTAAGAGCACTCATAGGTCTATTTATAATGGCTATACTACTGAAAGGTCTTGATTAAGATGGAGTTCTAGTTTAAGGAGCAACAGTTCTAAGAGTTAAAGGCTGATTTGTTTAGGCTTCTAGATCACTAAAAGATTTGTTTTTGGAAAGTTTTGGAGGAGGTTTAGCCAAAGGAGGTCTAGACTCAGTTTGCAGTTTTTGTATTTTATCAGGTTGCTTTGTAATATCTAATTATTATTAAATAATTATTGTTTCTTTCTCTTTTTGTTTTGGTGGCATAAACTATTCGTAGTATTGTAAATTCTATCTGATATAGTTACACATATACTTCATCAGGATAAACTCTAATATAGCCATTTAGATGTTTATTTTCATAAATGGTAATTTAGTTTACTTATTTTTCCTTTTCTTCTTAATTCATTTTTGGAGGTCTTTAAAAAGTAGGAGCCCTTTTTTAATCTAAATAGTTTTTCTTAGGTTTATTTCTAATATCTAATAAAATTAACGTATCTAAAATTAAGTTCTTTTTAATGATCTTATCTAAGGGTGTATCAGTTGAAAATGAAGGAGTATGATTGACTTCAAGCAACCATGGTTTGAGATTAGAATCCAAGAGAATATCAAAACCAAACAATTCAAAGCATTATTCTATTCCATCTACATTATGCTATTGTGATCTATATAAATGTGCTAAATCTCCTTATACACTTTGAATTGTCTTTACAATCACTGATTTAATTTATGACATCAACTAATCTACATCATGATCCTAATCTTTCAAATACTAAAGAGATAGCACAAATTAATTACTTTGAATACTGAAGACAGAGATCTTTTATGACCTACATCATCTTTGTTTGTGTCATTATTAAATACAAAGTCTTTGCTTCTTTTATTAATAGCATAATTTGTTAGATGCATAGTAACACTGCTTAAATTCTTCTTTTAAGGTTTTACATACTTTTTAGTTGAGAATCTTGCTAATCCTTCTTAGTACATGAAGATTTTAAGAGGAGCAATTGATTTAAGCATAACATAAATTCTAGAATTCATTTAACTATTTTACCTTAAATCGAATTTGAGTCCATCAATCAAATAAGGATTACTGATATATTCCTATACAACATAATGCTTATCTAAAAATTAATCAAGCTTTTTTGTTAAAAATATTCCTCTTCCTTAACAATTAGCTTCTGGTTTTATTATAAAAATTCCTGTTCCTTATTTATTTCTTAATTCTTCGCTTTAATAAGGCAAATGCCATGTTTTTGGATAAAAATCATAATCTTAAGGGTATTGTTTACGCATCTTATTTAAATTTCTACACAATTCATTTTTTTTTCCAAGCATGTATGATCCTGGAAAATGGTTGATTCTTTGATAAGGCAACAAACGACGATATTCTTCATCTGTTACATAAGTATCCTTCCAAAAGATATGACATTCAAATTCTGATGGAGTGGGCTTCCAATCTAGTATTTATACTACCTCATCTATCACTTTATACTTAGTCTCTTAATTGCTTTAATTAATTTTTACATTCTAAATTGATTTAGATTTTCCTTTTAACAAAGTTTCTTTGCATCTAAGCCAGTTATTGAAGAGTAAAAATTTCACTCATATATTCAAATAATAATAATTATATCAATTTATCTAATCAATTATCTTGTTCATACTAATGGATTCTGAATTATTATGTATGTGGCTTAACACTTTATTCATCCTTGTTATGATTTAATGGAAATAAACAAATAAATTTGATTCTAATCCTTTCTTAGAATCATCCATATATTGATGCATTAAATAAATCAACTTTTTTAACAATCTGATATATTAACCTTTCTATAAATTTATTTATTAATATCATAGTCATCAACATTAAATGTATAGATGCAAAATTTAATGCTATAATTATTAATTCTCTCATAATTTTATAAATTTTTCTTTCTTAAATTATTGAAAATTAATTTAAACCATAATAAAAGTTATTTGATCATTCTAATTATTCGAAAGGCTTTTTGCAATTCATAAATATCAAAATAGCACGTTCAACATGAATATGCTTATGATATTGGTTTTATCTACTAATCACAAATTACTCATAAATTTTATTTTAAATAGATAATCTGGATTAGCTATGTTAACTACGAAAATAAAATCAATCCAGAACAGATTTAATTCATTTTTGTCTATTCCTAGATTGAATTATGTAAAATAATGCTAAAATCTTTTTGTTTTGAAACAAATGAGTTAAATTTTTTTTTTTTGCTTCCCATTTTAAAAGATAATATTTTGTCAATGTCAAAGCATAAATGAATAAAACATTATTAAATATAAAAATGTATAAAATGGGTGAATTAATTATGTTGTTAAAATATAATTAATATTATTTTAAACCAAACATATTATCAAAATAAATATATGCATGAATCTTTTGATTTAAGAAAAAGGTATTAAAATAATCCTCTCTTTCTTTGAAAACTCAATGAAAATATTTATGATTTAACCAAGGTTATGACAAAAATATTTCAGAATATTTAATATGTATAATATAAAAATTTTTTATATTCCAATCTATTTCTAGAAATAAGCTGAATTGAAATGATTAAAAATATGATTATATCAACTAATTAGTTTTTAGAGAACTTGAATCCGAGGATTATTGATATACGAAAAATTATGTATTAAAGAATTGTATATGCATTAAATTTATATCTTTTTAATTAATATTTTTTAAAATCAAATGGCAAAAGCAGCAAAAGACACAAGACCAATTGCAGATTAAGCTACTTCAGAGGCTGCATGCACATATGCCGCTCTCATCTTGTATGAAGATAATCAAGATGTACATGAATCTATCTAATTCAGATCGATGCTACCAAGTTAGCTAAGATCGTTAAGGCAGCTAATTTGAGAGTTGAACCAATTTGGACAAAAGTTTTCGAAAAGGCTTTGAAAGGAAAAAAAGTTGGTGATTTATTACATGGAAACAGCGGAAATGCAGGAGGTGCACCAGCAGCACAAGCTACAGCCACACCAGCTGCAGCAGAAGCAAAGAAGCCTGAGCCTGTTAAGGAGGTTAAGAAAGCTGAAGAACCAGAAGAAGATGTTGATATGGGTGGTTTATTTGATTGAAAATGAATACAAAATCGTACATTAATATTTAATATATATTTATAAATATATGTAATCAAATTGGAAAGTCTAAACCAGACTAAGATAATTGTAAATAAAGTCTTTTCTTATTATAAAAGTAGTAACACCTATAATAGAAGTTCATTTAATTTAAAGTTGTCTCGTTTTATTCAGATTGACATTAAAAATTCCTCTAATGATTATAATTTAGTAGAAATATTAACTTTTAATTGTATTTATTTTTAACAGAATTATATGAAGAATTGAAAATCCACAAAATTTTATTATCATTTTTAATCATGTAATATTTTGGAAGGCCATAATAAAGCATAATTTAGATATTACAAAAGTTCATTCATATAAGAATCTGATGTGAAGAACATAAGGAGATTAAAAAGTAAACACCGATGTTATAAGGAGATTTGCTTGTAATAATAATATTGATAATTTATTTTTCAAGAGATGAATCATAAAATTATTAAATTTCATATGTATTTTTCTCTCGATTATTCTAAACTATTTCTTTAAAATATTCCCTTAAATAATTCATTTAATTTTTCGACTTCTTAATTCCTTACTGAAATCAAATCTTATCTCACCTAATGTTAGTTATGTAAATTTACTCTATCAATTTCAGATTTCATTTTGATTTCACTCTCTTCTTTATCATAAAATCTTTTTAGTTCTAATTTTAAATCAAGGTTTTCTTGTTTAAGCAATTTAAATTGATGTTCAAACTCTTAATAATTTTACTTTAACTAATTATTCATTTCTTTGTATTGTTATAATTTAGCAATTTCTTGATGTTAATCTTGAATGACTAATTTAAATTCATCCAATTGCTAATTCATCTCAATTCTGCTTTATCTTATATCATGTTATATTTTTTTTTTTTCATTTTTATATTCCTTGATTTCTGCTTTTAATTTATTGTTTTCAGCTTTTAAAGGCTCAGTTCCAAAAAGTAACTCATCCAATTTTGATATTTCAGCTTTCAATTGTTCATTTTCAATTTATTATTGAACAACATACTCTTCAAATTATCGTTACTTTTCTAATTATAACGACTAAATTATATTTTTATGTACATTCAAATTTTCATTCTCTTCCCTTAAATGCTACACAAGATCTCTTAGCTCTTAGTTATCATTCATTAATTGGTCTCTTTCTTGAGTATATTTTTTTATTCTTTGCTTTTCCTTCTCTTGATGCTTGATCTGCTCTGACAATGCAACTCTCATCTTATTTAGCTCTTCTCGCAATTTTTGATTTTGGATTTGGAAATCTGTGATAGTTTGATCTTTCTTTAGGAATTCTTCTTTTAAAACTTCCATCTGAATTCAATTCAATATAATTGTACCCTCTCCCTCTGCTCCTTCAATTAACTAATATAGTATTATTCTTGTTCTATTTGCTTAAGCTCGTTTATTCTAAGTTAGTCATAATTTGGCAACACCTCGACGAATTTGGCAGTCTGTTAATGCATTATATTTTAATATCAAAGTTAGTCTTAGAAATAATTATCTGAAGATAATTGAATAATTTTGCTAGCAAGATCCCTAGAAAATAATTGGTTATGTAAATTTAGATACTCAAAACTAATACATCAAAAAAGGTTTTTTATCAAATTAAAAGCACACAATCATAAATATTAACTTAGATATTTCTAAATTTTAATTGAGTTTCTTAATTGTGTTTTTTTGGCAGCATTTATTTTTATATAATTAAATTTGAATTATGTGATGTTTAGTATCTTGTACTATATTTATGTCAGCATCACTAATGTTAACTTTTTGATATTATTACGGAATTCAATAGTATATTTGTTAATTAGTAATAGGAATTACCATGGTTAATGTACATTTAGCTGTATCACTAGGTTTAACAATCCTTTATGTTTATTTAACGCACATAACTCAGGATATTAGATTTAGATAATTGCACTAAAAACTCATATGTATATATTAATAATGAGGCATCCTTATATAAAGAGTTTGTGTGAATGAGTTTGAAAATTATACAAAAAAGAAAGGTTTATTATATGTTAGAAAGAGATGATACTTTTATTGATAGAATGGCTAACTCCTGTGATTTGATACAAAGTTAAGGAATTTCTTTATGATGACATGCATATACAATAAATAGATATCAAATTTATTACTGTTGGGTTGCCATAAAACCTGGGAATTAGGCGAAGAAGGCCATGCCTTTTAATCTCTCGATGAGCAAAGCCTGCATTATGAATTGCTATTGGAGAGTGGGTATGGCTTAAATCATAGGCGTGCTTGCATTGGCTTATTAGAGTGGGGGATCTAATTTGGTTAATAATTTAGAAATAATTATTTCATCAGAATCAAGGGATTATATCTAATTATGTTATTAAAAAAATAGCTACATGATTTCTTCTGTAGGAATTAATCAAAGAATTGTAAGCATTTTTGACTTAGTTTTCAGTTCTTCCTTTTATTTATTTAGAAATCACGGACCACTTTTTTCCATACTTTTACACTAATTGCAACAATTGAATTTATTCTTATTCACTCCATGGGCACTTGTTAAGTTCAGGGTCCAAATAATTATTCCATCTTTCCCTAACTTACTTGGCATGCCTCATAATTGGGCTTATACGGTTATACTCTAGAGCAACGTGAGTCCATGAAATAAATTTTTGCGTCATCACTTTATTTAGGAGTTCATCCTCTTCAATAGTCCATGGAGACTGTTTCAAATCAGTCTTTAACATCCCTATCCATTTCGAATTCAACAGTTCTGGAGGTGCTCCAAGGATTTCTGACAGTGCTATCCAATCGTCGTCGTTCTAATCAATTTAAACATAAATTCATACAGGTTTTAAGTCTGTACGACCTTATTTCTCTAAATGTTTTAGAGTTGTCCAAATAAAAATCATTTTATCCTTTCGTTACCACTTGTGCGAAGTATGTTTAGTAAATTCTACAAAGTAATTTGATATGTTTTTAGGTAAACTTTTTTCTTCAATCTTTAAAATCTTTTTCACTTGCTTCAAGGCAACAGGTTTATTCTTTAGGTCTCCCAATCCATCAAGGAATTGTTAAAACATCGCTTAGTAAGAGGATATTTCCTTGTTAAAAATAAAAAATAATTATCTTTGAAATCTTCAATAACATACCAATAAATAAGGGTACACAGTAACAGAACAATACCAAAATCTAATTATATTTAGAAAAAACGAGAATGCCTCTTCACCTCTGGAATTTTCAAACATTTTTCAAATATTATAGATTTAAACAAATTATAGGTTTTTCAATCTTCCCATCAACCTCAATTCTTCATTAAATTGTTAATTAAATATTATTGTTTTCTTAATTTGAACCTCTAATTGCCACATAAACACTTTCTTACAATATTATATAGAATTTATATATATTTAATAATAAAACCCAAATTCTCATTACGAATAAAAATTAAGTTGCATTTCAAAATAGTTCGATATCTAAATCAAATTATAAATTATATGGAATTAATATAAATAAGTTATTTTAATAATTGTAAGTTTGATTATTAAATAAAAATTCTCAAACTCCCTTTGTCAAAGTTGCCTTATTTTTATTCGATATGCTTTTTGAAGAACTATCATCATTCTAAATATTGTCCTGTCAGAAATTCATTTTTTAATAAAATCATTTTTTATGCTCAATAACATTAAATATACTTATTTTTTTCGTTATAACCTCATATATAAATTTTATATTTCATTTGCTAAAAATCCCATCAAAGTTTATCGAACTTAATTTGACTGGCACTTTAGTATTCTGCTATTGTTGAATCTACATTTGAGGTAGTACAGCCTATCTCTCTACAAGTTCTAATCTTTCTCTCTCATCCTATGTTACTTCCTATAATAATATTGAATCATTTTACTCTTCCATCGAGATACAAAATAGTTGGCAACTTTCTTAAAACCATTTATCGATATCCTGGTCTTCTACTCAAAGAATTTCCTACAAGTTCTAATTCTTTAAGTTGAGTAAGAGCAACTAGATGTTCAATATCAGGTAAGTCATTAATCCTATTTGAACTAGCGAATAGATGCTACAAGATAAATTAATTGATTACAAGCAATTTAAATAATTTTTAGATATTTTAGAAATTCTTTAAACCATTCCCATCAATCTTCAAACATTTAATTGGGTTTTATGCAGCAAATGATAATGGATCGAATTATCTTACTTTATTATAATTTAAATCTAATTCCTTCAATTACTTTAAGTTTTCCAACTAATCTACTCTTGTAATCTCATTTTTTTCACATTTCATAATTTTTAATTCCTTTAATTAACAATATTACAATCCATTAAATTCTTTCAAACAATTCTAAGAGATATCTAGTATCTACAATTATTGGCATCCATTCAATCCCTTTTTTTAGTTGATATCAGTTGGATATAATAAAGTTTCAATTTTATTAGAAGTCAATATTAAAATTTTTAATTAAGGCAAAAATCCTAGCATTTTAGTAGAAGTAAATAGATTTTGACTTAAGTCCAATTCCACCAATAAAGGGAAAGATTAGACATTGAAAACATCATCAAAATCTCTTAGTTCACAATTCTATAAGCAAAGTTCGGTGATTTTATTTGCAGGCTAACCTTAGAGTCTTGAAAACAATATCTCTTCAGTCAGACGTCCAGTAAATAAATTTTTAGCCATCTATTACTCAGAAGCTTCTATAGAAATACCATCCAAAACCTTTAATTTAGGAATGATGTAAAGCACATAGGATCTATAATTAGTGTCTCTAGCAAAAGGATTTCCAGATAAATCTAAAATGATGAGTTTATGCAAATGTTTAATATTATTAACTTCTTTTTAATTAGTTATATTATTATTTCCTAAATATATTTCCATCAAGCTTTTCAAATCTGGAAATTCTTTTAGATTGAGAATAGCATTATCCTCTAGAGATATTTGCATTAGATTAATTAGATTGGATAGACCATCTATTTAAAATATCTTATTTCCTCCCAATTCTAATTTCTTTAAGTATTGCATATTATCCAATCCCTATATTTAAATGATAGAGTTCTTTTCTAAATTCAGTTCTTCAAGTAAGATTGAATCCTAAATTGATGTAATTTAGGTGATTTTATTATGGCCAAGATTCAAGTGTCTCAATTGTACCAATTCTTCCAGCCCTTTCATACTACTGAGTTTTTAGTGAGTAATCATAACTGATTAAATATGTTATTTCCAATCATGTTGGACTTTGCTGAATGTTTACAACATCCCAGTTGTAATAATTTACTTTTAATTGACAGTTGGTTCCCTATCATCTTCTGTAATAGGGAGATGATCTAAGAATGCCAAATTTTTGAGGATCATAACAATCTCTTTTCTTGTTTCTTTGTATTCCCCTATTGGATTAAAAACAACAGATAGGTATTTCAAATTTTGGTTGTATTTTAGAATTCCAACTTAATCAACATCTTGAATATTATTATGTGTTAAATCTAACACTTCCAAATGATTCAAACCTTGTAGACCATTGAGATTCGATATTTCATTATGTGACAAATCAAGTCTAATTAGATTTGGTAATTCATTCAAACCTTTAATATTGCTGATTTTGTTGTAACTTAGAATGAGAGTGTGGAATTATCCTTTGATTAATGGGATTTCTTAAACAGAACAATTACTTAAATTCAAGAATTACGTTTGATTCTTCAATATTTCATTCAAATTTGGAGTGCCAACCAAATTAGGATTTAATTCATAAAGGGTCGATCTACTTAAACAGTATTTAAAGTAATTCACCAAAGCAGGTTTAAGAGATGCACATTCCGATCTGTCTAAATCTTAGGCTTTCAACTCATAAGTTGGGTACTCTTCGAGATTCTCAAATTGATAGCTATTCAAATCTTCAGCCAATTGATTATATAAGTCGTTTATATTGTCCTTGTACTTATTAAAATTAGCAGGATTAATGAAATCATCATCCTCTGACTCTAGCACTCCTAATGCAGATCCAAAATCAGCAATTTTATTCTAAAGTGGTGATTGCATAACATATTCAAATTCAGCAAGATATTCAGGCAATATAAGATTATTGTCTAACACAAACCACAATTTATGTTTTTGATCATTTTCCATGACTCTTAAGACTGTGTATTCATCTTGATATTGTTTGCCATCAAGAGGAAACTTTTGAAACATCTCACTCCAAGGTTGTTCTGTATTAAAATATGGGTGTTTTAAATCAGATACTGATTTAATCATTAAGACTTTGCATATAAGAATTATTCCAGGTGGTATTATATTATATTTTTAATAGTACAATCTAAGTTAATTTTATTAATACCTTCGTTTAATAAATCTCTTATTTAATTTTTGGGCATGCTCTTACCCATTCAAATGATGTTGGATTCTTGGAGCATCAGCCCCTAAAATACTATTGACCAAAGGAGTATAAGGACTTAATCCTATTGATTGAGAGTCCTTGAGATATTAAATTAGATTACTTTATAACTTCTAAATCCCTCCTCTATTACATTATAGATTTCAGAGGGAAAGTTAGGATCGACTCCATAGAATAGATATTCAAGAGATTTTTTGTGACTTTGATTTGAGACATCAACTAATGACTCCATTTTTTCTTCGAATTTATTTCTTATGAATTTATTGTGTATTCTCACAACCCTCTTTATTTGAATATCTTTGATGCCGAACTTCCCCATTTAATCTGCATGGAATCTTGAGTGTATAAGATCAACACAAGAACCATACCATTTTTCATTTGTCTTTCCTTCCTCTAATCTAATGTTACCTCCAGTTTCTAATTCTGTCATCAGTTTTTGTATGCTTTGATCGCAGTACTCATAGACTTTCTTTTTAATGCTATTATAAATTTCATTTTGATTCTCATATTCCTCATACTTATTCTCTAAAAGTTACTGTCTCTCCTTATCCAATTATTCTTAAGCCAATCTAATATTTAAATTGGAAATGTCTTCACATAATGAATCGATTTTAATTTTCTTGCCTTTCTTAAGTAATTTACACAATGTTGAAAATGTTCTTTGCATAGTTTTTATTCTCATATTATAGTACATCTTCTTTTTCATGAAGGTTCCTTCAGCAAAGGATTTTTAATCATCAGAAATCATAAGAGTGTCCAATTTATATATGTTTCTTAGATGATAAAGCACATAGGTTTGATAGTTACAGAGATTGCAAATAGGGTTGTCTCCAAAATGAGGATCATAAAAAGCTAAGACTTTAAGATTGGGTAGACGATTCAAATTCAAGGCTTCTTTGAAACTGCATATTTTATTGCCACTTATATTTAAATCATACAAGCTTTTTAATTTATCCAAGGATGTCCTCAGATTACTTATAGAATTGGATGCCAGCCATAGTTACTTGAGATTCACTAAGAAATCTAGATTTTAAATAGTATCGATTTTATTATCGCAAAGCCACAATGTTTCTAGTTTAGTCAAAGAGTCTAAGCCTTCCAATTTTTGAATTGCATTGTGAGATATATACAGGGCTTTTAAATTGATTGTTGCTTTCAATCCTGATAATTTGACAATCTAATTCTCATTCAAATTTAATTCTTCCAATCTAATTAAATCATCTAAACCCTAGTTAAATAAATGCATGAGTACTTCAACAACAGTGATACCAACATTAATTAAGGTTAAGGACTTCAAATTTTTGAATACCTGGACCACATTCATTCTGCCAAAGTCTTCAAGAGTAAGTTCAATTCTTTCAATTTTGTCAAAGTTGCTCCATTCCTTATCAGAAAATGCATTCATAATTTTCTAATTAAATGGAGATTCTTACAATTGTCTCCAGTTTCCCAGAGTCTGCCTTCTTCCTATCCTCTTGTTGCATTTTAATTATTAAAACTTTGTTATGCTTAACTTGTAAAAAAGAATGAAATATATAATAATATTAGATCAATATTCATTTACTGATACATCAGATGCTACATAATTTATTGCTTAATACGTCTAATGAACTGGAAGAACTCTAAATCATCCTCTACTCTGTGGTTGCTTTGTTCTGACCATGGTGGCAACTTGATAGTTAAAGTATCAGAATTGGACAAGTAGTTACGATCCTTGGTGACTGGCATTGGTGGGAACTTAATGCCAACAAAAGGTTTCTTGGCCAAAGCTAAATGAAATATCTGGAAATGCATTTACGATTGTAAACGTAAACATGCTTCTTGGTATTCTCAGAACTGCTAAGAGACTCTGTCTTTGGGGCAATATTTAAAACCACATCCGTCGAAGAGTTCTGAACAGATTATGCTTCAGTGTCTCCCTCTAAAGATATAGCTTTGTCAACATAATTTGCTGAGTCAGTCGTTGCCTCCTATAGATTTTGAACTCTTTATTATCTGTTGAATTATTACTGCTCTTAATCTTCGACCTTCTCGATCTACAAGGATTCCTACTACTGAAAACCATCTTTTTGGGCTTCAATTAAGCTTATTCAATACTTGCATCGATCGATTCCTCAACATAAACCATTGGAGTATCATCGCTCTTAAACACTACCAAACTAGCTTCAGCCTCCTAATTTTACTCTCCTTAAAGGGTTTCAGCTGAGACATCATCCCTTCCAACATAAAAACTTTAATCCTCTTTTTCCGATTCGAAGATTGCTTTTCTAAATTAACTCATTTACCTTGTTCTTCTTCAATTAAGGATTTTGGTGAGCCTCTCAACATCTATGAAGCACCAAAGCAAATTAGCACTGTGAGAATTAGTGTCTTCATGAATATATTATATATTAATAATTGAAAAACGATCAAAAATTTATAATTCAACTTCTCTAATGGCATGATCAAATACTCTCTCTACTCAGAATAACAATCCAGATGCTAAGATCAGCAGTTATATCATTGTAATGACTACTTATTGACTGATCTCACAGTATAACCTAAGATTTTATTCTTTTTCTCCACTTGGTTCTCATAATTAGAATTGTCATTATGTTAAAGTTGCTTGTATTTAACAATCAATTTATATAAATCGATTTTCATTGAACACTGATTATGTTAGGCGTGTTTTTTCAGTTTATTAATTTTTATACAAAAACGATATTGAATTTAAAAGCAACGTGTGTCTCTTAAGTTTTATTTTGAAATTTAGTAAAATAATAATTTAAAAACGAATTTGAGTTGGAGAAATGATATTTTGTAAGATCACTCATTTTGAACCTAATAGTGCTTGAGGGTGATTATTGAGATGGTAGTAATTAAATGAATAAAATAAATGGATTTAATTACTGTGTTAATCATTAATATTAGATTGCAGTTATTTCACAAAGTTGTTGTATTTAGCGAAGATAATTTATCGTTTTTTAATGCAATAAAATAATATAAATCTTTCTAGAATGAGCACTAGCTAACAAGAATTGTTTGAATATATGAGTGAAACCTTATAAACATCTGAAAAGGGATTATTAGAGATGCAAATATAACATCCACAAAGTAAGCTAAATTGTCTAATATTTTTTAAGATTTCCAAAAGCTTGTTGAAAAGATGAAGCGCACAATGAGAAGAGAGAAGGCAAAACAAAGAAAAGCAAAAAGATGAACCTGAGATCGTGTCTAGTAGCAAGAAAATCAAAAGAAAGAAGGAAGACGAGGATCCCTTAAGAGAAAATGATAAGAAAACTATATAGATGATACGTAATAGGATAAGTGCCTAAAACTCAAGGGACAGGAAAAAACAATATTTACATCAATTAGAAATCACAAGCACAAAAAGAAATGGACTACAACGCCGATCTCAGAAAACAATTAGAAGAACTTTAAGAGAAACATCAAAAATTGACAAACAAGAGCTCGAAAATAAGAGACCAACTATCAATTCTACAGCAATTAGGTCGTGGATCGAGATTAGGCAAAATAAGTCTCGCTCTCTTGACCCTTGTGTCAGTGTTTTCAGTAATCTCCTAAAAAGAAGCTCATCAAACAATAACAACTCCTCTCGTTAAAATTGAAGAGATCTCAAGTGAAAGTGTATTGAGACCCTTAAACTACGAGAAATCATACTCCATTATAGATACTAATACATTTTTCGAAGAAGAGAAACTAGGAGTTGGAATTTCGGAGGAATCGGAGAATTGCTACAATTAATTGTTGCCCATCCCCCTTTATCGGTTGAATTCATAGATAGAATACGCACTAGAGCAGCATAGTTGAATATCTGATTGACTTAATGTATATTTTTCTATCTTGTTCGAGTAATAATTTAAAAAAAATTAAAAATAAACCAAATCATACCGATCTCTCCTTCGGGGGTTTGTACTTCAATCCTAATATCTTATACACATCCATTTCTTCCTCACATGGTATCACTTCGCCTTTCCACAACTTCTTATTATGAGCACCTCTCTGAGTAGGGTAGAGTCCATGATCACTTAAAGTATATCCATTTTTCTGAGCCCACAATCTCATGCTTCTATTATAATGGTCAGAACCAGTGAAGTACAAAACTGCACAACCATACTGTTCCTTAGGATATAGTTTTAAATCAATCCTTCTATGCACAGCTTAATTCGATACTCTTCCTATTCCCATATAAGTTTCGCAATCATGCTCAGTTCTTTTTGGCATTGTCAGATGATGAGTTAACAATTTCCCCTCCAATCGTGTGATCAAATTTAACAGGAAATCCTCAGTATTTTTACCATCACACCTTGTAATTAAAATATCCATATCTCCACATGTTTCTTTTTCTCTTCTATAAGATCCACAAGCAGTTGCCTTAAATAATCCTTATACTCCACTTAAATCATCGATTTCTCTCTTTACTATCTCAAATATTAAAGTAGCTTCTTCTCTTGGAATCCTTTACTCTAAATCTTTCACTAATTGTAATCCAACTTATTGATTTCTATTGAGTAAATGTAGATTCTTTTTCAAATCCTCCAGAGTCTTAATTCCTTTAAAATAGAATGTGGCAGCAGTGGTAGGTCCAATACCCCAAACTCTCGTTAATTCGCTAATGGCAACATTTTTTTCTTATCCTTCCAATTTTTATACTTTAGTCAATTTACCTGTTTACATAATTTCAATTATCTTCTTCTTAATTTTATCTCCTATTGTGGGCATATCCTTTAGATCCTCACTAGATTTGATTGGATATGGAAGTGCTTTTAAAAATCCAATAGCTTTCCTGTAAGCTATACATCTTCCTTTATCTTTTTCATTTGTGTATATTTTCAACAGTTTTTCCAACTCTTCAATAATCTCATTATTTTGACACTTTTAAGCAGCGCCAGCTTCACAAACAAAATATCCCTTTTTAGCTTCCCAAAATTACTATTTTCTTTTTAATCCTGGATTAAATTATTTGGTTTCCTTTAATTAAGCAGAAAGTATCGGTTATTCAACATTAACAACTGATTTTCCTAAATCCAATCCATCCAAAATATCAAATTTAACTTTTCTAGTCTCAGTTATCTGGCAATCATCATCACCATAGAATTTCTCAGACTCAGGTATTTGTGGTTCTTCTTTTTTAAGAATAGATAGATCCTCCAATAAATACTCATAACCATCATCTACCTGATTATGGAAATTATCCAAATCATAATCATACTCATAGTCTAATATTTATTTATATTCCTTGAGAATATCCCTTCTAAATTCTTCCATCCTTTTCTCATACTTCATTCTTAACTCATTATCCTTGATATTGTAAATGTTTATGTCTCCATCATCTTACTCAACCACTTCTTCTCTCACTGGCACTGTCTTAGCCAAAGCTTCCACATAAACTAGTTTTGTTTTGAATTCTGGCACTTCCTCTAAGACTGGCTGGAATACTACTTCAGGGAACAACTAAAACTTCTTCTGTTCTTGTAGTTTTTTATTTAATAAGGATTAGGATACCCAATCTGGATTTAGGAACTAGTACCGATATTATTCAAAATCAAGATTAAATTTGGCAAATTATTTCTGACATAATTCTACTGTTGCATCAGAGCCAACAATCATTAGTGTATCTGGACCTAATTTCATTTGTCCTCCATTCGATTCAATCAAGTTTGTGAGTGTTCTTATCCTAGTATTTGTTAAATTGACTGTTGCCAAAGGGAACATAAAAGACATGTCTTTAAACATTTTTCAAAATGTCTTAAAATATTTATTTAAGATTGACTATTTAACAACAACAATATTATTAAATATGTAACTTAATTATTGTTATTCATATTAATCAAAATAAATCCAACAATTCTTCTCCTACTTATTTCCATTATTATTAAAAGTAATTCCCTTTATATTTATACCATTTTAAATTAGTCTTAGGATCAATCATTTCTTCAAAGAACATTGGAACATGCACTTAACTTGCTGCTGCCATTGCTTTTCTCCTTGCCCTCTGCTTCTCCTCTAACCTATGTTTCTCACTTGAAGCCAAATCAATCCAACCATTTTCAAATGCCAATTAATCTGGTCTCAACCTGCAATCTGTACAAGGTAATTCCTAAGAAATTTAGACATGTCTTTATTACTTTTATCATATCAATTGTCAAATGATTTAATTACATGGCAAATTCAGTAAAATTATAATACCAATCTGAATCCTATGGTAATTGATGTCTCTTCCACACAATTATTTCTCTTTAAGAATCATAAGCTATGAGACGATCATTCCAAAATCCTTTTAACTTATATTTCTCAATTCCATTTTTATCCTTTACGTACCCTCTCATCTCACACTCCGATTTCCCTGATTTTTCAATTAATTCCAACACTCCGTTATCACCAGTAGTCAGATTTACAAACTTCATTTATCCCATATGATCCAAAAATTATTAACCCCATAAAATGTTCTGAACTTTAGTTGTACACCTATTAAATTGGTAATGATCATTTGATGATTTCAAAATGACATTAAATAATCCAACAGGATTCACTTAGAAACATAAGCCATTAAACTTTGTTTGGACATCTGTGTGAGCCCAGAATTAAAATGCTTTAGATTCTGCATATCCTGCAGAAATAGGAGGATGATGAGATACCTATTCACTAATAAACCTACAATTTTGAGTTTGAATTTCATAGGTTTCTCCTAGAATAGGATTAAAAGGTTTCTTTGTTCTTCCAATATTTGCTGAATATGGTGAGACACCAAAACCCATGATATAACACATTCTTAAAGCACTATCTCCAGCGATTTTATCTGCTTCTTCCAATGAATCAGAGTATTCCATCTACTCAGCTAATCTTTATAACATTGACAATGGCTCATTCAAAATAACTATTTTTTATTCTAAAGACATTACTTGGCACTGAAAATCTACCTAGATCCTTTCCAATCAATTCCTTACACAAATACCACACATTTATTTTTTCATTTGGGTCCTTCCTATAAGGTAATCGATCTCGTTTAGGACTATTAGCAAATTTAATTTTCTGAAAAGCAGGATTATTAATGAGATTCGACTAAAAACTAATATAACAAATTCTTCAAGTACATATTTAATAGGTTAATGTTCTCTAATTAGCTATGTAATCTCAGTTATACTCATCAAAGAGGATTGACCATGTTGTGGTTGATGTTAATAATTCAATTGTTCTTCTCGCATTACTGATTATGCTGAATTTTAATGGATAAAACTCTCATACACAGTTCCATTCTCCACATTTTATAGCTTTTATTTCTCCTCTTCAACAATTTGAGCACACAAGGTGATCTTCGTTTTTAGATTTTTCCCTATGCTTTCTAATCTATCAGCCATCTCCTTAATTTGTGAGTTCTTCTCCAACTTAGGAATCAACATACTCAATGTTTCATCGACTACAATAATTCTCTATCATACATATAGCTCCAGTCTACCAAACATCAGTAAGCAATTCTTGTATCTTTTACTCAAACCTTATTTCATTTTATCGACTCAAACACTTGTCTTAAGCAGATTTCAATGCATTTATCCAATCTATCTTCTCATTGATATTGTTTGCTCTCAAATGGATTTCAGTTGTTCCAGTATTGATTATTATTCTTAAAGGATCTTCTGGTACTAAAATCAGAGCGGAAACCTTCAAATGCACCTACCCTTTAATCTACCCTCCTTGAGAATCACAATAGAGAAGAACATCTTCGTTTAGAATGAAGTATCGATCTTGCCACCTTGAAAAAAGGTTCGTCCACTTTTTTAAATATCCTTCCATTTTTAATAATTAAAATTTAATATAATAGCATTAATTCTTAGTTTTTCACTAATCTGACTATAAGATGGAATAAAAGAAGACAATAATGTTATCTGATAATTTGTTAATCTTAATCATAATTTAGCATGTGGAGATGCTGTTCTGATTGTCTTAATGGTCTTAAATACTTATTCATGGAATTCTGGCTCATTTAATGGATTGAGGTCCTTAGCCCCAATGATATAATTTCTCATATGGATTACCCTAAGAATCTCCAATAGCTGATCTTACACTGTTATCATCATATGCAATAGCCTATAAAATAGAGATAATAAGTATACCTCAACTAAACCCAAAGCATTGTCTTTTAAATTTGAAATAAGTTCATCTCTGGTTTCTCTGATCCAAACAAATTGAGGACCGGATAAGACTCCATACTCAAACAACTATCCTTATTATTCCAAGATCTTATTGAGACCATACAATAAGCATAATTGAGTGAGGGCAGTCTTAATATTTGGATCAGTCAAAGTATTGACTTCTTCAAGGAAGGTCCTATAAGTCCAATAATTGGATTGTGTGTGAGCAATTTCTTATAAGAGAATGCCTAAGTGCTTGTCTGTGGATTCCTTAAATGTTAATCCCTTATCACCCATAAGAGTTTGTAACTTTTATCCTGCATTGGCAACATTGAAAGCAACATTGTATCTTAAAGCAGCCAAGACTTTATTGAGATCTCTGGTGCACTCTTTGGAGACCAATGGTTACTTGAGTTCAGTCAAATAGTTGAAAATGTCTTCCAAATAATCACAAGTGGTGTTGGGAGCCTTTCCTGATTACATGGCTAATAATTGAAAATATTGTGATACCTTTGTTGAGATACATCAACAAGACCTTACCCACAGACAAAGATAACACTGTATTATCACCTTCAGCAACAACACAAGGACTCATCTCAGTAATAAGAGGTGGGATACCAGAGTAGTAGGAATAACCATGTCCACCAGCACATTGTCTAACCTTTTCTAAGGCAAAGAAGCAATTCCATGTATAATATGCTTTAGAAGCACTTAAGACAACATGAACTTCCTAAGATGAATTTAAGATATACCATCATTTTAGAGAAATCATTCTTTTATTTGATTCTAGCAACATTGTCATGTGCCATAGCAAAGACCTTCTTACTTCCTAACATGCATCCATACATTTCAGCAATCAATGGAATCAATTTATGTTATTGAAGTTGATAATCAAAGATGGGAATTTCTTATCCTAAGGAATCTTTGAATTGTTTTCTTTGTAATGAATATCTAATAACAATAGTGAGACCAATTCCTAGACATTTCCATACTGAATCCAAGAAATGTTATCTCATCAATTACATGGTGGCATGCCATACTTTGTCATCTCCAGTTTTAGTGAATTGTCCATCATCTGAGACATTCACATATTTGCTTAACATATTGACTTTGGGAATTCTAACATTATCGAATCTCAAATATCCATTATCTTTTGCATTGTATCCAAACTTAGCACCAATATCACCTACCAAAATGCCTGGAAGTGTTTGATGAGTTTTCACATCTCTGATTTGGACAACAAAATTCTATACTCCGCATCTCTTACCGTCTATGTACAATTAGGCTTAAGTTACGACATGAGTAGCTGTTATGCCCATGTCACTTCCCCACCATTTTGTGGCTTTCAATGAGGGAGTGTTGATAATGAAAGATTTTGTTTATTTATCATATGTGGCTGTTGTTTCGATTCTATTTATATCTGAACCATGTGCTAATTCTGTCTATGAATAACAACCCAGGATCTCCCATCTCGATGCTGGCTCATAAAATAGCTTCACTTATTCATCTGTGCCCAAATTCATTATTGTGGGCATGAACATTTCATAATTCAATGATGACACCAACTATTCAACATAATGTCATTATCTTACTGCCTCTGGATAGATCAAGGTTGCGAACTCTTTGATATCACGCAAATCGGCCACTTCTAATAGCTTCTTCATTTTCTTTGCGTATAGTTCATATGTCTCCGCTCTTCCAATTCCAATGTCTTTAGGATTATTACGAAGAAGGGGATCGGAACTGCATAGCTTCTAAAATGCCATGAATCTCTTGAATCTCTCTTCTCCTTCCCAAATGAAGTGGGACAGTTTATTTACATCAAATGATATTTTCTTGCGTGCTATCTCAAGTGCTGACATATTAATATTTTAATTAATGAATGAACATATCGTTTAAGTTTTCCACAAAGAACTCCTTGATACCAACGACCCCGAATAAATCGCTTATTTTATTGAAAAGCTCTCCGTTTTTTTTGTCCATGGAGATTGTATAGATTAAGATGCCTTTGAGTAACATTCCTCATTATTTAACTAGTTATTTGGCTGAAAATAATATATTGGCTTTATTCTATGAAAAAATTTTCAACTTGACAACTCGGCAAATGTGCTCCATCAATTTTAAATTATCCTTCATTATGTATTTATCTCTCCATTATTTAGTTAAAATGTTAAAAAACCACTCAACATCACTTACTTAATTAGTCACCCAGTCCTGAATGACTTCATAAATTATAAATACGATTTTTCTAACCATGAAATGGTTGATTATTATGTTAATTTTTTAAAATCCATAGCCATTAGAATTGATAGAGAAAACTTCTTTCTCCATTTTAACTTACGCTATTCCACTTTTCCTTTGCTTTGGTAAGCATAGAAATTTATCAATTACCCAGATACCCTAGTAAGCAGCACTGTTAAAGTCATTATCCTTAGTTTATCTAAATGTATCTCTCTATAATAATTTAGTATTCGATATACCTTAGGATGGAGTAGCACTAACTTAGTCCATTATAAAATAGGAAAATAAATCCATTAAAAAATTCAAAAACTACCTTACACTAAGTCCATTCTGTCTAGCATACCAAAAATATGTTCACTAAATGAAATGCCTACTGCCAAATCTTGCTTAAGTCAAATCCCAGGACTAATTAGAAGATTTGATCATGTTCTTTAGCGATTTCCTTTAGTAATGTCCTTTTCTTATTCCTCTTTTTGAATAAATAATGCTTGATCAATTAATCCTACCAATCTTGGACTATTTGTTATTAAACAAATTATCTGATTTTAGAACTGAATTTAAGTTAGGATTTTACCTTATACATCAAATCATCTCGAAATTGCCTGTTAATGAAATACTAAAATATTTTTCATAAGATATGATTCCAAAGGATACTGGTAATAGACTAAAATATAATTACATTCCATCAGCAACTTGGGTTTATGAAACAGAGAATTACCCATTTTAATTTGAATAAACCTATTTCAAAAAAGCAAATAATCAAAACGAAATTGGTGTTATTGAGAATTAACCAGAAAACAATCTCATAAATAATTATTACAAATTGTAGATGCTACAACTTTTAAAAGTATGTTATTATCACTACTATTTAAGCCTCGAGATAATAGTATATTATTACTCTAATTGGCCATTTGGCATATAATCAAGAATCATTAATAACCATGGCCTGTGAATCACATTATTTAAGTATCAGTTTACATCTTACTTAGTTAATATCAAAACCCTAGAATCAAATAAAGTATACAAAAAAAATAATTGATTTAATTATTTAATTCTACTTAAATGAAGATACTAATAAACTGAAAGATATTTATTTGGAATATGAAAATTATATAAAATAATTGATAGCTAATATTAAAAGTGGTAAAGCTTAGTTATCAGAAGCTTTAATAATAAATTGGGGGATTATAGAAGATTTTGATTGGAATCTCTTCAAGAAATCTTAGACTACCATTTCAAATGATGATTTTCAAAATTGGGAACGCGAGAATGAACTATCCCAATTTAAATTAGTTTACACTTATTTGCTTTTGAAATTTTTGGTTATGAATAACTAAAAAGAACCATCTAAGACCAAAATTATACTGAATTAAGAGATATCTCATTTAACAGATGATTAATATTTTAAAATTGACAAAAAAAGAACAGTAAAATTTTGTATTATCCTTAGTATTTGATTATAAGCATCGAGAAAGGTTATGTATTTTAAACTATCCCATGCTCCAATCCAAATAGAGGCGTTGTTACTTTTATATACCCACTTGCGGGTTTAATATGCACTTAAGAAGCAGATTACTTGAAATTTGAATAGAATTAGTTGGCAATAAATTAAGCTAAGCCAAACAAAATTGAAATGTCTAACAATCTTATCGATGAAATAATATCAAAAATAAATGATTCAAAAATAGAACTAGAAAAGATCACTCTTGACAAATTAGAATAATTAATTAAATGAATAAAATTTAATTTCTACATTTTTATGTATAAAGATAAACAAATATAGAAAATACTAAATGTAAAAAAGATACTTCATTTATTATTTACTTAATATTGGTAATAGGATTTAATAGATAATAAAACAAAAATTTGAAACAATAAATATTATAAAATAAACTCACTAACAAGGTTCTTAAAGATTTTTATATTCTAATCCATAATTACCTTCTGTTTAGAGTGATTATTATTACATTTATACTTAAGTAATTAATGGAAAAAAATCTTAGTTTTCATATATACTGATAACACTCAAAAACACATTAGAATAAATTTATAAAAATAAACTCGCAAAATTTATAATTCATGAAAAACTAAGATCAGCGTCTCAATTAATTACAATATTTTAATTATTGGAATAATAGAAATAGTATCAAAAATAGTTAATACATGAATATCTTTATGAAATATATTTATTGATATTGAAGAGCTTATGAGTTGTTTGGGGACTTTAAATTGAGGGCTGGCTTAAATTAATTATGCTGCATTTATATTTCCTTCTTTTTAATGGCCCTGATGACTTTGTATTGGCTTTATGAACAACATCTTGTAATGGAGGATATCTCAATACAGGATAACTTGTTAGATTCATTGGAGATTAGAAACATGAACTAAGTGTATTTTAGAATGCGGTTTGAGTAGTTTAGGTGCTTATTTATGTTGATTTACTATTTTAGGTAGGTTGGACAGAAGAAGAAGAACATTTCATAATTTTTGAATCCAGAATGGCCTTAACTCTATGGCTCTTGCTCTCAACATGTCTTTTCTCGATCCTTGGTAGGTTGCCAGGTATTAAACTATCTAGATATTCTTGTTCTTCAATGTCCCATCCTAAATATTTCTTATTCATATAATTAGTTTAATAATTATATCACTATTCAATAATTTCATTCATATGTTTCTTATATAAACTTCCGTAAACTTGGTTCAATCCTTTCCACCCACTGTCAAGAAGAATGGCAGCGGCAACGCTTTCAAATATATCACCATATAATTTGGGGATCTCATTGATATGAGGTTTTAAACCCATCCTAATAGTTTGTTCTCCCATAAACTTATTTCCCAATAATTATTATTTCCAAGTAGATAGTAGTCCTGGATTTAAGATCCAATTTGGATTTCTTTATTGTTTTTCCCTTGCTGCTCGAAAAATGTAAGAGATAACAAGCAATTCAATGGCAGCATCGCCTAAAAACTCTAATCTATCATATTATAATGGATTTATAGCTATTTCGAATAATTGAGGATTATTAAATTTATAGTCCCTGATTTCGATATGCTCAGTATATTCTGTAATTGGTTCGAAATCAAAGAGGATGTCTTAATAGAAAGATATAGGAAAGTTTGTCCGTCTCAAAATAATAATATATTCATAGAGACTTTGAGTAACTTCAAATACACCACCAACAATTGCTTCATAGATATCTGCCTTCTGACTTATTTGCAGTTGTTTATTATCACTAGAAATCATATCATTGACTAAAGGATTTCGAATTTATTTGAAATGCAAATCCTAATTGATTATATAGTGTTATAGACCTAATTATTCAAATAATTAAGCTAAAAATGTATTCATAATTAACCGACTTCTTAAGGATGTCATTTCTCCTTCGTCTAACAATTCGTATTGTCTAAAGATATCTACAGTTACGACATATTTCAAAACAGAATCCCCCAACAGTTCTAGATTTTCATAGTTTCTTTTGAAATTGGATGAAGAAGTTACTATAGCTTCTTCAACCACTTGATAATTTAGAATGCTTTCGACTGAGTCTTGATGACTCCAAATCTTGAATTAGCATATTAGTGAATGAAAGAGAATGCAAACAATATCATAGGTTTTATAATCTAGAGGATATTCTTACAATTATTAGATGGGTATTAATTGAGGTTACTTTAAAGGTTGGATAGGTTTGAGTGATGTGCAATACTCTGATGGAATGCCTGAGTTACACTAATCACATTCATTTGTGCTAAATGCCATATTTGGAACATTCCGATGAAATTAATTGATATGTAAAGTATATGCGCTAAAGGCTATATATTCATGGAAACTCTGATAATTTTATCTATAGGATTGCACATTCCCAGGAATGAGTTTTTCTAGATGCAACAATTCATGAACATTCATTCCTTCTATCTCATTTAGAGTTACTCCATAATATTATAATGCTTCATCCAGATTCTAAAATGCCCTTTATTGCACTAATTTCTAGAAATATGATATTGCTTTCTCATTGCTGTTTATGATATCATATACTGAAAAGGATACAAACGGATTTTTTTTATTAACATAAATTCGATTAAAATCTGTAAACTCATTTTGAGCTGAATTTGATAGTTTAAATTAATTGAATTCACTCATGTTTTCCCCGTACAACAGGATATTATTTCTGTTCTCATTCTTAATATCAAAATAGGACTCAAAAGGTCGATATTTTTATTGTATATATGATAGACTGTTGGCCTTGTAGCAATCTCCGAAAAGGAAGCAATTGTATAAATAAATCTAATAAAATTCATCTTTAGAAAATTAACAAAGCCGACTTTCAATAAAGTTGATTTTCCAATTAAACATATATTGTAATTTGTTGCTCTTTAAATATCCCGGAGTAATTAGATAGATGTCATATTGATTATCATCCTTGGTGATCTATATTTTATTTTAATAAGCTAGTATGCGATCATTCATTTTCCTATATGAACTACCTTAATAATAAATAATCTATACTCAACTGATTTGGAATCCTTCCTATGAGTTGATGATTAAATTAACTTTAAATTTACTTCATTTAATTATAAAAATTAATATACTAAAAAAATAGATATAGACAGATATGTATCGATGGAATTAAAGTAAATTGGAATATGAATTGGATTGGATAGGGTGGAATAGGATTGGGATGGAAACTATTAAATCATTATATATATAGAGAAGTACCTTAGTGCAAACATAATGTTTTTGTAATATTTTATTTGATAATTCAAAGCTACCAAGGAGTTCTATCCAAAGTTGCTATGGTTTTATTGCAGAACTTAAAATCAGTGTCATCTCTATATCCAACACAGAAATAACTAAGATTATGTTTTAATCAATTACCTTCCTGTAGATTAATTGTACTTTGGTCTTCCACCATAACAATGTGGACATCTTGGTATTGATCCTAATACTATTCCATCAGCAATTTTATTCAACAATTCGTCTTTGTTTCCACTCATACTCTATAAGTTTTTTCTTAAATTATCCTTTATTTCTTAATTTGTCTTTGATGACCAATCCTTGATTGCCTTTTAGTAAGCTTAATATTAATCTAAGGTGTATGCTGCGTATTTGACAGGCACTTTAGGTTAAGAGTCAGCCTTAGGAGCAACTGGCTTTAACACTTTCTTTTTATCATCCTTCTATTCTTTGACATTTTATTTTTTTGAAACTTATTTTTTGGCGGGAGCAGCCTTTGCTTTTTTAGGCACAACCTTTTTAACAGGAGCTGCTTTAACTACTGTTTTTTTTTGTGGTTTTCTAGAAACAACTTTCTTTTTTGCTGGCACAACCTTTTTGGTTTCTTTCTTAACTACCTTTTTAGGCACTTTCTTCTAGATGACTTTTGTAACCTTCTTCACAACTTGCTTTTTAACTGTTTTAGAGACTGTCTTGGAGACTGTCTTCTTTGTTGCAGCACTTTATCTAGCTAATATAGAATAAGCCAAGAAAAATACCCATTTATATCAATTGATAATTTGTAATAATAATTCAAGATATACATCGCATTAATTAAACAATAAATAGATAATCAACAGAATGTGCACAGATTATTAATTTGCCAAATTATAAATAAACATTAAATATTATCCTTTTTTTGAACATTAGAAATAATTAATAATGGTGTAGCTTCTATTCATTCCCTTTAATATAAAATCAAAGTTTTCAGTATAGTTTTATTAAATAAATAGAGACATCTAACTGTGTTATGCTAGTTTTTTATTTAATTACATTCTAAGAATAAAGCAAAATCAATTTTAGCAATTACTCAAAAAAAATTGACAATTACATCATTTTTCATCAATTAGTTTTATTATATTTTGTTGCTATTGATGGATAATTAATATTTGCATTTAGTTCCTTAACAGGACAGAATCAATAAGAATTCATAAGTTTATTAAGACATATATAATATAATTACAATTCCTATAAAAGTTTGTAATCTTAAAATATATCTAATTCGCTAATGTTTACAAATAGAAAATCATTTAGTATTAGAATAAGACTATTTTGCAGAATAAACTATAAATGCAATTATAAATTAAATGAAATTCAAGAGTTTATTGATTTTACTACCTGATAATAGAAATTTATTCATTATAGAGATTTATAAGAGTAATTGAACCGTCTCTTTTGGATCGTTCTTACGTTATTAGAGATTTAAGTAAATAATTTCTAATTTTAATGGAGCTTAGTTTTATTCATTAGATGATAATAAATAATAAAATCATATTATATAAGAATTATGAATATAAAAAGAAATTTATTATTTATTATAATAATGCAAAAGTTATTACTAATTACATCATTGGTTGTTTCAATTTTTGCCGAGAACACTAACTACGCCTATACTAATTGGAATACAATCCAAGGAACTGTGAGTATGAATTCAACTCTTGAGAACTATGAATAAACCTTATGGTTGGTTTATATTTCAATTGGAGTTCCAGCTCAAAATTTTACAGTCTAAATTGACACAGGGTCTAATATTTTATGGGTTCCTTACACAGATTGCTCAAGGTGTGATATTTCAACTAGATATAATCCTAATGGATAAGAATATTTTTCTCCAAATGGTAGTACTTATTATTAAGCTTACGGAAGTGGAGAATGCAGCGGATATGTAGCTACAGATGTGGTAAGTATATAGGATACAGTAATAAACACAACATTTGCTATGATGTTTGCAACCATGGAGCAAGGTTTTGCATTCCCTACAGTTATGGATGGTATTATGGGTATTTCTAACAATCAAACATTCACAAATATCTTTTAAACTGCTTTCTAAGCAGGTTAGATACCAACTGAATAGTATGGCTTAATATTGAATTAAGCTCCTTTACCATCCTACTTGATTTTTGGAAGCATAGATCCAATTTTACTTAATTAGATTTAATGGGTTATTCCTAATGATATCTATAGATGGAAATTGTTTATAAATGCCTTTACTATCAATGGATAAGATTATTCATCATTGATGGGGTCAGTTTAATCTGCAATTTTAGATTCAGGAACTACAGATTTACTAGTGACCGAAGGGCTTTATGGAGTTATCCTTAAAGATTATTTGGTACCTGGAGGTTGTTTCATGAGCGGTGGTATTTATTGTCCTTGCCAACCAACTGCTGATTAATTGGCTTACCTACCAAATATCACAGTGTCATTTAATGTTGTCAATGTGACAATTCCCTTTTTCAATATATTATAAGGATACTATGTCGCAGGTTACTTTAATGTATTATTACATTAGCTACTGGAGATGTTTGCCAAGTCATGATGTCCTACTTGAGTGGTCCTCCCTTTATGGTCTTTGGTGATCCTGCATTATTATCCATCATTCCAATATTTGACAAGACTGCAAACTAAATTGGTATCATTGGAGGTGTTCCAAATGGAATTCCAAATGGAGATTATCCTGGAAATGATGAAATAGATGAAGCAGTAGGATGAAACAATATATTATCAATATATATAAAATAATAACAACATCATTTAAGTTTTGGTCTATGGGAGGTACTACCTCTTTAAGTAATTTATGAAGATAAAGTAAAGAGTGATAATTAAGATAACTAGGATTTAAGATGAGTGGAGGTGCTTGAAATTCTTTTCTGTAGTTATTGAGGGGGTCTTTATGATATTTCCCTATTGGTAGGACTGCTATGCTATAATTGTATTATTTTTTGAATCTAGTTATAATTAATATGATTAGCGTAGTTCCTATCCATTAAAGACCTTTCTGAGAGGAGAGTTCTCAAAGTGGGGTGATTATCCTGATTCCTCAATGAGGGAGCCTTCTTTAAAAGAGTCTAAAAGCTTTTTCTCAATAGAGCCAATGTAGCAGCTGTTGGAGTAGTTCCAGTTAAAGATTTAGGTTACTTCGGGGTTTTCATACTTAATTGATTGTCAATATCCTATAGATTGAGTTGCAGATGCTTTTTTGGCGAATTCTAAGTACTATGATGGCCACTATTAAAAAATTGATTATTGATTCTTGGAGAACTAGCAGATTTCAGAGATTATTTAACTGAATTGCACTTCTTGAATTAATTTGGATTCACATTAGATTACTTTTCATTTAACACTAGTTTTTATTTTTTTTCCACTACCAAATCACTTGATGCTCTATTTTTTAAATTCTATTGTTTTGATTCTAACAAGAACTAATCCTAATATAAAGGGTTAATGTAATTGAAGAACTCAAACAAATCATCTTAAGGTTTCAAATCTCCAGTTTCATTTCTCTAATTAAATTCAGCAACATCCACCTTTAAGAATTCTCCATGAATATGAGTTTCATAGATATCGATCTCAATAGGCATTTCTATTTGTTTATTTTTTATAGATTCCCAATTTACATCACTTAACCATTAATACCTCTTTAAAACTTTGAAATCCTTTATACGTTTGCTTACATCCTTTTCCAATAGATCTATCAACAATTCAGTAACTTCTTCAGTAAGATCATCTGGTAACTCTAACTCCTCATTAATTATCTTCTAAAAGATCTCGTCAGTGTTTTAAGAGTAATGCGGTGGCAATCCCAAGAGCAACTCATGTAATAAGCAGCCTAATGTGTAGAAGTCTGCAGGATATGAGTATCCTTAACGACTAAAATAGTCAATACACTTACCTGACTATTTCTGGAGGCATGTACTCAGGAGAACCACAGAAACTATGAGTTACATCTTCATTCATCAAGTCCAACTTGGATAGGCCGAAATCTGTCAATTAAATGTGACCTCGAATGTCAATCAAGATATTTTCTGGCTGTTATAATTAATTTTAATAATACCTTTAAATCTCGGTAGAGCACTTTACGCTTATGCAATTCTTCCAAAGTGCAAATCACTTCGCAAAAGTACTTCTTGGCTTCATCCTCTGTAAATCGATAATTTTAGAGATGGAAGAACATCTCTCCTCCTGGACTGTATTCCATTAAGAAACACAAATGTTCTCGTGTGGCAAATGTTGCATATAATGGCACAATAAATGGACTTTAATTTAATACATTGGATAATATTTTCTTTTCTCTCAATACCTGTTCCAAACGTCTACAATCTGTAATGTAATGCTTTTTTATCATTTTCAGTGCATAGAGTCTCGCATTTCCTTTATGTCTTATCAAATATACTTCTGACGTTCCTCCTTTGCCTATGCATTTCTCAAACACAAAGTCTTTCAAACTTAACTATCCTGTTTATTACTTATAAATCCCTATCAACCACTCATTCTACTTCAATTTATTCAAGGGAAATACACCTAATCATTATTATTTCTTACTCCTGTCTTCAGGTCTTGATAGAATATAATCAAGAGTCAAAGACCCAGATACAGTCTTTAATCCAATCAGTTAATTTGGATTTGGAGTCAAGGGATGTTCTTTAATCTATCTCTTTAATTCATTATTACTCTTTTGTAAAGATCACTCAAATTGGCATTACTTGGCATCTCGATGAGAATTAATTTGTCTTGTAATTTTAGATTAATTGCCCTTGTCATTTTTATCAATTTAATTTTATTATATATAATCATTTAGATAGCCATTTCCTATGTTGCCTAGGAAAGTGATGCTGCTTCCAAATTTACACTTGCTCCTTCACATGTTTCTCATTCAGTCGTTCCATGAATCTGATTTCAGACATATCTTTGTTCATGAAAATATCCTTCACATCATTCTCCATCTCTTCATGCTCCATTATTTTAAGAGCTTCTATGTGCATAATCTGATTGTCTTTGAATTTGCAATAATTCATTTTTACCTACTCCTTCATCTTTTACTCCTCCTATTATTTTTTTTCATATCTTCTCTTCAACTGCAATAACTTCCCCTCCGCATTCACTATGGACATCAACTTATTTTCCCGGTCCGTGTCCTCAACCAATGAACTAAATTATGATTATTCAGTAGGAATGTGATGAAACTGTTTCAACTTCTCTTTGGCTTCTAATTTCTTCAATTCATTCAGTAACTACCTCTTCCTCTTACTCATCAAATCTAACTATAATTTCTACTTAAATACTCTTGTCATCAAGAATCCTCTCCACATGCTTATCCAAACGTAAATTCAAATAGTCTTTCTACTTCTTGATCAGTAGATCTTCCCTTAAGTGATTTTCTAAATTCTATCTATTCTTTGGCCCAAATAAAGAAAGATTGGCAACCTTAGATAGATTGAGAAGAGCTTAATCAGAAAGACTTTTTTAATAGAGGGGATTCTAAGTTTTATCAATCTCCATAAAAAGAGCAGAACTACCAAAATTATTCTTTATTTCTGGGAATTAGGTTTTTAGCATAGTTCTATTAGATTTAACAGTTTTAGTCATATCTCTCTTCATTTCTGATCTCATTGTATCTCCTAATTCTGTAATCAATAGTCTATTCATTTAATATATAATATATAAATTATCAATCAGTATTAATTTATTTATTGCAACAATTTTATTAGATTCTTATTCTCATTCGAGAGTTACTTTTAATTACTAATTCTTTTTTTGATATGTTAAATCCAGAGAAATTGATATCAAATCTATTCGAGTTTTTTTCTTAACTTTATTCCAAACAACTAGCCAGTCTCTATCTCATCCTCAAATCTGCTTGATTTTGCCTTTGAAATCTCCTCTACAATTGTTCTAATTTGCCTTCAGCATTCACAATCGAGGGAACTTGAAGAATGGTTTACACCTTCTCATTGTCTTTAAACGCCAAGGTATAATTGGATTTACTTCTATCACTTTGTTTTATTAACATTAATTGTTTCAACAACTAACTTTTTCGCTTTGTAAATTAATCTCAATCTTTTAGAAATATTGTAAATACCTTGATTATCCACAATTTGATGTACTAATTTGTCTAAATTCCTATTTATATAGGAACTCTTTTTTGGTAGATTGAGATCCTACTATATGCAATTCTTCAACTGTTCAGTTTAACCTTGCAGGGATAACTTGGCCATGTTATATAGTTTAGTTTAAGCAATAGACACGAGTTCTTATGGATATAAGAGAGGATTAATTGTATTTTATCTTTTTAATTCAACAGTGGACTCACTAGCATTGGTTTTAAAGCGAAGGTATCTTTTGCTCGAAGAAAAATTCAAGTCATTTGAAGTACAATCTTCTTTGAGATCTTTACGAATTGAATCTCCAATTTCTGTAATAATAATTCGATTCATTCTTAAATTTAATAAATATATAAATAAGTTGGATTCCATATTTTGATTAATTACACTCTTTCCGAAAATAAATTGATTTTTTTTAGCCTTATAAATCATTTTGGTGGTAGCAAAAACAAGATTGAATGAGGTTAAGCACAAAAATTTAAAGATATAATATCATTTATAAAATTGTAAAAATATTATAAATATATATATGTAATTTATCATAATTCAATGTCTTCCTGGCATTTACTCCTTCTTTGGTTCTAATTTAATCATGTCATCAATTCTCAAGATAGTTATGGCAGCCTCTGTGGCAAATCTATGAAAGATAGTATTAATATTACTTTATTGCTTTCACTTTACTCACAGTTGGTTCAAGAATGCCATGCTTTAGATTATGTCTCACTTCTCCTTTGATTAGATCTAAGCCACTGTACTTAAATCCCTTTTCATCTATTTTGATTGATTGAGATTTGCTATGTAAAACTCTTAACTTGCTGATTAATTCTATTGAATCCTTGGCTGCATTAGTAGCTAATATCTTTGGAATAGCAGTCAATGCTTCAGCGAACTCAGCAACAGCGATTTGTTCAACTGTATCCAGAGTTCTTGAGAAATCATCCAAATAAATGCTTAAAGCCATTTCAACAGCTCCACCACCAGCTACAACTGAACCAGATTCCAAGGTTCTTTTAACAACACAAAATGAATCGTGCATTGATCTCTCTATTTCATCAGTCATCATTTCATTGGCTCCCCTGAGAATAATACTGGCTGATTATTCCTTTTTCATTCCCTTGAAAAATATATAATCATTGTCTCCTATAGCTTCTTCATACACTTCCTATTATTATAATACTACTATACTTCAGCTTCTCCTAGACTAGAAACATCAAATGACTCTCCTGTTTCTTCATTTGCAAAGGTAGTTATGATCTTTGCCCCTGTTGCTCTAGCAATCCTTCTTAAATGTTCTTTGGGAACTCTTCTCAATCCAATAGCTCCTGCTTCTACTAAATATTTATTAGCTAAATCGTCCATTCCCTTTGAAGTTAAGATTACATTGGCTCCTGCTGATAACAATAAATGAATTCTTTCTTTCAAAACATCCATTTCCTTCTTTCTAATTTTCTCTAAATTGTTAGGGTCATCAACCAAGATTTAAACACCCATCTACATTTTGAATTTATTTAAATTGATATCTAAACATGCAACTTTGGCATTCTTTACTTTTGTTACCATTTGTTGTGAGGCTCTTTATGTTTAAAGAACATATCCTCGAACCAATTCAGATTAATTAGAGGATTGTCCATGACTTTTAACAACATTTATAGATTGAATAGGATACTTAGGTTTTCCAGTTATGTAACCTTAAGTTTTGATAAGTCTAACAGCGTCGACGGCCAATTTAGCAAAGATGTGACTCTCGGAACCAATAATTTTACTATTCATCGAAGTCTTGGCAGCATTCAATAGAATCTCAGTGTCATCCTCTGTGATTTTGTGCACTAGATGAGATTGAATATATTTGACTGCTTACCTAGCAGCTAATTTGTAACCGGATATAATAGTGGTAGGATGCACTTTAATTTTGATTAATTCATTAGCTCGCTTAAGCAATTCAGCAGCTAAAATAACAACTGATGTAGTGCCATCCCCAACTTCCTTATCTTACAATTGACTCAATTCAACAATGACCTTGGCAGCAGGATGCTCAACTTCCAATTGTTTTAGGATAGTAGCTCCATCATTTGTGATTACAACATCCCCAATTTCATCTACGAGCATCTTATCCAATCCTTATGGTCCAAGACTTGTTTTGACTACATTCGCAATGGCCATGACGGCAGTTACATTACTTGTACGAACATCTTAACCTTGATCTCTTTCACCACGAATACCCACAGCAGACATTTTAATTAATTATATAATTATTTAAACATTTTAAACATACCTAATCAACCATTAATTTATTTCTTTTATAGTGAATTTTTCTTCTTGAATTTCATTCTAAATAATTCTCAGTTCTTAAGAATTAAGAATATTCATCTATATTAAATTTTTATATCCTTGAAGGGTATAAGTCTGTTACAAATTTTCATATGTTTGCTCAAGTCAATCTTAGGATGATGATTAGATCAATAAGGTTTTTCGTTAAAGTCATCCTTTATTTAGTGATCATCCTAGAAGTAATTTGATTCCATATTTTATTTATTGACTCAACTATTACGAAATGTTCATAACTTCTTTTATAAATATATATTGTTCCATAAAGGATAGATATGCGTATTTTTAAATATTAGAACATTTTTTTAAATATGATGATTTTAATCTGAGACATATTATTTTAAATAATAACTTATTCATCTCTTATGTGTATATTAATTGATACATTAACTAGTCTGCATTATCCGAACTTCATTTAAAATTTGAATTTGCATATTTTAAATTTAAAAAGGAATCTACACCTACTTGCGCTCCTATTTATAAACCTTACACCTATAAATCCTGAAAATGCAACCCAAAATTACAGTACATTAATCCTTTTTCTTATTGCATCTAAAAAATAAAAAAATGGTTGCCATTAATTTATGAAAAACAACACTTAAATTTTTTCTATATTAATCATTTGGAAGCTGGTTAAGATATGCAAATTTACTATTTTAATAAAATCATCTCTTAGGTTAGGTGAGATTTAGTTTTAAGAAATTAATTTACTGTTTTTATACCTCTTATTGAAGGGATTCTGTCTATATATCATATCCCATCTATAGTTATTTGAATACTTAAATACAAGTGTCCTTGAATAACCAGGCATAATCACTAGATTTTTATTCTATAACTAAGCAATTGGATGCAATTTAGGTTAAATATCCAATATATTAAAAACTCTTTTTGTATTCTTCTAATCACTACTCTAAATGTAAATTTTAATTTTCTTTCCAATACTTTTAGATAACTTTTTTACTATGGCTTGCTTTTAAGGTGTCTTTTTTGTTTCATTTAAGTGTTTTCGTTGTAAAAGTATACATTCAATTCAATTGATTCTAGAAGTTCAAAATTATATTTCCTATCTTTTTTAAAGAGAATTAGTAAATTGTACTCCAAGGTGTTTTTTACCAGAACTTCTTGGAATTTTTTCTATTGAGAAACAGAATTTCTAAGAATTTTTTGGATCAATGTTCTCTTAAATTTTAAATAGTAGAATTTTTAATTTATCAATTATCATAATGATATAATAATCTGTATCAGACTTGTTCATTTACCTAAAAAATATATCTAATTTAATTGAATTAAATTCATTTAAATGTTAGTTTAAAATAATTTTATTCTCATAAATGATTCATATCAAATTCTAATTTCCAAATATATTCTTAGGATCAATCTGTTACTTGATTCTCTTTAAGATTTCAACTCCAGTATCTCCAATTTGCTTTTACATAAATTATTTTCTGAGCTTGCCAACACCTAAAAATGATGAATTCAATCATTTACCATGATGATGAGAAATGGATCCTCCATTTTTCATAATCTCCTCTCTTGCAGCATCCTCGATTTCAGAATAGCACTTAACTGGATCAGATATTCCTTTATAGCCAAATCCAAAATAAACATAGATAGTTGCCCCTGTGTCATAAACTTATGAAATTCTAAATGAAACAAATGGTTCTTTCTCAACTCCTCTTTTAGAACACTCCTCTACTATTCTTCTTTAAATCTATAAATCAAATCATCTCATTACATTTTCACACACTGCAGGAACATTCTTCCATCCTACTGCTGTCTCAAAAGACTCTGCAATAAACTAAAATTGCATAGCAAAATCTCTCAAATATGCAATCATATAAGTTAAGAAGTATCCTCTTTCTCCATTTTCTGCTCCTGCTCTAAATCCCTTATAAGACTTAGCCAACTCAAAAACTTTCTTCTCTTAGAATTCCACTTCTTATTTAGTTCCCTCAAACACGACAGTTACTAAACACATTTAATCTGGATCGTATTGCATGAATTATGTGATGAAATACTTTTTGACCTTATCCATAAATTCCTCTCTCTTACTATGAGGCATAGTTTTCAAAGCCATTCCAAATTAAAATTGATTGTTATCAACCAATCTTACTGAAGCTGGCCAAACTTTGCTCCTTGATAATTTGTACATAAATTCAGTTCCCAAAGCAAAGTTATGGAATAGAATAGATTCATATTTACAAACCTGACATAATAATATTAAATTACTTCAGGTTATGCCTTAATTTTGATAACAGCTTCAGTGATGATACCAATAGTACCCTCAGATCCCAAAACAATCTAGTTGAGATCTGGACCACTGCTGACTCTTGGATAATCTAAACTCTAAGACAAAGTTCCAGTAGGAGTAACCACTTTAACAGACAGAATGATGTCCTCTATGTTTCCATAACGATTCTTTTTCATTCCTGAAGCTCTTGTACTAATCCAACCTCCAAGAGTTGAAAATTCTACTGAATCAGGTTCATGTCCACATACTACTCCATATCTTGATAGTTCCTTCTCTAAATCCTTTCCTGTAACTCCAGTTTCAACCAAAGCTGTCATATTCTTTCGGTCTACCCATCTTACGTGATTCATCCTTGAAGTATCAACAGAAACAATCATTCTTCTTTCTTCTTTTGGACATTACAATGCCCATGTAACATTAGTGCCTCCTCCATAAACTGTCAACATTACATTGTGTTCTACAGCTAATTTCACTAACAATTCTGCCTAGGCATGAGAATTTATAAAGACTACACAATCCACTATTCTTGCTAATTTACCATGTCTTAATTCATAAATCTAAATTTAATGTACTTAATACCTCTTACATTGTATGTCCATGAGAATGCAATATTCTTTGACCATTATCAAAGGAAATCTCATTAAACTAACCTTGAATTGCATTCATAAATTATTCATTGATGATAGGTGGATTTGCGGGAATTTCAGCTTATGCTTCACAATTAAGACTCAAGTCAATTCCAACTTTAGCTTCGGCCCAGTCCTTAAATTTCATCATCCTCTAATTTGAAAATCTGTATTTATTTCCTGTCAACCTTACAGCTCCATCTTATTCTAAGATAAATTTTGTATCCTTATATCCCCATCCATTATTCTTGAACCATTCCAATTTATTTTATGGTCTCTATACACATATAATCCTCAATTTTTACTTATTCGTAATACTATCCCTTGAGTCCAGCCGGTTCCACAATTTGACTCTGTAATTACTAAATACGAATCATAAATTAAAATAAAACTTATTCAAATTATTTATAATATTCAAAGTAAATTCGGACTATCTCATAATACTTCCCAATGACAAACTGAAGTATTTTAAACAGTGATAGACTCTAAATATTATATCCTTAACTAATAATATGGTTAAAAACTCTATTCTTAAGAATATATGATTAGTTTATCAATAAAACAACATTATAAATACTTAAATACAGATTTACTTTAATAAAATGACATAAGGAAAATTTAAGTATTTGAATACTCAAAGGGTATTTCTAAATTTATCTTCACTTAGTGAATCAATTATAATTTGTTTTAATTAATTTTATAATAAACTTTAAAATATGCATTAGCAATAAATTGTATTGTCATATTTTGCATAATTGAGATTGTAAATTAGTGATGCATTGCATATCAACGCTGAAAAATATTTCAAAAAGCAGGCGTCGGAATCAGAGTTAGTCTTAGTTTCAAGATTAACAGGAAAAATAAATAAAAGGAATACAGAATAATAAAGGACAATAGTCATCTCTAGTGAAAATATCTATAATATTGATAAGAAATCAATTAAAAGAAAGATTTCAATTCATAAAATATTTGGGGTGACAGTTTCTAGGTCAAGTTATGAATTTGTTTTACATGTCCCTTAGGAAAGTGATTATCGTTTCAAATCACAAGAATATAGAGATATCATTCTCTATTACTTATCTATTGTCCTTAAATTAAATAACAAAGATGGCCTAAGGCTCTACATGGTAGATAATGAAGAGTTGGATCAATTTTGTCTGCATGATGCAACAGCTGATTGCAAAAAATAAATTGCTCTTCATCCAAAAACAAAATTATTATTATTGTATCCTGAGAATTTTCAATTGTCATACATAAATTTGATGTTTGCATAAAATAAAAATCTCAAAAATTAAAGTATCAACATCCTATATGTTCATGATCCTCTAAATTTAAGGGTAAGATTAGAGGATTATTAAAAACTCGCTATTCTTGCTTAGGGTTCCTTTAGTAAAGTGCTCTTAATAAACTAAAAAATTGAGAAGCAAACACAATTCTTAGTTCTCAAAACTATTTAATCTTACAATATTGATATTAATATATTACAATTTCACTTGGAAAATTATACCTAATCTCAGTATATGGAGCAGTTAGAACTGTGCTTAAGATAGCAGGATTAAATTCATTTTTTTTTCAAATTTGTAAGAGGCGGAGACTTATTCTCTCATCTTTAAGAAGTAAATTATTTTTCAGAAATCGAAGCTAAATACATTATTGCATAAATAGCTCTAGGATTATCGTATCTACATGAAAGCGGAACGATATATGGAGATCTAAAACCAGAAAATGTATTGATCGATGAAAATGGATATGTTTAACTGACAGATTTTGGATTTGGCAGATTGAGAGTCTATCAAGAATTTAAAAAAGTATAGACTATTAATTTTACTGTTGAATATGCTGCTCCAGAATACCTCTTGCAAGGAGATTTAACAAGAATGTCTGATTGGTACAGTTTAGGAATTCTACTCTATGAGTTGGTGATAGGAATTTCTCCATTTTATCACCATAATCATGAGATAGCAATTAAGATGATTTGCAAAGGAGATTTGTATTTTCCCAAGACCCCTGCTATATCATATGAATGCAAGGATTTTATAACGAAATTGCTTTAGCAGGACAGTTAAAGTCGTATAGGGTTTGAGAATGACTTCAAAGAGATCTAATCTCATAAATGGTTCTAAGGGTTAAATTGGTAAGAACTTTCAGAAAAGAAAAAATCGTTACCGTATATCCCAAAAATTAATGATGAAGATACTGTACCATAGTAATATTTTAGATTCGAGAAATTAACTGATGAAGAAAAGGGTTGGTGATAAAGATAAAATATTCTTATTTAAATTCACGAAATTAATTGATTGAACTTTGCAGCTCTACTATAATGATTTTTAGTCTCCATAAACTAATAACTTAGTTATTTATTAGGGCTTAATGTAATACTCTTTAAATAAAATCAAATTTCCATCAAATTTATCATATCTAAAATTTTGTTTTGAATTCCTAATTTCCTGTCCTTTCTTATTTTCTGATGAATTTACTAATAATTATTTTGTTAATTCTACTATGTATAGATTTAATATAAATAATGTAAAGTCATAAGATAGATAGATTCAATTAACATGAATTAAATTAGAAACTTAATATATTATTATTATTATACAATCAATAACCAAAAATTTAAGTCAATAATAATTTCAATTTATTTATTTTAACCTGATATTAGGTAAATGAGTTGATTAGTTTTATCTTGGAGAAGTATGTTTAGAAAGTAATGGAGGTTATATTTTTTATTATTGTTAATTAATTGATTTTTATTGAGTTGAGTTTAATTTCTTTGTAACATATTAATTTAAAACTGAATTCAATCCAGTTATTAAGTATAGTTTTTATTGAGATTTTGATAATTTTTTGTGTATATATTATTCATCTGATGAAAACTTTTGCACCAAAGATTTTCTTGGTTTAAGATGGTAAAATTCCTCATCTGAATCTTATGGAGAGTTTACTGCTGTAGCATTTTAGCTAAAGACATAATCAAAATTAGTGGCTGATTTAAATTTGGGACTGACACGAAACTGCTTTGATGCAATTTCTAAAACATTAAGCAAAGTCATCCTAGGATTATCTATTCTTGTTTTAAATGCTTTTTTCATCCTTTGTCGTTACCTATACCTGATATTTTAAACTATCTTGTATCTGATTATAAAAAGCAAGCAATAAACAAGTTTCTTAAAAACTTTGATATATTTAGAATTTCTGTAACGATCCATTATTTATTACTACCTTAAATACTCTTTTTTTGAATGCTATGTCTCCGTAAAGGTGTAAATTTTAAATATCCTCTACTTAAAAACTGACTCCTTCCCGCATTCTGAACAACAACAACTTGAATTACCTAGTTTTGTAGAACTAATGTCAAGTTTATTTTTTCTAATTATTCTTGAACTTTTCTATGGAGATTGAAATAATTAATAAGCTTTAACATTTTTTATTGAATATCTCTTTCTCCTTTCTTGTGCTTATTCATAGTAAAACTACACTTTTGTTTGCCTAATATTTTTTTATTTAAAGTTCATTATAAGTAATATATAATAAATTTTATTTTTTAAAGTAACATAAAATTCTGGTGTTATTTATCTTTTCAGCAAATAAACTTATAAATATTAATACTATAAATAATCATGATAATCATTATCAAATTACATAGATCTGAATGATTAGAAATTGAAAATATTACCAATACTTAGGATATTTGTTTATTTTACTGATTAATAAATAAGAATAATAATTCAATAATATTCAGATAATTTTCGTAAGTATAAAAGTAAATTTATTCTGGATTATATTCATTATCATTTTTTATTAAAAATAAATTGATAATTTACAGTTTATACTTCGAATTTACTAATATTATATACAATTGCAATTAAAAATTTAATACTGAATAAATCCAAATAAAAATAATAAACTCAAATTGTTTCGATGAATTAAAAATTCAAATATAATCAATATTATGATTTTAATAATTTGAAACAATGTTTTTTACATTTAAAAATGTGTAATTAATAATACTAAATTGATGATTTAACAGAATTGTGCTCATTTATCATAGTGTTTATGATTATTTCCAATAGTTTATTCCGGCTATATGACTCTTTATAGTTTTGGAAATCCATTTCTTGGATTAGGACCGTTATCTTTATTTGGAAACTAGTCTAGTGATATATCTAGAATTAAAATCTTATAAATTACCATTAGGATCTTCTCCTCTATTAATTCTGTCTTGTTATTTATAATTCAGTAACTATCTCTTATAGGCTTATAATATCTTTTATCCTTTATCTTTTAACTCTTTTTAATCCCCAGTTATTGCATCTAAAATAATATCGAGTTATACTTAATATTTGTTTTCTTCTAAATAAACTTACATTTAACTTAAATGGAATGTGTTTATCCATTCCTTTTTCTAATTGACCATTGCTCATTTCTAAAATGATAACAAATGATTTACTTTTGAAAAAATCATAAATTGGATTTTTTTCTCCTTAATCCAGATTTCCACCTTTCTAAACTCCTCTCATTATTGTTAGAAACTCCTTAAACTCAATTTCATTAGTTCCATCTTCATCCACTTCACTCATAATTTTTTCGACTTCCTCCCTTGAATTAACTAAGCCTAAAGCTATGAGTGGGTCTTCTAATTCCTCTATTCCAATAGCACCTGATCCATCTCCATCTAATGATGAAAAATATTTTCTCAACTCAGCAATTTCAGAGTCCTTAAAATCAATCCTATCTTAATATCCCCTTTTGATTAGCCAAGCTCACTCTTAAAATCCAGATTAAAACTATTATTATAATTAATCAGTACAATATATTTTGATGCTTTATTGAAATTAAAGGCTTCTTATATTTTAGTGAGTTTCTCTTGCTTCTTGACTGACTTTGCATTATCTTAAGGTTTACGACTAGAAAGAGTCTTAGATTATTCTTATTTTTTCATCTATAATTTGATAATGATAATATTAATAAATATAATTTGAAGAAATAACTTATATCCATTCCTGTTATTTTTAGAATTTATAACTCTGAATATCTTAAAAACAATAATATTTTTAATGATGAAAAAATAAATTTGGAAGAAAAAATCCTTAAAATACAGTTATTAATAAGAAATAAGTTGAAATAAGTTTTAGTGGTTAAAATAACTTAACAATCTCATATACTATTTCGAATACATTATTAGGAAGATAGTAATTAATTAAATATATATAGTTTTTGAGAATTATCTTGAATAAATTAGTGGATTTTATGGAATTATAAATTATTATTTTTATAACTTTCTAAAGTAAATATCGGATGTTGATATATGATTATATCATTAGTTGTTTTATTGCAATATATTTGAAGAAGATTTGATTATATTGCTTATATATCATGGTTATAATATTGGAGGTGCAATATAGAAGTAGTTTTTAGTAATCATTTGCATCAGTCGTGAATTTAAATAAGGTAGGTATTATTTTATAACATATAGAACTGATTGTAAAAACTACTAGTAAAATTTACAAGGGGATTTGATGTTAAAGATAAAATGAAAAATTTATATTTAATTTTTAATCAATAATTTAAAGCAATATCAATTATTTTTAGATTTTACTTTTTATAGACTTGAAAATTATTAAAGCTATTTAATTAAATCAAAGCTTTTATTTTACATTTATGAATAAGGTGATTTGTTAAATTAATATCTTAGTTCAAAGCTTCTACATGAATTTTGTTAATTGTAATTGTATTAGGATAGTTGCTTTTCTTTAATATTTTAGTTTATAAACTTAGAAAGCTGTGTTCCAACTGGACGATTTGAGTAAAACTATTTATTTTCAGGGGATTATCCCCTTGAGTAACTTTATTTATAACCTACATCTGTTAAAAGTCTATTTTAACTTAAGGATTGCTATAGTTTCGATTTATTTAGAGTCTAAAATGATTTACGATGAGATTGTTGCAGTATTGAATACTATTACTTAATAAACTCTGGGTTTATTTAAGTTTTTCTTGAATTTTTTTTTAGGTTGGAGAGATATATTTTTTTCAGAAGATCCTTGAAGCTGTCTTTCTATTAAAGTTGTTCTTTAGGTGAAAATTATTTTGATATCGGAGATTCTGAATTTATCTTTTAGTTGTTTTCTTCTGTTCTAGGAAATGCATATGATTGATTAACCTAGCTTTTTTTGAATCTCCTCTCAATTTAAGCAACTGAACTATTTTTTGAGGCTTCAAGCAAGGCTTCATCATCAGGAGATTTCTAATAGTTATCAATCATATTTAGTAATATTCTACTTTTTGAAGATTGTCGAACATTAATTTGCATTAAATTTATAATTTATTTTTGATTTTACTTAATCACTTACCACTTTGACTTACAATTATAAGATAACTCATTTGATTTCAATTATTTGCTATTTTGAGCATATCAATTACATCTAAACTTATTGCAAAATTAATCTTGATTCTTTTTCTTTAATTTATAGTACATGTTGTCTATTTAATAGATTAAATAATGATAATAATAAAATGTATATTAATCAAGTGCAAATTATTTTTATTAAAATCATCTAAAGTATGTGGATCAACATAATGTTTTGAATCAAATATTTTACTTAAAAACTAAAATTAAGTATCTTAATACAAATTATTAAATCAATATATTGACTTTTTAAATTTGCTGAAGTCTAACTAATGCTTTTGCTGTTATTTAGAAACTAACAATTTAATTTTTTGTAAAGAATCCTTAAAATTTAACGGCGTAATAGTAATTGTCGATTTTATTGTTTTTGCAAGTTGAGGTGTTTTTGTTTAACATTTTGGTGAAATAATTGAACCTTAATATGGTTTTAAAGAAGGAGTCTTTATTTTGTAATTGATTTGTTTATTCTCTTTTAATTTTTTATTGTTCTCCTTTTATTCAGTGATTAATCTTTAAATGCTCCTTAAATTGGCTGATGATTTTTGCTATTATTGATGTCGGCTGTAAAATTGAAGGCTTAAAAATTATTATAGATCTTTGTCATTTCCCTTCTCCTGCTTTTTTTAATCGAGCTCTTTAACTACTAATACACTCTCATAATCCAAACCATAATCTAATTATTCATCTTCTAATGTGTAAAGACGACTCATAATTCGTTATAATTAATATAAACTTGGCACAATAATAAATTATTATATTTTTTTCAGATCAATATTAAGCTTAGGAATCTACATCTTTTTTTTCTGAATCTTGGATTTCTCCTTTATTCGAATTATTCCAACTATAGCCTCCTTCATTTTGATTTTATCTTAAACTTAGACATATAATACCTTTGGATTGCTTAAGGTTCAGGTTTCTTCAAATTATCATTCACTTGTCTAGAATATCGCGTGAAATCATATTAATTATCATCCTCATCAGATTCATCCTAAATTCTTTCATTCCTATTGAAACTTTGATAATCATTTTAAGATGGTCTGGAATTGTTCTGAAACTATTATTAAATGAAATTAGGTCTCTCATTATTTTGCCTTGAATTCTCATAATGTTTCGGTGACTAAACTATTTTTTAATCTACCACAGTTACTTAATTTTAATTATTCTATTGATCAATACTATATTCATATATCTATAATTTACAGTTATGGTTAATTTTGAGAATTTTTATTGAAAAAGTTATTCTGAGGTTGCTTCTATTCAAACTATTAATTAAAAGTCTATTGTTCTAGTTTTGCTTGGGGAAGTTAAATATTTGGGTTTGGTCTTTAATTGTCATAAAATCTATTTATAGTAGGTTATTCAGCGTTTAGACTGACTCTTTTTTCTGGTTCCTCTTAATTTGCATTAAATCTTCGATTTTGCTCTTGATTAGGTTGAAAACTTGTATTTTGAGAGGGATTTTGAATTTAATCATGTTTTAAAATTTCCTAACTCTGGCCTTAATTAAATTTGAAGTTATTAAAATCAGGATTAATAATAGATTCAGGCTATTGAATTTAATCAGCTCTCATTTAGAATTCGTCAATTAAAGGTTTGCTTACATCCACAAAATTTCTATAGTTGTTTCGCCTTTATTGATCATTGTATTAATAGTTAAGTTTCTCATTATCTTATTCTTAATTGTAGTTTCTTTATTATCTAGAATTTTGATTTCCTCTTATATCATCTTATTAGCTTCTATTATTTGTTCTGTTTTAATAATCAAAATTTTTATCTCTAGAATTACCTGAAAAAGATGGATTCATGAATTATTAATCATTAGGTCTCTATGGATATCCTTACTTGTTATTATTGTTTTCATTCCAATTGTTTTACTATCTTTGATTATTGTGTTGATTTCTCTAGAAGCCATGTTAATCCCTTTAATTATTAAAACCTTACATTTAACCATAAGGTTATTAATGATCATATTAATTTCTATAATTATATTGGTATTATTAATCTCTATAATTTTTTGAAGATTCAGTTTATTAATCAAATTATGTATCTCCTCTAAAATTCTAATTGGATTACCCAGGATAAGTATTTGTTTAACCTCTGTAGTCATTATTTGATTAATCAAACCTATATTGATTTCTGGTTTCTTACTGCTAATCTCTCATATTTGAAGACTGCAACTCTTTATTTGGATACTAGAAGGTTGTGTATCTATTTTGATCAAATTAATCCGTTCTATCATCCTAAAATTTTCTGTGGCTTTCGTATTAATTATTTTATTCTCCATAATTGCGTCTTTAATTCTCATGACCTTAGTTTCCAAATCTAGGCTATTGATTTCTATAGTTTTCTTATCGTCCATTACCTCTATCAGGATCTAAATAATCTTCTCTACGTTATCGTTGAAACTCACTTTGTTCTCCTTATTAATGTTATTAATATGGCCTATAATTTTGTTACTATTATCTTCTTTAATTATGATATCCCTAAAATTAAAATACTTGAAATACCTGATTTCGGAATTATTATTAATAAAAGTTTTCCTCTCTTTAGGGAAACCTATTATTATTATATTATCCATGATGATGTTTCTTGTAATCATAGCCTTAATCATACTTTTATCTATTTCTATTAGAACTACAATTTACTCACTATAAATTACAGATTATCATATTGGTAAGACTGCATATAAAGATTAGCCCTTTCTTCTTACGTTAAATTGGGCATTCTAAATTTGGAGTTATTTTAATGAGTCATGAGTTAAGTACCATACTTAATTTAACCCTTCTATGTATTTGGATCTCTAAATTATTCTAAATTTTTAGTAATTAATTACTTATTCCATTTGCAATCTCTTCCATGAGCTTATAGTTAAATTTAATCTAATGTATATTATTCAATTTTAGTAATTCTCGAGCCATCTGAGGCGTATCTCTCTCAAAAGAAAAAAAACTAAACGCTCTCCCTCTTCTACCTGCCCTTCCCGTTCGACCTATTCTATGAATGTAATCATCTATATATTTTGGAAAATCATAGTTGATTACAACGGTAATATCTGAAACGTCTAATCCTCTCTAGGCTAAATCAGTGGCACAAAGCAACTTAGTATCACCTTTTTTATAGTATGACATAATCTCATCTCGTTGTTTTTATGTTTTATCCCCATGAAGTGCAACTGCATAATAACCTTCACTAGTCATATCAACCGATAGTTTTTCACAACTTATTCTAGTTTCTGCAAAAATCAATACTTTGTCAGTAATTTTCAACTAGTCCAAAATATCCAGCAAAGTTTATAATTTTTCATTATTGTACAGACAAATGATTTCTTAATCTATATTCTTATTAATGGTTAGATTAGACCTACCCACCTAAACATATACAGGATTCTCTGCACAAAAATCAAATGATAAGTTTCTTACAGCTTTAGGCCAAGTTGCAGAAAAGAAAACTGTCTGTCTATCTTATCTAATCTGTGAAACTATTTCTCTAACATCATCTTCAAATCCCATATCCAATAGTCTATCAGCTTCATCTATAACAAGATAAGTCACTTTTGATAAATTTACAATTCCATCATCTAAGAAGTCTTTCAATCTACCTGGACAAGCTACTAAGATAGTTGGGTTTTATCTTATTTATTATGCTTATAGATCTCTATTTTATCCTCCAAAAGCATTTGCAACATCTCCAGGTCTCACAAATAACTAAACCTATTAGGTGATTTGCATAACTAATTCCCTAGTCGGTGCTAGAATTAGCATTTCTGGTCCGTTTATTTAGCTTCTGAAATTATTTGGGTAATTTTGACCAGACAATTAAATAAGGCCAGGTAATAAATACCCAAAGGTCTTGCCTGACCCGGTCTCTGCAACTCCAATAACATCATTTCCACTTAAAATCAAAGGGAATACTATATTTTTAGGGTTTTTAATTACCGACAGATTGAATTGGAGTAGGATTACGAAATTTAAGCTCATCTATTACATTTTTTATTTTAAGGGGAAGATTTATACTCTCCCAAGTTAAAAAAGGATCAACAGGAAGTTTTCCATCTGGTGTTTTAAAAGAAATTGCATTTTCTTTTAAAAATTCTTCAACTTAGCGTGTTTATGATACTATAGGCTGAAGTAAGAACTTATTATTACATCTATAAATCTCTTTCTAAAAGAAGGTAATCTATTATTTTGCATTCCTACTAAATTTCCTTTGCTTTATTTCCATCTTTGCCTCACAACTTCCTCAATATCCAAATTATCAGGATCAAATTAATCATATTCTGGATCATCATTTTAGTTAATTCGATACATTTTATTAATAATATATAAAATGAATTAATTTTATTGCATTCTAAATATTCTTAAAATGACTACCTTAAAACTGAAAAATATCCAGTTGTAGATTCTAAATTTATTTATTCTCTTCCAATATTGCTAAATTAAAATTTAACTTTAAGGATCAGAATCATTACATATAGAATTAATTATATTTTGATGTTGCGCCTTTTAGTTGTGAAATCTTCATCAAAAAGATGGTTTTTAAGAATTAATTACAATACATAATAGGAAATTCTGACTTACTTATATATTATCCAAATTCACTGTTAATGTGTTCTATTATCATCAAATATCACTTTCAATAGCAAAACTTTTTATAAATCAAAAATAAATCTTGTTTTTTATAATTTTATTCCAGTTCCACATTTAAGGCATATTAATTTTTATAAACTATCTAAATTAATCTTATGGTAGGATATTTTATAGAACATATTTTTAAACCTTAACTGTCGAAGGAGATCTACAGCCAAGTGATCTCAAAAAGTAGAAAAAGCAATTCTCATTTCCCTCATTTTTAATTATTAAATTCTATTTCATCCAAATTTTTCCTAACATCATTTTATTTCATAATATTTTATTTGATTGAATATATATCTCTTCCTTTTAGGCTCAATTTAAACTTTTTAATATACATTAATATCTTTTAATGAGATAATTTTGAATCCTGCGATAAAGATTAACTATTTGAAATCACAATTTTTATATTTAATAATCAGATTCTCACCAAAATTAATAGCTTATAATATTATAATATAAAAAATATTATTTAAAAAGCCATAATTGATTTCTAAAGAAGATGGAATCAAATAAAGTTAAAAATATTAATGAAAAAAGAGTTATATGAGCTCAATAATTAGAAATTGAAGTTTCTTTTATAAATTTATATTAATTATATAATATTTAAAAATTATTGTATGAGTAATCCTGAACTATCAGAAGAGAGTAGACCACCAAAGTTATTGTTAGTTTTTAGCAAATGTTCTGAGTTTAGTGAGATCGATTTAGAGAACAAGCAATCCCCAAAAATACTAAAATTAAGAAAATTGTAAAATGTTTATAATACTAAATAAGAAATTCCGCTATTGAATACAACGATTAATTACATATGGTGATCAATAAATAAATAGATATTGATGAAAAGAAAGTAGAAAGTCCAAAAAATGAAATTGCAAAATGGTAACCATGCAGTTGTACTAAAACTAATTGTCTTAAAATGTATTGTTCGTGCTTTCACAATGGCCAAACTTGTGTGGAATCTTGCAAATGTGAAGATTGTAAGAACACTAATAATAATGTTCCTTAAAGAGACAAAGCTGTTGAATACATTAAGAAAAAGGCTCATAGGAATAAAAAAGTGTCTTAAGAGACATTATTTGAAACCAAGGATATATGGGGATGCAATTGTAAAAAGACCAGATGCCTAAAAAGATATTGTGAATGCTATATAAGATAGAAGGCTTGTACAGTGGAATGTAATTGCACTCATTGTGAAAATGGAAAAGATGAAGACTTATATAATGAAATAAGAAGACAAAATGAATAGCCTAAATAATCAAAAAGACAGAGATCTGGACGTTTGTATAACAATTGAACTTTAATTTTTAGTTTATAACTTAAATATAATTATTTTCTCAAAATATACACAACTTTCAATCTTAAATATATATATTTTAAAAAAATATTGTCGCCGTTATGCTGAAAAGTTATCTAGTTTTACTATTTATTAAGAAGTATCTGATTATTATCATATTTGCATCAAGATATTTAAAATAGAATTTCTGCATTAAATAAATAAACTATCAATCTATAATTTAATCAGATTTTGTTATTTCAATAATAAAAATATAATAATGTGAATTATCATTTAATAAAATATAAATATAATAATTATTTAGAATGCAATAAATCGAAAATTCAGATCCTATCAAGCAATTTCATAATCTATGAATATTAAAGAAGAATAATGAAGGTTTTACTTATTTTCTTTAAATTATTCTAAATTCCAAAAAATAATTATATTATTACAATACTTATAATAAATATAATTTATTTAGAGAATCATAGGTATAGATGGAAACTTAATAAGCCTAAAAGGATTTACAATTTTTAGAGTAGAAAACTGCTAGTCTCTCATAAAACTTAGAGTAGCTCTGGTTAGAATTTAATTAATAGTAAGAGATGCTTAAATTGATTACATCATAAAATCAATATACCATCTCTAAAAAAACAAAGAAGTTTAAAATGGTTATTAGATTTGTCATTCCCTACTTAGAATTGAAGTAGGTATTTTAAATGAGATTCCTAAGCAAGGAGTTTAAATAGATTATAGCAAAAGAAAAAAAAGCAATTAATCAATTGATTAATCATCAAATTGAGAAAAACAAAGAAAAATTATACGAATTTAATATTATTGATAAGACTTCAAGAGAATTATATATGTACATAGTGAAATTAAATTTTTATGGACAAAAAGTTAAAGAAACTGTTCTTCCAAAAGACTTCTAATGCATTTTAAAGCAAATAAGTGATCCATCGTAAATCTATGCAATTCAAGTTGCATCTAAATTTCAATATCCATAAAAAAAAATGGCATACTAGAATCCAACATAGAAAGAAATTATAGATAATTATTGTAAAATCGCATATCATCCATGGTAGGGTAATACTAACCTTGTGGCCGAATTTGAAAAGTATCGAAAAGAAATACTAAGATAAAAGCATTTAAAGCATTTATAATCATTAAGACCAGTTGTTGATAATTTATGATTATCTATAATAATTATTCTTTTAATTCTTTCATGTATTTATGAATTATGAATTGAAAATTTAGTAAAGCAATTTTAAAATATTCTATAGAATTAAGTATATAAAATATGATACAATAAATCATTAAAATTACTCATATTGAGTTTTATTAAGACTCCACTCTTAAAAGCATTATTTGATGTTTAGTTTTAAACAAAGATATTTAATATTTTTATTTTTTACTTATCTGTAATTACATTAAAGCTATTTGCCTTCGAAATGCTCATATAAATGCTTAAACTTTTAAAACAGTTGATATTTTGCTATTTTTGGTAGAAATTATAATTTGGATATGTCCTTTTTTGCAAGTCCCCACTTTAAACCATTTAATGAGTTAATCTTTTCTATCCCCAAAGAATCCACATATAAGTAACTGAAAGATTATAGACTTTGTTAATTAATATCTTTATTAATCCTTTTGTTTAATTCATCATTATTAGGATGATAAGGACTGTAAACAAATAAATTTTTTCTTGTATAAATTATTTTTGGTTTTTTTATCTTAAATGCTTTGCTAATAAATTTATTATTTATTTTTAAAACATCTTCCATACTTTTGCCAGACCTTTTTCCTATATCAAATACTTCCTTCAAACTAAAATGCTCTCTAAATTCAATGATTAAATTATCAATATAAATTGGATTAATGTATTAATTCAACAATGCTCCTTGAATGCCAACTATATTCCAAATCATAATTTTGTCTGTACAGCAAAAACTTGGATTCTTTTATTGAATTGGTGTTTTGGAATTGGCAGGAGTACTTCTTAATCTTTAAGTATCACAATTAGGAATATTTTCTGCTTCCTAAAAGAACTCTGAAAATGGTCTTGCTGCACTCATTCCATATATTTTTGATTCTGGAAATAATTATGCCTATCCGCAAGGTGGCTGAGTAACATAAAAGCAAACTTTATATTCCTTCTTTAATGAATATTTAGTTTCTTTTTTTTCAAAATATTTATCAATATCATTAGGTTTAGAGAGTACTTCATACAACCATAATTAAAATCCTCTTTTGGCAATTACTTCTGCATGACAAGAATGTAAACAATGATTTTATTCATTCATATGATTTAATCCAACTGCTTTTGATCCTGTTCCTAACGAACACAAAATTACGTTTTATTCATTTTAAACTAGAGAGATGGAGGCTAAAATAGCATTTTAGTTGACTTTTTCTTTTTATATAAGTTCTTGATATTTTTCATGAGTTTTTTATTTTAAATCACTCAAGTAATTATTCATTAAATTAAAAATAATTTTATAAGAATATCATAAAGACCAACCATGAGATGAAATACTAATGTATCTTTAATCATTTGTAAATGAATATTTAAAGGAGAGAATTGAATTCTTTTTAAACTCATTAATATATAATTGACAATATAAATTTTAGATATACTTCGTGCTTATATTGAAAATAAATTCATTTTAAGGTATATTTTGAAGAATTGAAAATACCATATTCAAGATATTTTCGAAATTTTTATGTATTCGAAAAATAAGGATATTTGTATTAGTATGATAATCTAATTAAATATTATTGATATTAAAAATACTAACTATTTTATATTTTACTCACCAAATTCAAGGGACTAATTCAACCATTAATAAATGAATTATAATATATTATATCTTAATACTCGAGGATATTTTTTTAAAAGCTATTAAGTACAAAAGTCGATAAAATTATTTAAAAATTTTTTATTTTTTGCTCATAGTGATTTGAAATTTGAAAAATAATTAATTTTTAGATGCTGAGAATTGATTTATAATAAATTTAATTTAATATGAATAATAGATTACTATACTTTGGATTCTGCAATGCTGCGATTAGTTTAATTGCTGGAATAGTCAGTTTAATTTAGGCTAGCTGTTGTTTCAACTTTAGTATCATATTTATAGCAGAGTTTATGTTGATGATTGCATTTATTATTTTGTAATATAAAAGGTTTTTAAATGACCTGATTAGGGAAAAATTTTTAGGCGTTTCATACCTTTTATGCTAAATATTATAGATTGAATACTTAGGATCTCTTTAATCTTCTGTATAAACTATATTAATAAATAGGAATACATTTTGTTTCTGAGTCTCAGATTATTCATTATAACAACCTCATTGGAAAGAATCACCTTTCGAATTGTTCTATTTTTGGTAACTTATTTTTACCTTGGAATTAGATTATAATTTTATTTGAATATGTTTCCATACTTAGGATTGGCATTTATTCCTTTTTTATTTATCGTTGGTTAATCTCAAGAGAATCTTTCTTCTACAGTTATAGATTTTTTTTAAACTACTTTAACGAATCCAGTACTAATACTAGATGCTTAAACAAGAGAACCCCTCTTCCATTCCAACCAAATGGAATCATAATTTAATTATACTTCTATAAATCAAGATTACTTTATTCAATATCTCTTATCATTCTAGGATTCCTAACAAAAAACTCTAAGGAGCATTTTCGATGAACAGAAATCTTAAATTGCGTAAAAGACTCGAATACAATATCACAAATTGAAAGAAATATCAAATGAAGATTATCATTATGTTGAAACTCTATAAAATAAAAAATTAGCTACTTTAATACAAGACGAAATAAATCAAGAAAAGCAAGACCTGATAAATATAGATAGTCCTAAGTAGTAAATCGAAAAGTTAAAATTTCCAGTTTCAAATCAATTTAATGATGATACTCCCTAACATGGAAAAAGCAAATTTCGATTTAAGGATAGCTAATATAAATTATTCGGAATCAATGAGTTGAAATAAAAGAGAATAAATATAGTTGTGTAACATTGCATATGGAAAAATAAAGAGGCTTTTATGATTTCCTTAAAAGACTTAGAAAACTAAAAGATATTATAAATCTTGACTGAAGAACTCGAAGAAAGTAAAAAACAGAATGAGAATAAAGATTAGATATTGGCAACAGTGTTTCATGATTTTAAAACACCCATTAACGGAATCTGTACTATAGTGGAGGCTATGGAAGAGAAATACAATCTTAATGCAGCTTCGAAATACTATTTGAGAATAATTAGAAAAAACGTATACTTGATGTTATACATGATATACGATATTTTAGATTTTGCTAGGATTTAGAAAAATCAATTAAGATTAAGTGTTAGTGATTTTTATTTAAATGAAGTCATAGAAGAGGTTATTGAATTAGTAGCCATTTAAGCAGAACAAAAGGGAGTTGTTATATAAACACATTACGATATCCCATGTTTTCAAATATATAGTGATCCTAATCGTATTAAATAGATTCTTATGAATTTTATTTCTAATTCATTAAAATTTACTGAATAAGGATCAATAACAATATCAGTCGAATCTCTACACACTGATAAAGCCAATCATATTGTTCGGGCAGTTTCATCAAAAAATGTGCTTAATTAATAATAAAATTAATAAACAGTAGGATAATTGCGTAAATAGTTATCTGGAAAATCTGTTAAGTCTTAATCTGGACAAGGTAGGATGGTTTATACCATATCCATTCAAGATACAGGTTGTGGAATCTCGGATCTTATCAAACCTAAATTATTCAATATGTATGCCACATTTCCAAGTAAGGATGTTCAAAATAAAAGTGGAACTGGGATTGGATTGATGGTTTGTAAGAAACTAATCAAATTATTGGGTCCATCTGAAAAAATCGACCTTTGGAGTGAATAAAACAAAGGAACCAAGATGTCATTTCAAATTTACTCTAGATTACCAGATGATCCAAAAAGATCTCCTAATTATATTAGTGTATTCAAATAAGAGAGCAGCTCTAAAAATTTTAATATCGATAGTCCTTCACTAATTGATGAATAGGATTAGATGCAATAAAAATTTGTAAGATCATCTGTTCTACGTGTTTACACAAGGCCAGTAGATAAAAATGATACAGAAGCAGGGTTTGATTTTTATCCGGAATATGAGGATGAAGGGTAGTAGAAATTACAAAACATAAACATTTTATAAAATTTAAGATCACCAACTCCAAGCAGAATAAAAACTAAAGAGTAAAATTTAGATGATTCTTAAGAAATCATGGATCCAAGGTCAAGATTACAAAGGATTTTACAACATAAAACATTTTCAATATTGATTGTTGATGATCAACCATTTAACGTTTTGGCTTTGAAATTGTTGCTATAGGATATCTCATCAAATATTTCATTTTTAGAAGCTTATAATGGCTAGCAAGCTGTTAATAAAGTATATTATGTATTGTATATATATAGTTAAAAACATTTCAGAAATGCAAGAACATAAAATATGTTTTAATGGATCTCTTCATGCCAATTTTAAATGGATGGAAAGCAGCAACGAAGATCAGAGAGATGGTAATATTAATATTTAATTTAGATTGCTAAGTAACTTATTGAGGATGTAAAGATAATAGCGATATCGGGATTTGATGATGAAAGTGAATAGGAAAGATGCGAGAATGTTGGATTTGATGCCTTTATTACTAAGCCTGTTAAATTGGAGATGATTGCAGAAGTATTTGCATAGCTAGAGTATAATTGAACTTGATAATACTATTTTTATAAATTTTATTCAATACTGTTTCTTTCCAGTCTCACTTATTAGCAAATATCTCATTTGACCATCTGTTTTGTATGATTTACTCAAAAGATACTGATTTTGTATAACTACATAATTCTGATTTATAGAGCATTTGGGATACGAATTCCTTGATGGTTCCATAAAGTTTCTAAATATGAGAAGTATATATGTACTTTATGAAAAGTGTATAATATATTATAATCTTTAGTCATTTTATATTTTATCTAAAAATGATTATGCCTTCCTAATTCGCTGTTTCTGATCGTTAACTTTTTGATTTTAAGAAACCTCAGAATAACTCAGATTCAGAAGACGAATAGCAATAGTAATAGCTTCTCTTGCAAAATGGTTACAAAGAAACCAAAAGATAGAAAAAGTTTTTGGATATTGAAGCCATTAAATAAGAGCTAAACAATAGACCATAAATAGATTATGAAAATACTCCCAAGGTTGGTAAAAAGCCATCTCGATTGATGGCCAAAAGTCTGCCTAATTTTATATTTCCCACTTCTCCAGTATTGATAGAATAATTGCAGATGGTTAGAGCCATCAGATTGATGAAAGAGCAAGTTCCGCCTGAAGTTTTGAATAAGGTTTTCTCTGAATTAAGGTAATTTTGCTTTAGATTTTAGATATTTATATGTTCCTGCCAATACTGCTGTGTATAGGTAAGGAGACCAAAATAAAAAATATTACATCATCTTGGATGGTAAATGTGTGGTAATGAAACCCAGAGAGAAAATGGTTGGTTCCAAAAAGTTAGAGCAGGAATTAGAGGGCAAGGCGTAAATATAGTTGATGCGAAGGAATGATCCTGATCCCTATGGTTTGAAGAGTGCATTTCCAGATTACATCATTCTTAAAGTCCTAATAAATGGAGAGTAAATAGCTTTTATTAAATTAAAGTTCTTTCGGTGAAGCAGCAATCAAATTGGATATAGCAAGATCCTCTACTGTGTTTGCCATTGAAAACTCTCATCTTTTATTTTTGAGCGAACAAGCCTATATTACTCTCCTCGATCCCTACTTAAGTAAGTCTTTGGATGACAAAATATTGTATTTCACCCAAACTCCAATTTTCAAGGAAGTGGAGTTCGAATTAAATGAAATTATGGGAATCCTATTAGAGTCCCATCAAATCACTTATAAAGCATCAGAAATTCTCTATGAAGAAAATGAAAGATCCAATCACATATACTTCATCATTAATGGCTAAGTTGAATTGTCAAAATAAATGAATTCTAAACATCTAGTTCTCTCCTCTTATGGTGAAAATCAGCATTTTGGAGATGTCGAAGTCTTCCACAAGATACCTAGATATACAAGAGCGAGAGTGATATCTCCTAGACTCATTGTATATAAAATTAGACAATCTAAATTCTTTGACAACTTAGGCAATATACACATATATGAAAATTTCAAAGGTACAACTAAAGTGATACTCAAACATTGGACTCTTATTTACCAAACAGCCAAATCTCAGATAATCTAAAAAGATGAAATCTATCAAGCAGCTCAAGATCAATTAACTAATCGAAGGAATGATGCTTCCAAAAAGATTGTCAATAAAAAGATTATAGAAGTCTAGGGCGATAAACTCAGTCAAGTCAAGGTCTTCTAAAATCTAGCTGACAGCAACTTTTAGGATGTCAACTCAATTGGAAATTCTCCTAATAAAACTATTTTATAAAGGGTCTATAGTAATGCTCTCCAACAATATTAAGCTAGATTACTTAAAAAACCTTAACAAACTCAATGTAACGATGATCATTGCATCAGAAGTCAAAAAGAAAAGTAAGTATATTTTTCTTAATTAAGAACATTTTCCACCGAAAGAGCGAGTCCAGGTAGAAAAAGTAGCTAGTTGAATCTTAAATTACCTACAATGATGTCCAATACATCATCCAATTCCAAAGTAGATTTGAATTAGGTTTTTGAGTCAATTAGTAAATTGCCAAGAATTCCAAGAGATAATCTAGTCCTCTCTTTGATGTACCAATAAGCATACAAGTCAGAGAATCCAGAAAAAAAGGCCAAATAGATTTAATAAGTTATTTAAGCTTCATTTCGGAATGTCAGAAGAGATTTTGAATCGAAGGAGAAAGTTGTTTCTAATTGGAAATATAAATCTGCTGATTCAATTATTAAGAATCTAAAATTAAGTGATGCAAGTGAAGAAAAGAGACTTAAAGAAGACTATATGAATTTTGTCTAATCTAAAAGACTATCTTGAATGTTATAATTTATTTAAATTATATCAAAACAAATAATTTTATGTCAGAAAATTGCGATTCATTCATCATCAAATTTGTTCCTTCTCATGAAAAAAAGACTTAGATCTCTATGTTTGTAGTTAAGTTAGACACTCAATAACATATGATATATACATTTTATGATTATTTATAGCTCTGCACTTGACTTTGTAAATTAGAAATTTAAGCCTTTAAGTTATCAACTAATTTACTGATTCTTCCATAAATTTTGTCAGGATCAAATTTTTCATTTACATTTTCAGTTAGATATTTCCTTTACAATTAGTTAGCACTAACGATTATCTTTCTTAAATATGATTGTAGTTTTTCATTAGAGGAAATAGATATCATTTTTTCTATATTTTATAGCATTTCTAAAGGTTCAACCAAATTCGCCCTTGGACCTTCATCCATTTTATCTGGTAATAGAGCCTTGGATTTTGTGGTCCAATTACTATAGATTTACAGAATTTTCTTAAACAAGTTCAAATACATATCTTTGTATTATTCATAGTCTTAATTAGGTAAATCTTGTTTATGAGGAGGAGAATGTAATTTAGTATCATATTGATGTTTATTTATTTATTGATTAGTTTCTAAGTCCTTTTACAAATGCACTATTTATTTCTCAAGTTATATAGTATCCAATTCCAAGTCTGAAACTCTTTTAGTAAGGAGTAAATTGGAATTTTCAAAATAATCATATCTGTCTATAAATTTTTCAGCCTAAAAATTTTCAAATCTTTTGGTCATAATGTTGTATTGAGGAATGAATTTCTCAATATCAACAGTGCTCCTCTTAAGTTCATCCAATTAATGTTTCGAATTCTTTATTTCTTTTAGAAGTTGGATATTCTTGAAATTTAAACTCTCATTCGAACTTTACAACTCAAAGATTTTTCCTTTGGCCATTTCCAATTAATCGGTAAGTTCTTAGCTGAATATAGAGAATATGATACTTCTCTCTTGTAAATTTATCAATATAAATAAGCATTTATTGTGTAACTTATTCTAATAGAGACTTTGATTCACTCAAGACTTTATCTTTGGCTAGATTATTGATCATCTAATAAAGTGAGTTCTCTGCTTTTTGTTTGATTTCCAAAATTGCTCTTCTCCTTGGGTTCATCTTGGCTATCTCTGATGTACTTTTCACCAAGTTCTCAATAGTCTTCTTAGGCTGGAAGCTTTGAGTTTTGATTTAGAGTTTTTATTTTAAGGTACTTGAAGTCTGCTTATGAGTATTTAACGCTGACTTTATTTAAAAATATATTTTACTGAAACTTATAGTTTAAAATCTTCATCAATAGGTCCTGGTTTGGTGTAAATATAATTTCCAAAAGCATCAAAAACAATCCTATGGAAGTTCTTTTTAAATTGTTCATATTCATCTTGATTGACTTAAACTTCCTTTTCAAAGTAATCTTCAGGTGGATCAATTTCTGCTTACTCTTTTGTAACCCTTAAATTACACGATAAATTTTCAGGTCTTCCTCCTACATTAGTTTTCCTCTCTTATAGTTTGATCAGACTTTTGGGTGTAAGACTTGTAGTGGCTGTGCATTTGTTGATCTATGTTTGTTAATCTTGATCATCATTAGGAATTTATATTCTAGGATTATTGAATTTTATTACTACACCTAAGGCACTCTAGGACTTGTCAATGCTGTTTAAGGTCTTGTACGAGCAGTGCTTAAAATTGAGTTTTTAGGACTTTTATGAACAGACATTTTAATATTAGTTATTAATAATAAAGATAAATTAGCATTACTAAAGAGAAGTATATCATTATCGATAAGGGAAAAAGTAGTGAAACTGAGAGTTAAATCGCTCTTAATATGTTGTATTAAATTTATGAATTTATATACGTTTTTAAATAAATGAAGTGATAAAGTTACTTATAAATTGCAATGTCTTAGCAAAAAATTTTAGCGAAATAAGATGTAAGAAAGCTCTACTTAGATGAACAAGGGAATGTTGATTTTAATAAGATATAGGCCAGATGGGATGATTTGAAGAAGTTTAAGGTGAGTTTAGCCAACAAGCATTATACTCAAGCAGTAGTCGAGAAGGTGAAAACAATGCCTGCTGAAGACTAATAAAGATTCTTAGATATTATGATAGCTGGTCTAACTAATGATGATAGCTCAGTTGGTATATCAGCTACAAGACCAGAAGATTATGATGTTTTTCTGTTTTATCTAGAACCATTAATCAGAGAATATCATAAGATCGAAGGGGAGACGAAGCAAGAACATGATTGGAATATCCCAGTTGGTGAATATGTATTAACAAAGATTGATCCTGCATTGGAGTAGGTTTCAATGAGAGCCAGAGTGGCCAGAAATGTTGTTGGTTACAATTTACCATCATCAATGGATAAGGATGAGAGGATCAAATTTGAGAATCAAATGGAAACTGTGTTTGAAAACTTTGGAATTCCAGGAAATTATTACAGTCTAACACCAGGTCATAAGAATTTTATATCTGATCAAGAAGCTGATGAGTTAAGGAAAAAGCATTTCTTATTTATAGATATGACAAGTGATAATTATTTGATGTCAAATGGTGTAGCATCTGATTGGCCATTTGGAAGAGGAATCTGGGTAAGTTAAGATGAGACTAAAATGGTTTGGGTAGGAGAAGAAGATTAATTGAGAATTATTTCAATAGTCTAAGGCAATGATTTAGGCAAGGTTGATTAATCTCTTCATGAATTACTAACTGCTATTGAAAAGAGTGGTCTCAAATTTGCTGAACATCCAGTCTTTGGTATCATAACAACATGTCCAACCAATATGAGAACTGGAAAAAGGTAATCCATCTTAGGCAAGTTCCCAAATCTAAGTAAATCTGGAACAGACGAAGCCAATTTGAAAGAAAAAGCAAAATCAATTGGATTATAAGTAAGAGGAACTAGTGGAGAACACTCATCTATGGATCAAGAAGGAACTGCTGATATATCCCCATTCGCCAGATTTGGAGTTACAGAAGCAAATGTAACCAAGGGATTATTTGAAGGATTAATAGTGCTTTATTAATTAGAAAGAACAACAATTCCAGAGAAGAGAAGAAATAATTGTTGCATAACATTTTGAATATTGAAAATAAAATATCAATATTCTAATTAATATTATTAATTTGTTGTTTATATATATATATACATATTGTAATAGAATAAATTATTAGAGTTGAGATTATTGTAAAATTATGAGTTTTGTTCTAATTTACTCTTTTAAGTAGATTAAGATAACTGAATCTTTGTAGGTTGTTATCAATATAATATGAAATATGATTATAATTCTTTTAAATAAAATTATTATTGTTAATTTTTAACAATATTTCATCTCAATTTACTTATTTTCCATTAGAATATAGAATTGTCTTCTCCACCAATACTAAATAGGTAATGATCTTCCATTGACCAAGCAATGTTGGTAATATGTGATGAATGGCCTCTTCCTAGGATATAGCCTGACTCTTTCTTAACACATGGATATCTATATTATTACAATTAGCATATACCTGAATACTTTGATTTATGAGTTATCATCACCAGTTGCAATCAAATGATAATTATCAGGGGGTTTATCCTTTTCATTGTAAGTTTTATTTGATCTGACAGCAGCATTGATATCACTGCCATCTTAGATATCTGGCCATATTCCTTAAACTGGCCATCCATATGGTGTAGTCCAAGTCAACCATTTCTCATCTCTTAATTAATTTGCTCCATTGGGTAATTATTTACCAGATTGAAGTTCCCAAAACAATAGTTCATATCTGAATAACATAAGTATTAATTAGATACCCTCCACAATTGCTATGAAGATGATTTCCATCTATGGGAGAAATCAATATGAGTAATGTAGCTTGAATGTTTCTTGAGTGGTTTGTAACGTTGTTTCATATCTGGGAAACTGTAGATATATATGGAATTATCATGAGATCCAATTGCAATCCAAGATTGATCATGACTGAATTTGATATCACTAATCCACTCTTTGGCTAATCTATTAACATATTTTTATTTGAATTCTTTATCATAAATCTTAAGTTAATTACTTATAAAATACCCTAAATGTTCCATCCTTAAATCCTACGCATATTGAAATACCATCCAAAGAAACAGCTATACATCTACCTTTTGTATTATCAGGCAATTCACCAACTTCATCTTGTTTGATTTCTGCTCCATTAACATCAAGATTGGTTTTGATGCAATTGAGCATTTTCTTTTGACTGATAGACCAAGATCTTAGAGTTCCATCATCTCCACAAGTATAGTATTGATCAGAATCTTGTGGATTAATAGCCAAACCCCAAATTTCATTCAAAGATCGCTTATTTGGAGAACAATGAGATTTCATTAAGGTTTTAGAAACAGCAAATTTGGAGTTAATATTGATTTTGGCATCCTTAGTAACTAACTCAACAATATCTCCAGCATTAGTTGATACAAGTAAAGTCTTCTAATCATAACCTAACTAAATGGACTTGACTTCTAGTCCCAAAGAGTTCCTCATGCATTCTGATAATTTAAAAGATAAAATGGATTTGTAAGTCTTGGAATCTAAAATGACAATCTTCGAATCAGCTCCTCCAATAAGAATGCTAATGATGAATATAAATATAATTACAAATCTTTGGAAACACTGATAGCTTCTAATGATCGATTGGCCTCTAGGTATTAGTAATAGGCTGTGAATTTGCCACCTGAGAATATTTACAAGGATCCATCTACAGCACCCAACAAGTAATCTTCATTATTGACAGTTGCACATAGATATTTATAAGAGAGGGGTTTTTAAGGATAAGCCTTAGAGTAAGTCAAACCTCCATGTCCTAATTTCCAGAATTTAAGATGGTTCAATCCACATGTAACAAATTCAGAATCATTTTTCCATTTAATGTCTGTGACAATATCCTTCCCAATTTGATCTCTGACCAACAGAGTTCCTCCTGTTTAAGTCTTAGAAATGATATCAAAAATGCATAATTGATGGCACTCATCCATTCCAATAGCAGCCAATTTATCTCCTGAATCGTTAAATGCCAAATGTAAAATGCCTTTGGTGAAGTAGCCTTTTAACAAACAGATGCTTGCTTATGTGTTACTTTCCCATATGTAAATAAGAGGATTAGCTCCTAATTATCCAGTAGCTACCTTGGATTGATCATTAGAAACATCCAAGCAAACTACATCTTCAGTATGTTGATTGAAAAATCTCTATGCATTTGAATTGGTATTTGCGTTAGGATTGGGATCTAAGACAACAGCTAATGCAGCAACGTTATAAACAATCTATCCTCTCTATTAGGTATTTCACATTGTTTCTGCAATCCTTGCTGCGATATCCATGAACGTATTCTAAGGTCACTTCCACCAAAGGCTGTTTATTTTAATTCAATGGATCCTTATAATAATTGGATGGTTCTTTAATGGCTCCCATCCATGGTCGAATGATAGTGAATTCATCTCCTTTCTCATTCTGATCATTATAATTCTATTGATCTTCATTCTTCTCGAATTGATTCTCTCTTCTTCTCACTTTGCCATACTTATCAGATCCAAGCCTTCTAATCTTTTCCTATGGAACTGATAGAGCAGCCAAATCATCAATATCCTCATCGAATTTTCCATAAGCATTCTCATCCTACAACATTAACTACTATTATGATTTAGACCAATCTGTTTTCCAAATGAAATTATCAGATCCAAGCCTTCTAATCTTTTCCTATGGAACTGATAGAGCAGCCAAATCATCAATATCCTCATCGAATTTTCCATAAGCATTCTCATCCTACAACATTAACTACTATTACGATTTAGACCAATCTGTTTTCCAAATGAAAATTCCCCTATCCATACCACTTGTTGAAATCAATTTACTATCATCAAATGAGAATCTCATTCTTGTAATAGCATTTGCATGTCCAGGGTATTCTTTATGAATCTAGTTGAATTAACAAACAGCAGGATACTGATACAGATTTATTATACCATTATATTCTCCTGTTGCCAATATCTATCTTTAGTTATCAACACAAACTGCAGTCACTGAATATTCATCCTTTTTATAAATTCCCTAAACATTGAAACCAAATAAACAAGTCCAAGTGTGCCAATCCAATTCTTTCACTTAAGGTCCTGGAACATCCTTCAAAGATGAGACATTTGCAAATTTCAACTCATAAGTTGATGAATTAACTACTATATGAATGGAATCCATAGCCCAATCTAATTTAATCAAACTGCTATTCAATGAGATGTTTATTGAACTTTATTTAGAAAATTTACCTCCTTCAATTTCCCATACCTCTACTTGAGATTATGTACCATGAGCACCAAATGCAATTTTAGTGCTGTCAGGTGAAAACTTGATATCTTCAATCCAAAATGTTTTTCCTTGTGCACTCTACTTTAGAGAACCTGCCTTAGAATTCTTCTTATCCAAAATGTTCATATTTGTGGGTTCAACTAAGTAAATGCATCCACGTATATCTCCTACTGCTAAGTATTTGCCATCGGAACTCCAATCCACTGCCCTTATATCATTTTCAAATGGAGAAGAACATTTAACCAAAGTATATTGATTGATATCCCATTAACGTAGTACACTGTCTCCTCCGCAAGTAATAATGGTTTATGAATTGCGACTGGCTGCAACTCCCCACACTTCTCCACCATAATGACAATCAAGTAGCAATTTGATATTCTAGATATTTTTGAGTGATGCTTGATACATCTAAGCTTGTTTTGTGGCTATAATAATATTATCATTCTTAATATCCATAGATATGATACCAATTTACTTAGGTTAATGAAGCGCTTCGGTAATATCAATAACAGTTGCAACATTGTTTAAGTTATTTCCATTCATTTCCCATACCTTAATTTATCCATCCAAACCACTACTATATAATTAAGTCTTTCCAACTGCAACCAATGAACTTACTTTGGATCTATGAGCCTAATAGTGTTTGATGTTTTTGTTTTCCTTCCAAAGAAAGATGTTTCCATTATCAGATCCTGTGATTTCATAAGAATCTTTAAATGCAACACAACAGCACAACATTGGTTCGAATTGATTGCTATTTAAGATACCTGGATAGCATTTGACATTTCTGCCATTCATTTTATAGAATGTGACATTTCTCTATCCGCAAGACATGAATTCAGTGGGTGACTTACTGCAAATCCCATATATATTAGATCTCATTGTCTTCACAGTAATGATCAATTGCCCAATTTGCCAATCATGAATTGCTATTGAATATTCTGAAGAAAATGATAATAAGAAGACACCATCATATGAAAACTCTAAGCAATAAATCATTTTAGTATGAAAATCATTCAACATGGACAAAACCTTCTTTGATTCAGCTTCCCAAATGCAGATAGCGGTTACTTGCTTCTCATTCAAGGCAAATGCTTTAGTTCCTGTTGCAACTATTCTTCCTCTGGGATGAATGGCAATACAAGTGATTTCATCCTAATGATATCTGAAGTAAGTCTAAGTACAATATTTATTATCCAACGGGCATATTAGGATCCATTAACAATACCAACAGCAACCACATGAGAATGCAATTTTAACCATTTTCCAATAATTTAACTCCATTGAAGTAATCCTAACCCAACTAATCTGTTTTCATACCCAAAACATAGTCAAGTGTTATGTTACCTTAAGGCAACACATTATATTTCTTCTCATCAAATTTAAAATTGGTTGGTTAAGTGGCTTTAACAAAGGCTTAATACTGCTTCTACCCTTCCTACTTATTCTCCTCCTCATTTAAATTGAGTCTATAATAATCCTTGGGTATCTAAACATCTTAAATTGATTCACAAGCCTGATCTTACTCAATCTAAGCATCCTTATCATGCGAGACTTTCCATTGCATGATAGACTTATCTGCTCCACCCAATGATATGATGTATTCGTCATCAGCTGAGAATCTGATATTGGTCACATGAGCTGCATGTCCCACATATCTCTAAAACCCTTAACCTGTTTATGCAGCAGGATATCTGAATATCTTGATTCCAGAATAGTCATCTGCTGAAACTATAATATCTCCTTTATTAGATCTATCAACCGCATTGATATCACTTCCAGCAGACAAAGGAGGCCATACTCCCAACACGTGCCATCCATAAATAGCTGTATAAGTTGCCCACTTTTCATCTTTATATTTCTAAGCTCCATCTGGCTATACTTTTTGATTATTTTCTCCACCCAATTCATAATAGAGTACTTATTGACTCCAATCATTAATTTACAATACTCTGCATGTAGATGAGAAATCAATACTAATAACTCTTGAAGGAGATCCTCTTAAAACATTAGTCTTTTTGAAATGGTTCTTAATTGAATATATAATGACATCACAACTTGGTGCATCGTGACCAACTGCTAATTACTCAGTATCAGGAGAGAACTTGAGACATGAGACTTCAGCATCTCTATCTTTAAAATTAAAAGTAGGCATCAATGTTTTAGGATCAATAATAAGTACAGTTCCATTAGTACTACCAACAGCCAGATATTTGTAATCTTTGCTAATATGAATAGCACTGCTAGGATATTCTAGTCTCGTGCAACTGGACATCTTCTTATCCTTGATCAACCAACAAGCCAAAATGTTGTCTTCTCCAATGGTGTAAAAAGTAGGAAATTTTGGATGCATAGCCAAACCTCTTAAGACTCCAATAGAATGTCCTCTCATTAACATCTTAGTTTTTGAACCTTAAACCTCTACCATATCTGATCCTCTTGTTCCAAATACCAAATGAACAGACTTCTCCTAATCATTTGGTCCTATTGTAACACTTTAAACTTTGAAATTGAATATTTTTAAATTCAAGTTGAGGACATTTATCTTTTCCTTAGCTTTCATGTTGATATCCCAAACAATGATGGTTCCATCTTTACTGCCTGATACAACCCCACCTTCCTAACTTCTCTTCGTATGAATAGCTAGAACTGCACTCTTATGAGCATCCACTGCTGTAGTAGCTCTATTGCTCTTCCAGATTAATAGTTATCCTCTGTAAGTACCTGTTATCACATTGTTATCACATAATGCGATGCATAAAACTGATGAGAATGGTGATGTTTTTGTATCCCATATTCCTAGATTCAATCTTACTTGATTTTAATCATAACTGCAAAAGTACACCTCATTCTTGCATGCCAAAATCAAATACTTATCAACTTTGTCAAATTTGATGTCAAACACAAATGACCGAGGACCTTTGCCTGTAGCCAACAAAGCCTATGAGGTATCACCTTTCAATCTTGCATCTACTCCCTTATCTACATCATAAACAACCAAAGTGTGATCGTCATCCATACTCACAGCAGCCAATTTCTTGCCATCATTTGAGAATGCTAAGCATTGCACTCCCTATCTTAAAATTCCTTTAAAAGCAGCTCTAGATGGTTCTATTTAATCTTTAACTTCCCAAATATAAATTGGAGGAATCTATCCTGCCTAACCAGTTGCAACATACTTATCGTAAACATCTATGCATGTAATATCATCTGTGTGTTCAAAGAAGAACCTTTATTAATTTGTCTATGGATTATAAACCACTCCAACTGCAGCAGTAAAATAGACCAATTCTTAATCAACAAATTTAATATTGTTTCTGGTATCAAAACTTCTGAATCCATATATGTAATCCAATTCCATAAAAGTACTTGGTGGATTGATATCGCCTTTGCCTGGTTTCCAAGAGGAGGGTTAACCATTCTTCACTTAGTTCTTCCAAACCTCTTTGTTTGTCAACTTGTTCAATTTTTAATTATTCTCTGATTGCACACGATTGTTGTCTTCTTCAAGATTGGCCTCAATACCAATTTTCCTCATTTCTCTTTTCTAATCGTAAGCCAATTGTCTTCGCTGTGTTTCACTCTCCAAATCTGAGTCTGGATATGGAACATCACCCTGTTAGGCTCCTCCAAAATCAGATCTCAAGTCTTCAAGCGAGCATAAGCCGTAGGATAGGAGCATCTTGAGCACATCTTAATCTTTTGATAAAAGACTGCGAAATAATTATTAAAATGTAAACATACCTATGAAATTCAGCCAAGGATATTGAGGCATCCTTGTTTGTATCATATTTCCTTAGCAATTACATCTGAGATTCTCTCTGCCTCTTGGATGGTGCATTCTCCCTTCTGTGACATGGCTCCCAAGGCTGTCAAAGTAGTCTTGATCAGAATGACCAATTCATTTCGAGTGATTGTCTTGTTGTGATCAAAGTCATATAAGGAAAATATTATGTTTGCTTTTTCCTTCGATATAATAATTCTAGAAATACCTTCAGGGTGGCTTAACTCAAAAGACTCAAAGCACATACAAATTCATGACTGTCGATTCGGCCATCGTTGCTGATGTCAAAAAATTAAAACACTTTATCGACTTCAGTCTCCTTCAACTTCATCAACTATATAAACCCATTTCTATCAATAGTGAGATCCTCGTCTGCCATCAATTCGAATTTCTCTCTAAAATACAATTCGAAGATCATGATTACTTTATCAATTTAACTTAACCTGGCGACATGTTCATGAATCTTTTCATTTATTCCAGGTCTCCTGGACTTCCATTCGAAATCTCGTTGCCCATCAGTTATTATTTATAATTTATATATATTTATTTATCTGTGTAACTTCTACAAATAAATATTTGGTTCTAATTACATTACATCCAAGTATTAAGTATCGAATGTAAATATTAACACCCAACTAATAAAATTATATTTGCCAATCCAATTTCAATATTAATATTTCCATGAAGCAAGAATACTCCGAAAACAGACAGCAACTCCTCAGTCTCAAATACCAACCCACAAGCACAAACAACTATCGCAATCAATTGTTTTGGCAACCGCAAACTGATAATCTCAATAGCACCTTAATGTTGGCCCAAAGAATATTCAGAGAGTATAAGTAAAGTATTTATTGGATCAATTGAACCCGTAGATAAGTTCCAAGTCAGAAAGGTTTCCGCAATTCATCAACAATTAAAAGAAAAAGAACCCGAACAAAAGAAGCAGAAGACAACCATCATCGACTCCAAAAGATTTCACATGTATAGTCACCCCAAAAATACCAGGGTCAAACAACTCAACTCCACTGCCAACAATTCCTTCTATTCCAAAAAGAGCACAGAAAAATATTAATAATCATCCCCCATTAAACCCAAGACTGCCTCCTCCATTTCAAGAGCCAAACGTATGCTTCCATAATAAATCTCCATTTCACCCATAGACAGTGTCGGCCCTTTGGTTTCTGCTTAAAGTTGGTGCATCCTTAATGGAAAGAATGGCCAATTGATGAGCGGCCAACATCAATATAAAAGCAGACAAATGGCTTCAATCACAAAAATCATGACATGTTGGCTAGCACTCAAACTCACACAGTAATATCACTTGGACCTTGATAACACATACTTCACAGTGCCAGAAAAAGTAGTTCATAGCATAAATATAGGCAGAAAGGATTGGAGGCACAACAGCACAACTCTCAAGTGGTGATAAACTCAGCATTAGAGATCTGCTCTATGGGTTGATGTTACCATCTGGTAATGATGCAGCAATCTCCATACAACACAATTTTGAACTTTATAAAGGTTGTGACTTTATTTAACAAATGAATCAAAGTGCCCAAGACATTGGAATGGAAATGACTTCCTATTCTAATCCACATGGTATGAATTCATGTAACAAAAAGGTTTGTATCACGAAGACAATTACTCCTCTGCTTACGATATTGGAGTCCTAACTTATAATGCCATGCAAAACTTACAGTTCGCAAGCATTGTCAAAACCAAAATCTATTTTAGTGAAATCGAAGACAAATTTGGAGAGTCGAAGGAGATCTTTTGGGAAAACACGAATAAAATGTTATATCAAGGATTTAGAGGAGTTAAGACAGGCATAACAAAAGAGGCTGGTCCATGTGTTGTAGAGTATTTTGAAGACAACCAAAATTCCTACATTATAGTACTCTTAAATTGTAGATCGGTGGATCAAAGATGGCAAGATACCATCAAATTATTGGATTGGATAAGATAATGAGAACTATTTTGCATGATTTTGGATTAATTTTATATTGTCTATATATTAATCAACTTTATTATCCTTTGAATCCTTAAGGAGCTAGGTCTGTGTCATGTATAATCTCTCTGTGACATGTCCACACAGATAATATTGCTTCAGGAGTGCCAATACCTGCTCCTCTTGGATCTCCACATGGTCCGAACCAATGATTTTGAGGAGCACCTGTAGTTCTTGCTCTTATACCACTAAAATAATTGAATCTCACATTACCTATAAGTTACTCCATTAGTTGTATTGGATTAAACATGTCTTAGGAAATTCACATCATTACTAACTATGCCTGCAGTCAAATGGTTCTCAAGATTGTTGATAACATCCAACACCTAATTGATTTAATCAGAAGAATAAGTAGTGACAATTTAAAATGGTCCAAACAGCTCATTTGTGACAGCTTTATTCTTTTAAATTTAATCTAATGGAACGTACAAGGCTGTGGGTTCAAATGCTCCATAAATTGATGGAATTGTATGATTTTTCAGTTCTTATCCACCGAACAATACTTTAGATTAAGGAATCTTCAAAATGTTGTCAATATGCTATTTAATTTATGTATTATTCCATGTTATTATGGGACCATTGCTCAAATCTTATAATTTTCTGGTACTAGCTAGTTGTTTAATTTTATCAAGAAATCCTGCCTTAACCCAATTTTCATGAACAAAGAGAATGCTTTGAGCTGAACATTTCTACCCAGTGCTTCCATATGCATCCTAATCAGATTGCCATGCAACATAATTTTGAGTATCTACATCTGGTACATCTGGACCAAGTATTTTCCAATCAAATCCAGCATCTTCAATTTTTATCTTTCCATTCAATACTTTTGTTAAATGTTCTGCGACCTTTGATGATCCGGTGAATTAAGTGTTTCTGAAATTTCCCTGTTTTAAAATAAATTCAGTCGCTTCACCATTTCCAAATAACATATCTACATCTGTAGCTGGTAATCCACAATGAAGTGCTAATCTCAACATTTATTCCATTACAACATTTACTCTGCTGTCTCCCTTGAAGAAAACTTTGTTTCCTGTGATTAAAGCTCCAAATATCTATAAACTTGGTATTTCTAATGGAAAATTGAATGGAGCCACAACAGCACAAGATCCATAAGGCCATCTATATCCTGATGATTATTATCCAGGACGATCCCCAGCGACATTGAATGATCTAGTCAAAAAACGAGGTTGATCACCCACTAAAATTTTGAAAAAATCTCTCTGTCACTACTACTTCTCCTGATGCTTATGCAAAATGCTTAGGTACAACTCTTTAGATCAATTTCACTAAGAAGTCATGAACCTCTTTCTTTTTAAGTTCTGCAGCTATTTTATGACATACTTCCCCATAAATTTAATATCTTTTGTGGGTTTTTTAATGGATTATGTAATCCACTAATTGGGCATTCTTTGGCTGAATCAATAAATTTCTGTAATTCTTATCTATCCTAGACATCAGGCACTGTGATAAATGGTTCACCATTCAATGGATCTACTATTGTTTGATATTTATGAGCATCAATCCATTTTCCACTCAAAAAGTTTTGGGCCTTATGAGGATTGCGAGCAGATCTAATATTAATTATTTAAAAGACTCTCTTACAATTAATTTGGGTCAAGACTAAAATATGATGGGATTGTCGAAAATGATGCAATATTCCTAAATTTTTACATATTATTTATGATTTATTTTTGTCATTAAAATGGATATACCAGACCATTATTACATTATATAAATTTATTATAATATTATGAAATATCCTATTATCTGAGACTCCTAAATTTACATTTCAATTTTACATATCCTTAAGAGTAAAGATTTATATTTAAAATTTAATAATAGTTTTGATTATGAATTATACACTTAGAATATTGTATTTCAACTTGTCAGCATTTATTCAAATTAATTTATCTTAACTAAATTAGCAGGAAGAAAATAGAATAAACAATATTATTTATAATATAAATTATACATAATAATTTCAATTCCTTGTTTGTTATAAATTTTCATATTCCATACGCTAAGGAAAATTATTATTTTTCATAGATATCATTTCTTATTATCCCTTCTTATTTTCAGTTGCCAATTAATTGCTCTAATTTAAAATTTCGGTATATCTTTGAATATTTTAATCTATTAAAAAGGAATGATTCCTATCTTCATCATCATTTAAATCGTTAGGTTATTTCTAATTATCTACTTAATATAAATTGTAGTGCTTACATACTTTAAAATAACAAAGAGGGCTACTAAACATCTAGTAAATCCTGAATACGTCCTCTTGCTCTTAAATTCGTATTAGTTGAAGTTCTCTTAATTAATTATTGCATTTAGTAAAGTGATAAATCGTTATGAATTTCTTTTATTTGTTCATGATAACTCTATTATTAATAAACTAATATATTTTCAGACTCAACATTTTGGTCCTATTTAACATACTCTGGATTAATCTACTGAGCTAACGTTATTTATGAATTAATGGATAGTATTTAATTTTAATCTGCTTCATTTGATTATTAATTATAATCTTCAAAGTTTAAAATTTAATTCTCTTCATCTTGTGGCTTTTAATCTAAATCAGACTTCTCATTAGTTGCTGTGATTAAAACATCTTCACTTAAATTAATCTGAGCTAAAAGATCACTTGGTTTCAAATTTAAATCAATGGAAACTTCTTATGGCTAAGCAGGAACCGATTGATCAAAGTCTTAAACATCGTTATCTTCTTTTTCCCTATTGCTAATGTAATTGCTTTATCCAAAAGTATTCTAATATTATGTATTTTAATTCCAATTAAAGTTATTATTTTATTCATCATCTTACAATACTAGTGTTTCTGCTTTTTCTTCAATGGCTTAATTGTTATTAACATGCTCATCGATAACCTAATTATTTTCAACATATTCAAATTATTCCATATTTCCTTCATCATAATTTACTTCTGATGAAATAATTAAATCTTAACCTTCATAGGGCCTAAATTATGTTTATTCTTCAAGTTTCGATTCCGTATTTTAATTGTTACTCTCATTCTAAGAATTAGATTATATTTCCTATAGTTTCTGCTCGTAAATATCAATTTATTTATTTATCTATTTAATTTCTTATTATTCACTTTATTCTTAATTATATATTAAATTTTTCTGCTCTTCTAATTATTTTAATTTATTTTCATCATCTTATTCATTACTCTTTAACTATTTTAAATATTATTCTTCCTATTCTAATTTCTATTGCAGACTCTACTGCTTTAGAGAGTTGCTTTCAGCATCTTAAACATCCTTTAAATAATCATCTGTTTCTACATTATTTTCAATAATATAACCTACTTTTAATGAATCTTATAATTGTTCATCCTACTCTACCTTCATTTTTTATGTGTGAGACATCTCTGATTCATGATTAATATGACTTACTTAATTATCTGCGACATCTTATCCATTCAATTAACTTTTCATTATTTGATTTTCTTAAAGACTTTCCTCTGAACTTTACTTGTTAATTAGACCTTCATTTTATTTAAACTCTACTTCATTTTCCCCCTGATTTAATTTTTAAATTTCGTTTGGTTTTTATTATTAATTTTCCTTATTAGCAACATCGTCCTCCTATTTCAATAGTGGTTATCCTTAATTTCCCTCTTATTCCGAGTTATTTAGGCTCTTATTGAGGTCTTTAGAATCATTATTTAATTCAAAATCCTAAGGTGAGTCACTCATGTAACCTGCCTCTTCATCAAAGGTGAATTCCTCATTCTGTGCATTTTATTATGATGTAATTTCATCCTAAGAGTTAAGTTTAAATTGGTCGTTATTAGAATCGGTTTTACCCTTATTTATTTATGAATTTGTATTTTAGTATGATTAATTTTATGATTCCTCTGATGCTTATGTATTTAATTCTTAAGGATTTGCATAATCAATCACTTAGTAATCTTCTCCAATTAACATTTGTGATTATCCTGCATCTTACAATTGTTTTAATTAAATTAATATGTTTTAATTATTGTTTGTTTCTATAAAATCCTCACTTTCTTATCTATTCTAAGTGTTTATATGTGATTTGATTTGTAACATTTCTCTAGATGGAATTTACTTTTACAATTATTATATACTCGACAATTACTTTTGATTACTTTATTATATATCAACTTCCATTAGATTACCCTATAAGTGGTTCGATAGATTTAGAGTAGTAAATCTATAATTAGATGGAAATATACCCTGCGTTATTATATAATAACATACATAAAATGATGGCTTATTTAGCAATACTCATTAGGCGTTTTATGTAAATATATAATATTTTACAACAATAAAAATAATTAATATCAATCAAAGGCAATGCCCTCCTTCTCATTTATTTCCTATTGAATTTTACTAAAATGAATAAACACTTATTCCAAAGAGCTAAACGATAAACTTATAACAATACTTTTCCTCAATTTAGAAATCTTCAATATTGCCTTCCTATTGTTACCTCTAAAAGAAGTTGAATGATTTATAAAAACTAAATCCTTCTTTTGGGACTGAGTACATTAAATAGCCTTCCCTCCTTTCATCTAATTACTAAGCATTAGGAAATTAGTTTTAAATGCTACTCGTCACTTAAGGATTGATATATTTAATTTAGATTTGATAACCGCTTCCATGTTTTCTAATAATAAATTGAAATGAATACTGTCTTAAATCCTAAGGTGAGCCTAAACATTTGAATTGTCCAGCTATCAATATTCCAATTCTATCACTAAGACTTTCAGCTTCTTCGATGGTATGAGTTGTCATAATTGCTGAACAAGCTCTTAATTGAATATTTCTCTTTAATGTATTAAATAGAAATCTTCTTGAAATTGGATCTACTCCAGTACTAGGTTCATCAAAAAAGGTAATATCACTTCCTCCAATTAAGGCATCGGCAACACACAGCTTTCTTTTGTTACCCCCACTCAATTAGCCAGCTTTTGTCTTAATAAACAAATCTAATTGCATAGTTTTAATGAAATATGCAACAGCAGTTTACAATTCTTTCCCTTATAATCCTTTGATTCTACCAAATAATTAAAGATGCTCTACAGGAGTGAGATTTTCCCATATACAATCAAATTGTGGACACACTCCTACATGTTACATAACACTCATGATCTATTATTTTGGTTCAATATCATTTAACAATGCCTGACCAGCTGTTGGAGTGTTAATTCCAGAAAAAATATTAATTAAAGTAGATTTACCAGCTCCATTTGGACCAATAATTCCCAGAATCTCACCCTTTTTCACACTGAATGTAAGTTACTACAAAGTTGGTTTGCCTTTAATATATTATTTTTCCAAGAATTTAGATTTAATGGGATCATTATTATTAGGTTTAAGAACTCTATCTCTTTCATTTTAAACTTCTTCTTCTACATTGTCTTGGATTTCTTATTGCGTATGATTGTGGATCAATAATGACTTTTTATTTTCTAGGAAGAATAAGACTCCAGCAAAAACAGCAATCTATCCCAACATAATTAATAGATATTATTCAGTTGTTGTTAATAGATAGGGAGCTTCGAAAAAGGCTTCTACGTCATCATAATTATTGGCAGTGAACAAATAAGCTGAGAAGAAAGCATAAAATGGTGATATGACCTATTTTTAAATTAAAATAATACCGAAAACAAAATCTCTAAAACATAAAGGACATTCTCAAGGAATGTAGGTTTATCAAACTCTTTGTAAAAGAAGAAAGCAAAGGCGAATGTGATATTGGGTAAACAGAAGAGTATAAAAAAACAAAAGATAGTGAACAATTTCAATGCACTCTCCAATTTATTAAATACAAATCCCATTATATATGCGAATAAAATTTAACTTGGTCCAAATAATAAAAAGCATGAAAGTGCTCTTATAATATTATCAAAAACGATATTTAAGTCTAGTAAGGCTGAAACTATTAAAAATAGTAGCAAATTTAAAAAGAATATTATTAGATCAAATAAAAATGTTCCTAACCAATAGGTAGAGTTTCTTAAGCCCATACCATGTAATGATTATTTCAATTAGTATTCTTTTTCAAGGACAGGTTAAGTGATATAAATTGTTGCATTGAAACAGAATGCGATCACACAACAAGATGCTAGGAGATTGATTTTAAAGTGGTCCAAAACATAATCAGGTAATTCCTTATACTATTCATCTTAAAATTTAACATAGGCAACAACAACAAGTCCATTAATAAAAGCAATCATAGGAATGATAATTGAAAAATAATTAGTGGTAGTTCTAACTACAGTATAGTATCTCCTTAAGAAAATTGCCATGATTTAGCTGAAAAAGGAATACGAAGGATCATTAGACAAACATTTAGGTATTGATTTTAAATCATTTTCAACCTCTTCCTCCTTAACTTCAACAGGGTAAGAATAAAACTCCTAGTTATCTCTCTCAGTATCGTCATCAGTGGCAGGAATGCCTAAACTTTATTTTGCAATTTATATCTCACTCTTTCTCCTAAAAGAGAGTTGAGCCTGTTCTTCTTCCATACCTATTTTGACAAAAGCATCTTCAAGTGTTTTCATGGATAATCCAATTTAGACAGACATTTCTTCTAGTTCCTAAAACAATTATCCAAGAGAATTTTTAGAAGTAAAAGGAATATTAAATACGTATTAGTTTTCATTGGAATGCTCAGTTTCCAAAAAACACTCTGGTACATATTTATTGACTTTCTCATATATTTAATTTTTCAAAGCAACATCATTAAATGTTAATTTAAGATTGTAACCTTCTCCAAACTTCTTTTTAATGAAATTAGATGTACCCACAGCCAATAATTATCCTTTCGACATAATTCCTATCCTATTGGCCAAGACTTCAGCCTCATCAAGATGATGAGTAGTTAATATTATGGTTCTTTGATCCTATCTTATTCTCTCTAGGATAGTCCAAATTTATCTTCTTGAATAAGCATCCATTCCAGAAGTAGGCTCATCTAAAAATATGATCTTTGAATTTCCCACTAAACTCATTCCTAAAGACAACTTCCTTTTTGATCCTCCAGATAGAACTTTCACCTCAAGAGATCTCTCTCCAATTAGATCGGTTTTCCTCAAAATATCAAGTATTTCTTATTTATCAACTCTCCCCTTTATAGAACTTATATATTCTAGATTTTCCTCTACTGTTAAATCCTCATATAAGCAATCCTTCTATGTACAAAGCCCTAAGGACTATCTTATCTTAGGTAATTAAGTATCCAAGTTCATTCCATACATGCTAACCAAACCTGAAGTTTTTGAAATCATCCCAGTCAACACGCTTATAGCAGTAGTCTTTCCAGCACCATTATGTCCCAACAAACAGAATATTTCTGACTCATATAGGTAGAGTGAGATATTATCAACAGCCTTGAGAGTTCCAAACCTTTTTTATAAATTCTTAATTATTATACTGGGAGGGGAAGAATACTTTATTTCTTCATGATAAATAGCAGAACTTACATCATTATCATCTGTTGTTAGTTAAGCAAATAAATCATTTTCTTTGATTTATACTTTATTTCTTTTTAAAAAGAATAAAGGTTCCTTGGCTACTCCATATTCATTTGGAATTACTTATTCGCAATATAAAAATAAGAGAAAATAGACAACGGCTTAAGCAGCCATTTGTGTTCCTTCAAATGTTGGTGAGTATATATCCATAATCTATAATGATGGAAACAAATTGGCTGACAAAATATCCCCTGGAACACCAGGTTTCATAGAGGCAACATAAGTAAAGGCTATGCTGCATTGGGGACTGAAAATGCTTAGGAAAAAGTAGAATGGGAAGGAATTCGCTGCGCTTTCTACAAAAGTGAAATATATAAAGAAGACACAAGCTATTTAAAAAAAACTTTAAATTTCTCCTGCAATTTTGACTTCATTAAATAAACTTGAAAATAGGAAGATTTGATTCATAGACTAGTTGAATATACATATTCTATTACTGCTATTGAAAATAGAAAATATGGCCATGTCAAGGAGATAAAACTCTCATTAAATTATTCTTCCCAACTTATTCCAAATATAGGAAACATCAAATACCAAGACAATTCAAAAATGATTACTGCCTAATTATAATTCTGTTGTATACTATTATGACTCTAATGTATCCAGTCAGAACCCAACCTATCAGATAAGACTTCTCAGACATGCCCATAATCTAATCTTAAGATAAATAAGTGTACCTTCTGAAGTTCCTTGTATCGTTTACTTTTCTCTTCCACCAACTTGATCAATATTGATCTCTGCGTTGAGGCTGTTGCCAAACTATAAAGCAATGGCATTAACTATTTCATTTCGGAAAGGTACTCTATTATAAAATCAAATAATTCTACCTCTGAAAGTGAGCATTATGGAAACAATGATCGGAAGCAATACTTCTATGAATACCTCTCTATTTCTATAACTAATAAGTAGGTTTTTCTTGATAAGACTGATTATCTATTGTTAGGAATTCATAGAGATAAAAAAATGTTCTTAATTATTTTATATAAAAATTAAATATTAAATTTCTAATATATGAAAAAAGATTTAAATAATTAACAAAAAGTCTAAAAATATTATATATAAAATATATATAAATTTAAAAGTTTTTTGCTATAAAATGCTCAGTTTATAGTGAATATAATTATATCTGTTAATTTAATCAAAATTTTTTCTTAGATTTAAAAACTAGTACATTTGTCTCGGACATGTCGTCATCAAAAATTTCGTTTTGTGTTTAATTCAATGTATTCAGCTTTTCTTCTTTTTTTGCATAAGAGATTATTTAATATTTATTTTTCCCAATCAACTTGTTTTCAAAATGATTAATTTAATGTAATGCCTCACTAATAAGGGGTTTAACATCGACTTCACTATTTTACAGATATGTAATCTCAGCTCTAGGGAAAATGTCACTTTCTTCATTGGATATGAAATATTCTTATTTAATTTTTTTATATGATCTCTTTGTCGAAACAGAAATCATTTTATTACAAAATATATCTCTTTCAGATCTCTGTTTGTTTAAAGTTTGACTATGCTTTTGAGATTCTGAATGTATTCTTTCTGTACTTTTTAGGACATATTTGATAACTCCATGTTTTTATACTGTGGTTTTAAACATAGGTGAAGGAGCTATACGAGGCCTATTAACAAAGAGGTTCGGTTGGATTTGATAACTACTGTTAGCTGTCCCCTCATACTCATCATTGAATTTACGTTTCTCCTTTGATGGAGATTTTGTATAAGATAGATGAGTTTCTAGGACCTTCTAAATAGGTTTCTCCCTTTGTATTCTTGAATTCCCTCGATAATATTCGTTTTAAGAACTTGTGTTCATAATTAATGTATATTTTGTTTATTTCTTATTAATGTAATTTATCAATCATCTTCAGAATCATCATCATCTGCTAAAAAGTCTTCGATTGAATCCTCCTCATCCACGAAATCATCATCGTCTTCAACATCATCCTAAACAACTTATTATTCTTCTTCATCACTGATATCTTCGTTTTCTTAGTTCTCCTTCTTTTTCTTAGGTTAGGCCACTTTCTTGATTTTTTATTTAATTGGTTTAGGTTCCTTTGGAACTTTAGGGGGTTTAGGCTCTTTGGGAGCTTTTGGTTCCTTAGGAGGCTTGGGCTCTTTGGGAGGTTTAGGTTCCTTGGGAGGCTTTGGTTCTTTAGGAGGTTTAGGTTCTTTGGGTGGTTTTGGTTCTTTGGGAGCCTTTTTGGGTTTAGCCTCAACTTCTACAGGAGTAGGATTGGGGTTATTAGGATCAGCGTTTGCTTCTTATTCTGCCTTTTTTGCAGCTTGGTCAGCTAGTTTCTCTGCCTTAATTCTTTATCTCTCAGCTTTGTCTATTTCTTGTTGTTGTTGCTCTAATATTCTGTCATTCATGAATTTAAAGTCTTTCCAAAGTGATTAGAAGTTTTCATCGAATTGTTGTACAAGTTTCTTGCTTTTTATTAAAAGTAGGTTTTCCTTGTTGGTTGTAACTGCAGACTTAGTCCAGTTAAAGGAACCTGTGGCTATGTAATCTGTATCGATCACTAAATATTTATTGTGCATCAAACTAACTGTTGAATTATCGAGTTTGATTTCTGCCTGAGAAAATAACGCTAATAAAATACCTATCCTTTTCCTTCTTCTAATATTTAATCCAAGATGGCTTTTTATGAAGGTATCTTGGTCTGAGCATCATCGGTAATCACTTGAATCTTTAATTCAGGATTCTCTTTCATCATCTACAACATTTTGCCAACAATATTTTTATTGGTAAATGTGTAAACACAGATACGGATATATTGTTTGGCTTAAGAGAGAAACTGAATAAGTTTTTATTCATTCTCTTTGGATGGAAAGAATAAAGGTTCGATGGATACTTAATCTGATCTTTCTTCTTCCATATATAATATTTAAAATTATTCAAAGTGTGTTAATTAATTGTAGTAATTTTTATTTCCATTGTTGTTTTTCTTCCTCATTCACTTTAGCCAATGACATTTCGAAACACTCAAATTACAATTTTATGTGTTATTCACCTTCGAATTGGCTGGTGTCGAGGTCATCATTGTTAAATATCTCCTAATTTGGACTTTAATTAATATTGTAGTCTTCCACAGAATGAAAATGATCACTTATGGAATGTGTGGAGGGTTGCTTAAGTTAAGTGGGTTTTTCTGTTTAATCCAATTTATTTTGGTGAATCTAAATTTAGAAATTAAAGTAACGAATTACTTCTATTGCATATTAGTCATGAAGAGTTAAAAAATATTTTAAATTTTCCTCGAACTCTTATAATACTTTGACTAGGTCTTGGGAATGAGGTGCTTGTTCATTTTATTTTAAAGAGAATTGAATCTTTCTCAAGGTTTCAATAAGTGTCTATCCTCGGGCATGAAACTATAAAATAACGAAGCAAAATTACGCTATCACATCGACAACGAGGACTTTAAATGGATGATAAAAAACCACCAACTGAAGACACATTTGTTTATTTATTGCCAAATGAATCTCGGTCTTATAATATTTTATATCGTTTACTAGAATTGCTGTCTTTTATTTTTTTATGCGAATCAATTCTATGACTCTTTTAACGATCTTCAGCAGTCGCCTGTATGACTTAAAGTTAAAAATCTTTTTAGGAAAGTTAAAGTTCTAAAATTTAGATGCTCAAATAGTCATACTCAAAGTATTTTGATCTCTTTCAGATTATCGCAGAGTTTCCAAGGTTTACTCCAATAATTGCTTATATTGTTTGACCTCCATCTCCAGAGACTTATTGCTCTACTACAGTTTCTAAATTTTAGAAAACGAATTACTTGATTATCAGATTAGAGGTTGGGAATAATTTAAATGTCAATCACTTATTTAGGTGAACCTTCGATAGATTGACTTGAATGAATAATCTCAACATCATCTTCATCCAACATTCTTGTACTAATTTAAAATATTATATGTATATACACTCCAATAAAATTTATAAATATACATATATATATATACTCATTAGTTGTTTTAGCCACATGCATTATTATGATAAAAATCGAGGCTAAATGATGTTTGATTTTGAAAGAAAAAATATATAAAAGATTTTTTTGTTTTATTTATCATTCCAATCTCCCCAAATGAACAACTAAAATGATGATTATCTGCCTTCATTGCTAAAGGAATTTCAGGGAACCGAAAATGCAGAGGGACAGTTATCTGAATACCAGAAAGTTAAGTAAGGGCTTCTTTCCTATTACAAGACTGGGGAACTTAGGCTTGATGACTCCAATGAGCAACACATTAACAACAGACTTCGAGTAAATGACATTGGACACATCACCTAAAGAAAGTGTATTCAATCAAAATAACTATCTCAATTATGACACCATTGATGAATAAGAAGAAAACATATGCAAATTATAAGTACCTGGGACACTTAATGCTTCGAAACATTAAAGTTTTAAAGTGCCCAAAGAATAAAAACGAAAATCTCCAAAACATAAAACATGTTAACCGCAACTGACTGAACCTCTGAGTCAAGGAGTTGAAGAGAATTAGGATGCCATTTTGGAAATGTAATCTCCTAGCTCGAATGATACTCCTTAACTTAATGCTCAAACTTTATAATTAATCAAAGAACTCTGGAATTCAGAAAAGAATGAGTCTGAGTACTTCCAGGACATCATTGATGGCCATTCCGTTCCTCAAGGCCTGTCTTATGAATATAGTTACCTCAATTAACCGATTTACTCTCCACTTCTTGAATCTCAAAGCCCCTAAGTACAATTTGAACCAGATATTGAAATGGATCTTTGTGTGACTTCTTTAGTAGTAATAAACATGGCTTAAATCTATAGGATTAACTTTGGGGAAACCAAATTGTTAGCCGAAAATTGCAGAAAATGTTGGAACAAGGCACTTAGGAACAGAAAGAGTTGATCGCCTAAAAACTGGAACGTATTAGTCCCTAAATTGAGAAAGACGTATTTGGCAATTATGTTGTGTAGAAGCTCTTTGAATGCAGTATGTTTCATATCAATTTTTAGCTAACCAAAAGATACAATTAAGGATGTTCAATAAATTGAAATCTCATTTCTATGATCTATCAAAGAATAACTTCGGATGCAGAGTAATGCAGAAGCTGATTGAATACACCTACAATCGCGAAGAGTTACAACTAGTTGTGCTATAGCAATTACAATCTAATATGAGATCTTTGATCTACGATTTGAATGGCAATTATGTCATTTTCAAAATGTTAGAAACCTATGACAAATTGAAGATGGAATTTCTCATTCCCATCGTAGAAGAATCTGTAAGTTTACTCATTGAACTATTTAGTTTAACTACATGGGCTAATAAATATATGGCTGCAAAATTATTCATAAAGTTATATAATAATATACTCCACAACAAATAAGTAGAATAATTAGATTATCTGTGTAGAATTATAGTATACTGAGTTAAACTGAATATGGAAATTATGTCTTATAACATATTTTATAGTATTGGAAACCAAGCTAAGAAAAAGGATATTTAGTTCAATTAGTTATATAGTAATTTTACTAGCTTAGCATTAACAAATACGCAAGGTATCTTATTCTATATCATTTCAAGTAATACTGTAGAACGAGCCTTGGAAGTCTTAGGCAAGCAAGAGCTGATCGCAGTCATGAAATGGCTTCTTTGTCGAAGTCCAAATTAATAGTAAAATCATAATCCGACTAACTCTAGTTCAAGCAATTTCGTTGTCTTAGCTAACCATCAATATGCAAATTATGTTATAAAGAAATTTTTAGTTTTATGTGACCACAATGTACAAAAATATATATCAGATCATTTATATTAAAATTAATCAGAACTAACAGCCATCAAATCGACTGTGCATGGTATCATTTAAATAGAGTATAATTAGGCCAAAGAATTTATAGTCTATTAGAAAAATAAATCCAACACTGAGCTTTATTACAAATATCTAATTTCGATGAATAAATATAAAGAATATATCATGATAAAAATTAACTATATCTTCTTAAATCTTCTTCGCTAATTACAACATTATCTAAAGATTAAAGCAACTTATCATTATTTTACTCTTCAATTTAATCCTCTATCTTGCAACTAGCAGTGTATTTATACTGAGAATTAAAAGCTATGAGTCCCTTCCTAAATTATTCTGTTGGCAATATCGATAATGTGTCTAAAATAGACTCTCTGAACTCATCGAAATTAATAGTCAGATCATCATTCTCAATTGCTGAAATATCCTTATTAACTTGGGTTGTCTTGAAGATATCAAAAAAGATATGGAATCTCGCGTTTTCCTTCATCCCCTATTTAGACTATGTGAATTCATAGCAATTAGATTCTAATTCTTTCATAATTTGCTTAGTACAATGTTCAATTTTATTTTCTAAAACACTAATTTTATATTTCATTTCTGTGTTCTTCGTATATTAATAGATCATCTTATTGCTACAATTACAGAAAATATTACATGGCATAAAACTCATTTTTATTTGACGCTCTATAAATGGATACTTGTTCTTAAGTGATTGTGAACACAAGATCTTCTTCGAAATCAAATTTGCAATCAGAATACTCAATAAATTTCTCCATTTCTTACCTAATTAAAATAATTCGAAAATACTTCCTTCCTAGCATATAGCTGCTCCTGTGGAATTTATTTTTATCTTCATTTGCTTTTAACCTCCTTCCTTTGTAATCTTATAAATTTTGAATTCCTTGTCATATTTGGTAAATTAATAATTCTCATTCTAATTGAATTGTGAATCATAAGTATTTTAACTTAATTAGCTCAGCATATAATCAAGATAAAAAGAAAATTTGTAGACCTTTGTTAAAAATAAAATCTTGAATGGTTGCTCATTTCTACGCAACTTACGTTTTATGCTTATACCCCCTAAGGATGGCTCATTTTTTTTGTGTGTCAATAAATAAATTTAGTATTATAGCTTCCCTGAGTTAATCTTTTAAATTTACCATTCAAATTCAGCTCTTTGATCAACTCATCTATAATTTAGCCAACTGTGGTTCCTCTGTTATACCTTACTTTAGCATAGAGCTTCATGTCTGTTTTATAGTACACCTTAACAATATCATTGTCCTATTGTTGTTGAGACAACTTCCGAAAAGAATTTGTAAATAAACTCATTTAATAATAAACTCATTTTCTCATATAAGGGTGATTGCATGCTTAGTGAATATCAAATCTATCCTACTATTTATGATTTAAACATCCCTCAATGAATTCCCTGCATTCCTTTGACAAAGTTGGTTTTTCTGGAAACACTACTTTTTCGGAAGTCTCAATTATCTACCATAAAAATCAAATTTACCCTATGTTTCAATATAGTTTCTTAACTTTCTCCATTTCCGAAAGGCTTCAACCCATAGAGCATTTCAAAGAAGATAACTCCAATTGACCAAATATCCACTTTGTTTGAGATTACTTAAGGATTATCCCCTTTGGCGAAACATTCAGGAGGCAAATACCAAAAAGTGCCAGCTCCTTAGGTTGTAAATTCAATCTGAGAATTTTCTGATTCTAATTCTTTACACAATCCAAAATCGCAAAGTTTTACATCATTTTAATTGAATAAGATATTTTAAGGCTTAATATCATAATGGATGATTTTATTGAAATGAATATACTTTACTGCCTCAAGCAATTATTAGATAATTAATTTTGCTTCTTTCTCTTCAATCATACCATATTTCTTCATGTAAAAAGATAAATCTTAACCACTACAAAATTCTAGAATAGTACAAAAAGTGTTAGAGTCAATCTCGACAGATTCAAACAAGGATATAATATTCGGATGCTATAGTTATTTATGTATTCTAAATTCCTTTGTTACTAATTTAACATAATATGATTTCGAATTGACCGTCCAGTTAGAATTTAATTAATGAATTTTGCATGCCACATATTTCATCTCTTTTAAGTCATAACCCTATGTTATCAAAAATTAAATATACCTTATATACTTCACTGAAACCTCCCTTCCCTAAAAGTGATAATAATACATATCTCTCTCCTATTACAGGATATTAATCAAAATTTTTGAATTTTGCATGTTGTTCATCATATCTTAATTTCAAATCTCTAATAAATAATTACTTTTCATTTTCTAAACCATTTAGTTATTTCTCTAATTATTCCTCCTCCCTCTAAAGAACCAAATAATTCAATGATTCTCTTGACAATGATATGTTGTATTAATTCTCACATAAATCTAATTATTGCCGAATACTTCCCAGTTTCTCTTTGAGATCTTTAATTTCTTTACTATCAACCCAAACTTATATGATTTTTGTTTTCTCCCTTGTATATTAATATTGTCCAAATTTTTTGGTATTCTTTTCAATCAATTAATTCCTTTTTGTTCTCTAATTTTAATCTAATTCAATTGCAAATGCTTTGATAGCTGTGTCATATTTAAAGGACGACGTTTTAAAATTCTAGAATTTGTGATTATGATATACTTGAATTTACTGTGTTAGGTCAGAGATGTGCTATTCCAACTATTTAACATGTGAATCCTTTATAGCCAGTTCATTTAAACTTCGTTTCAATGCATCGATCGCATGAGTTTCGTTGTTTTCTTCTATTAAAGTTTCTTTATTATAATTATTATAATGCTATTTATTTTATGCATTTTTGGTAAACTAGGTAATTTGTAATTATTTAAGGAGTGTTTAGTCATAAACAGACTTACGGGCAGGTTTGACTTAAAATTATGAATGAAGTTCCTACTTTCGAAAGAAGGTATGCTTTCCTTTTAGAATTATTCAAGAATTTCAATTTTTGGTTTCTTGAATATACGGGCTTCCAAATCAGCCAATCTCTCTTTGCAGTTTTATGGTAGCTTATTAATATTCATGATGAGAATTAATGTAACTAAATATAATTGATTAATAGTAACATTATGTATTATAAAAATTCAAAGGATAAAATCATTTGGATAGGTAAATTATGAAATGTTTATCAATAATTATTATTAATGTGAATACTAATATTAAACTTTTATTTATTTAATTTATCAATATGCACCTAGTACAAAGTAATGTTTGTGTGGCATCATTCGATCTTACTCAAGAGGCAATCAAAGTTCAAATTAATGAAAGACAAGGTGATAGCAAATAAGCTAATGTGAAGTTATAAATCAGTTTAAAAGAAGATTGTTTAATTACTCATTTGATTTTGAAATGGAGCGATACTTCAATTAAAGGATTCGCATTTTCATCTTTAGAATGCTTGGATTGCTTTGATTAAAATTACAATCGTCTGATCAATAGCAAAGAAGTTGTGAATACTGAACAATGCAGTGGCTAATACAAAATAGTTGGACTTGGATTTGGCAGAAAACTTAGGCTCTCCTTCAGTGTGTGTGAACCTCCCCAATAATTAGAAAATAAGCTCAAGGCTAAATTGTCAATCTAAGTGTACGGATATCAACTATATTAATCCCCAGCTGCGAATCAAATGGTAGCCCTTTTAAACATAAGCCACATCTTCAAAAAAAATAATAGAGAAATCAATCAAGCAGAAGCAGACATACTCCTAGGCTTATCTCTTCTTTCCTCAAGAAGATTTGTTCAAGCTGCTGAAATATTCAAGAAAGTTGCTAACTTTTATGCTGAAAAAGCTTAAATTCTTGTCAAGCAAAAAGATTACTATTTTCTTAGAGCAAGTGGACTTTAAATACTAATAGCTGATTCAATTAATTAACCATCTATGCTAAATGAGAAACTATAAGCATTAAAATAAGCTGTACAATATATGAATATTTCATATGATAAAACTCAGCTGCTTTTTACATTATAAAATACAGATTCTTATGAATGTGTATTAAGACTTTCAGATGATTTAATTAAAATCATAAGCAGAGTACTCCTGTTAGAAGATAACCAAAACTTCGATGCTTTGAGGATGGCAAATATGAGATGCCTTGAATTCATCATAGAATAGCATGGCTGTGGATTAGGTGGGCAGATTATCTAGATTTTTAAGTTATTTTTGAAGATGCTAAATTAATAGCAAGGATAATTGATAATTGAAATGATCTATAAAATAGTCAATATGATATTGTAGGAATTAAGTTAAGCAACCTTAAAGCTCATTTAAGATATTTGGAATCAAATTATTATACAAGGATTATTTGATGTGAATATTGAAGGGTAAAAGCTAATTATGAAGATATGCGAATATTTATTATAGGCCGATTAAGCCCACTTTAGAATTGACATCCTATTCTTGAAGCAGTTAAATTAAGTAGAAGAATCAAAGATATGGAATCTAGTATTGTAAAATATTATACCTAAATAAAATGAGAAAAAAATAAGTAAAATTCTAACCTGGATTAATCAGTAATTGATTGAATAATTGAACTTCACTAATTATAACAATTTATAGCAATCACAATAGTATCAAATAATTAAACTATTATAATTGATATCTATCATAGTTAGATAATAAAAGGAAGAATCATAGATCCCATTTTTTGAAGAATTTCTCAATAAATAATTAACAAATACCATAAAAATTAAGTAAATCTACACCACATCTAATCAAAACTTAATTATCTTAAAACCTATTTTAATCAAACTATTGGATTAAACAGTTAAAGGTAAGATCTAATTTGATTGCTTTGAACTTGTATGGAATATTTTGATCGAAATCTTAATAGAGGGCAATGAATATGATCAAATGTATGAACTCATCAATCCATTTCTATAAAATATATTTCTTATATGCTAAACTACGTCTCCTGGATAAGATATCCTGGTGGTGTTGGATAAAATTCTAAAGACTATATAGTTTTAATGTCCTTAACTTATATCGAAATTTGAATCCTAAATATATTCATATGTTGAGATCTTTTGCCAAAGAGTACCTCATAGCATTCATGATGAGACATTCAAGATATTTGACATCTTAATAGCCTTTAGTTAAGAGTTTTTGGATTAGGCATTGATTGAGAAATGCGTGATGGCATTGATTGATTAATACACAGTTAAAGGTCAAGCTTAAAAGTAATCGAAACAGAACTTCATCAAGATGGTTGTGTAATATTAGGCTCATTTCAATTCCTTGATTTAGGTTTGTCTCATAGAAAATCAGGAACCTTAAATTTAATCAAATTTACTCTCAGATAATAAAAATGAATATAGACAAGATAGAGAGAAAGAGAAGAAAGAATTTAAATCTGATAATAAGTAATTAACCTAAGAATATGAAATTTTCAATGAAAAAGTATAATTTATTTGTGAATTGTTTTCAGATATGGGATAATAATTTAAAGTAGTAGCTTAATTGATTTTAAATAGTCCTGAATTTATCTCTTCCTTAATTAACTTAATTAAATCACTCAATTCAAAAATCAGATAGAAAGGACATTTAACACTTTAATTATTAGTGGATTGTTATATCAATATAGAAACAAGTACTAGAATTAAAATCTTTGAGGATAGAATAGTTTTTGTAAAATTTATTAAAGATATTCTCACTCACTCTCTTCAAGATAAAACTGATTCCAAATGCGTATTAAACTCATTGCTTATTTTGAATAACATTTTCAATCTTAAATTCCAAAAGAGTGAATATTCTAAAGTCTTAGATGAAGTATCATGTCTTTGGAATGAAGTATCTGACTTAATAGACACTCCTTTTAATAGTATTTATGTCTTATTCTTTGATCTCCTTAATCAATGGGGATAACTCTTAAATAAAATGCCCAATTCAAATAAGCTTGATGATTTTATAGAAAAGATATTTTTGTGGACTTAAGAAAAATTGGATTGCTAGGAACCTTGGCATTAATATAATATATTGAAATTTTGTGGTTACATCTTTGGATTAGATTCAGGTAAAAACTTTAGAGTGTTTCCTACGATCAATTCTTCTTTTTTTGAATAAGCCAGTAAATTGCAGAGCAGTTAAAATAAGCAATTACAATTAATGTCAATTGTCATGATTTAATTGTGTACTCCTGAACAGATAGCAATTAGAATTATCTAATAGATGGCAGAACAATACAATCAATTAAGACATAGATAAAATAAATAAAGAGATCAAATTAACAGATAATCAGAAAACATTATATAATAACTATTTTAGAGGTAGAATTCTGTTAAGGATTTAATGATGCAATCTGATACATTTGGATCCACATCTATGGATGAATTCGAATTAAATTAAGAAGACTTTTTGTGGATACGCAAAGTTGATTAAGAAGTATTGTCCCAGTGCTTATAAACACTCTTTATGTATTAGGTTCAATAGGAAAGCAAAATTAAGCAATCAGATATTTTAGATAAGGAAATTAGTATGAAACAAAGTAATAATTTAAATTAAAATGTTAATAAAAACATTCTGGATGATGACCCCATAGATTTGGATGATTTGGGGATTATTGAGGTAGATGATGAAGAATGGAATGAGTATGATGATCTAAGAAAAATTCCAATATTAAAAGAAAGAATTAAAACAATTTCACCTCACATTGGTAGCAGAACTCCGAATGTGGGAATAGGAAAACAAAATTAGGAGAGAAGGTCAAGTGGCAATAGACAGGTCTTCGATTAAAGGAAAGGAGAGGTGGAAGATTAGGTATTGAAGACTTTGAGGCCTCATAATTAAGTATTTCGACCTTTGACACCTCCCATTGGATAGTAGCCTTAATAGAACTTTTCAGGAACGACAGAAATTCAAAGGGATATGCAATTGTTCTCGGATTATATGCTTTAAAATCCATAGCAATTTTAGAAGATTATGGAAGAAATAAAAATAAATAATAATACAAATTCATAATCATAATTGCAGCAACCTATAACATAAATTGAATAACAAGATCAGTAATTTGAAAATTCAAGAAGGAGAGTTGATGAATTGGAATTTGACCCTTAATTTTCAAATTCAAGTTAGGATGACATTACAGAGGAACCACAACTTAAATCTAATTAATAGTATAATATTTCAAATATTTTAGACATTAATAAAAAAAGAAAAAATCTAAAAAGCAGCCTTCTGTTAAGAAACTAAAATCACCTATACAGCATTCCTTGTATCACTCATAAAAAATATCAAGCTCGTAATTGGTAGGCAAAAGTGATGAGAAAATTAAGAAAAAGAGCAAAACTAAATAATCTTGAGATTTATTAAAGTAACCTCAAAATTTACTAAAATTCTTTAGTGTTATTATAATTTTAGAAATAATGTGAATATTTCTTTCTATAAAATCATAGTTTCTCTGAATGTTTAATTAGTTCAATAATTTGCTTGAATTCGCTATTTTCATTTTAGAGTAAATTCTGAGGACTATCAAATTCAATGATATTTCCATCATCAAGAACCATGATTCTGTCTGAATTCATAATAGTGGTAACTTTGTGGGCAATTGTCAAAATTGTACATTAAGACAGGTGTTATTCAAAAATCTAATAAATCATATCATTTTTATTACATCTTTTATCTTTTCCTCAGTTGGACCATCTATGCTGGCAGTAGCTTCATCTACTAAAATGATTTTTTAATTATCTAATAAGCATCTTGCAATGTTCAACAATTATTTCTCTCCTTAACTCAGATTGTTGCCCTAAACCTATATTTCACTGAATAATTCTTAAGCCATAGTAGAAATAGATACAATGCTATCTAAATGATTCAAGATCGAACAATTAGGTAATCTCACAGACTTTACGAAGGCTTGAATCCTCGTGTTTATTTTCTGGATCTAAGTTATTTCTGAGGGTTCCCATAAAGACAAGTGGATCTTGTGGGATAATTGAAAATTATTTCCTAAGTTCTGCAATTTTGTAGGCATTCATATTTTTTCCTAAGATGGTTATTGATCCATCAGTTTGATCTAATATTTAAGTCAAAGCTAAGATGATTGAGCTCTTTCCTGCTCCTGTTCTTCCTACTATACCAATCTAAATAATATTAATAAGAACTTTACTTTCTCACCGAGTTTAATTGAGAAACTCAAATTCGATAAAATGTATTTGGAATTAGGTCTATATTAAAATGAACACTTGTCTAATTCAATTGCATTAACAATGCTTTGATTCTTTTGATTGTCGTCTTCACCTGAAGGAGTAATAAAACTGGTGTTTTTTTCTTCTAATTCAATTTTACTTAAATAATATATTGTTATGATACTTTGCTAAATGAAGACATCTTTCAAAAGAGATTCCATACATTTGAATATTGCCATATGAAACAGTTGCATTCAAGAGCAATTAAGAAACAACTTGCATTTGAGACAATACCATATTTGTCATCTTTTAAGTCTTGCCAGGAAATATAAACTATATATTAGTCAAACACTTACACAAACAATGAATAATATTGTTTAAAACACATTCGTTAATGTTCCAGCTATTGATTGATACCAAAATTAGAAGCCATTCAAACAGACTTAATTGCCTAAATCAGTATCAACATTTTCTTATTATTATACGATAACCTTCTCATATGGTACACTAGTTCTCACATATGAACTACCTCTAACTATTTACTAGAACAAAGTGAAAACTGGAGATTTTGAGACTGATTCAATTCTTGTCACTTCTCTTAAGCATCTATAATAAATGATTGTTAAGTAAATTATAAATAAAAAGAAGACTACCAAAATGGGGAGAGCAATAAAATTTAAATATAGATAACAAGCTATTAAAGGCAATAAGAGTGTTGTAAGCCAACTTGTAAGGTTGTATACTTCATTAGGAAACAATAAATCAATATTGTAAATGTCTTTACTCAAACGATTCATTAATCTACCAATAAGGATGGTATTATAAAATTTAGTGTATGAAGCATTTATTAAGCTATTTATGACTTTTTCATGTAATTATTTAGATGTCCTCAAACCTCTATACAAATAGTATAACTTCAAAAGTACTATAACTGCACATGTAGGAAACTAAGTAATTAAATATGCCACTAAAGCAATAGATCGAAATTCATCACTGCTCACTCCATCCAGGGCTAATTTGGAATTGCCAAACATTTGGCCAGAAACAGTTGTTACAAAATATACCAATATGATAATAAACAGCCAACACCTCCCCAAGTACTTGTATATTTATTTAAAGACTTCTTTGGAAATTGATCCCTTTTGTTGATCTTCAGCAACAATGAGACTGGCTCTTAAATCTTATTTTTGTTCTTATCCTTTTGGATAATAGGATTCTTCAAATTTGATATCCATGTATTCTTTCTATTCTTCTGATTCTGATTATGCAATATCATATTTGATTTATGCAAATGTTCCTTACTTCACAATACCACCATTTTCAAGAATGTAAATCATATCACATCCCTGAAGGTTAGAAATTGAATTAGTAAATAGTATTCTAGTCTTATTTTTCAAGTATCCATTAAAACATTATTAATTAATTTAATATTTCACTTTAATGTCTAAAGCACTCAATGGATCATCTAACAAATAAATGTCTGCATCATTATACACAGCCCTTGCTAAATTGATTCTTTTTTGTTATCCTCCGGATAGGTTGTCTCCCTTCTCTCCAAGTATGGTTTCATCTCCATTCCTAAATGATTTCAAATCTCTCTCCAATCCACACATCTAAATAACCCTCTTATATTTCACACTGTCATATGCATTCAGGAAAGTGATATTCTACTTTATACTACCACTAATAATCCATGGTTCTTGCATAGCAACTGAAATAGAACCATTCAATGTGATTTAACCTCCTGTATTATTTGTCTCCCCCAAAATTGATCTCATAATTGTAGATTTTCCTGAAGCTGACCTAATAAAATCAATGAATGCAGATACCCTCCTACAAATGCAATAAACTTGCCTTTCCCAATTGATAAATTGATATTGACTCCAAATATCTCTCCAGTTTCCTCCTGGTTCAAATTCTCCTTATTATTATCATCAACAAATGTATCATTGTTTTACCAATCAAATTGAGCATTGTTGAATTCTATTGAATTCTCACTGGAAGTATTATATACTGGACTATTTGTAGGAATTTCGTGTTATTGGAAATAATTTGATAATCTATTAATTGAATTTCTTGAAGTCTGAAAATTTCTTAATTAATTAGGTAACTCACTAAAGATCATGGCAATATTTGAAAAATTCTGCATCATTATTGTTATCAGACCAAAATTTAATTCATCTGCAAATAAAAACCAAAGCTCATAAGTTGCTACACTTAATGAACATTACATGAACAGTATTAATAATTATAAATAGACTTGATATTTTAAATAAACCAATTCTTAATCTCGATTGTGTTTAATCTAGCATTTATAATATTCTTACTCTCTCTTCAAAATATTCTTCTAAGCAATTTAACTTCAACTGCTTTGAATAGATCAAAGCCTCATCAACAGATTTCATTCTAAGATCCTTGCAAATCATGTATTTTTTTTATATTACGCCATAATAATAACCGAAAATCACTCCAAAGATTGTTTAGACTACTGTTCCTATCACTGGAACCAGTGCTTCCTTTTGTAAAGTCATATAAAATATTGCCACAGTTGCAATTAAAAATATCGGAGATAAAAATAATTGAAAGCAGGCATTATAATAATTCGATGCTTGCATTATATCAACCTATAATAGATTGATAAGCTCTCCACTGGAATAATGTTGAGATCTGATGACTGGAAATTTTAAAGTCTTAATCAGAATTTATTATTATAAAGCTCCCTATATCTTTACACTTAATAATGACTATTTATTTTACGTCAATTTACCTATTGAAATAGCTAAAACGGCTTTAACAAGGATATTGTAAGCATGTAGACAAAGAACAACAAAGAGAACATCAACATGCTGGATAGTGCGGGTTTGTCATCTTCAGTTTCATAAATAAAGAATTTTTGGGACTATTCAGTTATGAATGGCTAACAAAGCAAAAGTGAAATGCTTATGAAATAAAACACTAAGCAAACACATAGTTAACCTTTTATAATCTAATGATGAATTACCAATGAAAGCCTAAAATAATGATCTTTACAAACCATTAAAGGAACTAAAGTATTTAGAGAAGTATTTGTGAAATCTCTTGTAGGAAATTACCGATGAATCATCTTGGTTGATCCTGAATAAATCCTACTAACTCAAAGGTTGATTTTTGCCAATCTAAGGTTCAAACAAATATCTTACGAATAATAATGGATAAACCCAAGTGAACAGCAATTACTAATACCAATTTTACTATTTCATAGTTGTGGCATTCTTATCAAGCAATCCTGCATTTGTAGGATATATTGAAGACATTGAAATAATATAAAATATTAAATAATATGGAATCCACATAACATTATTATAATCCAAAATTTCTATATATAATGATGAATTTCAATTATTAATTAGAAAGAGGTCTATAAAATAATCAATTTACATTTAATTTCCATTAGATATCTGCGTTATCAAATAAGATATAATTATTTTTACAATTTAAAACTTAAATTTCAATCTTGAGTTTAATTAAAATCTCAAAGTTAAAAATTAATTCCAGATTTGTCTAAAAAATTATTTAGAAGTTATAAGAGATTAATATTTCTAATATTCCTAATATAATAAATATATAGCAAATAAATAAAATATATATTTTAATATTAAAATGAATAACGAGGAGGCTGTTTAAATTCTGATGTTAAAATCCGAGCAATAGGTAAAAATGATTAATATGCTCAATTCTCAACTTGAGAAATCGAATAGCGAAAAATCTGAATTGAGATTTCAAGTAAATATGCATTACTAATAATCAGCTAATGGCCGTATAAAATGATAATATGACACTAAGAAGAGAAAAAGAAGGCTTACACTTTCAACTCGAATAACTGTCTAAACAATTAATGAATAACGATTCAAAAAAAGATGTCCAAATTGGATATTCAAATTTGGTCGAATAAACTTCGCAATAGGATAATAGGAAAAATGATTAGTCTCAAATAAAATAGGAATTAATAGAAAAGGAATATCATAAGCTATTAAATGAAAATAGTAAGGTGCTTAAAACAGTGTAAGATTTGGAAGGAAAAAATTAATTACAAGCGATGAAAATCGAATAACTTTAACATCAAATATTAGAGATACAAAATGAGGTCAACTTCAAAGAAGCACTTATTAAAAAAAAAGACAATCACATATAGGATTATGAAAGAAGAATATCTCATCTAATTGATTAGCATTAAGAGTAAATCTTTGGAAAGGAACAACAAATATAAAAAATGAGAGATTATATGTTATAAAGTTATCAGTAAAATGGAACCGAGAATTAAAATCACTAAGTTGAAATGTCTAAGCTATTATTCAATACAGGCAATTAGAACCAAAATGCTAATATCTTATTAAAAAATGATTAATAATAGAAATAATTGCAGTAAAATTATATTCCTCCATTATAACAGTTGCCAGTAAATAAATGAAAAAGTATTAATAGTTATCAGGAGAGAGATTAAATACCGACATCAATGAACTCTAAGCACAATCATCTGGAAGACAACAGGCTAAACAAAGTACTGCCAATCCAGGACAAATGAGACAATCTAATGAGCAAAATACCTTTTAACTTAACACTGTGTAGTCTGAATTTAGTAGTATATCTCAGCCAAAAGTGTCTGAAAGATTTAAGAATAGTGATTATAATTGAAATTAAAATTGTAGTTTTTTTGTAAGCTAAAACATTCAAAACTTTAAAATCTAATATAAAATGAAAATGTACACATCATATGGGTTATTATTATGTTTACTTTGTTATAACTAATCAGTTTTAAAGATAACTGTTTCTTTACAATTTGAAATTATATTATATATTAAAATATCATAAATAATCATTTTATTTAGATTACTACTTCAAACAATATAGTAAGATATAAATCTGCTTTTTGTATTAATGCAAAAATGTCATTCATATTTAAATGGCAGTGTTTTTTGAACAAGCTTTATATAGTCCCCTATAAGAATGAGCAAACTATAAAAAGGGAGGAGATTAAGTGAAATATTAATTATTAAAGCTCGTATAATAATTATTCATTTTTTAAAATAATGTGATATTATTTTGAAAAATAATTTTAGGAATGCTTGATTTAAAATGCATATTGAGAATAATGAATTAATTATTATATATATATGTATATCTATAAAGCAGGGATAGTGCTGTTAATGTTAGGAGTTGGATAATGTGAAGATCAACCAATTTCAGCCAGTTCAGACATTAGTGGAACAGCATTGTCAGTGTTCTTTATATTCTTTTTTTTGGGGATTGGATCGTTCATGAAGGAGATCAATAAGAAATTAAAGGTAAAGTATATGGCAAATGATGTAGATTCCATTTTCTCCAATGCTGTTTGTTTTGGGATTGTTTTTCGGATTTTATTGGGATTCTTTGGGGATCATTGGTCAAAGTTGCAAAAAGATCAGCGAAATTGAGCCGGTACTAATTTAGGGATGTATGTTATCAGATCGGAGTGTTGTTGATTTTTCTACCAACGTTAATTTATGAATCTGGGTACAACTTCGATTGGCACTTATTCAAGAGACTATTTGCTTAGACTGCAATATTGGCATTTCCTTGCGTGATTATATTATCTACATTATTGTAATTGTCGGTAAAAGTATTACTAAACTATGGGGATGACTATTTCACTTGGGAAAGCGCATTCATGTTTGGAGCAATGTTGAGTTGTACTGATACCGTTGCAGTGTTGGCATTATTAAAGGAGAGTGGAGCATAGAAGAGATTTTAGAGTTTGATAGAAGGAGAGAGTTTATTGAATGACGGAGCATGCGTGATGTTGTTTCAGATATCCTATGGAATAGTGAGGGGAAGATCAGCATCAGCATTTGATGTTGGGTCTTTATTTTTTACGTTATGCGTAGGTGGTACGTTGATTGGATTAATCTTTGGAATGGCCTGTGTGTATTGGATAAAGAAGATAGCAAATGACGAGATCTTAGTATTGAATATAACAATAGTCTCTGCCTTTCTAGTGTATTTCATATCTGAGAATGTTGATTTTGGAGTGCACATATCCGGAGTCTTAGGGTTGGTGTCATTGAGTTTATTTATGGCTGCCTTTGGAAGATCCCGTATATCTCATGAGGCTGATCATGCCTTAAGAGAGTTTTGGGAATACGTTGTATTTGCAAGTGAGGTTATCATTTTTATCTTGGGTGGAATCATTGCAGGAATCAGAGTGTTCAAGGATGAAAGTGAAATAACATAATTGGATTTCTACAAGATGATTGCTCTTTGGTGGTGTTTGATGGGATGCAGATTCATCTCCATAGCATTATTCTATCCATGGCTTAAGAATCTGGGTTATGGATTGTCATGGTCCTAGATATTGGTCTTAACATACGGAGGATTGAGAGGATCTATTGGTATTGCCTTTGCTTTAATCGTTGCAAAGGATGAATCATTACCTACTAAATGGAGAGACATTATCCTATTTCATATGTCAGGCATTGCCGTTTGTACTCTTGTTGTTAATGGTACTACTCTCTCTTTGTTGATCAAATTGTTGGGTCTGTCTACTTAATCTGATATAAGAGAGAAGATTTATTCCAATTTCTTAACTAAGTTGAATGAAGAGATAGATAATGAATGCAAGAAAAATAATGAGTTGAAATATTTAAAAGAAGCTGATGTTGAATATGTCAAAACTCTTAGTGGGTTTAAGGTCTATCAGTCAGATTGCAATTAGATTATTGATAAATTGGCTAAGCATGAAAAGGCTTAAAAAGAAATTCAGATGAAGAACATCCATCAACCATTAATGGAAGAAGAGGAAGAAGAAGAATTAGATCAAAATCTCTTGACAGAAATCAGAAGAATCTTCCTCATGGCATTAAAAGGAATTTATATGGAATAATTTGAATCCAATCAATGTAGTCCTGATACAATTATTCTCTTGACTGAAAGTGCCAATTTAGATCTTGACAATGATAAAGAACACATGAATTCTTGGGAATTCTTGTAGAGTTAATTTTCAGAAAGATACATTAATTTGCTATTCTATATGAAAGATAAGTTTCTAATTGGAATTCTAGCTAGAAATCACTTATTTTCATACATCTATACAATTTACGATGCTGTATCAGCCTATATTGAAGCAATTACAATCTTAAAAGAGGAGGCCTCACATTATCATTTTTCATAAAACCTACTGTTGGAAATCTTGAATGAAGTTGAGGATAATAAAAAGTCAGCAATTTCTTATTTGGAAGGATACCTCGAAGTCTCATTTCCAGAGATATCAAGGGAATTACATACGAAAAAGGCTGCCTTTGAAATTTTAGAATTTGAAAAATCTGTACTAAAGAACAATTTGCAATCCGGTTAACTGAATGATAAGGAATTTTTGAGAATGAAAAGAAATATTGATAAGAAAGTTAAAAATTTGAATGATTTGAATCCCCCTTGGCAAATGCCTTCATTGATTGACATACTTACACAACACGAGTTGTTTAAATCGCTTACATAACCAAACATACTGAAATTGTTAGAAGGTTCTAGAGAGGATTCCTTTGGTAGAGATCAACTGATTTTTAAAGAGGGAGACAGAGCAAGCGAGATTTGTATCATCACTCGAGGGGCTGGTAATGAGTTTAGTGATAGATCAAAAATAAGGGAAAGAAGAGCGTTGAATGAAGCTACCCCAATTTATATGTTGGTTGCTCCTTCTATCAGATATTAGACATCCTTGGTTGCTGATTGTGTCATCAATGCCACCTTTATCAAGATCCAAACATTGCAAATGATCATGAAATAAATTCCAGAGTTCGAAGAAGCCATATGGAGAAACTCGATACCTCTTTTGTGTAGGGTATATAGTGACCAACTTAAGCCTTTATGCAATTTAAAAATCAATTAGATTGTAGAAATCGTCTCTAAGTCAGTGTTTCAGAAGATAAAAAAAAATTAATTGATCAGATTTGAATAGGGTGGTATATTATTAAAAGGTATGAGCTTTTTTAAATATTCATAGGTACATTGTGTGAGGGTAAGGAGAGTATTTAAGAGGCGTCATCGGAGGATGAGGATGCTTTGAAGAACTCAGGGGAGGATTAGGATTCGACTTAGAAGGACGCTTTGTGTTTGATCGGTCCAACATCTTCTCCTTTGAGGGCTAGGACTGGCATAATTGTGTTATTATTCAAACAGTATCAAATGCTTGAATAATATAATCAGTTGAATCAGAACATAAATGAAGGGGCAAAATCTTCAAATAGAAGATCAAGCAAGTCAGATTTATAGAAAAGATCTTTAACGGTGGTGCATTGAAAAGTGAGATTTGATTAGAATAACTTTAATAATTTAAATGATATTCCTGTCAACATTGATCAAAGTTGCCTCAGTGACAACTATACTCTTGCTGGCTGGTGGATCGACCTATTATTATATGCAGAACGATAATAATAGTAAGGTGGAGACAAAAAACTTGAAGGGACATCACAATCACAGCACTCATTTTCTTCATGGCAAGATGGATGAAGAGGAGGTTCACATTTGCAATCACGGTCACTTCATAAAAGACATAGAAATAGAGGAGCCAGAACGAACAGCTGAAATTCCATTGGAGGCTAGATTGTCACACGAGCAAATGCTAATTAAAAATCATAAATAAGGAAATTGGGACACAATAAGAATTAAGACAGATTACTCTTCATTTTAGGTATGATATCAACATAATGACTGTAGGCATCCTAACAATAAGCCGATTTCATTGAGAATAAACTAGTAAAAGCAGCAACTGGATTTTTAAAAGCCGCCATTAAAGTGTATCCATCATCCAAGCTATTTCTGAGTGGACAATGCGGTACAGTGACAATCCCAAGCTCATTTAAAAATGGAATAACAGGCGTTGACTTGGTCTTATTTGTCACAGCCTCCACTTCATAAGATACATGGGTGGCAAGAGCAGGTGCTTGCAGATTGGATCCAACAACCTTAAGACCCACTGCTGGCTCATTGGAATTCAACCTCAAATATTTTAATCAACTAGATTTCAGTAAGTTAAGCGAAGGCAAATGGTTCAAGTGGATCTAAACAACCATCCACGAAGTTACTCACGTCCTTGGATTCAGTAGTGGTCTATTCCCCTATTACATTGATCCTAATACAATGTAGAAATTGGGAGTCAATTAGATAGTTAAGACATAGGGAGGAAGAGATTGGATCATATTGCCAAAAGTAGTAAATGCAGTGAAGAGTCACTTTGGATGTTTATCAGCCTGGGGAGCTCCATTGGAGAACAATGGTGGACAAGGAACAGCAGGCAGCCATTGGGAAAGAACAACCTTCGGTAATGAGGCAATGACTGGATCTGAATTCCCAGACTCGGTGTTCACTTTATTCACATTCAATTTACTTGAATCCACTGGTTGGTATAATATGGATCACAAATAATCTGAACCATTCAATTGGGGTAAGGATGAAGGATGTCCAATTGCCTAAGGACAATGTGTGTAAGGATTGAGAGAATTCTGTACTGCAGGAAGTGAGGGATGTTCCTCAGATTTCACTGGTATTGCATCTTGTTCTTCAAATGATGTGTTAACTGACGGATGTGGATATTGGAGAGCCTATGGTAACTCTGACTGCAGATATAACTCTGATTTCACCAGTCAACTAGCTTAATATGGTGGATATTACGGTAATGATGGAAAGTGTTTCTACACAACTTTACCTACCAAAGTGGGATTCTAAGGAATTGTGTCTGACTGTTTTAAGGCAGTCTGTTAAGACAATGTAGTAACAATCTCGAATTTCCAACAAGAGTTACTAATGCGTTACATCAGGACAAGTACTCAATTATTTATATATATTAGGTCATTAACGTTAAATATTCTTATTATAGTGCCACAGTCACTTGCCCAGATGTCAAGCACTTCTGTAACACTCAGAGAGTTTGTCCCAATGCTTGCAGTGGAGTTGGTACATGCAGAGGAACCACCTGTTATTGTTGGTCTGGATACAGTGGAGCCGATTGTTCAGTATCCTATTGATTATCATCATCAATTAATACAATATCAATAACAATATAAATATAAATATATATGTATCCTCTCAAATCAATTGGATATACCCTACTCCAAACTATAAAAAGCACCTTTTCTATTTGTCAAGCTTTAGTAATTTCCTTCTTCCACAATTTTACCATCCTTGAACACATAGATCATATCAGAATCCTAATTAAATTATCATATGGTTTACTTTGATAGTCGAGATTCTATGAGCAATTGCCACAGTAGTTTTTCCTTCCATTAATTTATTCAAACTATCCTATACTAATTCTTCGCTTGCAGCATCTAAAGCACTTGTAGCTTCATCAAGCAGTAAGAAATTTGAATCTCTTAAGATGGCTCTAGCAATAGCAATTCGTTATTTTTATCCCCCTGAGATTTAAGTTCCTTTTGGTCCTACTTACCTTTCAAATCCTTGTCCTCTTTATTTCTCACTACCCTTTTATTCTACTTGAGTTTCCTCAAATTAATTTTTAACTATGAAATCATAGGCGTTGGCCGTTTTAGCTGCATTCTCAATCTAGTCCATATTAATTGAAGTTAAATTGTATTGAATATTCTCTCGAATCGTACCATTAAACAGGACTGGTTCTTATGAGACGATAGCAAATTGTCTCCTTATGTATCTAATATCATAATCTTTAATATCAACTCCATTGATTGTTATGACTCCTTGATCGGGTTCATAGAATCTCATCAACATAGACATAAGAGTTGACTTACCACATCCAGAAGGACCAACAAAAGCCACTTTTTAACCTTACTTAATTGTTAAACTTAAATTCTCAAAAACATTCTTGTCTCTTCCAGCATATTTGAAAGTGAGATTGTTGAATTAAACATCTCCTGTAATGGATTGTGCCAATCTTTTCTTCTATAATCTCACTTCCCTTTAGAATTCATCCTCACCATCCAATATTTCAAAGATATTCTTGCTAGCATTTTTGGCAGCTCCGATATCTCCAGCGAATGCAGCATTATTCCCTGCTCCCATAGTAGCAAATGTCAATGAAAATATTGTCTTAAACATATCATTCACACTTAAATCGATATCTCTGCAGAAGACAGCCCCCACATAGAAGATTATGGCATTCATAACGAACATATTCATTTATGAAAAACCCATAGCCAATCCTGCCTTGAACCCTTTGGAAGTAGCTTATTCAAGTGGCATTTACACTTTCTTTTCATAAATGCCAAGGATAATCTATTCATTCCCAAAAGAGAAAACAGTTCTTATGTTTGTGACTGCCTCCATAATTAGATTACCTGAATCCTTATATGCCTCATCTGTCTGTGCTGAAAAACCCTGCATAATTTTAGCCTAAAGTACTCCAGATATAAATGAAAATGGAGTGACTCCCAATGTAACCAGAGTCAATGCCCAACTGCTCGTAAATGCAATAGTCAATCCACAAACCAAAGATGCCACATTTGCTAGATTGATCCCAATAATAGAAGAAGTCAATCCATTTATTAGTTTACAATCGACAGATAATCTACTGGTTAAGGTTCCTGCATTATTCTTGGGCTCATCAAAAAAAGGAATCGGCATCCTTAATAGTTTTCTAAATGTATCCGATCTTAATTTTAGTGTTAGTCTTTCACCTACATAACTTAAACAAAATGACTGTATAGTCCATAAAGTCAATGCACAACAGCCTATAACGAAAAAGTATAAGGCATTTTTGTCTGCCTCTCCTCTGACATAGGCCATCTTATCGCTTCTTTCTTCATCGCTATAATTTCTAGGATTCGAGAGAGCCAGGACTGTAATCATATCTGATAAGAATATTGAGAATATCGGAAATGTGCAACCATTAGCCATGGCTGCTAGAACTCCAAGAAGGAATTGAAATCTCTCTGACTTATTATAACTGAACAATCTGCCCATTTAGGCATCTGGTTCCTTTTTCACTTCTACCTACTCCTTATCTGCAACCTTATCATATTGAGTGTTTTCTGTCTATCCTTTAACAATCAGATCTAATTCCTTTAATTACTTGAATTGATCGACTGCTTCCTCTGTAATATTCCTCTTATCTGCAACATTCATTTATATAATCCTCTGAGTGTTAGTTGTATCATTAGGTTTAGTAAGACCATCTAATAGTATCTTTCTGCTTGGAGTTTGTATTTGTGACTGACTTAACTACTCCTCCTCTTATTTCTTTACCTGATTTTTGGCCAAAATCTCGTATTTTCCATGCAGATTCATGAGCTCTTAATGAGTTCCCATTTCAATCACTATGCCTTTATCTATAACATATATCAAGTCTGCATTTTAGATTGTACTCAATCTATGAGCAATAACAATTGTGGTGATCCCTTGAGACACCTCATCCAAAGTCTCCTAAATTAATCGCTCGTTAGTTCTATCTAAGGCACTTGTGGCTTCATCTAATAATAAGACTTATGGCTTCTTTAAGATGGCTCTGGCTATAGCAATTCTCTATTTTTAACCTCCACTCAATTAGCCTCCTCCAATACCAACATAAGTCTCTAATCCTTTATCCATTTTTTGAACAAAATCCCAGGCATTGGCTTTTTTCAAGGCATCTATCATTTCTCCCTCTGTTGCATCAGTCTTACCATATAACAGATTTTCTTTGATACTTGTTGCAAAGAGAACAGGCTCTTAACCAACCAACCCAATTCTACTCCTCAAATCTATAATATCTAAGTCCTTGACATCTATTCCACCAAATAATACTTCTCCCTTATCACAATCATAAAATCTTTCAATTAATTGCATAACAGTAGATTTACCACATCCACTCTCCCCAACCAATGCCACCTTTTTACCAGGAGGAATGTTCAAACTTAATCCATTCAACACCAATTGATCTGGTCTATTTGGATAATTAAATTTAATATCTTTCAATTAGATTTCACCATTGAAATTCAACAACTTCTTAGGATTGGGACAATTGTATATTTTAGGCTTGCGATCTAAAACCTCGTACATAGTAGCAGCTGCAGCTTAACCCTTTGCAAAATTCTATACGCATGGCCCTGCTTAACCTAAGGAGAACCCACCAGTAACTACACTAAAATATATTGTCATCACATCTCCAACAGTATACACAGAATCCTAATTTGGATTGTATGTCTATTATATATATATGTCTATTACTTGATCTGCTATCAATTTGGCTCCATACCAAAATCCTAGTGCATACGACCATAAACTCGCTGCCCATATTAATCCAATTGCTATGCCTACTCCAAAATCATATTTGGTTGTCTTATTTGCTGCACTCTACAACAGTTAATAGTACTTTTAGTGTTCGTAATCTTCGCCATCTAGCATTTTCACTGTTTTAATCCCATTTATTGCTTGTTCTGCTATTGCTCCTGCCTCTGCATAAGCTGATTGTGTTGCCATTGTAGATTGCTAAATTATCACTGAAAACACAGCAGTTATTATAGATATAACTGGAAGAGTCGCTGTTATTACTATTGCAAGTTACCAACCCCTAAAATTATTTATTTATTCTAATTACCAAATGTAACCATATAGAAAACCAAAAAATGTCATAGAAAATGTCATAATGAATGTTGGAACTTTTTCGCCTATCGCACCTTAAACAGCAAACGATTCGTTAGCTACTTTGCTATTCAATTCATTTGGATTTATAGTGTCAAACCATCCTACCTCTTGATGTAGAATTGCTTTGAAATAATTTTTTCGAAATTCTATTCCCTATCTTTCCCCAGCTATCATCCAAGTTGCAAACATTGTAAATGACAATATGCCAGTCGCAAGAGCTACCAATAGAAACCAACTAAATGAGGATATATCTAATTTTATACATTGCACTCCATCCAGCCTATCGGACCATCTCATCTCCTGCCTCCTGAAACGAATTAACCATTGAACCAAATATCAAAGAAAAGGAGGGAATAGCACCGCCATTCAAAAATGCAGCAACAGATCCCAAGACCATCAGCACAATATCTCGATTTTTTGCGTATCTAAATAATTGAAAATATGGAATCATTTTTGGCTTCTCTCCTTCTCTCTATCCATTTTCTCTATTCTACGCCCCACTAACCTTTCCTCCAGAAAGTCCTCTCTCTTCTTCCATGTTTGTGAAATTTATTTCTGAATTTGCTCGATACTAAATCTTCCCCTTTATTTATTCTTTAATTAAACTTTCTATATAATGAAATCATAGATTCCACCAAATTTTATAGAATCTCACATTTACTGTCTCACCTACTCTTTATATAAATAAAATTTGACTAAAAACATAATTCATTCTATATCATTGAATGAAATTCACAAATTCTTATTTAATCCAAAAATAAATCACAAAGCTATTTGGATTGCAAGATTTCAAACTAAAGGATTGCTAAGATTGATAGATAAGTTATTTATTGATTGTTCAATAGAATTATTTATATTAAAAAATCATAAAATACTCTCATCATATAGTCGAATAATTTATCAATAGTTTAGAATAATAAAATCATCAAACTAATTTAGATAATTAAAATAGTGTTTAAAATTTACAAATATCACAATTGAAACTTACAAAATCATAAGTTAATGAAAAATCATGACATCATAATAAAGGAAAGAGGCCCTTATGATGGAATAAAGAAATTATCCCTTATTGAGGTGGTTCTATTAGGAGTTTGCGAAGCGGTTCTTCTGCGATTCGGACTGGGCTATAGACTTTTATGAAATTGCTATTATTAAATTTGAAATTCAGATTGATCCTCCCAATCATTTGCAGAAGTGCTGAGCTTCCTTTGATTAATGCATTTCATGTCTAGTTTTAAGGCTTCTCTGTGAGGAACCTTGGGCTTGTTTTCAAAGTAGTTATTTTCGATAGGTTGTATTTGAAAGGTAATTTTCTGGTCGATCTCGTTGAAATTGAGAGTATTGAGTTTGTAGAGCAATTCATCAGGAAGCTCGAGCAATTTCCTAATCTCTAAAAATCTTTTAATTTATTTAATGGCTCTGATCCTTTGGGCTTAGTCATCCTATTTATTTAGGGATTCGTATAAGAATATGATGTCGATTATTAATTTAATGGTTATGCACTTTACTATGGGCACGTCTAACTTAAGAATGAGAACTTCAAGTTATCTATGCATTTTATACAGGATGTTGATCTATTCGTAATTGTTAGAGAAATTCTTAAGGTAACTACAATAGAGAAATGCGACACTTTAGAGTACAGCATCGGCAGCACTCTTTTGCGAAAGTTCAATTGTTTTATCAGTCACATAGGGGCCTAAAAATTGTCTAAGCACATGAACCAAATAGTAGGACTTAAGAGCAGTGATAGTTTTTTGAGGGTGCTGCATCCTAAGTATGATTTTCTTGAGCGCCTCCTAAGAGCTTAGATTATTGAGTTCTCCATCAAGACATCTTGAAAGAATCTATTATAATTCTTTTTGGTACAAGTATGTGCTTCTGCTTTGGAATATCGTCAATTAGACATTTCAGCCAAGAAGTCTCCACCATATCCTTATTCAATATTCGCATGTTTCGCTTAAAGTTATTGAACATTGATATTGAATATAAAATTATTAGATTATTTACAAAGCCAGATTGGTATATAATATATAAAACACCCATCGCAATAATTAAGTCTTTTATATATATAATAAATGGAAAATAAATAGTCCCTTTAAATTCATATAAACTTAACTTAGTTTATTTCAAAATAGCACAAAGAAGAGCAATCAGCAAAGTTATATGAAGATTGGCATCAGTTAATAAAACAAAAATTATAAGGCAGCAAATAAGATGAAACTCGCAGATTAGTTTATGGAAGATTATCAGAAACTTAGCAAAAGAGTAGAAGACTTACACCAAATCAGACAGTATAAAAAGACCAGGACATCATCAAAGATATAGAAAACATAAAGTTTAGATTGCAGAAAATAGATTGAATTATTTAAAGAAGCAAACTAACAAAAATTAAAAATTTTGAATGAATATAATTTGTATATTCATTAGTATCAAACAATAATGTACTAAATAGTATTAAGCAATCTCAAGCAGGAAGCATTAGAATATGCAGGTAAAAACCTAGTTACTTTTTATTTTGCTATATTAATTTTATTAGTATTTTCAAATTTCAATCAATAGTATTAGCTTTTTTTAACACACTTTGCTAATATATATTAATCATTCAATAAATATATTAAAAGTAATAATAGATATTATGACGAAATTTATTCTAGCAAAAGTATCGATTTGGTTGTTCCCTCTTAATTCTACCTGTTTCCTGACATAATTCTATTTTGTCTTACTCTTAAAAGTAGTTCCCATTTCATTAGAGTATCATGACATCATTTTTTATTGAGATTGCAAAAATTCGAGTTTAGATTGCTATGATCAAATTAATTTACAATTAATGATTTTGTAACAATCAACATCAATCAGGGAAGTATGATGTTTAGATATAGTATTAAAAATTATATATTTATTAATGGGGAACCACTAATGCTTTTAGTCAGAAAATCTCCAGGACATTTACAAATCGTAAATGGTAATTTCTTATATTATAAGTAGACGAATTGGCACATAGGGGTGGAAAAAGAAGTTCAAAAATTAGGATTTAATGTGAATGTGAGATCTGATCATCTTCACAAACAAAATTTTATGCAATTATATTCAATCGTTAAACCCTAATATGAAGAAATAGTTACTTTGAGTACTTCAGAATCTCTTTTTGCGACTGAGTTTGAAAATATTAGAACATCGAAGAAAACTCTGGATCCTTTCAAAGAATTCAATGTTACGACTCTAATATAAGACTGTGAACCCTCTTTACAAGAGTTTGAAAGACAAGTACTCTAATAACTTTCAACATTAAATGGTTGTTTGTTGGAAATATTTTAAAGTTTTCGACAAACCTAACTGCCCAATAGTAGTAATTAATTGGATACATTTATTCTTAAATTTCGAGATTCATTTGTTTAAGTACATTATTCTAATATTTAATTTAGATCTTAATTCATTACTACAATTTGAATTTATTTGCTTAACTAAATAAATGTCAATTCTTGAGCACGTCATCTCTTTAATGTTTAGTATCCAATATGATTTTCAATGACCAAGTTGCATCTCATATTTATGAGATCAAAAAGTAAGAACAGAAATAAGAAAACTAGAAAATACACAATAAATTGTCACTATTAAGAGAGAAAACATTGGTTGATTTTGGAATTTCCATTAAGTATTGTCTGGATTGTGCAACAAGAGAGTACATCCAGAGTAAACTATCCTCGAAGGTTAACACTTGTACTCGCACTTCTTAGATGATTTAATAAGATACTTTTGAGACACTGATAATAGAAGATGTTGATTCTACTCATTTACCTTCGAGACCATAGGCTAAATTGCTTCAAGGAACATTTTTTTAATAGTCCCCGTTTTAGAATGCCATCGAAGCACTAAAATTAATTTAATTTCGATAAACACCTCATCATAAAGTTAAATAACTAGTCGCTTGTTTTAGATGCATTTACTCTGCAATCATAGACTATTACAATTATTATAAAAAACAACCTTCAATAATAAGTACGGATGAAATGATACCTATATTTCATTATGTACTTTGCAAATCTTCACTTTAAAATCCTTATACGCATTTTGAGATTATGCAAAAATACTTAGGCAATTTAGATGGCCTTGAAGGGTTCTACTTAGCCATAATGGAAGCAGCATTTAACATAGCTTGAACATATTTAATTTTTTATATTTTTCTCTTTCCAATAATAAACGATTATTAAAATTATTATAGAATTAAAAAAAATTGAAAAAAGATGGATGATGAATAAGAATTTCAAAAAAACATATAAAATCAATTTAATAAGTATTGTTATTCATATTGATGTCAAATAGAATCAGATTTGAATTTAAAAAAGGTTTAGAAACACAATCCTAGAAAGTTTAATAATTAGAAGAAAAGATTAATGAGTTAAAAAATATATTTAAATTAGGTTGCAGATAGATAATTAAAAAAAATAATAAGAAATAGATAATTTAATAGCTGGATAAAAAAAGTAATTATACAATATATTAATTCCAGACTCACTAATGATCTTAAGAAAGTTTGGAATAATTTTAGTTCCACGTTGAAGTCATAAAGAAGCGAATCACAAATGATTTCAAATCTATCAGTTTTCTAAGAATAATCAACAATGTATTTTAATTCACAATTTTAGTTATTAAGATTTATCTTAGTAAACCAAATAAATCATTCAACAAGAGATCTAAAGTCGATTTCTTCTAATTAAGGACATAGTATTGAAGAAATCAGACTTTGATGAATATTCCAAAAAGGTTGAAGAGTAATTTGAAACACTTAGATAAAAAGTATAAACTTTCACTTAGTATTCATAACCAGAGTTTGAATTCGGACCTAGAAGAGATTCCTTCTAGGGTAAAGTCCCAACATTTCAATTCCAATAACCTCCAATAAAGGGAAATGCTTAAGCAATGAAATAGTATTTATACTTTACTAAATTACAAGATAGTTTGAAAAAAAGGAAGAAAAAAATGAATAAGTAATAATACTGAGCACATAATATCAAGAGAAATGATAATTAGCTTATATAATATATATTATCATTAAATGAGAAGTTAAGTGTAAAATTTTAGAATTTATAAATTATGATAGTAAATTTATATTTAGATCAATTTTAATTTATTGGATTAGAATAAATATAATATCGATTTAAACTCAGGGTATAGTAATATTGGACTTCTCAAATTACAATTATTTTATAAGAATCTATCCATATTAACCCCTATTTTGTGAGTGTATTATTTTTCTAAACTTATTAGTGTAGAATGATTTTTTTAATTATTATCACTTTAAAAGAAATTTACTCATTTAATTGGTTATAATTTGTGTTTTATTTATATTCAAGTTCTATTTATCAATATTAATAAAATATGTACAAAATTCAAAAATTACATACCCAGATGGATTTGTTTAATCTACTATAATTAAAATTATTCATTGTAGAGAAAGGATAATGATAATGGGATTTTCTCATACTTCTTTATGTTTTAACGATTGGAACACCTATATTTGAGACAGGCAATTTGTATAAAATTTAATCTTGGCGAGTAACTTTAAAGTCATAAGCAGTTTTATTTAATTGATTGTTATTTTTGGGAATAGTGAAAGGAATGCTAGTTATATTCACGATATCTCTTTTTTTCACTTGTTGACTTTTTGCTCTCCTTTAAGACTTTGGCTTATATTCATAGAAGTTAGTTTCAGTGTTTCCCATCTACCTATTAAGAATATCAATGGCAATTGATTCATCCAACTTGTGTAAGTCTTTAAAGTTTAAGCTTTGTCTCATCTATCTCTCTATCCTCCAAGTTTAATCACCTATATTAGTAACATCAACAGAATTTTTTTTTTTTTCCTCAAATGTATGTTCTTTCTGAATAAACTATTTAATGTTAATTTATTTTGGTTCTGTGAGAAATTGAAATTACAAGCTTTGTTTAACAGCTGTGAATTTTGGTTTTTTATTTTTTTTATCACTTTCTTTGATGATGTAGATTTACTTCAACAATTTTTAGGTATCAGATGTGTTCAAGATTTGACTATCAGTTTAATCCGTTCTTGTTGATAGTTACTTAGAAATGCTTTATTATATTCGAGCAGATAATTAATTTATATTTTGCATATTTTTATATGAACTTATTAAGAAATTATCTGCAGAACTCTAATTATATTTGATAAATAAAATAAATAAATTTACAATCCAATCGAAGAATTTATTATATATACATACATCATCTTTATTCAAAAGGGAACTTATATTAAATTATAGATCTTTTAAAGTGGATGTTACCATTCCCTAAATTTTAATAAAAATGACACATCAAAATGATTAATATTTAGATATCAACTTTTTAACTGAGACATTTATGATGCTCACTTTCTATACTTTAAAGACATCAATAAGTATATTAAATTATAAATTCAATTTTTAGGTTATATAATTTTTATTCTTTTATTTTTAACAATTTAAAGGAATTTATTCCCTCCAAGTTTCATGTATCAATTTCATATATCTAGATATAAATCGAGATTTATCTTTTGATTTCTATTAAGATTATATTATTATTATTGATTTTTATAAAAAAGTAACAATGCTTCTTGGATTCAAGGATTATTTTACTCTAATACCATTTAATTACAATCCCTCTATATTCTCACTTGATCTTTATCCTTAGAAAAACTATTAAGTATTTTAAGTCTATCTGTTTAATTGTTTGTTTATACCTTTATATAATATTATTATTGATTATTTACAAATCTTGAACAATTAATATGATTTCAATTTCTATGTTCAAACTAAATAAGAAAATGGAATGCAAGGAATCAGTCTTTCTAATTCAAAAAGTAATTAAACAGTGCTTGATTTTTGAGTATTTATATTTTAATATAATAAATGTTATAAATTTTCGTTTTTTCTATTTTGTCATTATTGACATTTGGATTTAATGTGTTGCGGCCTTCCTTTGTGGAAAGAAATAGAGTAGAAATGTCATTCAGTTAAAGGATGAGTTACAATTTTGGGAATAATTTTAACATGTACACAAGTGAAGGAGTTGTAATAAATGAGAATTCAATATAATTTGAAAAACCAGGCAGATTAGTTATGAACATTCCTTTGGTAGAAGGGATTGACTACGCTTTACAATTTAAATTTGACAGTTTGAATGCAAATCATATTGCATGTGTAGGGATCGGTAGTTAGGGGTTCATTTTATCAGAGGTCTTGGGAATTGAGAAAACCAATCTCAGTCATTTTTAATTAGGATATTGTAGCGATGGAACCAATTCTACACAATACCCTGATATGTATACTGATTTTAATGAATTTGATTATTATTCTGATGAAGAATTTGATGAAATAGATTATTCATTTGGTGAGTCATAGATGACAAATGTTTTTGGATAAAAAGAATTTTATATGGTATTAAGAGAGAGATAATTAATATTTATGGATAACGAAGAGTACAAATTTAGAATAATTTAGTTCTATTTTAACTATTTTTAATGATCTTGATAGAGCAAGAGCTTTTGTTCCCATAATTACTATGCATTATAGAAATGAAATTCAAAAGAAATTAATAAAGAAAAGAGAGTGTGTTGTAAGGGAGGAATATGCTGTTTTATTATAATTGGTGGGTCAATTGAATCCTTTCAAAAGGGAAATGCCTCCAGAAATGAAAGCTTAGAGAGAGCAAGAGAAAAAGAAGAAGGAGACTGAATTAGCTAAAATGTTGAAATAAAAATAGGATGAAAACGAAGATGAAAATCAAGAAGAAGAATAAGAAAAGAAAGAGGAAAAAGAAGAAAAAGAAGAAACAGATGAGGATGTAAAAAAGGAATAGTAAGATGCAGTTAAAAGAAGTGAAGAAACTAAAAAGATGCACGAGGATATAAATAATCAAGGTGAGGAATCTAGTGATCAAGCAGCACTTGCAAATGCCTAAGGAGAAGAAGAAAATTTAAATGAGGACAATGCTGCTGATTAATAAGATGCTCTTGCTGAAGGAGAAGAGGGTTAGCAGGCTGATTAAGAGGATGGAGAAAAGGGAGAAGAAAAAAAGTCAGACTAAACTGATGAAAAGGGAGATGAGTAAAATTAAAACGAATTGACTGATGAATAAAAGTCACAAAAAAGTGATGAAAGTCGATCAGAAAACTAAGAAGATTAGATTTCAATTGATGGGAATCAAAATTAATCCGAAAATCAACAATTAGAGGATTAAGGAGAACTTTAATCTGGAGAGCTAAGCAGCGAATAATAAATGAAACCTGAAGATGACACTACTGAAAGTATTGTTGGTGTGTTGGATGTTCAATCTCATATTATAAATGCTAAATAATTCACAAGAGAAATAATACCTTTAAGAAATAGTGTGGTAGTTGAAAATAAATATACTGTCTTTTAAGATAATTAAAGATTGGCAAAGGCATTGCAAGATTATAAGAGTTGTGGATATTCCTATTTAGATATTCGCCCTTCCTAAAACAACTTTTTTGTTTAAATTTAGATAGACAATTTTGATGATTTATATGATACTTATCCTGTGGGATTTGGTGTGTATGCTTATCAGATGCTTGATAGATTAAAAGGATGGAGAAATTTGGATGATTAACTTTGGTGCATAGATAAAGAGAGTGAAGATTTATGGCAATTTGGTGCCCTTTATAGGACAGATGGGACATTTATTGATAGTTATATGTTTGGAGAGTACTTCAAATATTAAGTGGATAAATAGGCATAAAGGCAAACTAAAATTAATATTTATTTTTCGAATAAAAATAGAGTAGCATTCAGTTTCGATGATGAGAAAACTATTATGTTAACTTGTGTAAACCCAAAGTTCAAGTATTATGTTCCCATTTTTGAAACTAAGGCTTATAAAGGTGTTCCTTCAATGACATTATTGCAATATGTTGATGACATTTAAATTCCATTTGAGTATTCTGATAGCATAGAAAATATCCAGAATGCTTTTAGTAAAATCTTTAGTTTGATTAACAAGTTTATAATTGAAAAAAGAGGTTCATTTAATGAAGATGATGATGATTACACTATTTCTGGCATTGATGATGATAAAGGTGCTTCTATTAATATGTGGGATATTAAATTATATGATGCTCAATATGAATGGTGGATTAAGATTGATGACTTAAAGCAAGATAAACAGGATATTAATATATGTATTGGAGTAAACTAAATGAGTTCTGAAGACATTCTAACTAATCTATTTGATAGACAATACAAAGCATAGGTTGCTTATATTTGTGATAAGAATGACTTTATTCATACATTTTTTTAGGAGTGCCCAATCAGTTCAAATCCTATTCTCTTAGTTCCTGGAAGTGTATTAAGATTTAGATTAAGTGATTATCTGATGGAAGTCTATGATGGTTATCAATTTGCTTATTTCTCTCTTCGAAAAACAGGCAAAACTGGAGTGATTCCAAGTGCTATTATAAGATCTGATTCTAAAAATAAAATCACCTTCTTAAAAGGACCAATTAACTTTGGACCAAATCCTTTGGCTGATAGAGTCGACTATGAATAATTAAACAGAGAAAACTTTGCTAGTTATGACATCTTTACATTCCCAATATTGGAAAATGCTAAAAATGGACTATTTAAATCTAATACTAATGAGCCTCTATTTAAAAAGAATCAAGTACCAAAACCAGGAAAAAAAGAACCTCCTCTGGGCAGGAACTATGAGACAGAACAAGAAGAGTAAAAAGTTGAAGATCAAACTACTCATCAGGAATCTAATAAAGAAGAGGAATAAAAGAATGTTGAAAATGAGGAAGCCAAAAAAATAGTTTCATCTAATGTTCCAAGTGAAGCACATGCAGATATTCGTATTATATTAATTTACTTTAGATGGAGATACTAATGTTAAATGTTTGATTATTTATGAACATTGTGATTTTGAAGGTCCTAGCAAATTGTTATATCCAAATAGGTTCGAAGCTGGTCCACCTAATGAATTTAGATCTTTTGAACTTTGTAGGGACACAAAACTCATTGAAATTATTATTGAAGGACATGTTCAAGAAAAGATGTTTGTGTCTCAATCAGTTGAATGTCTCCCTAGTCCATTTTTTGTAGATGAAATTATAATTATGTGAAATTATCATATTAAATTTATCATTATTGTTATATAAAATGTGTTTAACAAATAGCATTGAAATCCCTCTTGTATTTATAATGATGAAAAATTCATAGAATCTGAAATAGTTGCTTTATAGGAAGTTAACATTTATCTTGATGTTTTCATAATCCTCCATCTAAAATAAGCAATTAAATCAATGAATTATTTTACACCCCTTTCATTTTCCCAAAATTAATCAAATTAGCAATTATTATAAAATCTTTAATTAAAAAATGAATTTTTCTATTAAAAATAATTCGACATTTTTTTAGAGAAATTACAATAAGACAGATGGATATAGAAGCTCTTTAAAAGTATAAAAGGCTATTCGAATAAGGAATGAGTTATTAACCAATTGAATCTAAAAAAAATAACTTATCAAATTAATATAGTTCAATTAATTCCTTTTAATCTTAAGCATCTCAAAATTAAAGTAAAGATGAACAAAACAAAATTTTCCTATATGTTTCTCTTTACGAAAGATTGAAACCCACCATGTCAGATTAAGATAACTTATAAAATTAAAATGAATTGGATAAAAAATAAAACAATAGTGATAAAAAACCTCAAACATAGGTAAAATCACAATATTAACGAAAAATAAAATTGAATAACGATAGGAGATTGAGAGTATGCAATGTTTTGAAGGATTTATATAGTAATACTTCAGGGCTCCGTAATGTTGAAGATTAATATAAATATTATGTCAGAGAAATAGAAAATTAATCAGCCTTATATAAGAATTACAGTTTAAATTTCCAAAATAAAGCAATTGTACGCAAAATCTGCAATGCATTCTTACAAGTCAGAGGGGATGGAAACTGTTTTTATACGGCTTTTGGTTTTTAATTCCTTTATCATTTGCTTTTCTCATATTCTGATGAAGAATTTGATGAATTTATTAAGAAAATCTTGAATTAGTAAATCAGTTTTGGGATTAAATATGTCAGAAAATAAATAGATGACAAGTAGATTGAAAAAGATTGTCTTGAGGAATTTATTTATCTAATAGAAGACCTTAGATAAGAAGGAAAGGAAATTAGGTTTGAGAAATTTAGGCAAACATTTGCTAATTGGTAAATTAATGAAAATGGAGATGGTTTCTTATATTGTTTATAGACTATATTTTTCAGAAATTTAAGTTATTAATATTTGGAGAAAAGTGAATTCAAAGATATAGTATTAGATAAAGAAAATTTATTAATATGGGAAGAAGAATGCAATACAAATGAAGTAATCATAAAACTATTGGCATAAGAATTAAAAATGTATTATAGTTTAAAGTTATAATTAGACATACTAAATTATTATTTCTCGATAATGAAGTAACGATAAGGGAGTATGAGGAAGAAAATAAAAACACAATAATATTGCTTATCAAGCCTGGGCATTACAATATAGGTTGGAATATCAGAGAGTAATGAATATAAATTTATATAATCATTATTGTAATTTTTTGGATATTGTTCTTTTGTTAATAAGAATAATGTCAATCTAAGATTTTTAAGATTATATTAATCTCTAATTTTAATTATCTATGCGATATTATATTAATCAAAAATATTAATAATTTTAGATTTATCATACTCATTATGGTACGGTATAATGCTCAGGGCCAAGGGTAACCTTCTTAGCATCCAATGTAAATTCAATATTTTATTGTAAGTTTGGTAAGACTAACAATGTTCTTATGATGGTATCAACTTCTTTTTCATTATAGGATTCCTATGATATCAAAATAAAATTATACCAACAATTTTTATCTATTAAATAAGGGAGAATGCTTGGTGATCACAATGCTAAATTTATGGTTATCAACATCAGTATCTTCTTTGCCTATTACTTGTAAGAATTAATGTTTTTAATCAGATGAGAATACTGGTTTCTTAATTTAATTTCTGATCCATGTAATTCCAGATTGAACTGCATTTGATAATTCAGATTCAGCTTCAAATTGATAGAAGATAAGGATTTTATCCTCCAATTATAAACCCAAGCTTCTTTCTTAACTTTTAAATTCTATTTGTGAATTCTCTTGCCAATCCAAGATTCTTCAGTTCTTGGGTCTATGAGGGATCTAAAATAATAGAGAATCCATCTTCAGTAGCAAACAATAACTACTTATGCTTTTCAGTGTTGAATTAATCAGTAATTTTGACATGCTTTAATAATAATTCGCAATCCAACTCTACTTCAATGTATTCCACATTCTTCTTACCCTTTTTAGCTTTAGGATCTGGTTATTATTGAACCTATTCTTCCACCTTCTTTTCTTTCTTGACTTTCACCTTGAGTTGTAATTTACCTTCAGATTTGAGTGTACGGATCTATTCTTAAGTGAAGTTACGAACTTATTAAATTAGATCAGGTCCAAATTTATCTTTCAATTCTTATCCACAAATTTTATTGTCAGGTTCAGCCTTAAGTTAAATGTATTAATCAATATTCTTTTCAACTAAGACAGAAGGTGTATTGATTTCTTCTTCAATATACTTAGATAAGAATTGAACACTTTAAAGTAATTATTCATCTGTTGCCAAGATTGTCAAACTATTGACTGGTTATTTTAGACTTAGTTTATGGGCTTCTCTTAATTTTCTAGCAGATTCAACAACTATTTGCATTTTTTCAACTTGAGATTCAATTTTAGGATCAATCAATTCCTTTCTGACCTCAGGGATTTATAAGAAATGGATTGATTCTTGATTGTTTTTGCCTTATGGGATACATTTCTTAAGATTTTGATAGAATGATTCTGTAATGAATGGCACGTATGGTGACATCAAAAGAGTGATTTTTAAGAGAACATCAAATAGAACATTTAAACTAACAACCCATTCTTGATTTCCTTAATCTCCCTTGATTCTACCTCTATTCAATCTAACATACCAGTTAGTCAATGTATCGAGATAACTAATCAATCTAGGAACAATAGTGTAAAGTCTATAGGCTTCCATTTCATTTCTAACAAATTCAACCAAGGTTTGACTGCTTGATACAATCCATTTATCCATAGTATTATCTCCTTTTGTAATGGCATTTTCATCAAATTCAAACTTGCCGAGAACACTTTCATATCTCTACAAGTTTTAGATCAAAAATCTATAAGCGTTGTACCAGGGCAAGAATACATTCTTAATAACTTCTTAAACGCCATCCTTGCTGAAATTCAATGATTGAGCCTTAACCAATCCACTATTAATGAGGTACAATCTCATAGCATCAGCTCCGAATTGATTAATAATTTCAATTTCAGGATCTGGATAGTTCTTTTTACTTTTTGACATCTTTTCACCTTTATCATTCAACACAATTCCATTGACAATCAAGTTCTTATAAGGAGTGTCATCACGTAAGGCTGTTGCAATAACATTCAATGTATAGAACCATCCTCTTGTTTAGTCTAATCCTTCAGCAATGAAATCGGCTGGGAAGATAGTTTCGAATAACTCTTTTCTTTCAAATGGATAATGTTATTAAGCAAAAGGCATAGATCCACTCTCAAACCAACAATCAAAGACTTCTTCAATTCTTCTCAATACACCCTTTCCTTATTTACTTGGAATTGTAATATGATCAATGTATTCTCTATGGAGATCTGTGATGTTTTTCAACTCCAGAAAGTTACCTCAATTCTTCAATAGATCCAATGCAAACTGATTCTTCAAAATCGTCACTGACCCAAATTGGAATAGGATTACCCCAGAATCTATTTCTACTGAAACACCAATCTTAGGCATCATCTAACCAATTGTTAAATCTTCCATCTTGAATTGATTATGGTACCCATCTAGCCTTCTTATTGTTAACAACAAGTTTATCCTTAATTGATGTAACCTTAATAAACCAACAGTTAACAGCTTTATAAATTAATGGGGTTTAAGATCTCCAACAATAAGGATAATTATGTTGAACTTATCCATCCTTAATCAATCTTCCATTAGTTTTAAGTAGCTTTCTAATTTCCTTATCTGCCTCCTTGACTTACATTCCTGAGAAGTCTTTGACTGACTCCAAGAATCTTCCACTAGAATCAATGGGTACCAAAGGATCGGATGGAACTATGATGCCAGCCTTTAAACATGCCTTGTAATCGTCATCACCAAAACCAGGAGCACAATGTACTATACCAGTACCATCATCACTAGTAACAAAATTGGCAGCCAAAACTCTATAGCATCCTTATTCTTTCCTTTCCAAAAAGTAATTGAATAATGGAACGTATTCAGTTCCAACTAAATCAGTACCTTTGAATTTCTCCACAACTTCATACAACTTGGCATCAGTATACAATTCAACAATTCTTGACTCTGCTAGGATGTAATGAGTATTAGATGCTTTATCTAGTAATTTCACATAAACTAAATCTGGGTGAACAGCTAAGGCTAAATTACTAGGCAATGTCCAAGGAGTTGTTGTCCAAGCAACGAATTTAGTCTTCTCATCTTTAACTAGTGGGAAAGTCACAACAATAGCAGGATCCCACACATTCTTATAATTCTATTAGGTCTCGAAGTTGCTGAGAACTGTGGAACATCCATTAGAATAAGGCATGACTTTGCATCCTCTATATACTAAGCCTTTCTCCCACATTTGTTTGAAGACCCACCAAACACTTTCCATAAAGGATGTATCCAATGTTTTGTAATCATTATCAAAATCGATCCATCTACCTGTTCTTCCTATTATTCTTCTCCATTCAGATGCATATCTCATGACTATTGATCTGCATTCATGGTTGTATTTATCAATACCCATCTAAACATATAATACTCATTTAAAACCTTTAAAATATCACCTCTGTGTTAAATTTTAAGAGTTTTATCAATTTCATGCTCAACTGGCAATCCGTGACAATCCCATCCGAATCTTCTTTCCACATATCTCCCATTCATTGCAAAATACCTGCACACTACGTCCTAAATTTTATTATGTAAATATACTTTAATTGTACCAGCACACATATGACCATAATGAGGTAACCCAGTAGCAAAGGGGGGTCCATCATAAAATGTAAATCGTGGACAATCCTTTGTCAATTCCAATTATTTATGAAAAGCATTGATCTATTCCCAATATTTTAGGATTCTGACTTCCTCTTCAGGGAAGTTGGGTCTTTCGACAACTAACAATTAAATCTAAGTTGTTACCATTAGTGAAATCTGTTTTCTAAGCCATACTCAAAAATGTTAAGAATTTTTAGATTTTAAATTAAATCCTTTAAATCATGAAAAAGATAGTATTTGTGTGACCAATTTATATTAATACTCATAATTCCACATCATATAGTCCATCATTAAAGTTTTCAATTGAATAGAATCGACATGTCATTATTCGACCTCCAAACACACGTTAATCTGCTGCCAAAAACGCTGCCATTGCTTCCTCATTACTATTATTACTCCCCATATTTCTTACTTTGCATATTCGATAAACACTCGCACTTGCATGTCCTCCTCCAATTCAGCTTTTATATGAACATGAATTTTCTTGATGTACCCATACTTCCCTAACTCCGCCTTTATATCATCCTTAAAATATTCATCAACGTCCTTTGCTGTTATAGCATTCAACAACACTAATATGTTTGTGGGCTATCTATCAATGAATATTCCTATACTATTTATGCTGTTCGAAGGTTTTTCTAAACACTACATTTTATGGAAGTAAGTCTGTAAAATCCAACGAACTGACTTCAATCACTCCAACACTATTCGAAGTCTTTATCACTTCTATTGGATTCTGAATCCCCTAATTGTATTTCCCCAATCCTAAACCAAATTTATATCCGAATTTCTCCATCATTTTCAAAGCCTTCTCCTCTCCAGATCCCAATTCCACCTCGTCATAAGAGGGCTCTGTCTCCTCTTCTATTTATTATGGCTACGGCTGTTCATTTTATGTCTCCGATTGATTCATCTACCTTTTCAATTCCTCATAATCATTCGGTCTGCTTGGATCATACTCTTGAGGCTTATTCACTATTGGAGTCAACTTTGTTGAGTTCTTGCAAACACGAAGAATGCTGCTCAACTTATTATTTAAATGAGATAAGTCCTATTATTGACTCAATATTTTACTTTACTAGCTGGTAGCTGCTATGGTTATTATTATTATTATTAGACTTATTGAGCCTGTGATTATTAAACTTGATTTGCTGCATTACTCTATTGCGAAGGAGCTGTCTCTACAGTTTATGTAGGTTCCACTTCTTGTTATATTTCTGCAAAGAAATTTTGCATAGCTGCATTGATCTAAGCATTCTCAACAGGTTAAGGTCTAAATTTTGGAACTGGAGGAGGCACTCTTCTCCTTTAGGGTTCCTTACCTTCCATTTCGTTCATTTTATATATTAGAACAAATATATATATTGAATTAAAAGCAAAAATTGATATATGTAAAGAAGTATTGGCTGAATAGAAGAATAATGAAGAAGCAGAATATTGAGAATACTTTCAAATTAATAATCCTAAATCAAATCCATCATCAGTGGATTAACTAATTTCAACATAGTTTTTACAGATATTTATTAAAAATAATACTCAATAGTACTTTTAATTTAATGATATTCCAATCAATGTAATAATTAACTTTACATTTATAACAATTTTAACCTCAAACATGAATAGTATTGTAAACATTTGAATAAGATAGTAGTTTCAATTTAAATTCTAATTAAAAATAACTAAGATAAGTATTGTAGTATTTTAAAGAGGATAAAATATTTATAGATGTTTTAAATGAGTTATATGTTTAAATAGAAGCATAATTTAATAATTAATATTATTTCAAAATTTCAACTTGATTTCTTTTTCTTTTTATTTTTATTTCCAATTTTTTCTCTAAGTTGTTTATCCTTTCTTTAATCAACTTCCATTTCCTCTTTGACATCTTAACCCTTCGAAACATCTTTCATTTTCATATATAACAAGTCCAATCGATAAAGACAATCAGATGGTAATGGACTTGATTCCAACTCGAGAATATAAGGTCTAAAGAAGTGATAATATAAATATCTACCTATGAACTTCAATATCCCAGTATGTAGCATTGTCAAATTGTAAAAATGAAGTCCACCTACCTTTAATATTTATATTATAAGTATCTAAAATTTCTTAAGGTAAAATTTTTAATTTAATTCCTGAATTAGTTTTGTGAGCTTTTAAACACTTTTAAATGCAATCTGGAGTGACTTTACATATCTTCCCAATAAACTAGTCTATCTTTTGCGATGAGGAACTGAAAAACCCAGCATTTTTATCCTTGGGATTGAAAGTGATTTCAACTAATAACTAATGGTCAGGTTAGAAACAATAACTTCTTTTATGACAATTGACACTTCTTTATCCCAGCAACACTCCATAGAGCATAAATGGTTAGGCCATATAATAAAATTTAAGATTAGTATTCTAGAATTGTATTTGTGAATGGCCTTGTTGTTCACCAGCCAAACTGTTAGTTCCCATATTTACAATGGGACAGAATGCCCCAAACAGTTTATAGCCTCTTCCATACATGATATAATTAGAAATAGGAGGATGATGAGAAGTTTACTCTAGGTATATAGGACATCCTTTAATTCTACCCTCAAAAGTTTCTCCGATAATTGGATTAAATGGCTTTTCTTATTGAACTCCCATCATGAAACTTGCGATGTGAAATGAGACTGTGAGCTTTAATTATTCAAAAACATCTGTAGTTTAGGCAGCCTTTTCAAGAAAAACAGGTGCATGTCCTTGACCTCTGGCCATTCTCTCCAAAAAAGATCTAGCTTCGAACACTTAAATTGGTAAGGATACAGACATCAAGGATTTTCCACTTAGCAAATTTGATCCCATTCTTTTGATAATATCCAGTAAGACACTTCTTTAATCACTAATCAATTTCTTATTTGTGTATATCAGCCCTCCTTTTTTTGGATCTACCTCGTAATACTTAGTCAGTAAGAAATGACCATCTTCTTTGGTTGTTTCCAAAAACTTCTCCAAACCAGGTAATATGTTTTGATTAAATTTCCTTTAGATGGATCTCTAAATAAATTATCCTGTCTAAACCAAATCTAAAATTTCTTTATACTCTTGGAGTGATTATTATTGATGCTATTCAGAAGTAATTCTTTATACTTCAGGCACTAATTGAATAAACGAAATCTACAAATTATCAATGTCGTCATCTTCATTCTTAATTAACACATGTTCTGTTTACTATTTGATATAATGATCTGCTTCTATTATTTGATTATCAATATTTTCGAAATTAAGTAGAAACCTTTTCATAACTTCTTCTCCTTTTTCTCTGTTTTCACAATCTAAATATATGTCTTCAATAATTTGAGCCTTAAACCTATCCTCTTGTTTAGCCTAGATAAGAACACAGGATCTAGTAATCTTGAATTCATCAGAGCCTTCAGCTTTATCCTTATCAATCTGATTGTGATGTATTTCATTCCCGATATATTTTTTCAAAATACAATAAGCATTTTCATCAATTTAAAAATGCTTTTAGGTGTATATCAATCTGATCTTGTCATTCTAAATGGGTGCATGTGATTTTGGCTATTTTGAAAAACTCTCCTGTGAAAAGAATTCATGCTCTAAGTCCTTTTAACTTTATGGCTTAGTTTATTTAAATTAATTGTTCAAATACTTATGTCCCATATCGAATTCTGCATAAATTATGGCACAGTCTTTTTTAGTTGGAAATATTTAATATATTGATACTTAAGGGTTCAAATTGTCTACAAATGTGTGCATCGACAATTCCTATAATAGATCTAAAAATGGTTACATCAAAAATCCTTGCTGGAGGTATTTCTGATTTTAAAAAGAATCTCATATGCAATTAATCTTTTGGGTCTTAGTAGAGTTATTTGGTTTAAGATTAATATAAGACTTTAAATGAATGGATATCCGAAAATCCTTGCAAATTCTCGAGAGTGTTTTCTAATATAATCTCTATGTCGTTCTTGTTGTTATAACAGTATTTACTTATAAAAATTGAGGCAATAATGGAATCATCTATCTCACCCGAGATACCTAGCTTGGTTTAATAGCCATAGAAGGAACCCCTTGATTTATGACTCTTTCTGATTCAGGCATAAATTAATCCCATTCTTAGAGAGTTTTCTCCTTTTTTTCCTTTGTTATTTGCATTGCCAAATATTTCCCATTCAAGAAATCGTACCATTATAATGCCTCCGATTGGTTATTCCAACCAAATCTAACCAACTTTGGTTCAATTTCTTATTGAGTTTTTAATTTTATTGCCCATTTTCCTTGATGAAATGCAACAGGATGGATAACATAATTTTGAATTTACAGCTACTTTTATGTTTAACCCTTGACGTCAATATACCTGAGTATCTCTCTATATATCATGGCCTTACCTATTATTTCAAATCATATATTAAAAGCCTTTCTCCCCATCCTTTCAATACACCACTCTCTTTAAATGCACTACAACTCATTAATGCATTCTTATTATTATCGAGCATTCTGATAATTAAATTTATAATAAATAACAAAATATAATTCAATTCAATTAAACATCTTAACAAATGAATTCCCAACACATCATAATTGACTTTATGAAATGCCATGCAATAAATTAAAATTTACTGAACTTTTTGATTTAATCAATAATCTTATTTCAGGTCATTGTTAAATTACTTCAAAATTTATACTGGAAGGAGTGTAATTTATTCAAAAAAAATAAGATTTGATTTCTTTTGTAATGCTTAAACAAATTAATTTATTCACTATCAATTTATTTAAGATTGTTTAATATACTTATTCAAATAGAGTATAAGATAAATTTAATATTGGATTTAAATATAAATCAAATTATTGATAATCATTTTTTAGTATATGTGACATAATGTCAGAGTCAAAGAATTAAGATTTTAAACATATACAAAGCACTGATTCTCAGGACTATTCAAAACTACACTATCAAAAATCTCTTCATTTATTTTGGAATTTTCATATAATCATATTTATTTTTAATCCAAAACATTTATACTCTATTTTGTTTTAAATTTTATTAAAATTCTCTTATACAATTTCGAATTCAGTCATCAATTAAGTTTGAATTTCATTTTATATCTTATTCTAAATTTTAACTAAGTTTTATGGATTGACTTAAAACTGATTTATTTGAAAGCACAGATACTTTGATTTCTTGATAATTGATAATTTTCCAATTAATGTGTTATCTAATGTTTATTAAGTATTCATAATAGATTAAAATTATTCCTTAACTTTCATAGTGATTATTTAATTATTAATAAATATAACATAAGCAAAATAAATTGGTGTTATTAATTAGTATTATACTTATCTAAGGGAGACAAAAAAATCAAAAAACACTAAAATTTATTTAACACTATAAATCCAATAATTATATAGTTCTTAAAATGTGTTATAGCTTAAACATAAAAAATGAAAGTTTGGAAACATCAAGAATTAGTATATGGGATTTAAAATAAAAAGAAAATTACAATAATTTAAAAATTAGCTTACGTAAATTATGAATAAAAAGTAAGGATCATATGCTAGTGTACTTAAAGAGAAGATAAAGCTTATGGATATTTTTGGTTAATCCATATAATTAAGCTTTAGATAGGAAGAACAACATACTACTTTTGTTGGAGGAGTAGCTTCAATATTGGTATTGGCAACAATTATCAGTTTTTTCTACTCGAACATTATAGGATTTTTTACAATGAATTAAGTGAAATCCTCGACAGAAATGATTTTTGAAGATGATCCTGGAATGATCTAACTAAATTCTAACTCCTTTATGTTTGCTATTTAAATTGAGCATGACAATTTCGTTGACACTCCCTATTTTAACATCACCGTGGAATAGAGACACTATAAAAATCAAAATGGCACTCTTACCAAACTACCTAATGAATATATAGATTTAGTAATTTGCACCCAAGAGCACTTTTAATAAATATTCTAGTCTTCCAACATAGATAATGCAGAGTAATTCAAAGATTTGAACATGACGAACTTCCTGTGTCCCAATATTGAAAAAAGAAATGTTTGGACAGTAGGCGGTGCATATACAAGTAATAGTTATAATTAAATTAGGTTCTGATTATTATTTCTTAAAGTTTTCAGTTACTAATTGTGTAAATGATACGTAAAGTAATTTCACATGGAAGCCGAAATGCAGAACTTAGGATGAAATGTTCACATAGTTGAAAGCTTAGGGTTCTTTTAGATTTCAATTATTCACTACAAATTTTGTATTTCAATAAAACTTATTGAAAGATTGTAAATCCAGATTCCCCATATGAGTATATCTCACCTTACTTGGCAATTGAACAATTTTACACATTTGTACCAAATCAAATGTTTGTTTAATCTGATATCTTTGTTAGGGAGAAAAGAATCAACACAGATAAAGGTATTTTAATGTACCCCATGAACCTCGAAGAAACTGTAGCCTATAGAGAACACATGGATAGCAGATAATAATTTGAAATCGGAGGACTTAATAGTAATTATTATGCTGCTTTCTACTTGTAAAGAAGTCCTTTTAGCTATAATATTTCTAGAAGTTTTGTAACTCTGGATGAATTATTAAGTTATTTGGGAGGGTTCTCATAATTTATGACCGTCATTTTAGGAATGATAATAAACGCTTACAATAAACAGAGTCTCTTGTTGTAGTTGGCAAATGATTTATATGAGTTTAATTTCTCAGAACAACAAGAAAATACTAGAGCTTTCATTTCAAATTTGTTATAGTAGTCAAGACACGGAAGAGAAATGATTAAATAGAAAGGTCAAACAAAAGAATTAAAGATCCAATCGATCAATCCTTTTAAGTCTAAACCTTAAATGGATTAAAAAATCTCCCAAGTGATTTCACCTTAACAAACTCAGAATTAGTTTATATAAATTTCATCAACAAGGTAGCTTTAAAGCATGAAAGAGAAAACTTATGATCAATATGAAAAGTTCAAATCATTCATGATAAATTAAAAGAAATTAACTTTAGGGTTAAGGATATTGTTAGGGGATCTGTTGCCATTTGATTGTTTATAGGACCCAGAGAGTGTTCTATTTAAAAAGGCTATGTAGTTTTCATCTTTTTATTTGTTAGGAATCAAGTTAGCAAAGAGTTAGATATACGATATATCATGAATTAATTACACGAAATTACAAAGCTAAAAAAAGTGATGTTCAGCAGAGAATAATTTTAACTCTTTAATTTTAGCCATAAACCAACAATAAGTTTAGTAAAAGAAAAGAAAAATAGATTATCATCAAAGTATTAATTTGTAGAATCTCTTTAGATTATTATATTTGGGTGAAGAGGAAGCAGTTAATAATGAATTGCAAATTTAATATAACACATTAGTATAAGCATATTCCAAATTAACGTCTTGTGATACAGCATTCACAGATGACCAGATCTAGTTAAACTAAAGAATCATCGGACTTTTGGGAAGGGATTTACCTCTATGGATAGAAATGGAATTGTAGTAAGAAAATTCAGAATCCATAAAGGAGCCTGAACCAGATGATTTAGATGAATTATCAAAAACTTGAAATAATGATATTTTTCATATATCATATCAAATATACTGTATCTTAAAATCTTCCACTGCCTAAGCTCTATCAATAAAAATCTAAAAAAAAATATATATTACATTGATTCCTTGGCCTTTTTCGACTAGAATATCATTATTCTTAATTAAAATATAAGTAAGAGAAATTTTTTATATTGTTTTTTAATCACTCAAAAAAGGATAAGAAATACTTTGTAATCTTCATTTTCTTTTCATATAAGTCGATAATTATCTCTTATTATTAATAATTGTATTTTTGAGGATTCTCAAAAATGAAATATAATAATAATTAAAATAATAGAGTTTGAAGAAAACAATTAATTTAAGAAATGTTTTCCTTTTAAAAGAGGATTTATTTACATAAATCATAACAAAAATAAATATCTTTCAATGTAACACCTAAATTTCTCTTTCACTAAATAAGTCCTCGTCTTTTGGATCATTGTTTACAGACTCTATTTATTATTATTGCTGTTAAGCACTTAATTCTTTTTCTAATACTCTCATTAAATCAGGGCCTAGTAAAAGAATTAATCTTTAATTAAATCTAATTTATTCTTAGGTTTAATGTTCTTATTCTTATCCAGTCACTTTGTCATAAGAATTCACAAGATCTATGAATTGCTTCATCATTCCACAATCTTCTGCTGTTGTTATGCCATCAATTATGCATCTACATCAAATTAAAATCTTACCTCGTCGACCTTCTCTTATTACTCTCTTAGATTAATGCTATTTTTGGTTTTCGAGTAAAATTAAAAAGGGTAATTTATTCAGAGGTAAATAAAATTTATTTTAATTTTGTCAATTCATGAAGTTTTTTGATAATGTACTCAATGTCTAACTCTTTATTAACTTAGTCACTTAAAGTATAAATAATCTATATACATAGCTCTTTGCAGAACCAGACAATCATCATCTTTTAAAGATTCGATAGGAATTATAGAAGTTAAAATAACTCTAAGATTTAGTCCAATAACATGTTTCCTTTTTAAAAATTCTTTGAAATCATCAAAATATTATAACGTTTTCGCTTTCATTGCAGACAGCCTGGATTACAACACTTATTAGGTAGGTTATTATAATTCAATAGACATTTTTTTATCAAAAATTTGTGATTTCTACTTTTTCAAAGGAGTAGAGGTTTACAGCATTTCAGGTTTATTTTGAAAGGGTGTTAAAGTTTAAATTTTAGGAATAGTCTCGATTTTTTTAGACATTTTGCTCTTGAGTATCTCCCTACCTCTCTCAGTTCTTGCTAATAAGCTATTCAAATGGATTTGAGTATTTTATCGACGTGAACTCATATCAAATTCATATAAATCATTAGCTATAGAAATAACCAAATGTTGTCGATTGTAGAATCTAACAACTACTCCCACGACAACGATCATAAATTATGTGAATCCTCCTAAATAACTGAGTAGTTCATCAAGTCTTAAGAATTTTCTATTAATGTGATATGAATAGGGACTTCTTTGAAAATAAAATGCTCCATAATAATTGGGTGTTATTCTAGAAATTTCAAATTATTCCCTTTAATCTCCATAATCCCTAAAAGCAAAGGTTTGATTTTATTTCTAAGGATACATTAATATTCCCTGATCTGTTGTTACTTTCTTAGTTCTGAAAAATATGTCTGATTAGACAAACATTTTATCTGGCACAAAAGTATAGAACTGATCAACTGCTAAATAGGGTTACACGTAATCCTAGGGTCTATTTGGGTTTATAAGCTATTTTATTATTGATATAAGTTACAAAATTTGTAGTATAAACTTAAAAACGAAAGCTTCCTTATTTATTTAAAGTACTCAAGATTTCATCTGAAGTCTTACAATTAGGTTTCCAAGTAAAATTGCTTGATGAGGAATCTTTGCAATTAGTAACAGAAAACTTCAAAAAGTAATAATCAGTGCTTGCCCAAACACCACCGACAGTCATATTAAGACTATGAATGAAGTTAAGATTAGGGCATAAGAAATTTTTTAAATTTTATTGTTCAAACTATTATCCAAAATCCACACTGTACATTTCGAACAAGGGTTAAAAATGTTGAAGAGTACATGGTACTAAATCAATAAATTAATTTGGGTAACGATATTATGTCCCATTTGGAAAACGATAATAGTGACGCTATTCAACGGTGATATTAAAGTAAGGGTTCGTTGTAAAATTGTCTTATTCTATCTGAACTGCAAACATGAAGTGTCCTTTGTCTAAGATCAATGCATCAGGATCATCCGCAAAAGTAAATTCTTGAGTAGAAGTAACATTTAATTTTGCGAAAAAATTAATTATGTTTGAATAGAAGAAACTGATTATTGTTCCGATTATACATATTGATAAGAACCCACCCATACTTGTTTTGTATTATTCTTCCTTACGGAAACTTAAATTGATGGATTAGCCGAAAATATCTATTTATTTCAATCCTTCTTTAAATTTCTAAAGCATTTTATTTATAATTATTTTTGAAGATTGTAAATAAATTACACCATCAAATAGTGCTTGCGTCATGTTATAATCTGTCATAAGAATATTAAATTTGAAATGCAGTAATACCATATATATTTCATTTCATAAATGTAAAAAACCTATATTCAATATTAATATTTAATATATGATAATTAATAATAATTTGATATTATTTATTTATAGAAATTTAGAATTTTTTAAATTATTTGATCTGCTCTAGTAGTTCGTTTATTTTCACATCTCTTACTTCGAACAAATCTATTTAAGAATATTTTTAGCTAAACTTGTATTATCCTTTAGATTTTAATTTAAGTAAACCATCAATATTTAATTGAAACTTCTTACTCTAATTTTACTTCATTTTGAAACCATTTTTACTGAGATTAAGAAAATTTCTTAGCTCTCCTTATTTTATTATATATATTTTGGATAAAAAACATTCAATTTTCATTCATTATTTAGTTTTAATATGTCCTATAATTTTCTTAATATCTTTTAAATCTAAATAATATTAAGGTCTTATTATGATAAAAACTCAATTATTTTCTTTCAGTTCACTTTATAAGCTAAATTACAGTCCAAACATATTATATTATGAACTAAATTATCTATTCAACCATTCTTCGAAAATTAATCTCCTATAAAGAAATTTATCCAATATCAGTACATTTTTTGATATATTTAGGTATTAAGAGAATCTTCTAATTAATGGAATAATTTTTAATTATATTTATGTTAAAAATAATAATAATTTTTTTATTAAATTTGAAAAAAGTGATCGTTTTTTAATGTTTAATATTGTAATATTAATCAAGAAAATATTAATTTAAAAAATGAATACACATTGAAAAATTGATTTAGCATTTATTTGAAGATGATGCAAAATAAAAATTATTTAAGACCTTAGGATTTAATACTTAGCTTAAAATAATTAAGGAAGTATCCACAAATATATCTTCGCTATTAGGTGGTTTAAATGAACTTAAGATTGATATTTCAAGAACAAGGAAATGAGTTCTATTGATAATATTAGAAAAAATGGATTTCTGAATTCATGTCATTGTAAACAAGATATTTCCTATATGGTAATTGTAAACTTGATTGACTTTTTGTCCTATTTCAGATGTCATCATAATATATTTACATCAATTTTTTATATTTCTCTTCAAATATAAAAAGACCAATTTCAATTAGACGCTTGACTCTTATTCTACTCTATTGTACAAAACAATTCAATAATAAACATATTATAAGTATTTAAGTTAATTTTCTTCTTGTTAAAGAACTTTTTTTTATTTCCATTTTCTTGGCTATTTTTTAGTTAATAGTTACAATTTTAAACTATTCTGGGATGAATTTAAGGAAATAATAAGCTATTTCTGAGGATATGTTAAATCTCGAATCTTCTTTAAGAGAATGGTTTATAAAATAAATAATAAAAATAATAAATTATCACTATTTTCTAATCTAAATCTCAATCTGAGAATGTTGATAAGAATCAAATTAATTCTTTCTTCTAAATCAACAAAAACTGCCAAAATATAAATTTTCTACTTTTTTTTTTGTTTAATAATAATATTAAATTACTCTATCATCACTATATTCTTCTTAAATTTCAATCAAATTCAACAAGCAATATTTAATATACTGTATGCTAGCCTTTTGCTTCCCATAGAATATTTTCAGTATTTCTTTAACAATTCACTCTAAAAGGAAAAAGAGATTTTTGAAAATTTTGATGAATAGATTTTAGATTAGAGTAATATAAGTTAATTTTAATCTTTAATATAAAGGTTTTAATATTTTATAATTACAAAAATAATTCAATTTATTTTATAATCTTTAAATTTTTCCTTCTTTTGGGGAATCCTTATTAATTCACTTTATTCGTTTTCCTTTTTATTTCATGTGCTATTCAAGTTGACTAAAATCATTACAGTGTAGGAAATTCTTGAAATTTCAATATTTCTAGCCAATTTTATATATCTAATTAATGATCCTCGAGGATTGATGATAAAAAGATATGACAATATCTAAGATAAAATGGTTTTTATTTCGATAGCGCTTCCTATATAGATATCATATTTAGTTATAATTTTGAAAAACATGAAATGCTATGATTCTGTGGAATAACTATATTCTAGATGAATTAGTTGCCAATAAAGAAAAATAAAACGAGAAATTATTGAAAGAAAAGGAAAGTTCTTTTTATCTTTAAACATATTTTCAAAGAATAGTTCATATATTATTCATATAAAATGACTTTTTCTATTAATCCCTTCATTTTTTCATAATTTTTTTTGCTAATTCCCTCTTAAAATACAAAAGAGATTCTTGAGTCATTTTTTAATGAAATATCCTAATTTTTTTTCTTGGAATTTCTTGCTTCCTCAAAGTCTCAGTTTCTAAGTTCAATTTATCTAAGTCTTTCATCAATTTTATTAATTCAAGAATAACATTCCTATTAATAAATTTCTAAATCTTTCTAGAACAAATTTTTGGAAAAATCCCGCAAATTCTTTTAATATTTATTATTAAATGTAATATTTTATCAGCATGCATGCTGTATTTAATAAGCCTTTTATATAAACTATTGGCTTGTTGTAGCAACAATAGCTTCAGGTCTACAAATCCATCTAAATCAATTATTATTTCATTATCAATTGGAATTTTAGCAATCCAATAGGGAATTAAAATTCAAGAGCTCATATCATTCTTTGTCATATCAAACATGCAAATATGGAAAATAAAAAGTCTTGTAAATCAGCATATGCTTAATTATTATTAGAAATCTGCTCTGAATTCTCTTAAACTACAACCTTAGGCTTTACAAATTTATTTCAAATAATAAAACAACTCAATAATTAATTACCTAAAGAAATATCATACTGGAAATATATAATAACACACAATTTATCCTTTATTTATATAAACAACCATTCAATTCGTAAAATATAGGTGAATTCATAATTGAAATGATAAATGGCATTTATTTAGTATTATAGTTTGCACTTGAGGCATTGTTTTGAAATTTAAGCATAGCAGTAAGCAGATATTTAATTAAATATAAATTATATTTTATAATTAAATGTTTGAAAAATACACCAACTTATAAATTATTAATGTTAGATACTAATACCAATTGCTTTGAATCAATAACATTTTTATAATGTAATTGATCTTTTTATACTAAATCCCCTTATTTGAATTTGTAAATTATTTTTAATTCTTTTAAAAGGAACTTCAAGAAAATAAAGTGAAATCAAATAAAGAGGGTTCCAAGTTAATGTAAGAGTAATTTTTAGAATTATTCCTATATATTTTGTCAACTATTTTATTAGTGAAAAAACATAGTTTTACTGATCATAAATCTAATTTGCTAAAAATGTCTATAAATGTTTGTTTCACTTACAAATATACATTTATTACAATAAGTAAGAAAGGAGAACAATAAAATGAATTTTTTTTAATGAATAAAATAGGAAAATCAAGTTTTATTCTTCAATTTTTCATTTTCTTTATTATTTTCTTAGCCAGGTTTTGTTTGAATCTCAAAAGATTTTTTAAACCTTCTTCGTCCTTTTGGTAAATTATGGCTTAAAATTTGGATTGTTATGGAAAAATTTGTTGTTTAGTAATCAAAACTGTCTTTGATAATTCATTTAAGCCTTCAAAAAGTAGATTTTAGTTTGAATTTTGTGTATGATTTTAGGTCTCATTTTCTTGTTTCATATTTTTTAAGTTAAGTTTGCAGATAGGAAGTGTGAAGGAATATTTTTTATTAAAAATAATGTACCATAATATATATATTCTTCCTTTATTTATGCAATTTAGAATTAAACTTTGATACTGTTAAAAAGTGTGATAATGTAAAAAATATATCTATTTGGTAAGATGTGTCTTACAAGGAAAATTAAATGTAGAAACGAGCTTTTTCAATTATAAATTTTGGAATCCAATCAGGAAAAAAAACAGATTTTATATAATGTTAAGAACTAAATTCAAATTTAGGATTATAATCATTTAAAAGCGAATAAGTAATAGTGAACAAAAATTTTATCAACACAAAAAAAAACTCAATCTTTTGTACACAATAGCTTCATTGTGGTTCAATTCCTAATGGAATTATCACCCACATCTTAAAGTATCCTCTAAGCAAGCTGTGTTTTATAACATCTCAATTTTTGGGCATCTGAGAATGATATTAATTATGTTGCTACTTTTCTCTTGAAAATTTTGCTACTTAAACTATGAGTCATTTTTTGTGTTTTCTCGCAGTTTTCTTTCATTAAAAAAAAATAATTTTTTTATTAACTCAGCCCAATTTCAAAATGACTTAAATATAATCTGTCAAATTTTGAATTTAATAAAGGGTGGGTACTTCAAATTTTGATAATAACAATTATGTTATATATATAATAATGAATAATAAAAAGTATCTATCAGATCAACTTAATCAGATGTAATTTAGGTTAGATATTGATGTCTAAACATTGATTTCAAATAGAAAATAATAAGCACAAATGTTCTTAAAGCTTTCTAATTTCCCAGAAATTCATAAGAATTCCTGTTTTAAAAATTTCATTCTCAATTTTTGCAAAGTTTAAATCATACACTTATGAATTCAAGTATTCTAAAATTTACAAAGTACAAATCTGAACATTGATAGATATTTATTTGAACAATATTGTATTAGAGAAGGATTTATTTAAGACTTAAATTAGTAAGAAATTATTCTAACAACCTAGATAGGTTATAAATCTCTAATAAACAACGAGGTAATCGAATTTAAAAAAAAAATGTAGTCTAATTTCTTTTATAATATTCCTCTTGAAGTACAATTTGTAATCAAATAAATAAATATGTTAAAATTTTAAAAGCTAAAGGTCAGCAATTCAACTAATTCGTAATTGCTTGATTATGAGTGAATTTATATAAAAAAAACATATTTTATCCACTTAAATTAAATATATGATTTGAATCATTTTCATTTTTCCAAAATTTTTAAAATTATTTAATTGATATTAAATAACAAAGTAAATCATGGTGTATTTTAGAATCTAAAAAAAGCACAAAATTAATAATAGTAATTGTTACATAAGTATTTTCTCATGTATTTTTGTTTAAATAATATATAAAGACCCAGATATTATAGTTATCATTAGATGAAAGTCAATAGAGAGCTTTTTTTAGTAACAGAAATGAGATAAAAAAGGAACTAATTACAAAACATATATAAAATGGTATGTATCACAAGGTCGTGGATTCTTATGCTTTAACTAATTTAAAAAGTTTTGACACTTCACCTACTTTGGAGAACTCAATACAAAAGGCTTATAACTAAATTAAATGATTTCTTACGTTGGTTAACACATCCTTTGTGGCAAATGCTTTTTATTTGAGCATATGCTAAATAAATATTGAAACATATCTAACAAGCTTGTTTTGCTACTATTTTTCCTTTATATAATTATTTTTGAAAATACCTTAATATTATTGCAATACTCAATACAGTAATTGATATATTGTGTGATATACTCCAATGGCAATTTAAGTTCTCCAAAAAGTTATGCAAATAATTCTAATGAGTTTTGAGTTACATCACTTTGAATGAAAACATCTAAGTATCTAGAGGATAATATAAGATCTATGTACTCTTCGAATCCATCAAAGTGACAGATGGATATCAATAAAAAGTGTGCAATCTCCTTATTTTTTTCTATAATTTATGGTAATCTTTGACAAGTGAATCCGCAATTCTTAAGCAAGTCTTTTTCATTTTGTAAATAATTGAATAAAATCTAGAATCATCAAAGAGAGCGAGTACTTTTTATTCTTCATCACTTATTTCTGTTGTACAAGTATTCTGTATTATTTCTCTGACTTGACTCACTTTATCATGATTAACTTCTAGAGAATAATTCCACTAAACATTATTTATTGCCATGTTATCATCCCACTAAAAGTCAGAGTTAAAGATGATAGGAATGGGTCTCAAATAATCAGTTTGGTAAGATGTTAAATCAAAACACGGCGATGTAATTTTGTCCATTCAAGTATATATGAATTAATTAAAAATATTCATATTGGAATAAATTATTGCTGAACAGTTTGATTAGAAATTATATTAAAATTGGTAAATTTGAATAGTAATACAGTATTGATTGGATTTACCATTTTAATTCTAACTCTAATAATTTATCTAAATTCTAATATTTATATACTAGATAGCACTGGGGAAGATTATTATTAATATTCATATTGATAAATTACATAATATTATTTTAATCATAGTTCAATATTCATAATCATCAAATTCTTCATCATAAAATTCCTCAATAAACTGAGAAACATCATCATAGATAGCATCATTTTGCTGTAATTTCTCTAATTTTTTTGGTATGTTTTTGAGCTAAAATTTGTAATAAATATCGTATTATGAATCTGTAGAAATGAAACGTTTCATAGTTTAGTAGAGAGCTAAGAATGATAATTAGTAGAATACTTTGAACAGCAATTAAAATAATTTCGTTATCATGATCGTCAAGACCTAATGTTAAATAATCTAAAATTCCATTATCAATCAGATTTTATAGTTATTAATTTGTGCAAACAACGAGAAAATTACGAAAAGCCTGAAACAATTCTATTCTTACATCAAAAACATCATTTTCTAATAAATCAAAAACTAATTGAAGCAATTTTAAATTCGATATTACTTTGTCTAGAAGTAAATGGGATGAAGCCATCAAATTATTAAAAATCATGCTTCCAAATATTCTACTGTAGGTAAAAATAGAATTCTTTAATAATTTATACACAACATCAGTAATTCCTAGATCCAATAATTTGGCACATTCATGGAAATCTGATGTATAAGATAAATTAACTAAAATGGTCATTGAAATTTTTTAGATATTTTTCTCATTGATATAAACAAAATCTATGATTGCACTTATTGCACTCATAGATAGTATGTATTGGATGTTCTATTTGTTTCTGCTAGCATTTTCAAATATATTTAAACCCTTTTCTCTTACTATTTAATATAATATAAATAATAATTACAATTAGAATCGCAAGTATCAATTAATCTTGAAGCCAAAGTCAAGATGGTTATTACTTGATTATCATTTTCAATATTTTTAGTAATAGTTGCTAATAATTTTAATGCTTATTCATTAAATGAATCCATTTAGAGTGATGCCAAAATATTTTAAACTTAATCATATTGGTCAATCTAAGGCTGTTATAGAGTTAAATTTCTATAACAATTAGCTGCTTTAATTGCAATATTTATATGTTGAGTATTTAAAGATCCTTATTCCAATGAACCAACTAAGGACTTAATAACGCTGAGTTGTTCTGACAATTCGAACCTTAAAGAAGTATCAGTGACGGTTATTTGATCTATTTCATCCAATATTACATTGATTGTTTAATATTCATAATCCTGTAATTCTTCAGATCTCATCATTTTATTGACTATTTCTGTTAATTTTTCGACTGGGTTTGATTACTTGGGAGTGTTGACTAAGCGTTTCAATCGAAATACAGATTCCAGGTTCTTCTTTCTAAGTTCTTAGTGAAAATTCTCTCTCATTTCTTTCAACCTATTCGAACTCATTTTGGAGGAAAAATATATTATAGAGTTCCTAATATAATTTGTAATAAAAATAAATTAATCGAAATAAACTCAAATTTTGATTTCTTATTTTTTAATTCTAAATTTCTTATTATGAAGAAATAAAGATCAAGAAAGAGTTTTTCATTAAATGATTCCATTGATGAGGATAGAAGAAAGGAAGAGATAATTCAAAAGCTGCTGGAAAGTAGCACAAATCTATAGCCTAAGAAATTGGCTACGATCAAATTCGATTTGGAAGAAAACGAAATGCCAGTTGTAGAATAACAACCAGAAAATGTAAAATAGAAGAATTAATTTACTATTGAATATTTGACTCCATCTGTTGTCAAAAATAACTTGGATATGGTTAAAGAAAACCTTCACATCGTTATTGAAGAAAGAATGGAAGATTCAAAATTTCTCAACTGGTCCACATTGATCATAGAATTCATCAAGGTACTCGCATTTTTCAATGTTCTCTTTCAATAAACATGTTCAGGCTCCTTTAGTGCATGGTTTTATATGATGTTTGCACATGATGTAAATTGAATTTCTTTTATGAGATCATAGAAATAGGAATGACCATCAAAGTTGTTAACGTAGTATCATCTAAATATGAAAGCAGACTTTCAAAGAAGAGACCTACACTAATAAAAAGAGAGTCGAAATATCCGATGGCTGGAAGACACTCTTACTATGGGTAATTAATAAAAGAAATTGAAAAATGGGAAAATACAGTGGCAATCCAAAATGATCCATAACCTACAAGGGTTATTTAATATGTTAAATTGCATTAATACAATGAATTGTATAATATTCTACAATTATTTAGTTTCTATCTATTCCTCATTCTTTGGGGCTTGTTACTATTGGGGACTCAATGCTAATCCGATATTGTATTAGGTACTTTTCATGGATTCGTCCTATTGGGAATAATAACCTTGTCTCTAAAGCTCCTCTATTACCTATCCTTCAAATTTTGTATTAGTGCGGTTGTGATGAATTACTTGATGCTGGCTGATAAAAATTTATCGAATAATGTAATGATCTTTATACTAATCAAGGAAGTAATAGCAAATATTCCAAAGCAAATGAAGAAGAATTACGACTTTGAGATTTGCTACCTCTGTTCATAATAGATCAAACAAATGACCTCCTTTATTGATTTACCCTGCAATAAAATGTAGATACTCATTCATTTTAATTAGGCATCGATTTCATGAAAATTGTATTTCAAAATGGTTGTCGACTCATCTTTTTTGTCCAGTTTGTGTTGAACCCATTGAATTGATGAATGTTTAGATGAGAGTACTGGCTTGAATTATCACTTATATTGAAAATGTAATTTACTAATAATGAATTATTTGATATATAAATTTATTGTTATTTCATAAATAAATTCAAGCAACACCCATCAATTAAAATATAATCATCTCTAATTATTGGAGCAAACTCTATACTTTCAAATCAGCAAAGATATCTTGATGATTATATAATATTGATACTTTAATTCTAGATCATTACCATCAAGTCTTCTTCTTCAATTTAGAATTCATCATAGCAGTAATCAAATAGAATTGTATTAATTGCCATAGGGATTAATATTTGATTATATTAGTTAGCCTGCTTGATTATTTAAATGGGATTTTACTGATAGAGCTTGAATCATTTAAACCAATTCTTTTGGTTTCTTATTCAAAATTTGTACCTAGAAGCTGAGTACTTTTTTTAAGTCATCTACTGACAAGGTTTTTTTGTTTGGTATGGATTCTTTGATTTGTATTCTTTGTGTTGCTTGTATCATAACGAATTGTTGATATTATCCACTCTCCTCTAATGACATTGCACTTTCCTAGAGCACTTCCTCTGAAATTTATAGATATTAACAAAGATCAATTTATTTCTTTTCTATTAAATTTTCTACCTATTCATTATAATCAAGAACCAATTATTGATACAATGAACTGTTGGATTTTGCCTTTGCTTCTCTTCTCTCTAGAGTGATATTATATAAAAATACATTCTCTATTGTTAAGTGTAATCTCTCTATATTCAGGTTTGACTAGATCAATTGATCTTTGAAATATTTAGATAATTGTATTCATAGATAACAAGTGTCCTTGGAATTCAACCTTGATTTATTTCGCAGCCTTTTGTAATAGTTATTCGTTGACTTGAACAGAATCCTTCGGAAAATTGGAAATTTGAATTTAGGTATATGTCTCACTATCTTCTTGTTTACTTTAAGGTTCCGGTTCCTTATTGAATCTTAGATTTAGAATTATCTTACTTGCCGTTATAATATAATCTTCCAATTAAAAAACCTGTTCCAACACAAAACAAAATCAAACCAGATTTCTATTTTTTAGATAATGTAGAACCCATTATTAGAATGTTAAAACTTATTAATTTTATTTATAAAATGTAAACTCTTTAATTTTGAACACTAATAATTGACTCAATAATTTAAGTAACTCTTTCTAAAAGATGATCACAATATATTAGTGATGGGAACTACATTATAAATATTAGGTGATGTAAAACCTAAATAATAATGCAATGAACATTTATTTAATTATATATAAATGAATAATGCTTAGCTTGTTTTACTCAAAATATAAAGGTTCAATCAAATTTATCATATATCCCCTTAATAATGCATGAAAGTCATTTTTTAAAATTGGGAAGCTCGCTTAGTTCAACCACCAGATGCTCAGGTTCCTGTGGAATCTGTGGAATCGGTAGAAGAGGCTCTCTCCATTTTAAATCAAAATAATCAGGTTCTCTTGATGACACAAGATGAAATCTTGCATTTGGTAACTATGGGATTGACAGATTTTAATCACATTGATTGTTCGAAGGTTTAAGAATGGTTTAATAAAAATTATGATAAATATCTACTTTAATATTATTTGGATTAAATGAATGCTGCAATGAAATAGTAAATGGTAAACGGAGAAATTCAAATACAGGAGGTAATAATTGATGAAGGTAAACCAAAAGTGGCCAAATTTGAAAATGAATATTATAACAGAGAAGGATTGGAATTTGCAAAATCCCTTAAATGAATAATATTAATATTTATTATATATATTAATGCACACAAATTACGCATATGAGAGTAAATTTTAAAAATTTTATCTTATACGAATAATCTAATTATTCGAGGATAAAACTCTGAGATAGCCATTCAAGGAAATCAAACTCTATTCAAATAACTAAACACCAAGAAAATAAAATCAAATTTAATAATAAAGTCAATAAGTATACGATGGAGAAATGTATATTTCAACAAAAGAATTAAAAGAAATACTCGAGTCTTTACCAAAATTGTAGACGAAAATTAATTTGTCTGAACATTTTAAAAAGAAGATAGGATCAAGTTAAAAGTGTTCATTCGCTTCAGTAAAGGAGACAATATCCCTAATAAAACAAAAAAATGAAAAATAACTATAGGAGATCCAAACTGAAAGAGTGATTAATAACTTTTTAAAAATCAGATCAATGGGTACTGTAAGGTAAAATTAAATTCACACTTAATCTTTGGAAACATAAGAAAATATCAATCATCAGTTTAATATTAAATTTATCTTGGTTTTAATAATCATTTTATTCTATTATCTATTAGATGATTGTTATATCAGATGAACACTAGGATAGAATTTATTTTTATATCAAATTATAATAATCAATACATTAAATCTTTCAAACTAAGTTACACTTACATTGTTTATTTGGATACTGATTTTGGATTTTCCTTATCCGTAAAATCTAAGATTATATAACTAGGGGCAGGATTTTGACAGATAAATTTCTTTTTATTTGATGAAACATTGGTTTCCAATATGATGTATTTTAGATTTTGGGAATCCTAAGGGTTTTGCTTTTTCTAAGGAGTTTTGGACTTTGATTTACTTTGTGCTTTTTGATGTGCAGGTGTTAATTCTTTCTAAGGTTTAGCATAATTAATTTAACGACTTTTTTAAGGAGAAATTTATTCTTAATTTAAATACAAAAAGTTAAATCTCTGTTTTGGTTCATCTTGAATCTGATAAAATTGTGATGATTCCTATTTGAACAATTATTAAGGCTAATTATCATTAAAATATGTTTCGGAAACTTTGCTACTGTTCTTTTTATATGAATATTCTATATTATATTATTGATCTTGTTCCTGTTATTTCGGTTAAAAACTCAGCTTCTCCTACTTGAATGAACAATCCAAAGGAGGAAACTCGTGATCAAACTATGATTGGTATTATTATTTTTCAGGGGAAGTAATCTCAAAATTAGGCAGATCATTAATGTCAATTTGATTGGAAGAATTATTGTCTATTGAATTTTTCTGATACCATGTCTCTCTTACAGGCTGAGAGTATTATTTGAAATGATTTTAAATTGATTATTCTGAATTGGTTAATGAAGGCAATTTATAATTATCATGATTATTCATTTTTTTTAATACTCTTAAATTATTCACAGTTTAAAGTTGAAAAAATGAGTGGATCAAGATGCAAATAGTTTTACAACGGATTTTGATTGGCATTTACTTTGACGTCTTTCAGTGAAGAAACAGCCTAAATGATATATGAACCATTACTTTGGCCAATTCCCCTAAATTGGTAATCTCATTAGAATACAAATCCAATCTTAATTCTTCCAACTGTCTCTGCTTGCTTAACAATTTAATGATTCCGAACTCAAGACCGACATCATTGATGCTGCATCTTCCACAACCCAAATGCAAGATTTTCAACTATTAAGAGAAGAGATTTCTGCACAATTGAATCAATCCTATACCATTGTATACATAAATTACCTGTACTCCAAATGCTATTTCGATACTAACTAAAACCATTAAAGTTCAGGGACAAGCGTTGCAACTTCAAATTATCAATAGTTTAACCTTAGAAATTAGTAAATAGTGTTACCAATGTAATAAATGCAGTTTTCATCTAAGCAATTTAATGATAGATCTAATGAAAAGTCTACAATGGTATCTGGAATGACTAATTAATCAAATTTAGTTAATTTATTGCCTTTCAAGTCAAGGGTCAACTTCTGAAGGTTGGGAATCATAATTTGTCTTGTGATTCCTACATTGCATTTGTCAAATCGTATAAACAACTCCTTCAACTATTAATATTTACTGAAACCAATTAAGTCAATCGGTTTATCTAATATCAATTCGACCTTCTCGATGGAATCTGTTAATGTGGTCAGTTGTGGGTAACAGTTATTCAGCACTAGAGTTTTAGAGATGTTGAAATCGTCTATGTCTATATTTTAAGCTTCTTCTGGTGAGAATATGGTTATTTTAAAATTGGGGTATTCTAATTATTTAGACAATTTAATCTTGTCTTCAAATTAATCTAAGATTTCATGGAAGTCTTCTTGAATCTGAGGTATATTGATGAATGGAGGTTAGGTGGCAGTTGAACACAGTTATCCATACAAGTAATCAATTTACTTTTGCTTAGGGTTTTTAGATTTTTGATTTGTTAAGTAGTATCTTAATTAATCTTCGATTTGATCATCCAATAGAAATGTTTAATTTTGTCCACATTTTTAGTAATGTATAATTTAATTTTTAATGTATTGAAGTATTTACTTTTATTCTTCGAATTGAAATTTTAATTTTTATATGAATGAATTAATCCTAGTTTTAAATGTCTCGTATAAAAATGTTCTTAATTTCTCTATTGAATCCTCGAATTACTTTTTATTGAAACCAAAATCAAGGATGTCTTAAGACAAATACTATCCCAAAATTGGCTAGGCTTATAATAAGAATTCTTCCAGCAACTTGGCTGTGTAATTCTTTGATAGAATGCATCTCTAACACAAGAGAACTGGTTCCTTAGCTTAAGGTTTCACATTTATATAGATGGCCACTTAGTTATGCTGTCTGCACTTAAACACACTATTCATTTTTTTAAATTTATCTAAAATTAATAATACTATTTAAATAATGATATAATTAAGTATTTATTATAAATTTTATTCTAAATTTACTTCAATCATTTCAAGAAGCCGCCTTTTCACAATTATCAAAATTTTCTTAGGCTCTACTAAATTAAGCAGCAAATCTAAATTTTATGAACTTACTTTTGTCCCTTTTTCTGGAGCTCTCCAAAAATATGAGTTAATATTTGTATTAGATGCATTTGAGGTGGAATAGGAATAATTAATTTGCAAAAATTTTGGTAGGAAAATAAATTAATAATAAAGAATAAAATAACTAATTATATTTCTCTTTTATTTGTTAATCTAACATTTTTTTTATATGTAAATCTCCAATCGTTCAATAGAAGATTACAAAAACCATAACTACACTAACAAATTACTATTAAAAGCCTCAAATATTCATATGAAACCAAATGAAACAATATCACCGATAAGAAAAAAAAGTATGATGGATTCCAATATACCGTCCATTTATAATGAAACTGATAGAATGACTGATAGAATTAGGTTATAAATGAGGGAGAAGAATAAATCTTGTTGTAATATGCCTGATGAAGACATTTCGGATTCTCCTTTTTAGAAATACTCCTAATTTGTTATAATGAACCAGAATGTTAAATAACTTATGATTGGTATTGAAAAGAAGCTGAAGAACTTCAAGTTTGCAAAAGAGAATGATCACAATTCATGTGCATCAATCATTGCCAAAATGAAGTGTTTTTGCTTGGACAACTGTTGTTTCGATTTTTATCGTTGTACAGACCTTATCCTCTTGAAATATCTGATTTACTTACTAATTCAAGAATTAAACTCTAATAAGATAGGCGATAGCACAAGTTGTTTGTCGGATTAGCCACCTCCTTAATTAAAGAATTTGATCAAAGATGCAATCGCCATAATGCATGAGACTGTTGAGGAGTTAAAGAATAAACAATTGATTGACAAAAATAGCAATAAATCTATTGATTAATTGAATAAATAGATTAAAAAGATGTAGTAAGTGATGGGAGGGTCGAACTAGAGTTACGATGTATTTACGACTCCGCAATCGAATATCAAAAAGATTGACCTGTTTTTAAAACAGCAGAGTGCAACTCAGAAGAGAGAAATCAATTAAACTTCGCCATCTTTAAATTCTGAAAAGATTATATAATTTCAGATTGATGAATTATCAATGAAAAATGATCAGATTTAAAAACTAAATGGTAGGATCAAGGATTAAGAATAAGAAATTAAGATTCTCACTCAATAAATAGCTGAGGCCAATTTGAGTTTACAAATATCCTAAAAGTCCCTCCAGAATAAAGAATCAGAGGTATCCATTTTTTATGAAATATTAGATGAAAGATCTGATAAAGAAAACAGACAAATTATTGGAAACCACCAGTCAAGCTCTAAAGGATAAGGAGGCATACCAGAATACTTGTAAATCGATCAAGTAGGATCATGATCAGTTAAAAACTTTGTTCGATGATTTGTACTAAATATTCCTATTCTTAATTTTAGATAGAAAAGCAACCAAAGTATAATACAGGAGTATCATGTATTGAGACAATCACAAAATGATTCATAGGATTCAGACATGCAGAAATATAAATCGGATGAGGAAAGGTATAAATAGGATCGCGAATTGTTGGATAAGAACAATGTAATTGTATGAAATACCTATATATAATTATAATAGAAGTAATTAAAAGCAGATGGATTAGCGTTGGGTTCATAATTGAAGGATATTTCCAATAAAATAATGTAGGTTTCGCCAGACTTACTACCAAAATCTCTATAATAATTGTAAAGAGATCTGTATTTGTAAGAGAGTAAGATAAATGAAAAACTCAATAATATTCAATATGTGTAATTAGAACAAAGTAATAAGCCTAACTCAATGTAAAAGTTGCAGTAGAAATAAATTGTGAATTAGAATCAGAATTAATATTTGAATCAATACTAAAATTAGAATCAACAATTTGAGCACCAGCTAAAATCTATCAAAAGTCATTCAGACATTATGACAATGATTTTAATATAATGTGAAGTAATTGAGAAGTTTATTAATTGAATCATTATTGTTATTATTATAATTCATAAATTTATACATAAGCCTCACTTACACTGATAAGTTAAGGAACAATATTTTGTTTATGCAAATCTTGAATTTAGAACCATTGATTGTTGGCCTCGTTTTTAACATGAATTTTGTAGATTCCAACTTTGGCTGTTCCCTCATGACAAATATTGGCTATTAAATTATACTTGACATTTTATTATTCCAAGTTTAAGCCTAAAAATGATATAATATAATATTTATACATTAACTCAAATCCAAATCATTTAATGGGAAGGTAACAATAGTTGGGTTCTTTTCCATAAAGAAATTATTTTTGATGAATCTCTTCATATGTATAATCAAATATCTAAAATAATGTAAAGGAAGAGAGATACTTGGGAAACTTGGTAATTGTGTATCTTCTTCTGCCATCAGCACTGTCTGTATTAGTGAATCCGTCGTACTTTTTAATTAATTCTTGAATCGATATACTGGGAATTAGAGCCTTTTAACTGCCGTCCTTTTAGAGTGGAGTTGAAGGTAGATCTAAAGACAGATAGCTAAGGAATAAGGATATCAATATTACAAGAATGATTTTTATTCGATAATTGGAATTGGTTGATATCCAATGGCATTTTTAAGTGGTTTGTACCATTCGTATTGCAATTCTCCTTGGAAACAATCAGATATGATAGTATTGATTTTGTTGATGTGCAATAATTCTTTTTTAAGGTTGTCTAGAAACCAGATGATCAAATGCATAGGATCTGATTGTTATCCGATTTTGAATTGTTTATTGCTTTTAAGAGTGACAGCTTGGAGCAATTCATGAGGACTCACGTGTCCTTTGTAATTCCGAGGATTCCAAATTTTTCTCGTTAATTCTGAGAATCTTTGGGATAGAAGACAATTGTAATCGAAAGGTTCTGTGGCACTCTTTTGGAATTGCAAGAAGATCATGAAATTTCTCAATGGTTTGATACGACACAAGGCTTGCATGACAACATTGAAATAGTCTGATTTGCTTAGATTGTTCAATCCGACAAACCCTGGCAGGAATGTAGTTCCATCCAAGGCTCTGGATTCTTCGACATTATCATCCAATTCCTTAAGATTATTAAATTTAGGATCTAGATTATATTGGATATCTTCAAGTGAATGATCGACCACTTCATAGTTATCTGGTAAACAGTATATTTTAGTATTTTGAAGATTCATAAATAAGTGATGGTCTTATTCGAGTGAATGAATGTAGGCTTGGGTATTGATGGATTTCCCTTAGTAATATTTGCCGCAGATGAGACACACATACACATTCAGATTTGAAAGAGTAACGGAGCATAATTTTTCGAAATCAAAATCGAGCATGTGTCGACATATGGTGGCGATGTATGGACATTATTGGTTGTATTTAACCTTTTTCTTGATTTCGTCTATCATTTAATAATTTAATTAATTAATTCATGAGTTCTGAAGAAGAGACCCAATAATCGTTGCCATATAAGGTGCACAAGTCCACTTTGAAATGGGCACCAGTGTTCAATATGACAATTCTATTGTCAATAGCAATAATCTCATGTTTGATAAGAGTGTTCTCCGTGATCAGATATGAGTCCATCATTCATGAGTTCGATCCATGGTTCAATTACAGAACAACCCAATATTTGGTGAAGGAGGGACCCTATGCATTATGGAATTGGTACGATTCAGAATCTTGGTATCCCCTTGGTAGAAGCGTTGGAGGCACAGTGTATGATATCCATCCTATTTATTAAGATATCCAGGATTAATGATGACATCTGGTATGATATATTGGGTGTTACACAAACTGTCCATTCCAATCGACATCAGGAATGTCTGTGTCTTCTTGGCACCCATCTTCTCAGCATTTACAAGTCTAGCAGCATATGGAATGACAAAAGAGATAACCAAGAGGTCCGAGGCTGGATTGTTGTCAGCTCTGTTTGTGGCCATAGTCCCATCCTACATGAGTAGAAGTGTGGCAGGATCATACGACAATGAAGGAGTGTCTATTTTTGCCCTCGTCTTCACATTTTACACCTTCCTCAAGACTGTCAACACAGGATCCATCCTCTGGGGAGTCTACACAGCCTTAGCGTAAAATATATATAAATATCAACAATTAGCTTTTTCTACATGGTGGCCTCTTGGGGTGGATATGCATTCATCATCAACATTATACCTATTTTTGTGTTGTTTTTGTTAATAACAGGACGTTCAAATTCTAGAATCCAAGTGGCATACAATGTTTTCTACATCTTGGGAACATTGTTGGCAATGCAAATTCCCTTTGTTGGATTCTAAGCATTACATTCCTCAGAACATATGGCATCACATGCAGTTTTCATTTTGATTAACTTCCTTAACTTTTTCAGTTGGATACGAAACTTTGTGAGCAAAAAAGCCATCATAACACTAACGAAATTCTTAATAGTCTTTTTAGTGTTCTCCATTTTGGTCGGAGTTGTCATCCTAACTCTGGCTGGTAAGACACAATGGAGTGGCAGAAGTTTGACTCTACTTGATCCAACCTATGCAAAGAAATACATTCCAATCATAGCATCTGTCTCAGAACATCAAGCTACTACCTGGTCATCCTTCTTCTTCGATTTGCATTATTTGATACTCTTCTCCCCAGTCGGATTATACTATTGCTATTACAAACCAACTGAAACCAAGATATTCGGGGCTCTCTACACAGTCCTTGGAGTCTACTTTGCTTCAGTTATGGTCAGATTGCTCTTGGTTCTTGCCCCTGCTGTGAGTATTATGGCTGGAATTGGAATTAGTTGGGCATTCAGAAAATTCGCTAAGTCTGTCAGATCATTCATATTGCCAAAAATAGAAAAACCCAAGAAGTACAGAATCCCTCCTGAGATAGCCATTATCGGCCTAGTAATATTAGGATACTATTGTTCCATTTATGTTCTTCATGCCAATTTTGCTGGATCAGAAGCCTATGCCTCTCCATCCATCATTCTCTCCAGCAGAGACAGACAAGGAAATAGAAACATCATTGATGATTACAGAGAAGCCTACTATTGGCTCAGAATGAACACAAGGCCTGATGACAAGATTATGTCCTGGTGGGATTATGGCTATTAAATTACAGGAATGTCTAATCGGACGGTCTTGGTTGATAATAACACTTGGAATAACACACACATTGCTACTGTTGGTATGGCAATGGCTTCATCTGAAGAAGATGCCTTTGAAATCTGTGAAAAATTGGATGTGGATTATGTATTGGTGATCTTTGGTGGTATCTTGAATTATTCAGGCGATGACATAAACAAATTCTTGTGGATGGTCAGAATTGGTGGTGGAGTCTATCCACACATCAAAGAAGAAGACTATTATGGCAAAGGTACTTATAGAGTAGATCAATATGCAACTGAGACCATGACCAATTCACTCATGTACAGACTCAGTTATTACCGTTTTGATGAAGTTCAAACTGCTTATGGACAACCTAAAGGTTACGACACTGTTAGATAGGCTGTGATTGGAGTCAAGGGATATAAGTTGAGACATTTTGAAGAAGCCTTTACTTCAGAAAATTGGATTGTACGTATATTCAAAAGAAAGCAGAGAGAAAATAGGTATTATATCATTCCAACTATATTTATAGAGATGGAGTTGCATTCACTTCAAAATCTACCTCATAATTTACCATTCCTAAGGAATTCAGCCCTGTTACAAAGTTTTCTAAAAAAGCCAACACCAAATAGAGATCTACCCTAAGTTTTTAAAATAATGAGTGATTTTATGTATATTCATAAATATTAGATCAATAATTCCTCATACTTTGTATGGATCAACTGATTCAATTGGATTTACTCATATTCCATCTGTAAACTCTGTTTGAGTCTTCCAAAAAACTCTTTCAATTCTTCTTTCTCACTCTTCTTCAAAAACTTTTTTATTTATTGCATAAAATCCTTGATCTTTACTAACTCATCCAAAAAGCCAACAATAAAACTTAGTTCTTTTCCATCCTTTAAAGTTGATATCGAATAATCAAAAACTTCCAAAATTTTAAAAAAATATTCAACATGAAAATCAATAGAAAATATTTTCTTGATGTTGTCTTCGCTCTACATTTATAAAATACTAATTTTTAGATCAAAAACTGTACTTCATTAATTCAGCATAATTTTCTTATGTTAATGGTTTGATGTAATATTTAGAGAATAAGGTTCTAAAGTCCCTGAAGTTTTTGCATTAAATCTCTTTGATATTTAATTATAACTGATTGATGTCCTCTTGAGTGGGTTGCTGATATTTCTGATAGGAAGAATTGAAAATTTTGTCATTATTGGTTTCATTGAATCCAAAGTTGGCCAATTCCTTGGATTTGATTGTGTAGAGATTTGCTCCCAATACCATTTATCTGAACCCTTCATAATCGTGATGATAAAGGACTGCCTTCTTTTTTGCTGAATCGACATTGATTCTTTGATGCTCAATGTTGATTTCTTTTTAGAATTCTTCTCTGATATTTTAACAACTCAATTGCATATCCTTCTCAGTCAGCTTTTTTTCATGAATTCCTCCGTACATTAAATTATTAAAAATACTTATAATTAATCAATCAATATAATAATATGAGTCAATTAGACCAAGAAGGCTGGAGTGGACAAATGTGTTTGAAATCAGAGGGAGATTCAATTGAATAACCATAGCCTGAATCGGATAGAGAGGAGCAGATTGTCGGAGCGTTGTCAACTGAGGAGAGCAAGATTTTTAAGAAACTGAGATTCAACTCGAAGATATAAATTTTAGATGAAAAGAATAAAAAGCCGTAGAAACTATTTTGTTATTCAATTCTCAAAAAAAGATAATAATTTTGATAGTTTGGATGAATCAGAAGAATTCTAAATACATCTTTTTTTAAAGTTAGTTTTATCTCGACTTTCCAAACAATTGTTCAAGATTTGCTGTGGCATTGACAAATATGCTTCTTGGAGTTATTTTTGATAGTTTCTTCAACTCCAACATGTTGGCATTTTGATTGGCAATATTGAACACCATCAAATCAACCTAATTCTTTTCAAGTAGTTGTTTTAGTTTCTCCTCCTACTTCTAACACATGTGTTTATTGACTAAGAGAGATAAATGGAAAATAGTACTTTCGGTGAAAATGCATATAAATTTGTATCTACTTCTGAAATCGTATTGCTATTGGTCGTTATTGTCTTCACTCTTCCCATTCAGATTGACATTATTGCCATTTTTGAAGAATTGAATGTCATCATTATCAGATTCAGTGTCTTATTCTCCTTCAGTTTGGGATTCATTGAGTCTAAAAATGAAGAAATAAAGTACTTTTATTTTGGATCGTCATTGTTAGACAAGGGTGGGAATTGTGATTACGACAAGTCTTGTTCGTTCTCTTCGTGAATGGTGAAGTTGTTGCACTCCTTCTTTAAACTGCTCTTTTGATCATCAGATTTACCGTTGCTTTTGTTGGCATTTGAAATATTGATTTTATGTTCAAAGAAGTTTTTCACAGCAAATCTTAAGGCTTGATACAATCTGGAGTTGCCTCCAGGAGCAGTGATGGCCATATATAATTACTTATTTAGAAGATCCTTATAAGTCCCTTTGGGTTGAAGAGGAAAGGCTTCATGAAGAGAGTTATTGAAACCGTACATTCCGATTAAATCTTAGGGTTACAAAATGGAAAAGATTTTGGTGCAGATACTATGAGAAAGATTGATTTATTCGATGTTCATCTCTTTGGAGTAGTCGATCATGAATACAATCTCATAGACATTAATGGAAATCTAATTTCTGAACTGTTGAATTGGCTAAGGAGAAATGTTAAATAATTTGAATATCTTCTCCAAAACCATCAGACAGAAATCCCTAACTTCTGGATCATAGTAATCGCCCATTTCTATAATTTCAGTTAAGATTTCAGCAGCAGTCTTGAAGTTTCCTCTCAACAGTTGATATATGGCTTTGAGTTATCTTATCTTAGAAAACAACACTTCCTTTGGTACATTCTTGAACATGTCGACAAAGTTAAAGTCTTGCTCCTCATTTTATTAGGCCTATTCAAGATTAGCATTGTCTTGAATCAACTTATTGTAATATTCTTCAGCTTTCTGTTCTGAGAGTTAAAAGTTACTAATATCACCAATTTGGATGTAACACAATGCCTTTTTGACATGTAGATTGATAAGTCTAACAATTTTGGATTGGGTGAATCTTTAATCTTTTTCTGCAGTGGCCTCAAAGTCAGTAAACAATTTGAGAGTTTCAGGAATGAACACATCAGAATATTACATGCAGATGTTGAACATGAATTAGGCAAGCTAAAATTATCTATTCAATAATTTAGCCTTAGCCAATTTCTTCTTTTTTGTCAATTCCGATAATTTCTCTTTTATCATCTGAAGTTCTGACATCTAGACATCACTGGATCCAGAATTGTTTCTTTCTCTTTCTTCTACTTGATTATTATTCTATTTATCTTCATAATTGATAATGCTTTCTTTCATGTCCAATCTTTGACTCTGCATTATACTACTCTGATTGTAGGATTAACCCAAATATTTAGATCTGTTGTTGCTCACATTCGGGGAAAGTTGAGGAGAGTAGTAATTTGAATTCTCTTAATCTACCTAATTGATTGGTTGTAATCCCTTTTTTGATTCATTCAAGCTCTTCTCGTAAGTTAAGGTTCTTTTCTTCTTATTGATTGGAGTTGTTACTGAATTAACTGCCACACTTGCTAATTGTGTATTCTTACTGGAACAACTGGATTAAGGATTGATTAAAGCCATGTGTGGAATGTTTTTCGAATGTATAACTGTGGTTGAGATGTTTTTAGAGGTGTTCGAAATGTTTTTCTGTCTCTAAGAGGAAGATATAGCTTTCATCTGAGTGTTATTTTCATTTTTCTATTCATCCTGTTGTTTCTTTTGTAATTTCTTAATCCATGTTATTTCAATCTACTATCTGAACTTAGTTGCGAGTCCTTTGAGTCTCAACCTTAAATTTTGATATAGATTTGGTTCCTGTAATGCAGCCATCATAGTGGTGCACCATTTCTTGAGTTCTTTGATTTCCATTAATTCTAGTTTTGCTATGTAAATGGCTTCTTCCATTTCATTGACTGCTTCGAATACTCTCCCTCCCTTCATGTGTAGAATTCCAATATTATTCGCACAAATACCCACAGCACTCATATTACCAATTTCTTTCTTATAAAAGTCTTTGGCTCTACTCAATTCCATAAGAGCTATTGCATCAGAATGTTTCGAGTTAGAATACTTTTAATTCGAGTATTTAATTGTTGTCACAAATATGTTCATGGTTTGGAATAGTGATTTAATTTCAAATGAATTGAAGTAGTCTTGATAATTTATCAATTCCTCTTCTTGATCCATATTCTAGATATCTATGCTGTTCATGAATTCAGTCAACACTTTAATTGGTTATTCGAATGACAATCCGATTCTGGTGGCAGTGTACCAAACAAATAAAAATATTACAACTGACAACACAATAATCACAATGAGAACTATGATTTCTAAGATTCTCACATTATTCAAAGAGGTGCCTTCGTACAATTCTTGGATCAATACATTCTCCTCAAAGTAATGGATGAGTATAAATGTTGGCATCTTAAAGTCATTAACTTCAGGTTCAATGTAGACATACCTCCTTCCATTTTCAGGGGCAGTAACAATAGACACTCTTTTGGAAGATGTGGTTACTACTTCTGAAAAAAGCAAGTAGAATTTGTATGATCCAAAAGAATAGATTAATTGAGTGCTATTAAGAGTATCATTAGTCCTGAGTTCTTTGATTTTATCATAAATTGGAGCATCCATCTTAGAGATCAATTCTGAATATGACGAGTTACTTAGTTGTTTTGTCTCATTGATATATTACACAATTGCTTGGGTGACATTTCGATCAGAATAATTTTCGGGAGAAAGTACTGTATATTCTTTATTAATTATAGCGACGAATAGTTAATGCTCCTACTCCCCTTGAGATTAGTGCTATTGTAGATGTCTGGTTGTCAAATCCTCCAAATAAGAATTTAGCACTTTGGCAGTCATATAACATTTTGTTGTATCTGTTTGATGAACTATTTATGTCAAACTTATTGAAGGTCCACTTGTAAATTCATCTGTTCTATCATAAACCATGGTGAAGTTTAAGGTAGGATCGAGTGTCATGGGGATCTCTGGTAACCATTGAGAAACATCGAAGCCAGTAAGTTTTTATTATTGAGTTTCAGTAAACTGAGGAAAGCGGATAACGAAAGAATCAGTGCAATGTATCATAGTTGCGGCATAGTTTATTGGGACAAGTGCTTCAGCATCTGACGAAGTATCACTTGTTGTGTTTAAATTTAGGTCTTGTTTAAGGGACCGGGTGTTACTAAATCATGAAATGATCTCTTTACTTAATTATGATGTCAGACAATATGAGAGATTAGGCTGCCTTGGTTAGTTGAAAGTACAATTAAGGACTCTAGTTTTGCAATTCAGTCAAGGTTTGATATTTGGAGTGGGACCATGCTATCTTATAGTCTTGGGAATCCTTCATGGTGGAGGTGAATGCGTTGAGACTCAGCTACTTGTCGTCCAAAGTCCTAAAAGAATTGTATTTATCATGCTTACCAGCTTGAGTAATTTTGGAACTCTCCAAAACAATAATGTCTCAAATGGGCACTCACTCCGAATATCTAATTGAAGTAAGCTTAGTATTAGATATAGATTTCCTAATAAATTTTGATGCTCTTTTACTTGCTCTATGATATTCATCTCTATTTAAAGACCATTCAAGTGTCTGTTTATATGAAAGTCCAGCAGCGAATCTTGAAAACTAGGGATACTCACAAAACCCAACAAACCTACTTGTAACACTGCTAACATTAGAATAAGAATGATTGGTATTAGAATAACCAACAGAATCTAGTTCTTTAGTTCCATTAAAAAATAAATATTCAAAATCTTTATATTATTTTCTAATTAAAATGCCTCCAGGGAAGCATAAATCAAAACTAAAAACAGCCAATGCTCCGAACGTTATCAAGCCTCGTCCCATACCCATCTTCCTATCGAGGTACCTCTTTCCCTTACCCTACTCTCTAGATAAGGATCTCGTGTTGAGGGCCAAACCAACAATTCCAATCTGAAACCAAATCCACTTCTATCCAGGTACTTTTTATTCCTGTTCACTTAAGACAACCCTCCCAATCCCAAATGTAGGAGCATTCCGACCATATAGATATTCAGTACAACACCAGGAAATTCAATGTTACACTCATGGTCTAATAGGAAAACAAAAATTATACACTAGGTGATATCAATTGCAAACTCACAGACGATAATCGAGTGTGGATTTACGATCTCATCAAAACCCTCAAGGATATGCAAATTGATGCAGTAGATCATCTCAAAAATAGCACCATTTAAATCTTAAATGAGGAAGAGACACAAAACCTAGGTATATTCTATTAATTATTAGTTAATCACGCCCTCTATACCCCAAACTTGGTTGTATATGAAAACCTCGGTGTCGACCCTCTGAATCAAGATACTTTTTTCAAAGTCAACGAAGATCAAATCAAATTGCAATTAAAAATCAGACCTTCCAAAATCAGCTTATTAGACACCATTCTAGAGCAATAGCCAAATGAAGAAACCAATTCAAAGAAAAATTAAAAAACTAAGCAGAGGACTCTCTCGCAAGTCGTTGAAAGAGTAAATGATGTTACTTAAATATAGGTGGCACTCTGGAGAAGACTCTACACCGGCTTTTACGATTAGAACAAGACATTTGTGTAGATGTCTTTAGACAAGGCTGCTGAAAAAGTTGGAATTTCCAAGAAGACTTTAGATGACTATCTATTGTAGATTCGATATGGAAAGCGTTATGGTTTCGACTTCAAAAAAAACAGCAATGAAGGCATCAGCAAATTGAGACAATTTGTCAAATCGAAAAAAGAAAATAAGAAAAATGATACATGATAAACATATTAAGCAAATAAATCCACTTAATAACTATTAATAATTATTAATTCATTGACTATTTATTTATAATATTATTTTTTACATTTTATTATCATTTAATTGTCTTCATGATTTCTCTTCAAATATATAAATGTACACCCTTTTCCATATCGAATAAATGGAATAGGAAAATGGCCATCTAAACTCCAAAATTAATATTGTTTAAAATATGGAAGTTTGGACTCTTAATAACTGTTTAATAAACTGAACTTTATCTTCCATATTTTAATACCTCATTTGAGTTATTCATTTGTAATTTATCGAAAAAGTGTAGATATATTAATTCTAAAGAGGATTTGTAATTCTGCCCTTGAATACATTTTTAAATTTAAGTCTATGTTTTTATTTCTTATAAAGTTGATAAATATTATCATAAAATTTATAATAATATGCTCATGATTCAAATTTGTTTGACATAAACAGATTCAAGAAATTTTATTGAAGAAATTAAATTAGTATTTGTTCAACACCATTGAAGTATACAATATTCATGATGTTATTTATCTCATTTGAAATAACTTTAATTTCTGGAAATGGAAATCAAATTTACATTTTTCATCCAAACAGAATAAAGAATCGATAAAAATTTTTTAATTATCCAATATTTGAAAATCAAGCTTAGAAACTTTGAAGTTCTTGAATTGTGAATTTGGGGGATGATTAAATTTGGTGTATATAATGGGAATTTTCATTAAAGACTGTGAATGATAACAATAATGAGGAATTGTCAATTTGAACCGATGATAATGGCTGCAAATTATTTTTCACGTAATATATGACGTTAAATGTATTTTAGTATTAGCAATTAAATTAAAATAAGAATGAACGTAGTGCACTGGACAAATAATAACAATGAATCGTAATCAAAGTCAATTAGGTAATCCTCTGAGACATTGCCTCCTCTAAAAAAAAGGATTTCAAAAAGACTGTAAAAACACATATAAGATACTTCTTTCAAAGAATTGTACAAATAATAGAAGCTTGCTGAAATTGTTCAAAAGGCTATGGAGAGAAACGAATGCCAATATGAGGAATATGATGAAATAAAAATTTGTGGTGAGATAATAAAACTCAATGACAAAGTGATTATCAAAAATGAGGATAGCAATGTGGAGGATTATATTGGATCAATATAGAAAATTTGCAGCATCGTAGAACCTAGGACACTTAAGTTAATATGTCTCTGTGAAGTGTAATGGTTTATGAGAAAGAATGAAATAATTTGTCACAAACCAAGAGCTCGAAGTTGGATTGGAAATTAAGAAATCTTCTCCACCAATACCAATGATTATGTATTAGCTCAGACAATCGTTCAGAGATGTACAGTTGTTGATTGTGAGGAGTATTTCAATATGGAGAATTGTGATTCCACTACCTACTATAATCGATTGGAATGGGATGTGGAATGCAAGAAGTTTACGAATATGAACACAATTAAGATGTATTGCTTATGCCAACAGCCTTGGAATCCTGAACTCAACTATATTTAAGTATTATTTTATTCATATAATTAGTGTGATAAATGCTAAAAATGGTACCACTTCGAATGTGTCGGTGTAAAAGAGGGATCCTATGAAAACAAAGAATATGCATGTGGGTATTGCAATTGAAAATGTGATTTTGATATAATGTCTTTTACTTACTATTCATTTAGAGATTATTAATTAAGTTTTATTTATCGAATAATAGTCTTTTCAAAAAATTGATGAAAATTAACTAACCCAAATTTAAAATGAGAAAGCCTATCGGACTCACATTGGATTTCTTGGACATACAATAATCACAAAAGGAGTAGACACCAAAAGTATTTAATTCAAAATTAATCAGGTGTAATAGATCGACACATTTGAAGAATTTTGCAGCTAAATTCCAGAAAATCAATAATAATAAGAATTAAACTTCTCAAAACAATCTTAATCCTTCCATTCTTAATAAATTAAAACCAACAATTAGGAAGAGTCAATCTGTTCTGAATTTAAGCAATCAATAATAAGTATTAATTTAATATAAATATCATATATCTAGATTAGGAAAAGGAGAATTCATAAATCCAATATATTGTTTTTGAAGAGTTTCATCCCCAAAGCACTATCATCTCTGGTCAATCTGAATCCATAAGAAATTCGGAAAAACAATTACAAGAGAAAAATACCGATCTTATAAAGGAACCTCCTGCACCATCAAACAAAAACAATACCAAATTCAGTTTCCCATAAAAAGGAACTGGATTCACAGGATGTATATATGCTCTAAAATCTAGTAAAAAAATAACTTCAAATTGCCATTCCTGAAGCAGATCACACAAACACTAGTTCTTATGAGTAGACTATGATCAAACAATAACTAAAATAAAATTAAATGAATAATGCTGCAGATATGGAATTAAAATAATAAATATTTACATTGCAGAGAGATAAAGAATAAATTAAAAATTAATACAAGTTAGAGATAATTGATTTAAATGCCAAAATACAGGAACTTTAATAAAAATTAGATATTGAATAGGCCAATTCATTGCAATTAAAATAAGAAAATGAAAAATTGTAACTAAAAATCTAATCGTTTGAACACCAATACTCAATTAATATAGATAAGAATCAAAGTGAATAATTTAGCATAAGTTATTAGAATAAACTAACAGATAACGAAAAGATCTAATATCTAGTTGAAAAACTAAATCAAAAATCTGCAATCAACGCCAAATTGCAGTATGAAATCTTCAAATTGCAAAATAATGTAAAATATCATAATAAATAGATTGAACTATTATAAACCAAATAAATTGTGCAATCTTATAATATCAATTAAATATCGGACTATGAATAAATATCAGACAGCCACTCACCTCCTTAATTTGCATCAAATCCTCCTCTGAATAATTATAAAAATAGAGAAAGCAACAAAGCTAGTGTATTGATGCAATAAAAACAAGCCTTGCTCAACTTAAGTGCTAACCAAGCCTAATTGGATTAAAAAAAGGAGATTAATTTGTAATTAAACATTTTTGAATTATATAGATCTAACATGATATCCCCATAGGCTAAAACTTGCAAAGCTTCTACTACTATTCATAAAAATCTAACTACTCATCAAACAAAAAATACGTAATTCAAAGAAGACACCCTCCAACACCTTAGAAAAATGCAGTAACAATTAACAGTTTATATAGAAGTACGAAAAACTCAACTTCGGTTGGAGAATTAAATACTTTTAAGCAAGATTTAACTAATTGTTCAAATATTTTACAAAAGATAATGAGGAAGGATTCAACTCAATCTCCAGATAAACCTATTCAAGCAACGTAGAAATTCAAGGAGGCTCTCAATTCTAAGTTACAAAATGTTCCAGATAAACATAAGTCCTATGCCAGTTTACTATTTTCTTTGGGAGATTTTAACAAACCTAGAATTCAGGATGCTTATATTCGTTAGAATTCACCACACATCAATGAAGACATTCAATTCAAATCAAGACAGTAGATTTGTAATATAAAATAGAATATTTGCTTATCAACCTCATTAAAATTCTAGAAAGTAGTCTGAAACCATAAAATCAGAGGAATCACACAAGATGAGCACTGAACAACCAAAGTATTATGACAAATATGAATACTCAAACTATCAAAGAAAAGGTAAATATTAATTCACATTAGATATTCTACAACTGATGAGAGATATTAAAAGTCAAAAACTTGGAAGTAAGATAATCATCACTTATTATTAGTATCTGCCAAAATCAATTACAAAAAGAATCATCCAAAGTATGAAAAGCAGTATAATCTATGTTAGTATAAGGGGACTTATTTCTGAAGGTTTAAGTGCTAGATCAAATAATTGTGATTGATAAATTTATATATATATATAATCGAATAAAAGGCAATTCTTAGGTTGATAATTAGAATACGTCAAACTTTGTGAACGTTTCAATTTTAGAATAGTCTATTTCATTTTTTGTAATAATTTCATCAAATATATTTTATTATTATGATTCGTCCCTATTTATATTACGCATTCAAAATTAAGGATGGATTATTTATTGGCAATAAACGAGCTGCAAATGTATTCAACTTTATACATATATAGGACATCTAATTTCAATTTTATAATAAAATTACAGTGATAATTAATTGCGCTGCATTAGAAATAAACATTAGTAATCCGAAAGTTAAGATTTTGAATTTTGAATGGTTAGATACTGAGGAATAGGTTATATTTAATTTTAAGTAATATTTAGTAAATAGTAGTTAATAATAATGTCGATATGGTTTATAATACAATTGAGGAAACTAATGATAATGGAGAATCAGTCTTAATTTGCTGCTTAACTGGGTAGAGTAGATCTGTGGCTATTGTAGCTGCTTATTTTATGAAAAAGTAAGAGATCAAATCAAATTCTTAGATTTAACTGGAATTTAAAAACATCATTATAATATTTATAAATCTGTAGAAAGGATTTCGAAATTCGTGAAGGGTTTCTTTTCTAATTAAGTCGTTATGAAAGAGAGTTATTAATCAAATTAAAAACAGATTTAACAGAATAAAATGAATAAGTTTAAGAATAGGAAATTCTCTTAAAGAACACCTATTACAATGCTAAATTATCTGAGATTTGGTCGAACTATAATATGTCAGAAAAGACAAGTGGTTTTTCAAAAGGTAAACACAAGAAACATTTAAAAAGAGTTTCTTGGGCTTAAAAGCTGATAACATTTATTAATACTACTTTAGATTGTGTAAAATTAAATCTGTTTCTCAATTAAAAAAATGAATCTGTCATACAAAAATAATCTTTATTCAAAATATGCAAAGGAAACACAGAAAAAAAATCAAGTCGATATATGATGACCTTAAGAAATAAAACACCTGATCCTATTACAAATATGTCGATTTCAACTGAAAGCAAATATAGATGTACTTCTGTGGTCAAGTAAATTGAATCTGATGCAAAGCAATTTTAATCAAATCGAAAAAGCCTTACAAAAGGAGAGAAGTAAATACGGGTTTTGAAAGGTATGATGCAATTTAGAATGAAATGACAAATAAAATTATTATGATATATTTTTTGTTATTAATTGTAGTGACATATTAATAAAAATGTCAATGGGTGGATGAAGATAATCACAAATATGACTATACTAATTTAGATCATCCTTCAGCATGGCATGTTGTTGACACTCAAAATGGTATTCATATAAAATCACAAGTAGGAATGGGAATGTTTAATATGGTTTACATTTTCAATTTCTGTAATATAAATCTAAGTTGTCATGGAGTACCAGTTGCAGTATATGAAGGTTTAGAAGTTATGGGAACTATCACAGACAATTGTGATATTGTAGGGTTGAAGTCAACCACTTCAATTTCTCATATATAAGATAAGCCTAAAGATTATGGAATTTCCATCTCTTTCAATGATAATTCTTAATGCGTAGAAACTGCTAATCAAAATAGAGCGGTATAAACAGATAAGCCAAGGACAGCAATTTTTAATATTGTTTGTAGTGAAAAGGCAGAAAAATAATTTAGAATTGTTTAAGGGTATGGGTGCACAGTAACTTTAGAAATTTATCATCCAGCAGGATGTCCACTAAATGGAAGTATATTTTTTTGATTAACCAAGATATTTTTAGTTACATTTCATTTGCACTTAAGTGCTTTATTATCGCTACAATACTATTTAACATTGTAGGTTTTATATATAATAAGAAAATAAGGAAAATTACAGGTAAATAAGCAATTCCAAATATCAAATAACTTGAGGAAATAAAAAAATTAGTGATTTATGCTCTATAAAATTGTGAAAGATTAGTTAGAAGGGGTGGTAAGAATGGATACTAAATTGTGTGAATGTGAATATAATTTATTCAAATAATAATTATCAATCCTCATATACTTATAGTTAAAGATGTATTTCTTTAGCATATTCAATACTGAAAAAAAAGCCAAAGTTATTATAATGTTTATTCGTCAAGAGATTTTATTTTGTTTAATATAATATATAAAATAGAAGAAAACTTGATCGTTATGCAATAAATTCAATTATAACAAATTATTACTTTTGAGAGTAAAGTGCTTTGTAAGTTTGAATATAAAAAAGTCTGAAATAAATGATCTTTGTTGTTGTACAAAACTTTCTAAACCAAAGGTTTTTCAATTATTATTCTATATGGAAAGGCTAAAAAAAAAGTTTTCAAGACATAATTATTATTCCCCAATATAAAAATATTTTATAATAAATTAATTTGAAAAATAATATTAATTTATCTTATAATTTATCGATAATTGATATCAAAAAATAAAGATTGATTGAGTTAACTCGATTGAATTTTGAAATAAAACGCTTCAAATATTTAGAACCCAACATTATCGTCACCTAAAATTCAAACACTAATGTAAAGAAATAATCAAAATTAAAGCCTAATATTATAAATAGGTTCCAAAATTTTGTCTTTTTGAAAATATAAACTGATTTTGAGAACAATAGATTTAACATCAATCTAAGATTTAAAAAAATGCAATTTATAGTAAATAATAAATTCAATTACTTTAATGATAAATCGTTTCTATTAAAAATGAAAAAGTTAAATTACATCTTTACTATTTTTTGAATAATGTTTTTATATCAGATAGTTTATTATTAAACTTGCAAAATGATTGTTTCTTCAATTACGGAGGTTTGTAGTAACCATGTTATTTTGCAGCTCGTGGCATATAAATACAATACTAATTATTGACTGGTTAGCATAGTTTAAGTAAGTCTAGCTGTGTAAATAAGAGTATTAATGGCACCATAACAGTTATGAGTGAAATTCATATATCTTTTACTTTAACAAGTGTTGCACTTATTGAATTAACTAACATACTTTTTATTTTTAAAACATTTCGCATACACTTAAATGTTTATTACTACCTGAGAAGCGGTCAATTTAAGATCGTACTAGCCCAATGTATCATAAACCAAATTTAGCTCAGGTACTGAAATTTATATTGTTGGTCTGGTACTGGCTTATAAATCCTTTATTTAGGTTATTCTAATAGTAGTGCATTCTGCAGGCAGAGGGTCATTAATTATCCAAAGTACCAAATGAGTATTATTCAAGTAATAAGTATTACCCTAAGAATCAGATGTATATGAAATATCTGTTGATGTTTGAGTTTGTGTATGTTTAATAGTTACGTTTTCTGTATCTGGGATATGCCAAAAGCCTTGGAAGGGCATAATGAAAAAGGACTTTGGTTAGAGTGCATAAGAAGGACTAGTAAAAGAAGACATAGCATTGATTGAATCTACTATTTTTACAAATGAAATTGGATGCAAAATAATTTGAAATCCTAAAGTTCTTAAGTTATTTATATTATCGATTCCAACTGTAACATGAGTCGAATTTAGTTCAATAACCTATAATATTTATAGTTTATACTTAGATCTAAAATTTAACTTCACCCGTGTAACCAAAAGTAAATAGACTTACGAAAGCAGCTGTTGCATTTGGCGCTGAGTGAGGATATGTTAGAGAATGAGCTGGAGTTGTAGTAAATGAGTTAACTACATATATATCTTCACTATCCATTGCCACCCATCTGAAACCGAAGGTATATAAGGTCGGACCACTGCAAGTTGTTCCTACAGTGAATTCTAATAATTAAAATAGAGTAATTACAATTCTTTTACAAGCCCACCAATTTAAAATCAACTCCAAGATTATTTGGAGTAGATTCATAATGTTCCATTGTAAAAATCAACTTTGGAATATTATCAAAAGCCTTAGCAAAACTATAATTCCGCGCCCTGTACCATCCCCAACATATTAAGTTATCATTCTAACCCGTCAAGACATAGTTAGAATCACCATAAAATGTTGCTTTTGTGACTGTGAATAAAAGAAAGGATAAAATCATGATTTTTATATATAAATTTAATGTATTAAATTCCTTGCTTTATTCATTTGATATTCGTCCGACAAAACAATAATTGATTGTTAACCCTAATACTCAGAAGTATTAATCCAAGTTATTTAAAAATTAAAGAAAAAATAAAACTGCCCTAACCCAAATTATAACGTAAACGAAGATAAATTCTTTTTATTTTCAGTCAATAAACAAATAAAAATGAACAACTTATTTTTTGCTCGTAATAACTGAATTGTAATTTAGAGGGAATTATAACAAATAATAAAGTTTTTTTTTAACTAATTTAGAATTAAATATATATTCTAATTCAAATATCACTTAGTAATTCATAATTTTAGCAATCTATTTCTATTCATTTTTATTCAAGTTGGCAATTCCCCTCTAAAAAATTAATTTTATTATAAGTATAAAGATTATTTTAAAACCTCAATTATTACCCAACTTTTCAATTAATTAATCTATGTCCCTACAACCAAGAACACCAAATTTAGTTCTTGAAGCCTTACTATTATTGCCATTCATGTTTTCTTACAATTAATATCAATCCTGCTTTAGCCCGTGCAACATGCTCCAATAATAAGGATAATTATCACTTTTATTCAAATTCTAAGCTGCTTCGACATTTATTCACAAATATCAAACCATTAAATAATAATTTTAGATTTTTACTTAGAATATAAAAGTGAGGAAATGATGATAATTTCTCAACACATTTGCCTTCTATTGTATTTCAATATCCTCATCTCTTGCTTTTAATCTATAATCCATAATTCATAGTATATATTCAATGAATTCCTGTGCCTTTCTTTCAAAATTTTATAACTACCAATTAACCTGTCATAAATAATCATTTAAATTCTTTTAATAACATCCCACAACTTTTCAAAGCATGTGTATTATATTTAAAACTAAAATATAATATATGTATAAATTTATGGAATTGTTCAAAAAACATATTGGAGTGAAATTGTTTTTAATTTATAAGTTTTGAATTTTTATGAAATTGTTCTTATTTTTTAAATCGGATTGACATTCTCATCAACGTGTTCATTTCTCAGAAACTTTATCTTTCCTCCAAACCCAAATTCTTTGAATTAATTTAACTTCTTTATCTTTGTATTCAATGAAAAGGATGAAATCTTTGTGTCGATTTAAGTTAGCAATTCACTTTCTAAATTTTTTATTTAATCATTGCTTTACCATTTTCCATCTAAATTAAGAAGTGATTTTCTCCTAATTTTCACTATGTTTGTGCTATTTAATCCAAAAATGTCTTGTATTGATGAATAAACCATCTGAAAATAATTACTGGATCAATAAGTTAAAATTTTGCTAAACCACATTAACAAGTAAACTTTATATTTAATAATAGTTAGAAAAGATAGTTAGTGATCCATTTCATAATTGAATTATTAAGCTGGATTAGCGATAAATTTATTAATTTATTGATTGTTCCATACTTTTTATTCTATTTATTATAAGTTAGCAATTTAAAGATGTAATAACAAATTATCAGGATCCTTGCAATCTTAAGTTAAGTTACTAAAGTATTTATCAATAAGTTAATAAGCGAATGGATGAAAATAAAGAAAACTAACTTAACAAATTATGAATATCACATATTATATGTTTACTAATTCTAATCATAAAGATAATTTAATTTGCAAAAATTGTCAGGAGTCGCAACTAACAAAATCAACTTAGCTGTTAAGATTTTAAAAATCAGATCTGAAAAAACTCAAGTTCAACAAAAAAGTTTAAGAAAATAGGTACCCTCTAGCTTTAAGGAAACGAAAATATCTATCGTTTATAATATGAAGACAATGAGACAATTATTATTGAGTTACACCCAGTATGTTACTCAGAAAGTAATGATAATATTTGTTGATAAATTGAATTATTCTAAAATCAAAGTCTATCTATCCGTAAATAGAGGAGTAACTTAAACTAATAGAATATCATTTTGGACTAAAAAAATTTGAATAAAAAAAAGATTTGCTTCTAGAAATTAAGAATAATGGCACTACTGCTTAAAGCACTTTTAGAGCTTTTATTTTAGGATCTAATGAACAAGGTAGAGACCCAAACTAGAAAATATTTTTATAATATCAATGGTTCATTAGTTTCGAAATTCCTTAAATGTTTAGGAAATCAATTTATATTTCATAATATAGCACAAATTTTTAAAATGGTAATCCTCGTAGTGGTGGGTCATTAAGGGTTTTTGAAATATTAGAGATTGTTAATGTTTAGAATCTCTTAATTTTATAAGAAAAGTCAACCATTCAAATTTTTGATAATATCTTTCAAAATAAATTCATTTTCTAATTTTTTGAAAAATATTTCCCTAATGATGCTATATTTTCTGTTAAGTTAATTCATTTTTGGAACTCCTGAAAAATTTCTTCCCATTTTATATCCGATAATTATGATAATTACGATTATTTTTTTTGGCTTTTTGAATCTAATAGGGTTGTTTTGTGTCAATTTGTCTAATTTTATTCAATAAAGCTAGTTTATATGATATTAATTAAATTACTAAAAATAGATATTTTAGCTTTTGATATTTATTGATAAATTGAATTTTTATTTATATTCCATTTAAGGCAAGAAGAGAAATCTATCATTCTATTACAACTGAACCTTATTTTAATATTGCTATTTAATCTCTGAAGATTGGACTAAAAATATTATACACTTCCCATTCTTATAAACAGTTATTGTAAAACTCAGGAGTAGTAAGATGAAACATTTTAATTTTATTAAAATCAATTAAGAGGTATTCGTTTATTTAAACATTTTATATAAATATCAGTCTGGAAAAATATTATCAACACAAATGCAAAACCTAATTTTCTTACTATCAAATATTATAATATATAAAATAATCTATTAACTTTTTTTGAAAAATTAATCTGCTAATGAAGATTAATATTATTAGCCATAGTTTACAATAAATATCAATAGAAGGATGATTTTTAGAATCAGAAATATGTGTACAAACATTTTTTGATTGAAAAATAATGTTACTTTAACCTGTTTTCGTAAAATGTGCATATGTATAATATCTTTTAATTTTAATGTAAAAGTACATAATAATTTATCTTTTTAATAGCCTTTCAAAAGCAAACATTTACAGATTAATTATTTTTAAATCTTCTTCTTGGTTGAGCTTAGATAAAATTCTAAAAAATACCTCAGACATTTTGTTTTCCCTTGCCTGATCACCCGAGGATACATTATGTATAAATTTAAATTAATTATAGATTTGTAACTTAAATTCTTCAGTTCAAGTGTTCAACCTTTAATTGAAAATCTAATCAAATTATGCTTCGAAATCAAATAGGCAACCTAATTGTTGTAACCTTATCATTAATTTTACAATCAAAATCAAATTTATTAGATCCAAAATTCCAATAACTTTAGTAAAACAAAGTTTTCGCATGTCAAAAATAATTCGAAACTACTTCACTAAGAAATCATTATTTGAATAAATAGTACTACTAGCTCTCAATAATATCAATCAAATTCCCCTTACAAAAGAAAACAGCTTTAGAGTCTCTCTTAAGTTATAATTGAATATGTAGCCATTATAGTTCCAAAAACAGGAAGTTTGTCAAGAGATACTAGTAATAATTGAAAAAAAGTTAGCCGAAACTGCTTTATAAAATAGTAATATATTGCATTTAGTTTGATTGAAAAAATTAGAAAATGATGATTTTTAAATATTAAATCTGAAGATATGGCTTGAATAGAAAATTTTTAAGACAAAGTCTTAATTGCAGAGAATCTAACTATATGGCAGATTATGACTCTATTCTTTGATTAATAAGTAATTCAAATCATATTAAAATCATTTAAATATATTTGAAACAAAATTAAATTAAAATTATTTCTGTATAAATAATGAACTTCTTAGTAGCGTTTCACATGAATTAAATAAAGCCAAATACTCATCTGAATTGATAAGATCCTTTATAAGATACCAAATTAAATAATAATTATTATCCCTTAATTTATTGAAATTGTAATAGAATTCATATTTTATTAACTTTCTCCTTAAAATTTCCTACTTTTCTTCCTTTTGAATACATTCCAACATATGTGATTTTATTTCTCAAATTATAGCTAGACAGATATATACAAGAGAAAATTTTAATCTATTTCAATACATGGACCATCCTTCATTTCTTCTTCATCATAGTTAACTTTTCCTCTAAAATGGTTTCATTTTTTCATATATTACATTTCTTTCCAAGAATTAATCTATTTTTGAAATATTTACCATATCCATTCACCTTTTTTTTGACCTTAATGATAATCCCCCTTCCAACTAGTTATATAATTTCTAACAAATTATTAATATTTTACCTAAATCCTCTATCATCAAATTAGACCCAATTTCCATGTTTCTTGCCCTCTTAAGTATATTCACCTTATTCGCTATTTAATTCTTTTTTAATAAATACATTATAAGGTTTGTCTCCCTTGTAATTTACCACTATTTTATTTTAACCCCATTTATATATTATCCATGATCTAAAAAATTATTGAAGCTTCTTTTTTTAACTTTCTTACTTCCAAAAATGATCGTTTGGCTCCACCCATTCTTTATCTTTCATACCATTTTGGTTATATTCTCCCTTTCCTCTTTTTGTAAATACTATTAATACATTTGTTAAAATGCATTCTATTTTAAGTGTCTAAATTTGATCTCACAAAAATTGATTTTTATCCCACTGTAATATTCGACATTATATATTAGTTAACGAGATCTAAATATTTTGTTTTGGAACCTACAAAACTCATCATCAATGTCTATCCATGATTGTACTTTTCTGCCATTTTCATAAAAACCTCCTCCGCTAAGCTTATTAAATTATCACTACATTTCAACGAATTGTTCATTCGATTATTCTCTAAAGTATATTTACCACATTCCTTCCTTAATTCCTTCTTTGTAAATGCCTTTATGAAGTATTTAGCAATATCTTTTATATTTTTTATGTACTCTTTGAAATTATCCGCAATTTCTATCCAACTACCCTCCTTCCAACCTTATTTAAGGTTACCAACTTCTCTTGAATAAATATGATAATTTTATACAAATCTTCGAATTCTAATGAAGAACCATTAATTTTTCTCAATCTTATTATTTTCTAGCCTTGTATTAGGTCATCTTAATAATTTGCAAAAATTATCAATTAAGTAGAACTGTTCCGATATTATTAAGCATAATTACTCCTCAAAATTTTTTGCCAAATCTTCCCATTTACCTTATTTTTTTCCTTTCTCGTCATAATCCCCGCCTCCTCTAAATTTTATAATTATTTCAAAATTACATAATCTCAATTGAACAGTGATGATTGTATCTATATTTTATTTGCCATTAGCTAATTTTTTGTCCATTATAATATTTTCCTTCATTAAATGTTTAGCAATTTCTGAATATTTAGGAAGCATACTCATTATAATTTTCATGCAGTTCTACCCAGTTTCCAATCTTTAAGCCGTTTCCATCATAATCACCACCTCCACTTAATATGTAATGAAATTTTACAGGCTTTCAGTTTTCTTTTCGAATTATCCTTTATTCATTTTTTTTATCTTCTCTAACAAAGACCATTTTCCATTTTTATTTCCGTCTTTATATTCTCCAGACCAAATAATTTTACATTTTCTTTAAAAATATAGGAAAATTAAAACTCTGAAAAACTATTTGTTAGTTCAGTCCATTATCCAAATTTTATCCCTTCTTAGGTATAATTTCCTTCGCAACTAAATGTTTTAATGAATCGCATCGTACATTTTATTAAATCTTGTTTTTTCGTTCCTTCTAAATAATACATTCCATAGTCCATGTTTTATTCCATTTTTATAGGACCCTGTCAAAACAACTTAGAAATCTCTTCCAAAATTATACTCAATTATACTCTTTAAAATGTTTGCTTAATTCAGTCCATTCACCTTATTTTAATTAGTTGTGATCATAGGTTCCTCCTCCTCTAAAGGATGAGAATATATTGATACATTATTTTACAATTTCTACTTAAAGGTTCAACCCATTCATAATTCCACTAATGAAATTTTTAGCCATTTAGATAATGGCCTGAGTAGATCACGAAAATTTGACTTTAAAATTAACTTAATCATACGGTTTTATGTATTTGCAGAGCTTTGTCCAAACTCCTTATTTACTTCCATTCTAATTGAATTAACCTCCTCCTCTAAAATTGTAATAAATTTACATTTTCATATTGTTGTAGACAATATTCCACTCCCCTTATTTGTTACCACTAAGATATGAGCCAATTTTAAATCCCTATTATTCCATTATTTGATATTTTACTAAAATTGACGATTTGCAAAATGAAAAACTTTGATTCAAATATTTCTTGTATACAGAAGGGAATTCATCATCATCATATAAATAATTGATTCCGCTTTAGTTAGCAAAGAAATTTATACATAGATCTTAAAGATTGGTCACATTTGATAAAGCATATATCTTTATCAATAACATTCTTATAGATGATTTCCCAATCAAAAAAATCAAATCTTTTTTAAACACCAATTGATTACTTTACTCTCTTCTCCAATTCAACCCATTTTCCAATTTTTTCTCCTTTGCTATCATACCTTCCTCCTCCTCTATAATTACTAATATAAAATTATCTACATAGTTCTCCATTCTTCATTTTAATTTCTTCTATGCAGAATATTCCATTAATTACACTTAACACCATTATTGTACTCCCCATTATAAATAATTTAGCATTTACTAATGTTAAATATCAAATCAATAAAAACTTTGAGAAATTTTTGTCAATTTTTATCCATCTTCCTGTTTTGAGGCCTTTATCATTATATTCGCAATTTTCACTCAGTTAATTTATTAGAATATTTTAAAATGATTCATTTCTATTTTTTCTGTGTTTATATATAAAGTAGGAGTTTTTCAAGCCTTTTTAATACTATCCATAACAAACTATTTAGCATCCCCTTGAATAACACAGTAGAGTTACTCTTAATCATTATGTACTATTTTGAAATAGGGGATTTTATCAGGATATTCACTTATCTAACAATTTATTATTACTTCGGAAAATAAAAATCATTTATGATTTATTCTAGACAGTTTTGGAAAAAAAATTAAAAATCCATACAATTTGTAATCTATTTAGAACTATAATGCTCCGAATTTTTACCCCACAAATATTCTTGAAATAAGCTTTTATAAAGCATTCTTTCGACTATCCTAAATTTATGATTCAAAATTGCTTTCTAAATCTGTACTAGTCATTCTCTTTTCTTTAAATGACTTTGAAATATTTTTAATAATTCAATAATATAAAATATTTTACAACTACTAGCTTTTACAAAACAACAAACAAACATTTAAAGATGGATGAAATAATTTTAATAGATTTAAAGTCTATTTTCAATGAATTTAAGTTAGATAATCCAATCTTTAGTAGTAATTGATTAAAAGCCTAAACTCGATCATTGTTTAATAAATCTAATTAAAAATAAATGCAAAATCTAATCTCTCAAGTAAAATGCAAGATGCACTTAGAAAATGAGGTGCAATTTGTTTGCATGAGTACAGAATGTATAGCCCCGAAATTATGCTGCTTAAATTGCCAAGAAATGCATGATATGCACCATTCCCTTTTGAAAAATTTAGATCAAGCTTGGGAAGAAATATTATAACACAAATAAAAATAGAACGAAGTCTAAAAAGATTTCGAGAATTTATGGTCATAAATGTCAGCCTTTCTTACTCAATGGGATCGCATAATAGATTTTAATAAGCTTTTAGGTTTTAATCTCACAATTAATAAAGCAAATGTTAGTGCGATTGGAGAAAGAATTAACTTAATCATTGACTTGTTAAGAACTTTTAGATATGATCTAAAAATATGAAGATTTGAGTTTCTTATTAGAGGAGAAAGCCAAAATGATCAAAAATAAATATTGTATTGCCTAACACTTTAAGATAAGGTCATTTTGACAAGGATAGTAAATTAGAAGTGGATGTAATGTTAGCACTATTTAATGAAGCAAGATAATTAAAAAAAAAAGGAGATAAGATAAATGCTATTGATAAATATTCCTAAGTGCTGGAAATGAATGAAAATTTTATTGTTGCCAGATTAGATAGAGGTTTAAATGATTAAATTTGATAAGTTAGGAAAACTGAATATGGGTTAGAATTATGAGCAAGCATAATTTGATTTTGAAGAGGTCTTAAAGCAAGATGACCTTGATGTTAGAGCTCTAAAGGGATTAGGTAATACACTATTTTTTGCTAGCTGTCTGTCAAAAAATGAAGTGCAATTATGGAGAAGGTTTATATTATGCTTTAAGAGGTCAAAAATTGAAATAAATATCTCCTCAACTACATTTTCACTTAGGTATTTTTTTTATCATATACAGCTGATTGTTGCAAGTTTGAAGGTAAAAGTTAAGAAGCTTTACACTTTATCAATATAGCAATTGAGTAGAAAAAAAGGAAATATGAGAATAAAATGAAAATATTTTATAAAAATAAAGGTAATTCTTTACTAAAGGTAGCTGAAATTCATTTAGAACTAAATGATTTACAAAATGCAAATATATTTATAAACAAAGCATTAGAAATTTATCAAAATTATGAATTAGCAATAAACATAAAAGGTACTCTAAATCATTATCCTTATAGAGAGAATTAATAAGATAGCAAGAGCTTAGAATGTCATATTATGAAAAATTTAAGTGCTACCATAGATATTGAAATTTTTAATTGATTAAATTTCTTATTAAAATAAATGATAGATAGTATCTTCCATAATATTGATATTCTCCAAATTCAGACAGAGAATCAAATCTAAAAAATATTTGATCACTTCCATAATTTAAAGTCCAAGGTTCTTGAATAGATGCATTCAATCTAAGAAAATTTATAAAATTGGCATAAGGGAATCAATGCGCAATTTCATTAACTAAATAGAGAGGATGTAGGCTAAATGAAATTGTAATATCAAAAAATTTAAGAAGAAAATAAAAATTATATTGCTAAAATTTCTAATGCTCTAAACAAGATGAAGAATTTTGAGGAATACCAAAATTGTTTCAACATACTCTAAGGAATTCATAAGGAAAGTGGTGAAACTTAGACATTAATCAATACTATACCTTTATACAACAATGAATGCAATGCTATTGCTATCAATAAATCTGGATCCTTGATTGTGACTGGAGATACAGAAAATATTAGCATTTGGGAATGCAAAGAAGGTAATATGAAAAAAGTTCAACAGATAACAAAACATTCAAATTATATATCTTGCTTAATTTTTAGCAGAAATATTAATTCATTTATTTCTGGATGTAAGGGTGGCAGAATTCATTTTTGGCAATAAACTGTTGGAATTGGAAATTTTATATCTAAATCTGAATAATTTTAATATGGAGCAATAAATTGTATGATATTGAATAAAGAAGATGATCAACTTTTTAGTGGAAGCGAAGCTAATAAAATTATTGTTTGGAAAGTAGATTTCGGAACATATCAACTAACCAAAATTTAAGAATTAGAAACAAATGCATAAGTTGAGGGTTTAGCATTAAACCCATCTGAATCGATATTGGCTTTCACATAAAATAATAAATAAATCTCAGTCTATAGAAAATAAAGCAACAAAAAGTGGTAGTTTCATTCAAACGCTACCAAAATCACTGATGAATATGGATCAAGAATCTGCTTCTTATCTGATTAGAACTTTATATGGGTCACAGGAGGTTAAGGAGGAATAGATTCTATTTGCTTTTTTGGAGAAGAAAATGGTGAATACAAAGAGACAGAAACGAAAATAAAACTGACAGATAATAAGAGTGAACATGATTTTCATAATTTTGATATAATTTATTAGAGAGAGAAAAACATTTTAATTATTAAATAAAAATTTTAAATATGGATTATGAGAGCTATTTATAATGGGGAATTGGAAAAAATAAGTGTAATTTAATGTAATTCCAAAAGAACATTTGGTATTTTAACTAATGACGGAAGTAAGTTAATCTTTTTTGAGAGAATTGATTTTAAATTTGGAAAATTTTATATATATAGTCTTGAGTTGAATTGAATTTTATGAGAGTTAGTAAACAATTGCATTTATTGAATATAAAGAATTTTATAATTATAATTTATAATTACTTGATTTTTTGATCTAGATAAACTAAGAAAAATACATATTTAAGTTATTTTTTTAGAACAAGCCATTATTATATTAACTTAATTTATAGTAGGTTTTTACATACTTTTGATAATAATCTATTTTGCATTTGCTATGTGGTAGAGAGTTGCAGAGAAATTGAGATTTGAAGATAGGTGTCTGTAATATGAAAAGGAATGCTATAGGGTTTTAGCTTTTAGATAAAATTTCGAAATCAAAGACTTAAATAATATAATTATCAAATTCAAATACAATTGGTTGAATTTGTTTTTATTTTCATATAATTTAGATGAACCTAATCTTTTCTAAATTCAATGGATTTAATAGTTAAATTCAGTTTTGAAGTTATCCATAAGATAAATAAAGTTAGAAATTAAAAATAATTTAAGTTTTTCGTAATAAATTATTTTCTGCCCTTTTTTCTTGCATGAAACATACTTATATGGTTAAAGTGTACACAAATCATTAAAGGCACTGTGAGAGTTTTAAAAATGCCCGCCAAGATTGACTGGATACTCAGATAAGAAATCTCCAAGAGACTTATATTTATTCTTCTGCTATTATCACCTGTATTAAATCATTTATCATAAAATTAATAATAATAGATAATTTCCAGTCAAAGGGAATATACATAAATAAATTCAATTTATTTTGAACTTTGATTTACAATAGACAATGTTCCATATCCCATACTTTATAAGATTTAGAGTTTTTCTCACCTCCTCTTATTAATGTATAAATTTATCTTGCTTCACTTCAAGAAGATAGGCTCTAATGAGCATAAAATTTTTTGATTTATTAAGAGAAGAGATTTAATATTTTCTGGAATATCCCCTTCAAAATAGAATTAATAATTATCTTGAAAATAATTTTTGATCCTTAACTATATTTCAAAGATTTGTTGTTTTTCAGTTTAAAATTTGATAGTTTTACATATATGAATCAAATTCTATTAATTAAATAGAAAGAGCTACCATATTTTAATTTTTAGAACTTTATCTCTAATTGACAATTCAACTTAGATTAATTAATTATTTTAATACTTTTAATTAACCTTATTTATAAAAATATTATGTAGATTCCCATTGATAACAGTTAAGCGACCCATATACATATACTAAATTGTTGTCAAGCTTAGATATGCTAATCTATTTAAAATATAAAAAAGGAATAAAATTTATTAGTAGTATGATATTGAAAATTTTATATCAAAATGAAGACAGAATTACGAATTTATTTGATGGAAAAATTTTGTAGGATAAATAATGGAAAATTTACCTACAAAATTCATTTTAGAAGAAAATGTATCAAAATTTGCATACTTATGTCGGTTTAATTGAATGTCCATTATAATTTTCTAAAATGACTTTGGGCAATTACAAGTTGAAATTCATAATAAGCCTGAATTTTTAAATATTTTTATCAAAGGTCTCATCGATAAGAGCTAGAGTGTTCTAAATTAAGGTTTCTGAACTGCTGAGATAATCTATGAAATCAGCGATTATCATTGTTCTAAATGCATCTTTATCGGTATCAATAATTTGTAAAGCAAGGTTCTACCAAAAATGAGAATAATCATAAAAAGTCTATTTAAGAATTTCAAACTACAATTTAAAAACATAAAACCCACCTTAGGAGTCTATTTTCATTTTTCGAAACATCTACTAACTCCTAACCGATTCGGCATCAGACATTCTCTCCTCAATTATCGTTACCTCATCTCTTTTTTCATTCTATTTTTATTATTCCAACATCTTAAACAACTCACTATATTTCTCTTTGGATTAGCTTCTCGACTATGACTTTTCTATTTTCTTTCGCCTCTTACTAAAAGTTTTCTTCTTCCTCTCGCTGCGCAAACATAGTCAGACCAGTCTTATTAAATCAGTTAAATCTATCCTTTATCCATATCTTCATAATATGACTCTAGGTTATCGATTTTGGATTTGTGTAGTAAGACATGATGTAATACATCAAGGTCATCTACCCATCAGGTGATAGATCTTCTTTGAGTTTACCTCTCCACAGACTACAGGGCTACTCATAACAAAAGCTTTGTTCATTTTATTTATCTATTCATTCAACTCCGTTAAAGAAGTTAGTACATCATACAAATCTTCTTCCGATTCCTATAATCACAATTATTCATTATTTTGTTTGATCCTAGAGTTACCCATAAGGGGTCCTCCTCGCACCACTTTAGCTCTC